AGGAGTTATTCTTAAATGATAGTACGAATATCGCGGGCCTTAATACTAACCCGGCGGTTAATAGCTTTAATAACGCTTTTAATTAATAGTATAAGCCTCCGATATAAAGGATATACTAAGGAACTAAAGCTTAGCCCGTAGTTATATTAAATATACTCGGCTTTAATATACCGTTATAAAAGCTAAGCGCCCTTTTCTTTTATTTTAATAATAATTATCTATTTATAACTATATTTTTATAATTTTCGTTAATATAACCCCGTACCTTTAATAAGCCGCGGTTTACTAAAGCGATTATATTAAAATATATATTTTATTTTCTTATTTTTATATATATATTTATATCGACGAATAATATTAAACCCGTTCTTTTTAATAAATATGTTAATTTGATTAAATAGGGCGCCGATTATAAGTTTTAAATTGCCGGGAATTTATAAATTTAAGATTAGGTTAAGTAAAAGCAAAGACGAGCGTTAACCTAAAGAGTAAGAACTTTATAATAATAAAATTATTAAATTTATTTAAAAATCGGTAAAAAGATATTTTAAATAGTAAAGAAAAGAATATAAAAATAGGGGTAATAAAATAAACGTATTAAATAAATATAATAAATAACCCTATCTCCGTCGCTATTATCGAACTTATTTAAAAAAATTAAAAATTTTTTTAATTAATTACTACCCTTCCCTTATTACTTTTTTAACTAAGCGTAATATAAATTTAAACTCTTTTATAAAAGTAGTTTATATAGGTCGATACTCCTCGTCCTATAAAGTAAATTTAAAAATAAAATACGATAAAAATAAACCGTATTCCGGGCTAAGTATTAATATAATAACTTAATAAGTTTAAGCAATTATCGTCGGAAATATTTTATAAAAAAAATTTTTATAATTATTTTATATTTTAATAAGTACCGCGTCGTTTTTATATAAGTTATAAAGTTAAGTAATTTAATAAAACCGGTTTAAATAAAAAATAAAAATATTTTTAAATATATTATTATTGCTAAGGCTATAATAATTATTAATATTTATATTTAAACTATTAGCGATAAGAGGTCGCAAAGTAAAAAAATACTTATTATATTGCCGTTTTAAATTAAATTTATTATTTAAGCTCGAGCTTTTAACTTAACGTAGCGGGTTACGTTTTAATAACGGAGGGGCGGACTTAGGTATAAGGGATTTTAATATAAATAATATAGCGATAAAGCCTCGATTAGCTAATATAAACGACGCGTCGCGATTATATATTAAAAAAATTCTTAAATATTTTAAATAGGACCGGCAGAATTAAAATAGGGCAATAGCCTTTTTAGGCTAATAATAGTGTATAGCTGTCATGCCCGTATAAGAGTTATGCCCGTATATTAATTATTTATGCCCGTGTATTAATTCCTTAATAAAAAGTCCTTAAAAAAATTTCTTTAAAAAATTAATAAAACTAAAGAAATAATAATTCTTTAATTCTTTTAAGAAATTAAGGAGAAATTAAAGCGCTATTTATATTTTTAAATAAAACAACCGCTAAAAAATAGCCCCACCGTTTATATAAACTAGCCGTTAATTAATAAAAAAATTTAAATAATAATTTACTTTTTAAAACTTTACTATTAAATAATAACGTAATAATATTATTATTTATTATTATAAAATCTTAAAAAATTCTTAAAAAAAAAGCTCGTTAAAACTTATATTTATAAAAGCCTATAATTTTTTATATAATCCCTTTTATACGCCTATATCTATTATTTATTTTCCCTTTTTTCCTTTTACTTTTTTTTTTTTTTTTTTTTTTTTTTTTTTTTTTTTTTTTTTTTTTTTTTTTTTTTTTTTTTTTTTTTTTTTTTTTTTTTTATTTTTTTTTTTTTTTTTATTTTTTTTTTTTTTTTTTTTTTTTTTTTTTTTTTTTTTTCTTCTTAACTTTTAATTTATTATTATTATTATCTTTACTTATATTATTTTTATTTAATAATATAATATTTATTATTTAAAAAAATTTCCTTTTATAACCCCCTTTTTATATATCGTAAAATACGGACGTAATATTTTATTTTTAATATTATATATTAATACCCCTTTAAAAATCACGATTTTAAAAAAAAAATTTATATATCTTATAAAAATAATCGGTATTTAAGAGACTTTAAATTTCATAACTATTTTTATATATTATATATTTATAATAAAAAAAAAAACTTTATTAAAAATATTAAGTTAAGTAAACGTATAAATAAATACCTTTACAAAAATAAAACCTTTACTTATCGTTTATAAAATTAAATAATTAAACGTAAGTATATATAATTAAATACTTTTATTATAAAATATACTATTTTTTAAAATCGGTTAAATTTTAATATTAATATAAATAAAAAATATACCTAACGAGTTTTTTTAAAAAACCCTTAGCTATTTTATATTATTAAGCTTAGTTAAGATAATATCTTTATATATAAAAGTTAAACGTTATTAAATCGTATTTAAAAACCGGTAATCCTTATAAATCTCGACCCTTTTTTATAAAAACTTAACGATAATAAAAAATTATTTAATACGCTTAATATAAATATTAATGCTAAAACTATTTTATAAACTTTTATTCCCTTTATTATCCTTATTAAAATATTAATTATAATTATAATTAATTAAAACCGTAACGCTAATAATATATATATTACCCTTTTTTAATATATTAATAAAAATAATCTTATTATTAAACTAACGGTAGAAATACGTAAGTCCTTTTACTTTTTTAAAGTAATATAAAAATTAATTAAAACCTTAATTATTAATAATATAATTAAAAAAGATTTCGCGGCCGTAATACTTAGCTTTTAAAATAATAACTTAAGAATAAGAAATATATTACGAAATTTCTTTAATAAAACTATTGTAACTAAGCTCTCGGAATTAAAACTCGCTTATTAATTATTTAATAACTCCCGCTAAATTTCTTATAAGCGTATCGTTATTAATTTTACTAATAAATTTATAAATAATATTTTATTTTAAAACGTTTAATAATAACTCTTCGTTAATACTCCTACCCTTTATTTTTTAAAAACGAAAATTATACTTATAAGTATAAATATTATTATAACTATAAAGAAAGCTCGTTTTTTAACTATTAATAAAAACTTTTATAAGTTCTTATTTAAAAAAATAGCTTATAAATTCGAGCTTAAACTAGACTTAGTTAATTAAAATAATAATAAATACGCGCTTATCCTATACGGTAAAAGTATTATTAATATTAATATTATATATTATATAATTTATATAATTCTTATAAACCTTATTATAAACGAATCCGCTACCCTATACCTTTATTTAATAAAAGTCCTTATTATATTTAGATTTATAATAAATATAACCAGATTTACCTATTCTATAAATAAAACTACTTAAAAAAAATACTATTATAACTAAAAACTTACCTTAATTTCCCGTATTAATAAACGCAAAACCACCGTTATAATAATTATAATAATCAAAAGCTACTTTTATAATACTAAGTTTAATTAAGCTAATTTTTATTATATAACTACAATCAAGCTAAACGTTTAAACTATAAATAACGTATTTTTTAATAACGTTACCGCTTTACTTTCCTATATTATTAATAAAATAACCGAGGTATTAAAAAATACCGTAATAAAAAAAGCTATAAATAAAAATTTAAATTAAATTCTTTTACGCTATCTAAAGCTTTATACGCGGTAAATATTAATATAAAATAGAATAAGAGTTATTTTCGTATTTAAAAACGATATTCTTAAAAAAAATAAATTAATATACGTATATTTACTTTTCTTTACGTTTTTTATAAAACTACGTATTTACTATTATATTATTATATTAATTTTTTTATATATTTATTTACCCTATACGTTAAACTTTACTTTATAATAAAGCTTTTTAATATATAGTTTTTATAATAATATAAATTATCGTATTTATAAAAATTTCGTAATCAAAATTAATTTTTATATAGCGGTAATTATTACAGTTTATAATTAAATTTCTTATTTTTCGTATATAATTATTTTAAAAAAAAAGGGCCGCAAAGTTTTTAAAATTTCTTAAAAATTTCTTTTAAAAAAAGCGCTTAAAAAAGCCTAAATTTTTTTTAAAATTTCTTTAAAAAATTTTTAAAAAAAATCGTAAGGAAATTTTTAAAATTTCCTCCGTTTTCTTTAAAAAAAATCATAAAAAAATCCTTAAAATTTCTTAAAAATTTCTTAAAAATTTCTTTTAAAACTTTTATAATATATTTAAAAGATTTTATTAAGAAATCTATAAAAAAATCTTAAAAAAAAGTATTAATATATTATTTTATTTTTATTATATAAAAGCGTATAATAATACCGATAATAATTAATATTTTAAATAATAAAAATAATAATTAACTACGCGTTTAAGTTTAATTAATATTATTTATAAATTATCCTTTAGCCGGTCCTTAATTTAATTTAATAATAAATTAACTATTAGTTAACTTATTTAATTTTAAATAAGCTTACGCTTAATATTTTTATAATCTTTATAATAGTAATAAATTATAAAAAAATATTTAGCTTTATAAAGTTAATTTTAACTTTATAATAATTATTAATAAAGTCTTTTACATTAAAAGAGGTTTAATATTTTAAAAACTAGCTTCGCGGCGGTATTATAAAAATAAAAAGTTAATTTTTTAATTAAAAAAGTTAATCAAAATAAAGTTTATAAGTTAATATTATAAAGACTTTTATAATAGCTTTATTTATTCCTAATTAGGAAATTAATTAAATTTATTAATTATTTATTAAATAATTAAATATAGCGCGAGAAATGAGGCAAATAATTAAATACGAACCTTATATTTAATTTGTTTGTTTGGGTATAAGCGCTGATAAATGGTTAGACCCTCACGTGTCAGTATCCTTTGCCGTTGGTCTCGCGTTGGCGCTTGGCTTGGTTGTATACGAGACCTTCGCAAAAACGGACGGCATGTTTCACCATGGGCTTTTCACTGGCAATCGCAACTTCTCAATTTCTCTTTTCTGCGTTTTCGCCGAAGGCATGGCCTTTTTTGCAGCCAACACGTACTTCGCCTTCCAAGTTAGCGTCTTGTACGAGACAGACGCCATCATTGTCGGGGCCCGATACAGCTTGATGCTCGTCGCTGCTGGTACCGGCGCAGCTATTGCTGGCTGGTACTGCGCTATCACGAAGCGAGTGCGATGGATCACCGTCCTTGCGTTTCTCATCTTTGTGGCATTCTTTGCGTGCATGGCGACGACAAACCGGGACACCAGCAACCCGGTCTGGGGATACCCGATCCTTCTCGGCATTGCTCTGGGTATGACTTTGCCAACTCTTGTCACGGCAGCTCAGCTCAGTATCCCGCCCGAGTTGATCTCAGTCGCTAGCGGTCTCATCATCAGCGTTCGATCGCTTGGTGGGACGATTGGTATTACAATCTACAGTGTTCTCTTCAACGATGGCATGAGCCTCATGGCCCCAAATATCGCCAAAGCAGTCCTACCGGCGGGCCTCGACGCTGATAATCTTCCGGCTATTATTGGAGCTCTGATTTCTCATAACGAGAGCGCAATCGCCCAAGTTCCAGATATAACTCCGGACATTGTCTTACGAGGAACCCATGCACTTCTCGATACATACGTCGAAGCTTTCAGAGATGTCTGGATCTCGGCGGCTTGTTTCGTTGCCGTGGCAGCTATCGGTTAGTATCTCTTTCTTTTTCACCGGGATTTATATTCGAATGCCCTGCTGACTTTGGAATACAAGTCTCTGCTTTTCTCTTTGATCCTGAGAAAGAGTTCAATAATCACATTGATGCCCCTTTGGAAGAGAAACACAGATTCCTTGCGGCAGAATGATCTAAATGACGGAGGTGTCCCAGTCAGCCATACAAAGTACCTAGTATCCTCAACTAGGCCAAAAACAAAAAGTTGATCCAGACTCAAAAATGCCGTTCCATGACGCCACTGAAATCTTCGTGCTAGAAATATGACTGACCTATCTTGGTTCGAATGAAGGATTCCAGTGAACGAATCGAGAACTTTAGGATACCGACCTCGGAGAACCTTTATTGAGAACTATTTCGCAAGTGAAGACCTAATTTCCAAGCCTTCTTTGCTTGTGCTAAGACTCAAAGTATATTAATCTTTTGGGTTCGGCGGAGCGCCGAAAGCGGAGTCGGACTTCGGAAGACAACGCCGACGGATGAGGGGTGCACATGTGCCTAGACCATCCGTTGATCTCCGGCTTACATCACAATTGACTCATTCTTAGCAGCTCGTTCAATGAATAAAGAGCTTATGTGCAATTTATTTGAAGATAACTCCTGCAATGTCAGGTTGCCATTGATCAATACTTACTCAATCGACACATCAACCAAAAATCCAACTTCACTTTCCCTCACCACTTAGCCGACAAGATGACCGCTGCTCCGACCGTATCTTCGGCGCTGCATCCGCGGATGGGATGGATCGGTGAGAATCAACTGCGCTATATTTTCTGGGTAACGTACTGTACAAGCTAACAAACTTTCAAGGTCTCGGATCGATGGGTCTTGGAATGGCCACCAACCTGCAGAATCATCTCAAGACGCACTTTGGTGGCAGTCTCCAATATCACAATCGGACCATGTCCCGAGGCGCTCTATTGGAGAAGGCCGGAGGTGCACCGCAACCAAACATCATCAACCTCGTTAAGGACACAGACATCGTCTTTATTTCGCTCAGCGACGATAAAGCGCTTGAGGCGACACTGGACGCGATTTTGGATGACGCTGCCGCAGCTGATCTGACGGGCAAGATCTTTGTCGACACCTCAACAGTCCACCCCCTGTCATCGGCAAAGGCAAGGGAGCGACTGGCAGCAAAGCAAGCAAAATTCATTGCCGCACCTGTATTCGGGGCAAGCCCTATCGCTGCGCAGGGCACACTGCTCTGGATCGTCGCTGGACCCGATGAAGCCGTAGAGAAAATCCAGCCGTTCGTCGTCGGCGTCATGGGCAGAGGCATCATCCGTCTAGGAGAAGACGTGCAAAAAGCCAGCATTATGAAGACAGCTGGGTGAGTTCAAACCCATAGAAAGAGCCTGCTGAACAGACCTTTCACCGTGCTAACACGGCTCAGAAACTTTCTGACCGCAGGGATGATGGAGCTGGTCGCTGAGGCCCAAGTCTTTGCTGAGAAGTCGGGGCTCGGCAGTGAAGCGATGGAGGATCTGCTCGGACAACAGTACGGACCCTTGGCGCTGACTATGTCTAAACGCTTGACGACGGGTGCTTATTTGCCGCCTCGGGATGAGAGGCCATGGTCCGACTTGACCCTAGCGATGAAGGATGTTGGGCATGGCCTGAGTTGCGCTGAGCAGGTTGGCGTGCGTCTGGATATTGCCGAAATTGCTGCGAGGCATCTGAAAGAAGCTAAGAAGATCTCAGATACTCAAAGGCGGGCGTTTGATTCATCATCATTGTACGGTATAGTGAGGAAAGAGGCTGGACTTGATTTTGAGACGGAATTTATCAAGAAGCGAGACGGCTCTGCTTGATCAGAATTGGCATCCTACATCGTATGCATGTATTGAAGGGAAAATCGCAAATCTCAGAAACCCTGATAACTATGGGCGGTTTTTATCGTTAGCGAACCTTTCCACAGAGCTTGTCTTAAAACACTGAAGGGAGGCTACAAAGCTCAGGCGATGTCGATTCAATCGGTCTTCATGGCCTCGCACGCGGCGAGGCAGTCCGTTCGGCAAAACAGTTTTTCACTCATTGATGTTAAAGTTTCAGAGGCTAGGAATAGAAAACATGCGAACTTGCCTTGGGTTTGCTTCTCTGCTGAGAGGAAGAGGCCCGATCATGATCAGGCTACGCCGCTACAGTTTAGCTGTGTGTGAGACAACGAGTTGCTGATCAGTTTGATCTGATGAGATTGAATTGCATAGGTTTAAATTTGTATCGTACTATTTATACATTCAGGAGTCTATCCTGATTCGTAACTTGATCGGCTTCAAAACGGCGTCGACGGCCTGACGGGAAGCTCCTGCGCTTTTTTTTTTGGCGATGCATATGGATTTAGTCAGAATGAATCATCTAGCACCATCCATGTATCATAATTTGCCGACTCATCCCAGAGGAAAACTGAGAAATTTGGAGTCGGATATACAAGATGAGGGCAAGTGAGCAATTATGAATCATCCTGGCTAAGACCCTGTAATCCCACCGGCAATAACTTTCTGGACTCAAAACTTCATTCGGCATTCGGCATTCGGCCCCACGAGGCTGAACCTAGCAGACAGTATCTATGAGGAAACAATGTCTTCTGTGAGGCCTTACTTCAAGATTTTGAAACGGGGTACGCTACATACGCCTATTGAAGACTATAATATGCAATCCTCGATCCACAAGCTTGCCGAACAAATGCTGAAGGCACAGTAGAGTTACAGGCCTTGATTAGTTTCACAAGTAGCTTCATGCGAATCAAGTCTCTAGCTGTAAATTTTGGAGAGTGAAGAAGCCTAGTCATCAATCCAGGTTCAATCGACCGTGATCCAGGGCAGTCCGTCAAAAGATTTGCCTGGGCATCTGCTGTACAGGCACAACTTCACTTCTCGTGTTCATCGCAGTCATGTGGATCCTGACACCAATCATTGGATTCTCCGTCACAAGAACGGGCTTGGGAATTGGTGGCCCATCACCCCAGCCGCTCCACAAGCTGTAGTCATGCGAGCTAGTGGAACTTCTCCATGGATAGATCAGGGATTCCTGAGCCGCTAAATAGTATTCTAGCTTCTCTATAGACAATATCGGCGACGTTGTAGGTGTGTTCGACGGTCTGGAAAGTCTGGACATCAAACCCCTCGAGAAGGTTCCTCTCCACTCCCATCAACCAATGTAAGGAGGCGGAAGCCAGCTCTCTACCCGGGCCCGGGCCATAGCCACATTTTTCTGTTTTCAATCGATCGAAGATTGGAAACTCAGGGATCGCGAAAATTCCCCGCAGTTTCTCGTCCCTCGACACAAGGGCGGTTATGTATGCTACTGGGACTGCCAATATCGGTGTCACTCAATTCCCTTAATCAGCTTTTATCATAAAAAAAGTTAGAATGATGATTACTGCTGCTCAAAGTGTCGGAATCTCACACCCGAGATATCTGCTGAATTCTCAACATCACATACTGATAACCCACTCCGTTCACACCAAACTCGCCCGTCCCACATGGAATGCAATATCTAACAAAGATTTTACTATGGAACGATGAGCAAGTCCCCGGCGATGTATTTACGCTCTTTGGCTCACTCACCGTGAAATGCATTGAAATGGGTCAACTTGGACGTTAAAGGTTGACTTATTGTGGCAAAGATAATCGGTAGAGGACCCTCGTTGTGCTTCTGTAGATATTTCTTCACAAGGGGTTAAATTTTGGCCTACAACTATAGCCAAACCCAGCTGACAACACGAAATCGATCATAATCTGTCACCGCCACAACAATTCCCCATATCTCATATCACGAATGTTTCGGGCCCAAGCCCAAGTCCAAGCCCACGGGGGATTGAGATAACGTCTCAGTCATCCATGTCATCTGGATGACCACGTTAGCATAAATCGGGCATCAAATCTTGGTTCAGGCTGTATTGAACATACCGTCATCCTCTTCCTCCATGGCCATTGCAGGTGGCGGATTGGTTAGTGGCGAAGGAGTCTGTTGAGGACGACGCTCTTTCTGTACATTAGGAGAGATAAATTTAAGCTCTTCGAGGTAACTTACGGTCGTCATCATCATCGTCATCATCCACCTGAGGAGGAGGACCCGGCGCCAGTGTATTGGTATCAAGCCGGTTTGGCCCATTGAGGGGCGTCAAGGCTTTGGAACTAGTCAACAACGACATCCATTGCTAACAAATGACGATCTAGTTACTCACGGCCATCGTCGTCGTCATCTCGAATGAAGAGTCCAGCATAGGGAGCCAGATTCTCTCGTTGCTCAATGTGATGGTCAGTAGAGGCAAGTTGATCCGACCTGGGCAGAATGACTCGGGGAGGCAAAGCAATAGCTGAGCCAAGGGACTCTATGAGGAGGATCCCAATGAGAGCTCCTTTCCAACGATTGAGCATATTGGTAGAGATCTCTGTGGATTACACTTGAGCTTTTTTGTGGTATAAGCCTTTTGGTGGAAGACGCCGATGGGTCTGCATGACTAGACGACATAATGAACGAGAATACCCATCCTCTTTATACCTTCACAGGGCTGGATGGAACTCACCAGGGCGGTACATGTAACCTCATTAATGCTGGCGCCTGTGCATTCGAACTCATTAGCAAAGTTCTAGTTTAACTTCCAGATCTTGACCCCGAAATAGACCAGCTTCAACCTATCGAGGCATAACTTAAATCTTCATCTGTGGAGGAGTTCACCGCACAGTCACCTTCCAGAATTCTCAAAATGAAGTGAGCAGGCCGTAGCTTTCCAGATCGGCGAGTACCATACGATAGATCAGTGGACGATGTTCAACCGCCAAGTCAAGTTGCCCAGCTTCACGAGCTGACTCGCCTCGCCTGCAACGTCCCACAGCTATAGCTGCGCACATTATGTAAGTCCATTCTCTCTTGTGCTTTGGATCTTTTGGTGGTCATTGGAAGATGCAACTTTGGCAGCTGATGTGACGCAGGGACAGGGATCAGACGCCGTTTGAAGGTAAAGGGGGTAGGTGCGACAAGCTAGCCAGTCTCATGTCTTTCGAGAACCGTTGGTGCAAGAAATACCTAAAGTACCAAGTACCTGATGCCTTCTATGTTTTCCATCTGAGAATACTTAGGCTCTGGTTCGGATGATTACGATACGCCTCCTACAGCGCTGTCTCCGAGCAGTTCGGAAGCTGGGGTCCTCCCTGAAACGCGACTGGCCGCTTGGTAACCCCTCACGAGTTCTCAGAACTGTAAAGAAGTTGGGTCAAAGTGTACGGAGAGTTTACATCGGGTTGATTATTGAGGAGTAGCTCTTTGATTGCTCCCGACACGCAATGCGATGACTTTGTGTTCGCATTCCCACGACGTTGGGAGGGATGTAATCGCTAGCTCTTCTGCTAGCTTGATTTTCAGCAAGTTTGATCGACCTTTTTTCGAGCTTGTTTTTACGTGGAAAACGAGCTCAATTGCGACGTAGCGGGTGAGCTGATGATTGAATGAGACGTGGGAAACCACACAAGGAAGCTACCGTCTATTCAGCAGTTGTCGCCCTCCAACGTGACGCGTTGCGAGGCTCACTGTGACCTTCACTCATCATAACGGAACCTGCTTGCGCTATATCCTCTGCATATAATCGATTGCGTTGCGTACTTCATGCGGCGCAGCTTCTTGGTTGAACAAGATCGGCCGAATGAGAGCAAAGCAGAATTAGACTTTGCAAAAACGTCAACATCTCGAGCCCGAGGACTACATGAATAACCACAGAGGCCAAGATTATTGGCTTTTTCGCAGGTGAGAAGATGATTTTCACAGAGGTTGGAAGGAACGATGGCGGGCCGTGGAGGCACACTCGGGTGAGGCGTGTTGTTCTCGCCACGGAGATTTTCTGATTCGACCTAGATTTTGGCATCTTGGCGTCCGTTCGTCACGAACTATGTAGGATTTCTCCACGTCAGCATGAAATAAAGGCAAACGTAAAGCATTTCCTCCCACGGCTTTAGGCTGAGGAAGGTCCAGATCGTGATCTTAGCATCTCAGTGTCTTGTGATCATCGGATTCTGATGATGGGATAGCAACATGAAGGCCACGCGGAGTGAGTACTAGTACGGACTAATTGTTCCGAGTTACCGAGACCTGCGAGATCATCTTCCGAGTTCCCTATTCTTACAAAAGTTTCTTGGAGGCATTCTTACACACAATGTCCACCGCTGTGATATGAACAACGCCCCGACCGAACTCTGCCCAAACCAATCTCTCCATTACCAGACCTCACAGCCCATGTTGGCGAGGATCGGGTTGTCATTGATGGTTGCGACAAAGTTTGCTAGGGCCATGAAGTTATTGCTGTAGCCCCCGACAATTTGATAGGGCCATAATTGCATCAGACAGAAATGCCTATAGAGCACAGGCTACGCCAGAGTCTTTGTATGCTTTGAGACCAAGCATAGGTTGGCGAGAGTAGCCGACGCTTTGCGCTGACGCTCACATCCCCATTTGAGGTTGGGACACGTGCTAATCATTCCACTGGAGATTGAATGGCTGTAGTGATCGCTCATCACAGCCTCGGTGATGGATATTTAGATCTCGTTTGGTAGCATTGTGAATTGGTGGAAGGTCCTCTCAGGCGTCGACGTCTGTTCTGCATCCTGGGATTGCGAACCCGTCTCGGTGGCTGGGTCGCTGCTTGTCCTTACATGTGAAGTTTCAAGGGATTGCTGTGTTCTTTTGGGTTAGACCACGAGATATCAGATCAAATGATGAGATGTTAGGACCTACGAGTGACTCGTATAGGGATGATCCTTTGCGGTAAAGCGTCCAGGTAATGGTGAGAAAGTGGCAAGAGGGCAAAGTTCTGTGCGCGTCCACAAATTAGCGTGATGAGGTTTCTCCAAGACGCCGTAGAGGACCAGAAGATTTGGTGTGAATAAGATGGAAAATGGGTCCACAGGAAGGTCCGTAAATACCGGAAACAAAATACGTGATGAGCTCAAAATCCACAGCAAGAAAGGGCCAGAGGCCACGGGTTGTTATCTGTGGGAACCCCAAGATAAATTGTTACTTATCCAGGACGGTTCACTTGGTGAGGGTGGAAAATGAAAGAAAGACAAACTCTGAAGGTCGGAAGGGGCGGACGGGCATAGATGGAGGCGCGTGGATACGCGGACGCGAAGAATACACATCTATAAACAAAACGAAGTATTCCGCGTACCGAGCAACGAGAGAACTCCACCTTAAAGGTTGATAAGGCACCTTCCAGGAACAGGAACTACTAATTCCACGTATATCTTCAATCCATCCGTTTGACATGTACATGAGAGGGCTCATGCTCTAAAGTGTGTCACACATATCAATATTACTTCATCTCGATGAAATAGCCGTGATTGACATCATTTAAGTTTTGCTTGATATGATTTATATTACACAAGCTAAAAATTAAAATTTTGACCACTACCAGATCATAAAATGTTCCAATAAGCGCTGTATAGCGAGTCATCGGATGAAGCTCGAAGGACAATCACAGATTGGAAAAACGTGTAAGGTAGATAAAGACATCATTTTCAGTAACACATGTCAGTTTTGATTCTTCCGCGTTAACCAATTACTGCCCCTAAAGAGAAGTGAACGTTTGTGGCGACTCCTCCTTTCCCCTCAGCTCTTCTCGGGAACTTTTCCATAAACAACTTCACCTTTCCAAATCTTGCCATACTCACCTTATCGAAACTATTTTGATCTTCAGCTTTGGTGTCAGAGAACAGCCCCTTCGACATCCGGCCAGCAGTCCCCAATCTTCCCGTCACTTTGAACAGCCAATACAACACTTCCCTCACCATTCAGAGGGTTTCCGTCCCAGACAACAAAGTCGCCGGAATAAGTCTTCTCAGCCAGAACGTCGCCAGATTCACCCGAGACACGAGTCGCGCTGTTGAGCCCAAGTATTTCGTCAAAGTTGGTCGACACCAGCTTGATAGCCTCTTTTTCTGTCAATCCAGCAAACTTTGCCGCCCACTGCGCCTCTTGAGCCAGGCCATGGACCTTGGAGTCGCCTCTGACGGCAAGCGCGATAAGGACACCAGCATCAATGAGTACTTGGGCAGGGCTCGGTGAGATGGGAGGACCAGCGAAGCTGGACTTCTTTTCCCATTTGTCGGGCGCACCGCGATTGCCGGTAAGAATGACGGGGATCTGAGCGTCGCTGAGCTCCTTTGCGACCTAAGTTTCATTGAGTCAGCTGTGTCTTTTTGAAAAAATGAAAAAAAAAAAAATACTCAAGACGACTTACCAATGGTGCTCCGTGGCCGCCGAAGATGACGAACTTCACCGCGGGAAATTCTCGCTTCAGAAGAACAACCTGTGAGATATCATCCTGCTACCCGTCAACACCTACTCATTATTTCACCAGCCAAACCATATATCACGAACCTCGTTCACTGTATAGACGACTACAGAGAGATACCCTTTGGTGGCGCGCAAGTACACGCTACCTAGCTTCTGGTCTGCATTTTGACCTTCAAGAAGGATTTGACGCAATCTTTCGACGCCGGAGGACACGGTCGGCGTATCATCACCTAAGGTCTAATCAGCGGCGGAAAAGAATTGATGAACGGGCGAGTAACTGACCTTTGGCTTCTTGGCCAATAGCAAAGTGAAGTGCTACTTCATCCTTCCAGATCCCCCCTCCCAGAACATTGGCATTCTCACTTGTTCGCAAGCCGACACTTACTCCCTGCAGAACGCCACCTCCAAAGATCGGGGCCGTGATTGCCTTCGTGACACCGCCGATCCTCGCCCTGCCGAAGCCTCTCCCACCGAAATGGACACCATACTTTGCAAAATGCAAGTGCTTTTGCTCATCCAACGCGTTGGCCTTCTGCCCCGGAGATCCGTCACCTGTCGCTGGTTCAGAGGCAATGTCGAGGATGCCGATGGTGTTGCCGAACGCGACCAGACCGGGTGTTATGTACCCGTTGGCAAGTTCAATCACGTGGAAATTGTCATGACCAAGGGCCGATAAGCACTTTGACTTGGCATCTAGACATGTTATCTGACCGTTGGAAACCGTCAGGGCGATTTCATCTCCCCCATTGACGGCTGAGCCAATCCTGAAGGCCACTTTCTCCAATAAAGAGCTCTTGATACCGGTGAAGAAGATGTTTGCTCCGGGTACCGAAGCATTGTCACAAACAACTCGCTTCTTCTCCTGCAAGACATACGGACGAGGCTTTGGCGAGGAAATATCAGAAGGCAAATCTTGTGCTTCCAAGGACTGAAGCGAGCCGTTGGTATCGAGAACCCCCCTGCCGTCGACAAATACCTGAACGGTAGTAGCGCCAACCGAAAGGGGATGAGAATCCCAGATCACCAAGTCAGCATCATATCCAGGTCGGACGAAACCAATGCGGTGACCTTGATAGATAGATTGTGCAGGGACCGACGTGACGGACTGTAGCGCCTTGTCTTTTGATAAGCCAAATGAGTGAGAGATCGCGGCTTGGTACATGAGATATTTGGCGTGATTGCTTTCACCGGTATGATCCTATAATAACACACATTAACTCGATACTCGAAGCTTACAGGGAAAATTTGACTGTTGTAGAGGCTTACCGACTTCAAAACAACGCGAATTCCATGATCATCGAGGATCTTGGGGCCCCGGAGATTGGCTCCGTAAGCTTCGTGCTTAAACAACGAGTTTTCGGCGAAAGTGGCAATCGTAATGTTCCTGATAGATGTAAGTACATATCATATTCACCGAGAAGAACGCATGTGAATGGGTTCGCATACTCTTCCTGCTGCTTGAGAAATTCGGGGACTTGCCAAGCTTCGAGGGCATGATGGAAAGCCTGTGGGTGAACCCCAAACTCGTGTAGCACATCCAACATGCGCTCAAAGTCTTCAGGTTCATAACAGTGAATGTTGACGTTGAACTCGCCCCTGAGCAACGCTACCGTCGCCTCCAGCTCCAAGTCTTCCGGCCGCTGACCTTCCTCGTCCACGAACCGGGACACCCGCCTTCCCTTGAGCAGACTGCCCGATTGAAGGCTTTCGGCGCTTTGACACCAAGCTTCCTGCTTGTCCTTGAGCTTCTGGGCCTTCTCCAAATGTTGTCTCAAGAGCCAAACATTGCCGAGTCGGGTATGCCCATACAGATGTTTCGGGTTTTCGCCGCAGGCCATCTTGAGATACCGCTGACGATCCTTCTCAAGGATTCCATGCTCGAGCAGCAGTTCTTCGACGACTGGTTCCCCATTTTCTCCAGGGAGCGGCAAATTCTTCACCAAGTACCCTTGACCACCGATGATGTTGCCGGAGCCTGGCAAATTCAAAGAGGACGTGACGCCACCCGACGCGATGATCTTGATCGCAGGATCATATGGCTTGAAGCCGTCGATTGCCCGGACAAAAGGAGTGATGGGACCAAGGCCGGGCTTCTCGTTCACGTCGGCGATCGCTGAGACCGAGGAGAAGGGGAGTTCCAGATGATGAGAATGAATATCGACAAGTCCCGGTGTGACAAATCTTCCCTTGATATCGTACACAACTGTATCGCTAGGGAACGCTATTTCATCCTGGGTTCTCGACACCGACTTGATCACTCCCTGCCCAAAAAGAATATCAACGGTCGCCGCAAGAACTTTCTCCCCATCGAAGAGGGTTGCGTTACGGAATCCGATGGCGTGTTGCTGTCCCACTTTCGAGTTCCAGCGTGGATTTGACCGATTCGCAGAGGGCGACTCTCGACTCAAGCGTCGCAACCTATTCTGAGTATTCTCGCCGCATTTGCTCAAGCCTCTGGCAAATTGCTCTGATTGGTTGAACGATGGCCTGTCGACAGCATTGCCGTAATGAGATAAGAATAGGACAAAAGCGACAAGTCCTACGAGAGTGATCAGACGGCCTCTTCGTCTCCGAAGCAGAAAGCGCCGAGTCGGTGGTTGAGGCTGATACGGAGGGGGGCTCGGGTCGAATAACTCCTCATTATTTGCACCCATCGCGACTTAGCCCTTTGATGATGAGAAGGGTGTTTCTGCTCGATCACACGAATGAATAGGTCTAGAACGATTTGTTTTTGATCAAATTGAGCAATACAGACACTTAGACTCTTTGTGTGAACGTCTCTTTCGACAGCCTGACTGATTGCGATCGGAGCAGCTTGTCCTGACCTCGGGATGGTTGGGGTTAAGGCTTGGCAGCTCTGTATTCCCAGAGGCGTCAACGTGGAGTTAAAGCACGTCAGCTGAAGCAGGCCCACTTTGATGCTTTGCTTGCATGATTCGAGTGACCCTATCCCGCTCGTGGAAATTGAGATGACTATCTTTTGGATGGCGGACTCGAGATGCAGTGATTGGGGTCTGTTCATCTTCGACCACATGAAGCTCCAGGTGTAGGGGTTTTGGATTTCGCCAAACTTTTCCATGGAAGCGGCAAGTTGTGAACGGGGAAACTTCTCAGCTCTGGGAAACCAACGAGCTACCAGTAATTATATTCTAATTTCGATCAGCGACTATTCAAGTCAACGCTTCCCATAGTAATATGACAAGGTTGTGACAACTACAATTGATGCCAAAGCCAAAGGTGCACTTGGCGAGCTGAAATTCGTTACAAACACTGAATACTTGCACCTGACAGCTTGTTTCTTACGAAGCCCTGAGAATGCTATTCTCGACTTTCTCTTCAGCTTCGGCCTTTGCCCGACTTTCACTGTCGTGCAGTCGGCCTGGCTCCGATAATCAACTGCAGGTAACGCCACATCTACCCATCTCTGTATCAAAAAGGAGGTTGATATCTGCAGGCAGCCCGGACGCTTGCCCAACTACGTCTTGTGGTCGCCTTTGCCGCAGCCCCCATTCTTGGCTCCAATGACGCCACGAGATGCCCAACCACTTCCCGCTGGCCTTTTCCCTGCCGAATCCCGGTAGTCTGGTGTGAAACGGGAGTTTAAAGCGGGAAGACAGAACCAATTAAGCTTACCGGTGCGTAAAGGACATGGCTACACCGGAGCCGATGATAACAGCCGATGACAGGACAGAGAGGGAAGCCGAAAGCGAGCATCTCGCAGAATCCCTAATCCTTCTACGATATGGTGCAAGACTGTAATCGCGGATTCGATTGGGCAGGGATCTCAATACTAGATGACATTTGGGTCATCTCCTCCGACCCATCTCTTTCTCTGTATGCAAGCTGTTTGGGAATCCCTAGCCGGCCGCGTTCCTAGACTCTTCTTCTAGCAATGAGATCCGGAGGGTGTTGAACAACCCCGCTACCCTAGGCCAACAGTGGGACTATCGGTATTCCAAAAATACTCTTTCGGTGTTTGCAAGACACCCACGCAACGCAAGGAGCCCTGACATTGACGCCACCCGTTATTGGCCTTGGCGACCTTCTTATGACACACGGTTCACGCATTTCAAGGTTGAACTCTGCGGCGGGAAGACGATAAAGACAAGCTGCCCTGATCTCTTCGGTTCCGCTATGCCACCAGTTGTTTTCCTCAAGCGACCCATCTACCCTCAACATCAAGACTTGCGGATATACCACAAGTCGTCCGCTCCTCTTGCAAATCAGTATGGTTTCAATCAACGAGAAGACAGGAGACACTATCGATGCTGTCACACCAGTCAGCGAAGCCCCTCAGGTTAGACCTCGTTTGACAGACCATACCGATTACTCAACCTGACACCCTCACAGAGAGATAGTTTTGATGAGAAAGTTTCCATCGACGAAGTAGCGAGGTATTGACTTCACGGTGCTTTTTGACCCGATTTGCTCGGGGAGCTGACAACGGCCAGACAACTCAACGCAACCCCCGAAGAGGTCCTCGAGGCTAGAGAACTTTCCCGCGCACTCTCCCTCGAGGAAGTCAAAGAAGTATGTCATCTTTTCGTACTGCTGCTTCACGCCAAGAATATTTAACAAATCTCTCAAAGTCTGCCGAGAGGCTGGTAAATCAACATGGCCTTGACCCCAACTTCCCAGCGGGAGCCCTGGAGCGCCTGAAAGAGTTTCTCGCCAATGATGACGCTTTTACCAATCCGGACTCGCACAGCCGCGAGATCTCCGAAGCAAAGATTGAGGTCGCTCTGTTGACGAACAACAGTCCCTATGCCGAGGTTCGCGCCGTGGTCGACCCCCATGATGATCCAAGTATGCCTGTGGCTACGATTCGCGCCTGGACTATCGGCCTCTTCTTTGTCGTCTTCATCGCCTTCATCAATCAGCTTTTTAGCGTGCGTCAGCCCTCAATCACTTTGCGGGCTGAAGTCGTCCAACTGCTCGCCTATCCAGTTGGCAAGGCTGCCGAGAAATGGCTTCCTGACATCGGTTTCACGTTGTTCGGGATTCGACACAGCCTCAATCCTGGACCATTCAATAAGAAAGAGCACATGCTCATCTCGATTATGGCTAGTGTGGGAAAGACTCTGCCGAGTTCGAAATACATTAGTGAGTTGTCCTCGCCTAGATACCAGCTGAGCTACCCATAGCTGAATGGCATCTTAGTCTTTACCCAGTGGATGGATCGTTACTTCGGCCAGAAGTACGCCAAGCCATTTAGCTACCAGATCTTGCTGGCTCTCTCGACCAATCTGATGGGCTTCGGACTGGCCGGTCTATGCAGAAGATTCTTGGTCTATCCATCTTTCTGCCTGTGGCCGGCATCTCTTGTCACTATCGCTCTGAATAGCTCTCTGCACAATGGTAAACCATTAACATAAGACAACATTTGAGATGGACTGAGTCGTTAACAACTCTTGCAGAGGCAAACCATCCAGTACCCGGCCCTTTCAAGAAAATCTACAACATGTCACGGTACCGCTTCTTCATGGCTGCCTTCGGTGCTATGTTCGTCTGGTTTTGGTTCCCCGACTACATTTTCGGCGCTCTATCCCTGTTCAACTGGATCGCCTGGATCGCTCCCAACAACTTCACCCTTGCCGCCATCACCGGCGTCAACAAGGGTCTCGGCTTCAACCCCATTCCCACCTTCGACTGGAACGTCGCCACCCATGTCGTGCAGCCTCTTGTGGTCCCTTTCCGCGTCACTCTCAATACTTTCATCGGCGTGTTTCTAGGTGGTATCACAATCATCGGTCTTTACTGGACCAATGCGTACAACACGGCCTATCTCCCCATCAACTCGAACCTGATGTACAATCACTTTGGTGGCTCGTATAATGTTTCAAAGATCTTGGATGGTCGGGGATGGCTTGACGAGGCTAAGTACCAGACATACTCTCCAGTGTATCTCGCCGCCAGCAGTATCACCATGTACTACTACTTCTTCGCCGTATATGCCGCGACGGTTTCCTACGCTATCCTCTACCATCGCCACGACATTGCACTTGGATTCCGGAGCTTGTGGTGCAGCTTCAGGAAAGAAGCGTCGAGTGACTTCAAAGATGTTCATACGAGGTTGATGTCCAACTACTCTGAAGGTGTGTCCATAGTAGCTCATGCGAGTGACAGAATAGTACCAATAATGATCTCAGTTCCCGAGTGGTGGTATCTTATTCTGAATTTGGCCGCCATTGCTTTTGGCGTTGCTGCTGTTGCTGCTTGGTCAACCGAGGTAAGTAAAACCGTAAGCAGTCAGTGATGACTGGAGTGACTGACATTTCCTAGACCAGCGTCGGTGTTGTATTCTTCGGCATTGCACTCGCCTTAGTTTTCGTCATTCCAACTGGCATCATCTTTGCAACTACCGGTATGGAAGTCGAATTCAAGTAAGTAACACATTGAGGTCATCTGTAGCAAAGTGCGTCCGGTTGACACTGAACAGCGTTCTTGCCGAATTCATTGGAGGTGCCTGGGAACCTGGCAATGCTCTAGCTATGAACTTCTTCAAATGCTTCGGGTGAGTGGAATATCCGTGCTTTTTCTTGGCTTGATCTTAAGTCACTTACTAGACTTCCAGCTATGTCACTACGGCTCATGCTCTTGACTTTGCTAATGACTTGAAGCTTGCACATTACCTCAAGATCCCCCAGAGGCACACATTCGCCGCCCAAGTTGTTGCCGTATTTGTCTCGGCGTTTGTCTGCACTGGCGTCATGAACTTCCAGATTAGCAACATCCCCGACCTTTGCTCAACGTCAGTATAACCTACAATCTTGCTTCAGCTACGTTTCTACGACTAACATGAATGTCTAATTTCAGCAACCAAAAGGATCGTTTTACCTGCCCAGGTGTAAACACGTATTTTACCGCTGCCGTCCTGTTCGGTAGCTTGGGCGCAAAAAAGGTCTTTGGCTCTGGTGGTATCTACACAGCCCTCCTCTCGGCTTTCCCGGTCGGATTTGCACTTCCGTTCATCTTCTACTATTTCCAGCGAAAGTTCCCCCGTACCCACTGGTTCGCCAAGATCCACCCAGTGATGATTCTCAGCGGCGGCATCAGCTGGTCTCCTGTAAGCTCGATCTAGGACTCTGTCTCGTACTGACCTCAGTGGCTAACATCAAATCTAGTACAATATTGCTTACATGTGGCCGGCCGTCCTACCGGGTTGGTTGAGCATGGTGTATCTCCGCCAACGCTACCTTGCGTTCTGGTCCAAGTACAACTATGTCTTGTCGGCGGCTTTCTCGACAGCCATTGCTATTGCTGGCGTCATCATCTTCTTCGCCGTGAGCTATCACGGGTTTGAAATCAACTGGTGGGGCAACGACTCGGAGAGCGGATGCGAATCTACTGCTTGCACGCTGCTCAAGCTGCCCAAGGGCGAGTACTTTGGCCCACGTGTCGGGACTTACGCCCGTTAAAATAATCAAATTAAATTTATTTTCGGATATGATAATGCAAGATGTAACGTAACGTAAGGAGCAAACTTTTGACGGGCATCTGCATCAGCATCATGTGTACCAGATTACGGTGATACAGCATATCATCGACATACGAGTAATGCGCTCGAAACTTGAAAGCTTGAGAGAATCGCATCGTCCCATTCACATTGTCAAAGCTTTTCGTTCTTCAAGGGAGATACATGAACGACAAAGTGACAGCATCCTTCAACAATACGAGACCTGCCATATACGAGGCCCATGCGGCTTGCAGGCGGTGAGGCGTCGAAGCCTCAACAACAATTACGCTATGACTCGGTCAGCTCACCGAAAGCTCAGCCCTCTGGCGAGATTACACTTTGACCCTGGCCATTGACCACACCGGGGGAGGATGAAACTCTATTTGTCACCGCCAATCAGCACTGGTGAACGGCAACCGGCTACTAGTTTCTTGTAAAGTTAGTTTGGGCCGTGGCATACCTCCTTTGACGTCAGCCCCCTCTTCTCCTCGATTCACAATACCTCGGGGTCGACTCGAACGGGTCTGGCCAAGGTGTTGTTTAGCTCCACCCTCCCCATACTGCCGGCAGAAAAGCAGCAGCAGCAGTTCGCATTCGATAATCTGCACCGCGCGCCATTGCCGCGCCCCCAGAGTCCCCTTTATAAGAGCCGGGCCTGTCCGGCGGACTGTAAAGTCTTGTTACAGTTCGTTGCCATGAGTGGCTGTTCTCCACCCGGTACCTCCGGATCCAAGTCTCGGCCATCCGCCCCAGCCAAAAGGAGCTGCGCACCTTGCAGGTATGTCCGAACATCCCGTCACGATACCACATGTACATAGGATGATGTAGAGGGCCTCGGACTGACCTGATCTTCAGGGCCCGGAGAGCCAAGTGTGACGAGGCAAGACCAGCTTGTCGACGGTGCAGCATCACAGGCAAGGTCTGCGATGGCTACGGCGGTGAAGGCGGCGGCGGCTCAGCGGCCCGCAGACCCTCTCTACTACTCATGCAAACCTCATCCCCGCCGCGATGTGACACGCATGCCGGCTTAGCGGGGCTGAGCTCGACAGGCAGACTTCACTTCGAATGGTTCGTGAACCGGACTATGAGCCAGCTGCCCGGCGTCTTCAACTCGCCATTCTGGAAGACCATGGTGCTTCAATCCAGCTCAACGGAGCCCGCTATACTCTATGCAATCCTCGCCTTGAGCGCCGCTCATGAGACCGCAAGTACAGAGACGTGCATAATCAAACGGGAGCCATCAAGCTCGCCACCTACAGATTCCCAGGAACACCTCAGCTTGCAATACTACAATAAGTCTATCTACTACTTACAAAAGCACCTCCGCATACCAAGCACAGAATCAATTCGCATCGTCCTAGTTGTCTGCACGGTGTACGTATGCTTGGAGTTCATGGAGAGGCGATACAAGAGGGGATTCGTTCACTTCAAACATAGCCTCCACCTTCTGGAAAGCTTGCTGAAATCAGCTGCTCCGTCATCCTCGGGCGATCCAGTGGACGAGTGGTTCGTCGACGTTATACCCCGACTTGATATCCAAGCAACGCTTCTCACAAACGAGTTCTACCAAGGGTCCGGTACGAAGCATAGTTCTATATGGCCACCACTCCCTCAGCTCTTCCAGTCAATCCGGGACGCCAGCCAGAGTCTCGACGGCCTCTTGGTGAGAGCATACCAGCTCCAGAAAGACGGTGCCGCGACTGGGCCTGCAGAGGATGCAGCCGATATCTTTGAGCTGCTCGCTACACAACAGACTCTTAGGAATGATCTTGAATCGTGGATACAAGCTTTTGATGTGTTCAAAGCAAGAACGTGGAACTTTGTAACAGATCGCGAGAGGATCGCCTACGGGCCGCTACCGATTTACCACACCATGGCATACGTCATCACCAACACTTCTCTCAACCCTGGTAACGAACTCATCTTTGACCTGTACACGAGTCACTTTGCGTCAGTCGTGAGCTCGGCGAGATCAACTCTCGACGCAGCGTCATCTACATCTTTACCGACCCCTGCTGCTGATTCGTCGCCGGAGGATTGTAAGCATCAAACCGAGCACGCCTTCGAAACCGGTCTTGTCCCGCCTTTATTCTTCACGGCCGTCAAGTGTCGGGTACCCAGGATCAGACGACAGTCGTTGGAACTTCTCCTGGCTTCTCAACGGCAAGAAGGCATCTGGGATGCCGTATTATCAGCGCGCATAGCAAAAGAGGTGATGATCCTCGAAGAACGGGGCCTTTACGAAGGGGACATTGATGAGAAAAGGGAGTCCCCGGATTTTGTCATCCCAATCTTGCCAGGGCCACCAAGGATACACAAGCTTTGGATCGAGTTGCCTGAAGAACCACCTGGAGACATCCTTCTCAGTATCCAAAGGATCTTGCCTGGTGGCAAGCGGGAGACGCTTGCAAGAAAATTTCACGCGGAAAACGGCTTTTGGACTTCGATTCCTCTAACATTACGTGTCGCCAAGGCCACCGAATTGGCGAAGTAAAGAAGGCTCTGCTCCAAATAGCTTGGAGAGAGGAGAGTTGCGGATACCCTTTGTACTATCATGACTCAATGCAATCAGCGCCTCGTTCGAGGAGCCGAGTACACTCAGCGCGTGTCTGAAAGTAATCTTAGGCTGTCGCCTCTGACCCCTGCCTGGCCTTGATTGGAGGACATCTCGTATCTGACGTCCATGCTGGTGGCATGGATTTCATACAAGCCATGCCCTTCTGCCGGCAATTCCGGCTGCCATTGGGTAGACAAAGCATACTGATACCCTTGGCCCTGGCTCCCGTCACGGCTGGCTTTTATATCATTGTCAGCCAAGGTCGGAGCTCTCCTGGCCCGCTGTCGACGCCATAAAAGCCATGCGATCGCGCCGATGCCAAATACCGCGGCAAAGGTCACTCCAACGGCAATGCCTGCGGCTGCTCCCGCCGGTAATCCTTTGTCTTCTGATGTCGGCGGTGGCAGGGCTACGGTGGTGTTGCCTGGCTGGGGCGCTGCTGGGGCCTCGGTGATGTTGAAATAGTGACACGTCACGGCCCAATTTGCCGGTTCTTTGCCTGGACCGAGTTACTCAAAGAAGTAGATGTTGCTTAATTTCGGATTGTGAAAGTCTTTCGTGGAGACTTCCCAGTTCAGTGACTTTGCTGAGGTGCTCGCTAAGTTCAAGCACTCCACGTCAGTCATGGCAATTCTCCATAACATCCAGCTTCCTTGAAGTTTCGACCGTCTCTCTCCATTCAATCCGAATCATCGTGCAACTCACTTGCTATGTCAATGTAGTCCATCGACGCGCCGTCTACTGTTAACTGTTGCCATAGAATTAACCTGGCGGAGTCGTAATCCATGTCCCAGTGGAGGTCCAGGTTATCTCCTGTGGTGTAAACATTGTTGTCTCGGTAATCCGAGGCAAGACCTGGGCCAGGTGGCCGGCGGAAACGATTTACGGCTTCGACGAACGCTGCAAAAAGTGAACAGAGGAAGAAAACCAGGCTAGGAAGCGCCATGGTTGAGAATCATGCCATAATCGCTTGCCAAAAATGACTATTGTGATGTGGTGACACCGTCCACAATCTGCCTAGAGAATGGGGACCAACGAATCGATCTAGAATAACGGAAGGGGGAGACATTTGGGGCCTGGCAGCATTTATCGAAACTATACATGAAAGAGTCGCGGCGAATGTTCGACCCTGGAGCGCGAGAGTAAGCGCTAACTAATTATGTACGACTAGGCGGCTATAATCACTCGAAGGATCTGCCCCCAAGCAATCATGCCATATTATCGAGCCCTGCAGCCAAAAAGTGAGGCAGCAGCTTGCGTTCTCCCGAATTAGTTGAGTTGCAGCCGCTCAATTGATCTTCCTTGATTGGACGGCAAGCGATCAGGTAAAGTAGAATTGACATTTGAATGCTTCCTTTCGGGAAGCCCCTCCAATTTGTTGATGTCCTTCTCCAAGTATCAGTCGTTTTCCTTTTGATGTAACGGTAAGCTCAGATCTCCACATCACCAGGTAAGGTTTTTGACCAAGCTTAATTGCTTATCTTCACTATATGCCATTCCCTGTGGAGGCCGTTGAAGGTTCTGAAGGCATTGGAACAGAGAATTTGCTGTCTCTTTCTGCAACGCCAGTTGTGATGATGAATCAGGCTGCTCAGTTCATTCGATCTCGCTAAGACTGCGCCCCTCTTGGCCCCCACTGAGCCTCGACCAGATCATTCGAAAACTTGGAGGTATTCCCTTGAAATGTTTCTGCCTGGCGCTGAAAGTTGAATCCATTTTGTGAGCATGTTTGCTGTTGTTCGAGACACCCCAGATTGAAACCAATGCATTCATGGCTTACACAGCTCGACACCCAGGAAGTGCTTGACCATTCTGCCATCGGGCTGTAAGCACATATGCAAGAGATTCACTGAATTACAAGAAAATATTTACAGTCTAGAACTTGTTGTAGCGAGAGTCAATTCTGTTCGTAGTGTCGTATGGCTGTGTCTTTCAACAGAAACAGCAAGTATGCAGGCTTTGAAACAATGACCGATTATAGTCTGGCGGAATTAGACCGTATTACAAGGTCATGTATATTCTCTTCAAAGTCCACAGAATGCCAATTTGTCAAGGACAAACAGGGAGTAGTCCGCTAGCCCGCCCGCTCAGCGCTGGTAAGGCATCAAGAATAAAGATTGGACTTCCTCATCAAATTGAAATGATTTCAACCGTCTGGTGTATAACATGGTCGATGCTTTGTTGAGGTCAACGTGGTTAGCGAGCTCTTTGATATCGTATAGCCCCAGCATTCTCCTTCATACTTTACTTAGCAATCTTCTACCGCTAGATATCCATTTTTCCTCTCCATAACTATAGAAGGTAATGTTTTCCTCAGTATCCAAGGTTTCCGTCCAGCAAGTGCCTGATGTAGAAGGGAACGTGTCAAGGCGGTGAAGTAAGTATTCACAATAATCGCCCCCACGTGACACCACTTATATACCGGGCCTTTCTTTGCCTCTTTTTTTCCTCAGCTGCCCCTTCCCATTTTTTGGGAACTACCTAGACCGCAGTTACCGAAGAAAGGTGGCTTGCTTGAGGGTCGTCCAAAGATCACCCAAAAAACGTGACTCGAGAAGAAGATTCTGTCCCTCTTTGACTCTCGCCTCTCTCACATCACCCATCTATCCCTCCCACACACAAACCTTTTCCTTTCACGATCTCATCACTTCCTCCAAACAACTCTTTGCTTTTTCAAAGGAAATTGCAGGCCCTTCGTCCATCATTCTTTTTCTTGAACCAAGCACCTACACAATCATCGGAATATATAAACTGAGTCTAAGAAGATCTCACCATGCTCATCTTGCGCATCGTCTTCAAGGCAGTCCTCGCCTTGGGCATCTTTGCCCTGGCCAGTTCTGCCATGTCAGAGAGCGTTCCCCTCGATTCTGAGTCCACAGCTATTACCAAGCACGCCCTTGCCGGCACTAGCGAAGCCTTCTCGACCCTCACCACCGATACCGGCCTCTCTGCCCATGCTGCTGATATCCCTCCTCATGACTGCGAGGATATTCTCAAGCGCAGCATTACTCCCCAGATCGACTGCTCCTATTCCGATGAGGACTGTGCCTTTCAAGATGACATTGAGTACATTATTCGCATCAAGCCCATTGGCAAGACCAGCTCCCATTGGTGCGGCATGATGCTTGAGCAGGTTGCAAAGGAGACCAGGTACCCCAAGGAGGGCATCTTGATGAAGAAGTGCGACCGCACCTACGAGGCCAACGAGAATGGTCATGGCATGTGGCTTGTCCTCAATCTTCCCCACATACACTCCGTCGGCGACTGGCGCCTCGACGTTGAGCGGGCCATCAGGAACAACATGTGCCCTGATGGTCCCGAGATGAACTACTGGGTCAACGAGCGGTACGTTTCTCATTGCTTTTTGGGTTTAATTATCCATTCCGTTCGCCTTGCTGACTTGATTTCCTCACTAGCTGCTACCGTTCTAGCATCTGCAGCAAGCGCACTTGGAGTGAGTCGAAGCGCCGAGACCTTCCTGAGGTCTTCAAGCTGATGTCTAAGTCGATATCCTACCCTAAGCGTCACATCATTCCAGACTTTCGCCCAGAGATCAACAAGTCTGCTACCACTGCCGTCCTCGCCGCTAAGCACACCGCAACCCTCGCGCTCAAGGAGACGCCCAAGACCATCATCAACCCCATCGCGAAAATGATTAGCAAAGACCTGCTTCTGAATGACACTTCCACCGGCCTCAAGGCTTCCCGTCACTGCCCTTCCAGCGGCGAGCTTGGCAACAGCTGCGACAAGATCGACCGTGAGACCACAAAGACCATGGGCGTCCACTGCTCTTACGAGGCTTCGTCGGGCAAGATGCACAACGTTCTGAATTACAAGATTGCCGTGCCCGCCACCGGTCAGGATCTGACTTGCTGGTGTCGACAGGTTGTCGCTGCTATCCGCGAGCGCTGCCCCCTTGGAGAGCACGACTGGGCCTACCCCATCAACCAATGCGACAATAAACACGTCTACAACGAGCATGGCTGGGGCGCTTCCGTCAGCTTCTACAACAACGTCTGGGTTGCTGGCGAGGACAACCGCGCTTGCGTTGAAGAGGCCATCAAGGCTACCACATGCGGTCTCGAAGTCTACTTCGACATGGATGGATGCCGCGAGATAGTCTAGTTGAGTCGATTAAGTATGTTCACCATGAGCTGCCTGCGGCATTCGGATGCAGGAAGCAGATATGGGTTCTCTCGACTGCGAGTTTTAGTCCACGCTTCATTGTGGAGTATTCGGGGATGCGGATTCGGGAAGTAAAAAAGAGACTTTGCAGCCGCAACTCCAGGTAGATAGGACTTGAACAAGCTGCCAGCACAAGATTTCTATTGACTATCCTGACATCGATTTCATGCTGGGGTTGTGATCAACACTGGGTTTCTGTAAACTAGGCTTCTGCAACCTTTAGCCCTGTTGGGAAAACGAAACCTACCGATTGCTGTTCTCAAGCAGAGGGAAACAAACAATGAATCAATAGGTAGTTGTCGAGCCAGTCCTCAATCGCCCTTTCCCGCGGCTTCTTTTTCGGGAGCACGCCTTGGAACACTAGATGATAGTCCGCCTCCTCAACATTACCGGCTGCTCTCAATTGACTAACCCCAAGTGTTTGGTCTGTTGGTGACCAAAATTCTGGAGTGAGGTCTGTGTCTGGCAGATCTTTGCGAGCTCCATTTCAACTCGAACACTCAACTCCCACCGCCCCGTCTTTTTTTGCCAAATATACACAGCATTAGAAAGTTTTTTCTATATTGGGCAGGTCAATGCTATCAGTTCAGGCCTTGATCAGAGAGAGACACCGCGACGCTTATACCACTTCACAAGTCTCACACACGACACTCATCACACCTTTCCTTCATGGAATGTGAAGTCTTTGGAAGAACTACGTCAAAGCAAATGAATATCAAATAACTATGACGAAAAAAATGATATCTGTTGAATAGGAGATCAATTCCCTAGGAACGCTCACAGCCCCCCAACCCCTCGAAATGCAAAACAGCCCTTTGCTTCCCACCCATCTTCCCTCCTCCGTATGTCGGCGAAAAAGTGACTCTGTCTTGCGAGAAATCCCGCAATCTTTGCCAGCGGATTCCAGCCCGGTCGGTAAAAGAGAAGATGTTCATGCGCCTCACAAGAAGCAACCAACCCCCCCACCCTTAAGAAAGGGAAAGGACTCAAGTCAAGAGACCTTACACCATCAAAGCCTTCTCCGATTTACTTCTCCCCGGCAGAAAACGGCGCCAAAGGGGGCACGCTCTCCTGGGCCTTCTGCCTCGACGTCAGGTCGCCCCCCCTCTTCTCGCCTGTACTCGTTTTCGAAAACCGCGCCTCGATCAGCACCTCACGCTTCCTCGTATCGATACCAAACGGCTTCAGGGGAGATGAGGGAGCGCGTCTGGCGACAGCAGCCATGGCTTCCTCGTGCGCGAGACCGGAGTGGAAGCGGATGGGCGAGCGCTTGATTTGCCGTACGACGGGTTTCCCGGCCTCTTCACGCTTGATGAAGCCCACGACGCCGCCGATTGCGTCAGAGGCGCGGGCTTGGAGGCTTGCGATGGGGCTGGGGTTACTTGTCAGGTGGAAGAGATCTAGTTGAGAGCGGTGGACTTCTCTTACCCAGATTCAATGGGCACGGCACCGACGCCAGCAACCGCGGCTGCGACGATAGCAACAGCAGAGAACTTCATCTTTTCTTTCCAAGAATTCCAACGCTTCGTATCTTTGTGTTTGTGTGGTTTTCGTAGTAGAGATCTAGTTGTAACTCGTCCCTGCCGTAGTGAAATGCGTGTTCGAGCCGGCGATAAGTATGGTTTGAATGAAATGATCAATGCTTGGTTTATTTGATCGTTGAATATGGAAGAAATGTATGATAAGTTGTCAAGTCAAAGTCATCATCTGAATTCAGATACAGCAATCAAGACAAAGTAAATAAGACCGGACGGCCGTTACTCTTTTATCTATCTCTTCTCAACCATGCGTCCGGTTCCGATCCACCCTCCACCGCCTCCTTTCCCCATACTACCCTCTCGTCTCTCCCTCCACAAGATCCAGACATCCCAGCGATGGCGTGAGCTGACAGGCAGCTTACACCCCAGTGCGTCAACACCGGCCGCTCGGCTGCCTCGCGGCCCTGCCTCGCATCACAACGTGGCGCGCCCGCTCGCAGAGTCCCACCTTTTGGTCCCCCCTGTCTGGTATCACACTCACATCGCGTCTTGCCTGGCTCTACCTCTCACCACCACAGTGGACCTTTGTAAGACAAAGACACAGAGTCCGGGGATGATGGTTGTTGGACTTGTACGCAATAAGCTGCGGATATCTAACTTCCATAAGCGTGTTTCCAAAGTTTCAGCCCGCGACAATCCACACGAACCACGGGCCAGCCTCCGGTACTGACGGCGGGGACTTCCTCTCAGTTTTCTCTGCAAGTCGGTATGTTTATTACTCCGCCTGTCCATATATTCCCCCGCCCCAAAAAGAGCAAGCATTTGGCTAAAACATTAGTTGACGCCGATAGTCATCGGAACCAACCCGAACTCCCGCTTCCACACCCAGGACGTCGACCGCCCGCCTTAAACCTGGGCAGACTTTCAGGTTGCTCCCGTTCGAACTTCACTCCCCAAGTTTGCCGAATACCACGCACGCGAATAACCGTCCTCTTTCTCAGCTGATGTCGTCTCGTCTCATCTCACCTCGTCTGTCCTCACAGCCCAATCAACTCACAGACGTATAACAAGGTCAAGCCATTCAGTTGGACTGAACATCATCCCACCATTCGGTCATTCCGACTCGAGATTCGACGACCTTCAGCTGCTGCCCGAGACGCTGGGTGTCGTTCAGAATCACCCGCAGTACGACAGTATCCAAACCAGCACCCAGCCACCTTTCTACTCGACCTCATTCAGGCTTTCTCCCTCCTGTTCACTTCACCTGTTCACTTCACGATGCGCAGACCAGTGAGTTGCGTTTCTTGGCAGAGTCCTTATTGCGTATCCATGCACTGGGTCTCTACTTTCTGTTCCAAGATAGCAACATCGGACAATGTCATACCAAAAGGTGACGGCCACAGATTGATTGCTCCATCCCTCATCCGTCCGACCGCCCCATCTGAAGCGACGCCGTAATCCGGACCCCGGGCGTTGCGTGGTGTAGTCGTTTCTAATTTAGTCCATCTCTTTTTCCACAAATTTACACCAGGCTTCCCTCTTCTGCCTCAGTTATCCGAGGTGAACGAGAACATCGGGCCGTAGCAGATCAAGCCGTTTCTCCAAACTCTACCTTTCAGCCACCAACTGTGTCGCGAATAAATCTAAAACCGAACTCACTTCTTTGACAACCAAAACATCGAGACCTATTGCTCTCCGCGTCTGCGGGACTGGACTTCAGTCCGAACTCCCGCATCCGAGGTTACATATTCATCCCAAGAGTCAAGAAGACGCAGAAATTCCAAGCTGACTCATCACAAGACATACGAGAGTCTGCTTCTCAACTCTGGCTGCGCCTACTTCCACCTCCAACCGGGGGAACCGTGAGACCCAGACATCCCAGCCCTTGACCCCCCTCCTTGACCCCCCTCCAAATCCTTCCAGAATCTTCGCCGATTCGACTTGACGTGCCCAGCCAGCTCCCAACTCCCCAGAAACCCCTCTGCCAGCAACTTGTCCTATCTCGGCTATCTACAATCATGCGCTCATTAACTCGCAGTCAGCGGTCCTCTAGAGTCTCGATCAACATCTAATATCCGCGGCTTCGAGTTCGCGGGAGGCCGAGTTGTTGAGCATCACCTCCCTAGCCCTCCTTATTCATCTTGTGCGTCCGAATTCACCACATACGACCATACCCACTGGAGAACTCGGGATCCCGTCCGCTCTCCCATAGATAAGCCAGTGAGGGCCAGACCAGTAGTTGGGTCGGTGACGACCAGCGAATCCCTGGTGTTGTATGTCTTTTGACATTTTTCCTTCAATTCTTTTTAACATGCATGTTGTGTGTGGTAGTGGGTTGCAGTGGGTGACGATGGCTTCGTTTCTTGCCGTTCGGTATAGCATTGCGGGGAAACTCCCTCCCCCAACTGTCTCTCTCGAAAGCGCTCCCCCGCTCCCCGCTCCCCCTCCACAAACTACGCCATCTGGCATCAAGCCGAGTTCATCCTCAACTTAACCCGGGCTCGGCATCGAAACGGCGGCCACCCTCGAGTCCACGCGCAAATGGTATACCTCCCAACATCCCGGATCCCTGTCCCGGCCTCTCGATGCATTAGCGCATGTCAGCCGTCGATCATCAGTCTGCCTTCTCGGCAGATCCAGCAGCATGAACGGCGCGCCATTGTGGCTTCCCTAGGTCGTCTTCATCTAGAAAGCCTTTCCTCCGGCAAAAACAACAGCGGCCTCACCATCTTCGCATACCAGGCCCACCATGTTTGACCGAATCACATCGTGGGAACTGTGAGGGAGTTGGAACACTGTGGATAAGTCTATTCTTCATTCTTCATGAGCGATACGCCGCCAGATTGAACCTACCGACGCCAAGCAATGCGACGACGACCCACAAGGCCCAGAGACGCAAACGATACTACCTACAAGAACAGCAGTTTTTTGTCTGATATATATATATGTATAGAGAAGCTTCACCCCCGGTTCCTTGCGCCAACGTTACATTCCGAGGGTTCACGCATAGCGGACCTCGTTGAAAAGCGCCGCGCGCACCTGGACGAGGGCTGCGAGTTCAAACAGGAATGATTGTAGCAAAATGACATTGGTGATGACATGCGACACCGTAGCTTTGCGCTCTTCCTTTTCTGTGTCCCTCTTTGGCGTACTCGAATTGGCAGCCTCGCTGCTGGGTGTCTCCGGCACGGCATCCTGTTCTGGCTGCTCGCCCTCTTGCGCAATCTCTCCTTGTTCCTCTTCGCCCTCGTCGTCTTTCGGTGGTGGCATGTGTAGCGTGGGCTTCTTCTTTCCAAGATCCAGCGGGATAGCCTCAACCTTGCCGGGGATGCCGACCTTCCGCGCAAGAATGCTCTGATCTATAGCTGCAAACGCTGCGGCTTGGCTGGCCACTGGATCTCTGGGTGTATGTGACGAACCAATCTCATCCGTCGCGCCTCGGCCAGAGTTGTCGTAGCCACCTGGCGTATCTTTGGGCGGGGGAACAGGCCGAGACGTCGGCGTGGAGAACCCATAACCGCCTGACAAAACACCTGGTGCCGGACTACCCGTTCCGGAGCTTCGGCTGTTCTTCCTGCCCCGTGGGCTCCCGGTACGGCTGGGCGTGCTCAACTCCGACACCAAGCGCTGGGCAAACCGTTCAAGACCTGACGGGCGCACTGGTGATCCACTGCGGGTTGCGTCGTCTAGACTCGAACGTTCCGGGGTGTGCGTTGAACTGTGTCTCTGCGGTGTTGGCTTACGAGGTGGGAGCGGCGGTCCCGGCGGGCGCGGTTGGTCCGCAGTCTGGAACGCCTCTCTTCTACCTTGCAGTAGATCCTCAAAGCGGGGCACAGTCTCGCGATACTTGGCAACCTGGTTGCACAGCTGCTGGAGGACGACGAGTATGCGAGGTAGAGATGACTGTACCCATACTGGACGACGACGGCAGGCATCCAAAGACTCCAGGGTCTCTTGCTCCTCCGACGTCGTAGAATCTGGGTCTGTCGGGGGCCTAAACGACGTGGTCGATGCGTCGGGTGAGGTAGGGCTGGGGGGCTGCTCTTCGTAGGTGTATTTTTGAGGGCTCCGTAGCATCCATCCTTCGGGTGCCATGTAGCCGCAGATGGCCAAGTCCAAGATGGTCTCGGTGAGGGAGAGATTTGTGTCAACGGGGTTCACAAAAAACGTCTCGAGGAGATCCAGAACCGAGTTGAGTAATGGGTCGTCCGGGCGAAGCGTGTGCTCGTGCACATCGCATGGTGCCCCAGGCAGTGTATCAGGAACAGCGGGTAAGTCATGGTTGTTGGTGGATATCCTGGGTGCGACGAGCTTCAGAGAGCAGGGATGACTCTCCAGCCGGGACATGGTGTCCTTCAGGACGTCGTCATAGATTTCGTCAAAGTTGTCCTGCCCTCCGATGGAACCAGCCAAACTCATCAAATAGTCCACCTCTTGCTCGTGGGCTCCAATAGTCCGGTGCATTTTAGCTCCCAACACCGCTTCAATCCGGAGAAGCGTGCTGATGGCATACCGGTGATGCCTCCGCAGAATGGCTGAGACCAGCTGGAGCGTTACGCGAATCGTCTGCTGGTTGTGTGAGCGTAGACACGCTTGAGCAAGATCGACAAGGTTGAAGAGCAACGGAGTGGCTGTAATGTCGGATTTGGTTTGTGCAAGCATTGTCGCGAGATCCAGTGACTTGCGTTTGCGAGCCGCACTGATCGAGGCCCGAGAGCCTGACATGTCTTCGGAAACATGGTCAGGCAAGCCGAGCAGATAATGGAGGATTAGGTTGATCATGTCAGGGTGGTCGAGGGATTCGAGGATTCGGCGGAGATACGTCAAGACAGCAACGGACGAGCCTCCGTCGATATCGGATGACTCTAGTAAGGAGGGGTATCTGAATGGTTAGCATGTTGAGCGCGGATCTCGAGATGGGCTGTCTCACAAGAGCTGCTGTAGGAAAATGACCTGGAAATGCTCCAGGAGCGTCTGCTTCACCTCGACGGATTTGCAGTGGTCCAGCACGTCCTGCCAGAAGAGAAGGTGAGACAGAAAGGTCTCCAGGTGTAGTTGGAAGTCACCAGAGCATGAGCTGATGATCTCAAAGGTGGAGGTTGGATGTTGGTAGTCGGACAGAGCGAGGATAGGAGGCAGATCGTTGGTGGGATAGTCAATGACCAACTTGCGACTCAGCTGACTGTAGAGCGCACCCAGGCCGGTGGCCATGAGAGTGGAGAGGTCGCTTTCGACAATCCACTGTTCGAGGGACTCGTCGCTTGACGCAGACTCGATAATGTACAGCAGGCCTGTCCGGGCAAAGTCTCCCACCTTGCCCTCATGGTGGATGTAGTCCATAAGGATGTAAAACAGCGGGAAGTCCTGTCTCTGCGTTCGACCTGCAAATGCTTCGTGCCCGTCCTGGGGCCTGTCCTTGGGATTGCCAATCCCATCGTGATGACTCTTGAACCAGGCATGCAGGATGTCCCGGTTGAGGCGGATCTTGGTGGTGATGTTAAAAGCCAACTCGACGACCTTGGCCTCGGTATCGGACCCCAACCGCACACTGTTGACGCCGGTGATGCGCACCAGGAGATTCGTCAAGCTTGCGGAGAAATTTGTGTTTTCAACGAATGCCTCCTCTTCCGTCTCGAGCAGAGTTGCGAAGAAGAGCACAGCTTCTTTGATGATCCACTCATTGTAGGAGGTGGTGGCTATCTTGCCGATGGGTACGTAGACTTGTTTCTTGGCGGCATATTGGATGCATGGGTGAGGCAAAGGTCGTCGGGACTCGTCGTTGAGGATGTTTGTGAGTTCTTGGAGGCGGATCTCGAGGTTTTCGGCGGCATCAATGTCGTTGGCGAGGTTTGACGAGGATCTCCAGATTTGCTGTCACGTGTTAAGACCAGGGCAGCGTGGGCGGCGCAGCGCAGGGGAAGCTTCTCACGAGAACACGGTTGTACTCCTTGTCGAAGCGATGCAAACGTTTCGTAGGGTTCTTTGCTTCTTCTTTGCGATGGGACGCGGGGGACAGCGACGTGCCGGCTAGGAGGCGCGACCACTGGGAGGAGAGACTTGGTCAGGAACAGAGTTTCTTGGTGCCCAAGCCCCGGGGGGGCGCTTGGGGGGGAAGAGCGAGAGGAGGGCGAGGTGAGAGCGAGGGGAGGGTTTCTGGCTTAGCTCACAAAGTCCATGGTGTTGTCCCTGAAGGCATCTCCAGCAGGGTGGGAGACGGGATTATTTGCGCATTAAGCTCGGCAAGGGCAGTCGACTTGCAGACGGAGAAGGCTATTGACAGCAATGAGCGAGAGGAGACCAGGTGGGTGGTTTAGGGGGAGGATTGGCGAGAAATGAAGACGGAGCTTCGGTCCAATGCATAAACTGTCAAGTGTCAGGCGTCGCGAAATGTCATTCCGAGACTTGACCGCGTCCGCTGGGCCGCTGGCTGAGGTGCTGGTGGGGAGAACGGTACGTACCCTTTCATGCAGGTTGCAGCCTGCGGCCTGCAGCTTGCCCACGTTGCACAACCCGGGCTGGTGCACGGACTCTAGGGGACTCGATGTGGCGTATCTTAGGTAAGGTGGACAGCGGACCGTCGGCTTATCTAATGACACAAGTGGTTAGTGGCTTGTGGTACGTGGCTAGTGATGAGTGGCTGGTGGTGGGATGCACCTACTCTGTACCTTTCCATCTCCATTCTGCCTCAGGTTACGTAAACAACAACCATGTTGCGAGATGCATCGCAAAGCTCGATACGGAGTAATACACTGGCCTAGAATCAATTCAATTGTTCCACTTCGAACGCCATCCTGAAGACGAGGAAGCAAGGCTCACATGGACCTTCAAATCAATGACTCTATCTAGCACACACTCTCGCGATCCCCCGGTTCGGATTCTAGCTTCCCCGACATGGGCAGCCTTCTCCCCAAACTTGCTGCAGCATGATTCTGACTCATGTTTCTTGGCAAAATTATATGATACTTTGATGGCAATGCCCACTGGTATCAAGATTGACCATGGCAACGTTTGCCTGGGCACGCGCGGAGAATCGCGTCAACGGCGGCCATCGATTCGTCAAAGCGGCATTCACACCTCGTTGTCATTGTCCTGGAAGGGGTATTGAAGATATTCTACCTGAATAGTGCGAACACAAGTAGTATGTGAAGAAAATCGATTTTTGTTTCTTTCTTGAGTTGTCCAACTCTGAAGTAAAGCATGTAAAGACTGCCGCAATGTCCCTTCCCCATCGCGTTAACCGCCACCGTCATGTGTTATCAAGGAGTGGAGACCAGTTGGTGGTTGAACAGTTGCAAGTGAGGACTGAGAGCAACGGTGGCGATGGTGGTAAGTCGTCGTTGTCTACACTTTCCGTGCTGTTAATCCAGTGTTCTCCTGTGTTCAACATGAAAGGTTAAGCAAACTTTAATGAGAAAGATGAAGGAGGTGAGGAGATTGAGGCTATGGCAGCAGTTAGAACATGGACAGATCTTGGTCAAGGTAAACACGGCAGAAGAAGAAGGCGTAAAGGGGAAAATCTATTGGCAGCCCTACGAAGGAGGCCGACCACAGTATGTCGTGTTTCCTGGCCAGAACAGGCAGAGACGTCAAAAGATGACTGCAAAATCTCATGGAAAATCCAACTTATCCTCAATCTTTCTGTGAATTTGTATCTAAGGATAGGCTGGATAGCGGATGTTCCTCATGAAAACTTTTCGCCCTTCCCTCCTTCTCTCCACTGTTTCCTTCGTCCTGAACACAGTTCGGCGCTTTGGAGAATCTGTAGATCAACCCCTTTTTCGACAGAATGAATCTCGAAGCCAAGAATTTGGGAGATGGAAATCTTTGACATGGGAACTCTAAGAATGGCCATTCCGGACACGGGAGACTCGAAGCAGGTGCCGTTTCACTGAAGTTGACCCAGATGTTCCCCAGTCTCTCAAACGGGTATATTTGGAGATAGCGTCGGAGACAAAGTACCGAAACTCCTTTGCTTTGCAGACTTTTCCGGTTCTCTTCCCGTTCTTCGTCAGATCGAGTCCACAGACAAGACAATGGGGAGAGAAACTCGGCGAATTGTTCGAGGGAGAGTGAATAGGGCTTACGCCCCAAGCGAAATCACTTCAGCTCTTTGAGACGTAGAATCATGATGGTAGCCGAAAGTCTTCGTTTCCTCGTGTATTCCTCGCCACAGAGCAATTCGCTCGAATACAGTCCGATATGACCAAAAGCAGACGTGAAATAGACTCCTGTTGATTCTCACACTGTCCGTCAGCCACCATAAGTGCCATTGTGCTTATTTACAATTTCATGGCAATAAGCATCGAACAGGGAATTCCACTCCTTAATGCGCAGCCCTTTGGTTCCCATTCCTACCTCGCCAAGCTCTATATCCAACCCCCATTCTTTATCATCTTGGTCTTCAAAATTAGACCAGCGGAGGCTGTTTTGCGCGAGGGCACCCTATCGGGATGCGTCAGCATCAACAAACAATATCAACGAAAGTGAAAGGAAAACGAACCAGTCCAGCGAGCCCAACATTGTCGAACCCCTGAATAACCTGGTAGAAATCATAGCTAAGCCCGGCAGCTTCCTGTCCTAGCATAGCTGGATCGTCGTTGCTGAGAGCCGTCGTAACGCCATGTGCAATCATGGCTGGCAGGGGGTGGTGGAGAATATCCGTCGACAGCTGAAGGACTTCGTTGGAAATGGGGCACACCTCGACCATTATGTTCTTCTTTTTCACAGCCTGGATCAGCTCGGGATGCTTGTACAAGGAGAACCCGTGACCGATCCTTCGTGTCCCCAGCAAGACGGCGTCAAACAAGTTCAGATCGGTCGAGTTACCGTCACCAAGCGTCTCTCCTGCATGGAAGAAGAAGGGCATTATAAGATTATCCTCCTTGGCCTGTTGCTGAAACCATAGGAGCTCCGGCGCAAGGTCAAGAAGTGTGCGTCCCAAATCTTCTTGCGAGACTAGATCGTAGCCACTGAACAGCTTTCGATAGTTTTTCTTCATGTCCAGTGCACTCCTCATGCCTGTGCACCTAACGTCAGCTCCTTCACTGAATGCATGTAGAATTTCACCGACAAGAACTGATAAAACTCACTTTTCAGGATATCCGCGGTAGGCTTGCCTCGCTGGTCAGACCAGATAACCCTGGCACCGTAAAAGGGGGCACGGCGTTCCTGCTGCCAGGTGCTGTTGTGTTGAACCGAAAATTTCTCCAGTTCTTGTACCATAAGGTCCCACCATTGCTTGCCATCTACATCATCCGATACCGTTGCATCAGGTTTGATCAGTTTACTGGTCGATCCTCCAGAACGGATTTCAACCCAGCTGATCTTATCTTCCGCGAGTTCAGCAAACAGGTTCTGCCAGAACACTTGTACGACAGGTTGGTAGGTGAAAAAGGTCGACGCTGATGAGAATAAGGGCTGAAAACGCCGCCAGATCTCGTCTACACCCAACTCGTGCTGAGTCGCTACTTTAGGCGGAACCACCAGCTTGCTCACGACGAACTCGCGAAATGCGGATTCACCTCTAGGAAACTGCACGATGGCCTGGGAGATATTCACCCTCTGACCCTTGTAGTCTTCGGAGGTGATGTCGACGTTCTTGACGGCGTAGGCGGGAGGCCAGAATGTAACAGTAGCCCTTTGGCGGCCCTCTGGGGTGCCTAGGCTTTCGTTGGCCTGGAATAACATGTCTGCTTTAATGATGGCTGAAAGCAACGTGTTGTAGGGAAGCATAGCCGAAAGATGCGCATGTAGCAGCGCACCTTTTGGCATACCCTTCACAATTTTCCACAGCGTCGTGTTTGAGATCTTTGAGCGGGCCAAGGGAAACATTTCGCCAGCAAAACCATTGCTTCCGTTCCAATGGACTTTGATATCTTCCTCTCGGATTTTCTTGACAATTCTGTCTGCTTGCTTGCAAGCGGGAGAAAGGCCATCCCGGAACTGGGCATCTGTGCCACATTACTCAGCGATTGGCTCGTTGGTAGGGTTGAATTTGGATGACATACCTTGCCGCTGCGTCTTCTCTAATGCAATCATTAGCTCCCTTGCTCGGCTATGTTGATCAATGATAAAGCCTGTTTCCTGGAATATGGCTCTTTCTTGGACTTCATCTTCTCTTTCATGGAGAGGGTGAGAGACTGTCAGGCCAGACAGGAGAAGATTGGAGAAGAGAGTTAAGAGAATCATGATGAATGAGATATTCCAAAATGGTATCAAGAGTGCTGCATGCTCGATGTGTGGATGACATGAATCCGAGTATGCCATCAACGGTCCTCCTCACCGTCATCTATAAATCTCCATCTCACTCCTAGACTTGATGCTTGGGACAGTTCATGATCCCCCGGATTGAACACGGTCCAGAACTGACGGAAGCACTTGTAACACGGGCCGGCCCCCGCCATTCTTCAACATCACACCATTCTCTGTAGCTCGCCTGCTTAGTGCCACTCCAATCTCCAGACTCCCATCCGTTATGCAGAGGTCCGCCTGTCTAATGCAAGTCCTTTCCGAAGTAATTTCCATCCGTATGTCCCTATAATTCTGGTTCACAGAGTCTCATCCGCTCGATGCATATTTCAGCTGTACCACAGATCCGTAGTCTGACTGAAACAATGCCGAAATTTGACATGTCGCGGTTATCATTCGACCAACGAAACTCAAGACGAAATATTAATACGGCGTAGACAGGACGCTTTCATTTGATAGCTAGAATGAATCTGAAATTCCCGTCTTCCCGCACAAAGTATCTCGGAAAGGCTTTGCGACTGATTGATAGCGCACATTTTTGGGTATATTCCAGTCTCCGGCGGCTTTGGCACTAGCCAGGAAGCAGATCTGATAATTCCATGAGATTTGGCTCCTTTTACTACTAGAACCTAGACAATCCTATTTCCCTGCAACTTTTGGGGGTATATATAAAGTGAGGACTTACAAAAGTTTGGATTTACTCACGAAGTCCGGAGTTATTGCGTGAACTTTGACTGATAAATCCGTGTCACTAGCTGTCTCAGTCAAGATCTCGACACTGATCAAAGGCCCCGAACATGGTTTTCTTTACATAGAGCTCGAAATCGTTTAAAATCCAATTTGCGGTAAGGATCTTACGCCCACTAGGTTCAAAGTGTCATGTGTATATTGTCTTCTAAGACAATGGCTGAGACTCACCGTATCTGGAATATAGAGCTTTCATGCAAAATATATAATTTACTTCATTGATACTGTATTTAGACTGCATATATTGATCAATATTCCAAATTCTATCCAAAGTCTTTTCAAACCCACTAACCTGTCCATTCTATAAGAAATCAAATATCATGTCGATAACTTACCAAGAATCATGTGGTAAAACCTAGTAAAAGAGAAGAATGACTTCCAAGTAGATCAGAAGACGAGCCACGTAAAGAAGACTTCCCGAGTCAGAAACAGCGTTAATTAAGCTATGGCAGGTGAGAACTATTAGCGTGCTTAACTTCTTGGCGAGTATGATTGATACTTCAAAAGGGCATTCAAGCTTGTCAGTATATCCATTCTATCAGCTTACGGGTTAGACTCCCCGAAAGCCTGATCCTTTCCGCAATATCATGCAGTGTTTTGCTATCTTGTGAACGTCGCAGGAATTTTTACAGCACTTGTTAGTGGTCAATGGACCTGCTTGATTCCGACGTTGTGCATCTTATGATTGTATTTTCAAACCAGCTTCGGCGCCTTCGCCAACTTTTCTGCGTTCGCAACCAGGCGTGGCCACGATCCATTTCTCATGGACAAAGAGCTATCAAAAAATGTAGCGCCACCGACATGACAACCATTTGACATGCTCAGCTTCAGGAGTACCATCTTTGACTACAAGCTACGAGGTATGGTTACATAATGAAAGAAGCAGACACAAGAAATTGAATCCACGCCAAGCATGCTTGGCCAGCTTGATATGATGTCATGACATGCACTAGATTTGTCGGGCAGGCAGTTAAAGAGGATTCCCATCCTCCTCTACCGGAGTTCGCGATCCATCAATTGCGTTTCAAAGTCCGTACCTATGTGTGTACCTTTAATTGAGGCATAATGAAGCTCATGAGTATTCTTTCAATAGTCTCAGCGGCAAGTTCGCTCAGCCTAGAGCCCAACTATACTTCCCCTGCAGGGGTGGAGATCTACAACCCCTCCCTCCTGTTCCCACCCACCGGGCCATGGAGTTTGATGTCAAAGGCAGGCAATACGGTCTACGTCGCTGGTAACAATTTCTGTGCCCCGAACCAGTCACCCTCTTTGCTGACAGATACACGGTCAAAGGCATACGCGGCGTATACCCGTCAAACAATACACTTGCTCCGGTGGGTATTGACCGAATCCGCCAAGCTTACGCCAACATGATTCAACTTGCCGAGCTTGCTGGGACGGATCGGTTTTCGGCAGTGCGTCTAGTCGTCTACACAACCGATATGTATCGGTATCGGCCGCTGTGCAATCAGGTACAAACAGAGCTTTGGGGCAACGATCCCAACCGATATCCTCCTAGATCGATCATTGAAGTGCAGAGGCTCAATGACGACGACATTGTGGAAGTGGAAGGAACGTTCCTGGTCGCCTCTGACTCAAGCTCTTCTCGGACATGATCATGTTGGCGTAGGTATGCGACAGAGCTGAAGACAAATTCTGGAGGATGCCGAGAAAGAATTATGATGAAGATTGAGAATACATGACGGTATTCTACAATGAGTAAAGGAAAGAAACCCAAGTTTGAAGCGGCAATGGTTATTTACATTCACACACAACGACAATTGAAGATTGCCGTAGCCAACCCCCACTCTTCGGCCTTCTGCCCGTCTTGGTCTCCAAGAAGAATATATAGATAAGGGACATGATGTTAAATCTAGGTACCTCATTGGTAATTTGACACACCAAGGTGACAGTAAGCCCCGATACTCTTGCGAATCCTAGTCTACTTAAGTTCCTTGCATTGGCCTGCCCGCTCATGTCCACTACGGAATGTTTTCTTTGCGACCTTGTCCAACTTATATTGAGTTCCACTGGCTATGGTGCTCGTGCTCTTCGACCAGCTTGTCGTTTGGGTACTTTTTTAGTTTCATCCCACCAGCGAAGAAGATAGCATACCGCGCCCATTTGGTGGCGTTTGGTAGTTTCTTCTCGTCGAGCTCGATGCCGCTAGCGGTGAAGATAAACATGAAAGCATCATCAGCTCCGAGAGTCTCCCCGGGCCGGATCATGAAAGATGGCCCCAAAGTAGGGCTGTGCTTCTCTGAGAAGATATTTGCAGACGAGATCACTTTCTAGGGTCCGGGAGTGCCTCGGCCCCAGTACCAATGATTGATGTACTACCCAATCAAAGTAGTAATCGCCTCGAGACCATACGCAACCCTTGCCAGGGCGCCAAGTCGAGGCTGTGCTGATCATTTGAATGTCGATATCGGGGTTCACCACCGTGACATGGTCGTTGAGAGGGAGCGTTTGGGATATCGCTGTTGGACAGAGACCGAAGAGGGTGACATGATGTGTAGTTAGACAAATCCATAGATGAAATATGTGAAAACAGAACAACGCAAATGTAGTTGATAGATGTAGAGATGGCTACATGACTAATATTCTGCAGCATGTCTATGTTACGTAGGCGCCCGTCACTTCTAGCTGCGGGCATGCGGAAGCATAATCGTCCATTCTTTCATGGCCTCCGGTTATAAAGGAGGTTTCTGGATAGCATCAGTGATGGGAGGAAAGAAATCGTAAAGAAAATATAGGAATCATGCAAACAGGTATCATTCCTCTACCTCTATCATGTACCAAAGTAAGACAACACCACAAACCCCCACTATCTAACCATCCTCAAGCGGCCTCCTCACAAAAATCTCCAAAACCCCCCTCATCTTCTCCTCGACAGCCTTCCTCTCCTTATCCTTGGCCGGCAACCCCACCCGGCAAACAGCCTTGCCAAACACCTCACCAACCCTACGCTCCCTCGTGCGCCTCCTCGCCAACGCCGCCTCGGCAGCCACGTTCCCGCCCGTGAGCCGTCTAAAGGTGAGACTCCGCCGGTTGGGCTTCTGCATCGTCAGGGCCTCGACCTCGGACCGCGATATCGGCGCCATCTCCGCGACAACCTTGGACAGCGTCGCCGTGAGAAAGACAAACGCGATGTTGTGGTTCGGCGCCGTGGCGAGAATGTCCAGCACCGCGGTCTTGTCGTCTTCGACTTCGGCTGGTGAACGCGCGGCAGCCGCGGCCAGGTGAGGGATGGCGACTTCGATCTTGGCCCAAAGAGCTGCGGTGATGATGCCATCGGTCAGGCCGCTCAGGAAAAGAAGCAGAACCTCGGCGAGTACTTCGAGTCGGTAGAGAGACGGTACTTCAACCGGCAGCGCCTCAACAAGCGGTTGGTCATTGTCCAGAGCCTCGATCAATGCGAGAATCTGACTGTCTCGGGACTCGTTGTCTTTGAAAAGCCACGCAGTCTCGTCAAAAGGCCAGCCAGGTTTGTCAGCCGGAATGACATGCTCCTCAATCATATTCGCTTCAGCTATAGCACGTAGCATCATCACCTCGACAGCTTCTGTGAGCTTGAAGAGCTCTTTGGGAGCAGCGCAGCGGACGTCGAGGTCGTACGGGACAGACCCAGAATTCTTACCTTCCCTCGATTTCATAAAGGCTCGGATGCCCCCGTCAGGTATACGGATGAGCTCGTCTATCGAGCGACCGAAACAGGTCGGAAGCCAGGAAGCGCGGACTGGAATGAAGTGATCTCTGCCGTCTTCAACCCGCAGAACCAAGATGTCCTCGAGCGATGATAGTCCGTCATTGAGAGCTCGGACGTGGGAAATATCGTTGACGTAAATCTCCAAGACACCGCTGACTGTCTCACCCGGCTCCAAAGTGACCTCTTCGCCCAGGTCTGGCGACTCTTCTCCGTTTTCGTCTGCGGCTGTCCGTTTGAATGAGGACCTCAGCCAAGCCGGCGGGCTAGAGACCTCGAAATCCTTTTCAATCGTGGGTTTCTCAACAAAGGCGAACTTTGCGGGCACTCTTCCGGTGTTTGCTATCGTCAATGTTGCTGTGTGCCTGCAGCGGTAGGCAACATCACCAAAGTCGACGGCTTCGCCAATATCCACAGCGCCATCTTCACTCTTGGCTTGCATGTTCGGGTTGTCGAGGATGACGGTTACGAGGGGTCGTCCCTCGTTCTCGGCGCGATCCAACTCCTTTGCAACTTCGGCGTGGACTTTGGCTTTGAGCTCCGGTACCACCGCATCATAGTCAAGCGTGAAGATGGAGATGATGGGTTTGTGGTCTGAAGATATGATCCGTTGGTGCGAGGTGTAGATGTCGAGCTGTATCCTGTCCGTGAACCCCTCTTTGGTGACGACTTCCTCTGGCTCGTTATCGTCATCTTCGTATTCATCGTAATCGAGGCCAGCTTCGCCGGTAGGCAGCTCCTCGCCGTCCGCATCTGGATCGTAGCTGAACAGGACGTCGTCGTCGTCAGTCGCATGATCGATACCCCGCGCCGTCATCTCCTCGTCCTTCTTCTTTGCCTCCTCGAGGTCCTTGACCTTTTGCTCATACTCCTCCCTGTCTTTCCTTGTCCTGTACAGAATACGATCGCACCAACTCGGGGCCCTTTGTTTCTCGCTTGAATCAAAGAGACTGATGGTCCCGACGTCGTACTTGTATGACGGCAGGAACGAAATTGGCCCCTCCCGCCAGCCGTCGTGGAAAGCCTTCTTCTCTTTTATTATCCTCCTGAGCTGGTCATGCGGCAGAAGAGAGTCCAAAGTAGCTTGCAGTGATGCAGGATCGTCACCCGGGTCAGGCAAAAAGTCGTCAGGATCTGGCAGGGAGTTCGACGAGTCATCGAAACTAGCTTCCGACGACAGCGTCGTTTCGATTGTTGAAGTGTCATCATCGGTGTAGTCACTCTTCTTTGCGCTCTTGACCACCAGAACCTCCTCACCGGCAATGACCTTCCGCCCCCTTTTGTCCAGATCATACTCCCCGCGGGTGTGCAGTTGAAGCAGACGCCGAATGTCGTTGCCAGGCAGTCCATCCACGCGAAAGTTCAAGTCACCCACCCAGAAGGCAAAGTCCTCGTCGCCAATCTTTTCCGGTTCGGCATCGTTCTCCCCGGCCAGGTTGATCGGGTCGAACTGCGTCCTTGTCAGGATCTGCCCGACGTCCCATAGCCTCCGGTCCAGGTACGTCTGCTCTGCGCCGCTAGCCAGATGGCAGTTTACAAAGACCATGCGAGTTGTTTCACCCAGCAGCATCCGAGTAGTCACAGCGCCTTTGTTACCCAGGTATCCAAAGAGGCCCGTTCCGACAGAGACGGTGCTCACATTGCTGACCGTTGGCGCTACTTCGGGGGAAGCATAGGCTAACAGCAGTAGACCAGACATTTGCTCTGCGGCCACAAGCTCATAACCCTCCGGCATGGCTTCTTCCAAGGCCTCTTTCCACTTCTTCATGGGCCCCTGATCAGACGCGATGCGGCTCATGTAATCCCTTGCCATGTTCAAGTCGACAATCTCCTGCAAGCCCAACACGTACAGTCCGACCTTGTCGCCTCCAACCAAGTGCACCGAGGCATTTGGGTCTTGTTCTCCAGTCGCATCCTTCGTGCCCAGCGGGGGGTCTGTCTCTACCGTATCGTGATCAGAGACGTTGAGCCTCGACAGGGACGTGTCAACGCCGTAGCCGTCAACGAACCAGCTCGCCAGGTCCTTGTCGGTACCGGGACACGCAGCCACATTCCATGTTCCAATCTTGACCCGAATGCGGTGAGGCCGGACATATTCAGCTCGACGAGCGAAGACGGCGCGGGCAAGGGAGTGCGGTGTCGATGTGAGGTCGACGGGGTCTGACGTCGTGGAGGGGATGGTCTCGGACGGGGGCGCCATCGCGGTAGGCGAAGCCATAACCTGCTGCTGAGATGGAGCGTGACGGAGTCGAGCTTCGGGGGTGTCGTAGAAGGGGAGCTTTAGGGTATTTGACAGGGCGGGCGGCGGCGCTGGCGGGCGGCGGTAACGAGGGGTGAGACCAGAGGCCGGTCAAGGGTCCTCTGCTTTGCTGTTGTTGTCCTCTATCAATCCGGCGTGTCCCGGCGCATGATGTTCGTATTTTCGGAGTGGCTACGAGTCGTCGTAAGTGAGGTCACGGACCAGGATGGCTTCAGTTATGCGCAGAGTCGACAACAGCAACAGGGAGCCGGAGCAGCCAGGCGGATGGCGGAAGACGGACGCAACCTGGACTCTTCAGAAAAGTACGGTCGAGCCGGAGCAGGGAGAAACTGACGGGGGCAAACAGGAAGAGAATAACAGTCTTGAAGTTGGTAAAAGAGTTCTTCAAAAAGATGTTGTATCGCAATAAACGCAGCTGAACGAGTATCCCGGAAGAGAAAGGGAGGAAAAAGGACTAGGGGAGGGATTGCCGCCGGGATCTCTCATCCACAGGACCACAGAGGCCCGTCGTTGAATGCCTCTTCGCTGGGTTGCGGGACCAGTGACGTGCATATTTCACTGACAGCATAGCGCTGGAATGACAGGGGTTGCTAGGGACCCCTCTGCACTGCCACACCGCTGGGATTGGCGGGGTACCTTGTGTGCTTGTGTAAGGCACCTAACACGGCTCTCTACCTTATCGGGATAAGGTCTCGACAAGCCGATAAGGCACCTACGGCTTGCGATGGATCCGTCTTGCACACTGATCTCATCCAGTGTCTGCACCTTCGGACCAACCAAGCTTCCTTCACCTCACGAGTTGACGACAATACCCAAGCTTCGATCCTCGACTCGCTATTCTCACAACTGTCAGCGCCGCCCAGTGTCTGACCACTCGACATCACCACACAAAAGTAAATCCATCTGCCAGCCCGGCGCCGGGTTCGCGATACTCTAGGTAAACCACAGCACACCTTCACTACAAATGTCCCGTTCAACCCCCCGCCGACGCGGCGGCCACGCCCGCCACTCCTCAACCCAAGGCAACGGCCCCCGGCCCGTCCAGTCAGACTACGAGTCCGACGCGGCGCACTACATCGACTCCCACCCGGTCCCAGACCCGAACCCGGCCCTCTTCAACCGCACAAACACGGACCTCAACCTCTCCGTCCTACGCCGCTACCTCCCCTCCATAAACTCCACCCTCTCCATCGCCGCCAACGCCGTCGTCTACACATTCAACCCAACCCTCCCCGGCTGGGACAAGACGGGCATCGAGGGAACATACTTCCTCTGTATGCAGGACCCCGTCCCCGGCTCCGCCTCGAATCCGCGCGCCTGCATCTTCGTCCTCAACCGCCGCGGTCTAGAAAACGTCATCCTTGACCTCAGTGAAGTAGACGACTTTGAGGTCATGGATGAGATTTACATCTTCCGCCTGCGGACCAGCACCGAAGAGGCGGAGGAGGGCACCAACAAAGTCATGGGCATCTGGATCCACGCCGACAAGGAGGACACGCGCGTTATGAACGCCGCCCTCATCTCCGAGACCCTCAAGCACGTCCGCCTCGCCGAGAAGCAGAACGCCCTTGCCGGTGGCAGCGGCGGTCCCGGTGGCGCTGGTGGTTTGGGCGGCCCTGCGCAGGAAGAGGAGCTGGGGCCCGCGATGCAGGCCATTGGGCGGAAGCTGAGCTTGAGCGACCTGTTTGGCGCGCAGAATGGCGTCCAGGGCTAGGAGCTGGCGGTTCTCAATGCGCGGGCCCAGGAGCGGGAGTTTGCGATGAGGAGCTGGGTTATTGCGGAGGGGTCCGATGTGCGAGGGATGGCACAGATTTGTCTGCACTGCACTCGGATGGCATTGCTCCCAAGATGTTGAAGGGGAAAAGTAAGGATAGCGAGACACGAACGGTGCGAAAAATCCACTCAGGAAAGAGAGACGCTCCGGAGAGCGTGATGGTGAAACCAATGATACCCTTGATTAAGAAAGAAAAAGTCATTTTTCATACATGAATGCAAAGTCGTCATGGGACTTTGTGTGATTTGGCCAAGACCCTCCGTCGTGACTCGCAAGTGTAGGGGGTTGCGTTTTTTCTACTGCAATCCCCAAAGCCTCAATTCTTCCTAAACCATGCTCGTAAACTCCCCTCCCATTACCAGAAGACTGTTGTGTAAACCCCCAACCACATTAAAACGCTGCGGTGACAGACTATATGACCACTCACACCGTACCGCTGATGCTGAGCTCGCGAATCTCCTGCAACACTTGCTCGACACGCTGATCCAGCTGACCCTGCGCATACTGTTCTCGCGTATCCGCATCTAGGTACTGCTGCACCTGCGCCATGCGACTGTAGGCCTCGGCGCAGAAGCGTAGCTGGATCTTGACGAGGGCCTCGAACGTGGGGTCGAGATACGGCACGCGCAGGTCGATGAGTTGGGGAAGCTCCGATGACAGCTGCTCGTTGAGCTGCTCGTAGGCGGCCTTGGCCATTTCCATCTCCTTCTCGGCACGCGGCAGCTTGGTCACGTCCTTATCGGGCTTCTCGACGAGCTTCTTGACCTTGGCGCGTAGTGCGTCGTAGTCGAGGAGCTTGTGGCCACGTTTCTTGATACCTAAGGTTGGGAGGGTCAGCAAGTCAAAGTCGGGGGGTTGCATGGGCTGTACAGACATTCGTTTACGTCTGGGAAGTAGGCGCAGAAGCGTGAGATGGGTTCGAGGACGGTTTGTCTATGTGATATGTCAGTCAATACGCCAGCAGCCCATGCACCGGACGGCGGGTCATCGTACTGGTAAGGGCCGTCCAGCGCCTTGATGGTCTCGGCATCGAGGTCCTCCACCGCCTGCTTGTAACTTCTGCTCACACCGTCCTTCGCTCCGGAGTCTCCGTAAAAGGCGTCTATCGTCTCGGCAATACGCATCTGGGAAGCAGTCATGGCTGGGGAACCGAGTTAGCCCACTGGCATCCTTGGCAGTGGGCGGTCTACCGCCGACACACCTCGCAATGAATCCAAGTAGCCCTTTGCCTCCTTCTGCAATCGTAAGGAAGCCGTCTCCATGGTTCTGAATCGTCTGCCAAAAGTCTCAGTATGCAACGTGGTCGGAATGTCTCAGCGCCATGGGGTGCAGCCCACCTCTCTTCCACTTCGTAGTCGCGGTCGTTGGTCTTCTCCACATGACCTGCCAAGATCAGAACCTCGGTATTTGTGACTCCCGGTTGGGCAGAAAGGGCTCACCCGTCTTCATCATCACCTGCGTCGTCGCGCGGTTGACATTCTTCTTGAAACCTGTGGCCAGTCCATCAGTCCAGTTCATCGGTGGTGGTCCTCTGCGCCCTCAGCGAGGTTGCGCCCATCAAGGAGGGGTCGCGTCCGTAGACTCTAGTCGTACCTGCCCACGACATCTTGATTGTATTCCTATGGGTTTCCTATTCGTACTCGTTGCAAGGGTGGGAATAAAAATTCGAGGCACTACAATCGGATCGGTGGTGTGGGTACTAATCACTTGGTGGTTTCGAGGGTATCGTTGCTCGTAGGAAGGCCGTTTCGTCGTCCAAAGGTTGATGGGGATGGAGGGGGAGAAAGGAAATGCGTCCTGGTCGGTTTTGAATGCGCGGACGAATCACTCATCAATGCACGCTGGGGAAACCCAACGAGAGCGCCCAGAAACGGAAACCGACGTCAGCGAACAGAGGCCCGGGCTGCGCCACGTCCCTGTTGGTGCTAGCTCCTCGTAGTGCCGGGTAGCTTGTGGCTCAGCCCTGTAGGCAGCCCTTCTTACCTTAGGTAAACCGGAAAGGCATAGCGGCGGGCGCAAGTGCCGTTTTCCGATTGCTCACAGTTCATATCCGTAGTGCACATCCAATTCGGCCTAGAAGTTCCTTTATGCAAACACAGTCTACTTTTATGCAAATCTGGATCAAAAGATTGGCCTCAAATTCTCTTGTGCTTACAGAGACATGTTCGCTCCTTTCTTTACTAAGCTTACTACGTACAACGTCCCTGAATTTCATATCCTCAGAATCTTAATCTTCAACACCACCACTACATCTCTGCATATCACAGAAAAGATCATAGGAAAAATGAACGCACCCCGTTTCCTCCTGATCAGCCTTGGGAATCCAGAGCCATACTACAACACCCTTCACTCTGCCGGCCACCATGCCCTCAACTCTCTACAGAAACTCTTAGGGCCCTCACAGCCCGCCTTCCACAGAGGCCGGTACGGGGGCAGTTCGTGCATGGCTTCCTTTGGTCCCAAATACGCAATGATCCAGAGCCCCGCCATCATGAACGTAACCGGTAAATGGTTAGCAAAAGCGTGGAAGGAGACACTCGGCACCCGGAATCCAGCAGACCTCAGTCTCATTCTCGTTCACGACGATTTGGAAGAGGAGTTGGGTTTCGTCAAGACCAGAAAGTGGAAGAGCAGTCACAGAGGTCACAACGGCATCAAGAGCGTCAACGCCTGTCTTCGCGAGGCGGATTACCCAGACTCAAAGTGGGCGAGGATATCAGTCGGTATTGGGCGGCCCGAGGGGCGAGACAAGTCTACGGTGTCTAATTACGTCTTGAAGCGTATGACAAAGGACCAATGGTCTGTCCTCGAAACCGATGCCGGACCTGGTGTGCTTGAGTGCCTTCTTGCACTGGAGGAGAAGCTTGAGGCTGCATCTGGGAAGTGAAGCATGGTCTTGGTTCCATCCTCCACCTCACACCCTGTGGGCGCTTGGTAGCCCACGACCTCTATCCGTTCTGAGCCTTTCATCACAATCGATGCAGCAAGAATGCAGCATGAGACGACGGTTGCTGCGAAGGCGCTTCTGCTGATGCCGATAAACCTGGGACAAGATAATGACTGTCCCTGGTGCCGGACGCGCAAAGCTTCGGGTCCGTCCAAGCTAGAAGGGCTACAAGGGCCAATCGATTCGCCATCAATGAGCGTCTCGTTCAGCGCTTCATATAGCTTCGTCGGGTCCAGGTCGGCCGTCAAGCCACTTGCTCATGTACGGCCCATCGAGCCAGTACCCGAGCTTGGCGTAGTAGCTCCTCACACCTACACCAGAAATAACACTAATCTTCTCGCTGCCGTGCTCGTCCCTTGCAATCCTCTCCGCCTCCTCCATCAGCAGCGTGCCGAAACCTTGGTGCTGGAACTTCTTCGGGTCTCTTGCGTGTACCGGCACTGCGGTACCGTAGACGTGCAACTCTCTGACCAGACTCGTCGGCTGCCCCACGAGCTCCTCCCGGTACGTGTACTTTTCTGTGCATTTGCGTAGACGCAGCAGGGCGACGAGAATATCCTGCTTCGGGTCCTCGTACGCGAGGAATGTCTCCCATCCGCCATTGGCTGTGTAGTCTCGTCGTACCAGCTCAATCTGGTTCGGCCTGATCTTGTTCTTCACTTCATTCACACCAACCTCGCGCGTCCGCACATCTCGACATGTTGTACCGAAATCCTTCATTCTCGCCAGCGCCAGTTCGCGCAAGTTGCCGTTCTCCACACCAGACGTGACCAGAGGCATGGGGATATCTCTCTGAACACGGTAGATGCGTGTCCATGGCGGGATAAGGGCCAGAATTCTTGCAACGAGGTCGATCAAGCCGTTGGGCGTGTAGTTCTGGTAACGACCTGTGCGCCACAGCTCGTACAAGCCGGTGCCTCTGATGACCAGGGTCGGGTAAATCTTGAGGCCGTCCGTACGGAATGCAGGGCTCTCGAAGTACTCCCGGAACTGGTCCAGGTCTCTCTCCATACCCACGTTGGGCAAGTCAGGCATCATGTGACTAACGACCTTGAAACCCGCATCCTTGGCCAAGCAGAACGTCTCGGCGACGGCAGCAACAGTGTGACCACGATTTGTGTCTCTCGCGACATCTTCGTAGAGCGACTGAACTCCAATCTCCAACCTCGTGCAGCCATACCGCAGCATATCCGTCAAGTGCGGCTGCCAACAGTAATCCGGCCTGGTCTCGATTGTGATACCCACGCACTTGATGTTGCTCATCTCGCTAGCCTCCACTGCCTCGTCCACATTCGATGTCTGGTATCCACTGAGCGCATTGTGAAGTTGGGCGATGAAGTCCTCTCTGTACGGCACTGGAAGGGACATGAAGGTACCACCCATGATGATGTATTCGACCTTGTCTACCGAGTGTCCGAGAGACTTGAGCTGATCAACACGGCCGCGAGCCTGTTCGAAGGGATCGTAACGTGCGCGAATTGCTCGCATCGACGTGGGTTCGTATCCCGTGTAGGATTGTGTGCTGTATTCGAAATCGGAGTCAGGACCGCCGGGGCAGTAGACGCAAATATTACCCGTGTAAGCGATGTGCGGACATCTGTGAGGCTTGCACATGACCGCCACTACTGCGATACCCGATGATGTTCCTGAGGATAAGTGGTTAGCATATCCCTTGACGTGAAATCCTAGTGGGCCAACGTACGGATTGGCTTCGCAATGAGCTTCGGTAAAATGTACTTTTTGTAGTGCTCAGGGATGGCCGCAATAATCGCCGTGAGGGGCGGGATGTTGGCGAGCTTGTGCTTCCTCGAAAACTTGTTGCGCAAGGAGTTGAGATTGAGGTCCTTTGGCGGATTCTTGGGGTCCCTGATAGCCTCGTGATCCTCGATCAGGGCGTTGGCGACATCGGCACAGCACCGTAGGAAGCGCTCGTTCTCGGGGGGAAGGTTGTCATTCTTGGACCGCCCCTTGGTGACGGTGACGGTGGTGGTCGCCATCTTGACGGGCGGTATCTAGGTTGGATGTAGCAGGCGTCCGTCTCTTTGGCCGTTTGTTGTATTATGATGTTAAACTTTCGACGTCAACTTTCTTCGCGCGTTTGTCGTGATTTTTGCCCCGTAGCGTCTAGTCGTTAGAGTCATAAGTCGGAGTGAAGTTGGGGTTTGGAGTCGACCATCCGTTCTCATGAAATTTTGGAGGAAACCGTCAAATGCAAGTCACTGGATGGTGGGGTAATCAGCCACATTTTCCATTCCCACCATCGTCCACTGTTTCGCAACGCCACACGTCAAACCCCCCCTTACCCGCTTGTCAAAATCGATACGTACCTTCGCATGCAGAAGGGGCCCCAGGGGGTGCCCTCTTGAGGCTCCCGTGCTGATTGCCGCGGCCTCAATTGGTCCGGCCGGATCATCAGGGCAACCGAATGGCCACGGGTTTTCCCGGGCGTTCGGGTCCCGTGCTCCCTCGTGGCTCGCTGCTGCAGACCCGGTTGTCTCGCAAAGAGCTCGGTTCAAGTTTTGCTGCTGGCCTTCCCTACTGCAGTTTGACCCTTCTTTCGGAAAGTGACGTGAATTTGCATTGCAGCAGCTATCTTCTCTTTTTCCCTCCCCCGATAGCCGCCATCTCAACCTTCCAACGATCCTCCTCCGAAACAAAGTTCCCATCCCCTCCTTAATTGGCGCTGCGGTCTCGAAGCTGCGCTATTCACGTTGACATCCGCCTTTTAACACATACACATACACGCCCAAGATGCAGTCCCTGAGACAGATGCGGCCGGCAGGCAAGCTCCTGAACCAAGCCGCGAAGCGTGCATACAGCGCCTCTGCAGCTGGCCCTTACACCAAGACCATCGACAACCTGCGCATCAACTCCGAGACCAAGGTGCTTTTCCAGGGCTTCACTGGCAAGCAGGGAACGTAAGTGATGCTATCTTCCTCCGACGGCCGAGGGGCCGAATAGTAACAACACCTGGTTCCACCCCTGTTTGGGGGAGACATATCTGGCGTTATTTACTTTATCCGCGCATGCGCAGGTACCTTGAACAAGTAGACTGTAGCTAACACAATTTGCGACATAGCTTCCACGCGCAACAGGCCATCGACTACGGTACGCGATAATAACTCCGAAGCAATGGCGCGCTCCATATCCCGCGCACATGGCAAAACCGAAACTGATATCAATGGACGCATACAGGCACCAAGGTCGTCGGTGGAACGAACCCCAAGAAGGCCGGCCAGGAGCACCTCGGTCTCCCCGTCTTCGGTAACGTCAGCGAGGCCGTCAAGGAGACTGGCGCCGATGCCACCGCCATCTTCGTCCCGTACGTCACTCTACGATGCCGAGAACATTAATCATTGGGAGAGCAGGACGTTGACCTAGAAGCCAAACAGCCCCCCTCTGGCCGCCGCCGGTATCGAGGAGGCCATTGCCGCCGAGATCCCCCTCGTCGTCTGCATTACTGAGGGTATCCCCCAGCATGGTATGCCCCCCTCCGCTCTCTCTCTCAGTGCCTATGAGGCTTTTGAAGCTTTCGAAGCTTTTCAAGCCAATCCAATCTCGAAATACTCACCATACCCTCCCAGACATGGTCCGCATCACCAACATGCTGAAGACGCAATCCAAGACCCGCCTCGTCGGCCCCAACTGCCCCGGCATTATCGCCCCGGGCCAGTGCAAGATCGGCATTATGCCCGGCTTCATCCACAAGCGCGGCCGCATCGGCATTGTCTCCCGCTCCGGCACCCTCACCTACGAGGCCGTCAACCAAACCACCCAAGCCGGCCTCGGCCAGTCCCTCGTCGTCGGCATCGGCGGTGACCCCTTCAGCGGCACCAACTTCATCGACTGCCTCAACGTCTTCCTCAAGGACGAGGAGACGGACGGCATCATCATGATTGGCGAGATTGGCGGTTCCGCTGAGGAGGACGCCGCCGACTTCCTCCGCGCCAACAACACCGTCAACGGCGGCAAGCCTGTCGTCTCCTTCATTGCCGGTATCTCCGCGCCCCCCGGCCGCCGCATGGGTCACGCCGGTGCCATTGTCTCCGGTGGCAAGGGCGGTGCCGACTCCAAGATCTCCGCCCTCAAGGCCGCCGGCGTCATCGTCGAGCCCTCTCCCGCCGGTCTCGGCAAAGCCCTCTACGACGAGTTCGTCCGCCGCGACCTCTTGTAAAAAAGTTAATCTTCCAAAAGAGGAGGGGAAAACTTCAGCTGTGTATGTAACATGTTAAAGAAGAGACTTTTTGTGTTGAGAGCGTAGTCACCGGGATAGGAAACACCAAACTCTCTCGTGTTGTTGCGGAGGGTTTACAAGAGGCGCTTCCCCCCTTGCATCGTGCGAGTTGCGTTGAGTGTGTATTTGAACATGTTGCCCTAAACAACTTGATATAGACTGGAGGTTAGGCAAGGACAACAGGGCAGGCAAACAAAGGAGGGTGGAGGGGATGGGAAAGGTTGAAGAAAGTTGCCCCGAATTTCGGAATGAGAAATACTGCCGGTGCTTTCTCCCCACCCCCTTCCCTCTCACGTTTTGTATCTCGAATCCGCCAAGCTTATAAACCATTTTTTTTTTTTTGCCGCAAGAACATATGCTGCGCTACCCGCTGTCCCGTTCCCCATTCGTTGCGCTTCGCGCCTTCTCGGCATGTAGGGCCCTGCCGTCGTACGACTCCCCATACTACCCCGAGCAAAATCAGCCAGGGTCCCGTCACCGAACCCCGAGGGGAGGCGGCTACGGCCCAGAAAAACTGGGGCCTACTTGTCCGGAGGAAAGGATGCACCTGAAGATGATGTGATTTGAGTCGCCAGCTACTGAGTCGATACGACCCTGTATGCGAGAAACATACCCTAGCGCTACCTGTACATTTACAGCAAACACTCCCCCAGGTAAGCAGTGAGGAAAGAAAAGAGCAGAATAAATATCCAAACGTGCCGTGTGTCCAAAACGCCAAAAGTCCGTCATGCGGATCTGTCAGAGGCATACGCTCAGGCAGGCAAATACTCCGTGCCCCAGTCAAACCAACCGTCCCTATTCCCGCCTGGCCCCTACCAGACATGCAACACGTTGTCGTCAAAGCAAATAGGTTCGTACGAGCGCAAAAGCTGTGAATCGTCGAAGGCGGGTCTGGGGCTTTTGACACCCAGCACGCTTCCAGTTTCCTGTACCGCAGCGTCGACGAACCATTCGCTGCACGGCAGCCGTAAAAGCCAGAATTCCACTTATGCCCAGCTCTAGATGTAGACCAACTCCATGTTCGATGCAATGCCGCCTGGTGTCTCATGATTTGCCGTGTTCGTAACTGTCATCTAATATCGCCCTCAAACCAGGAGTGTGCGACGGCATAGTTGCCCATCGTCCTCGATCAATCATTCCATCGGGCAACCTCGAGTCAGGCAGCTGACTCATTGCTCACCGAGGAGGTGGGCGGTAATGTCACCCAGGTATGCCTCCTCCAGCTCATAGTCCATGCCGCCGTTGCGGTCGATGCCTATGTAAGTAAAGGCTTCGACGACAGCATCGAGCTCGAATCCCATGTTGACAAAACGGTCGATGAGATCCTTGTTGTAGCCCGCATATCTATAATTCCGTCAGCCTTGTATCTTGATGCAGCTTTCCTGAGCTGCGTAGACTGTGTCCAGCACGCAGCCGACTCTTGCAAACGAACCTATTGACGTCGTTTGCCTTTGCTTGCTCGGAAGCAACTTGCTTGTACTTTGTTGTGTCGAACTCCTTTGGCTGTGCACCGGCATATTTGACAGCCCACTCGTGTGCCTTTTTTGCAAAACCCTCTGGGTTCTCAAGCATCATCTTGGCGACCTCTGCGTCTTGGGGGTCCTTGGGATTCGGGAACTCGAGCAGCATGCGGAGGGAGAGCAGTGCAGTCTTTATTGTCTGCACAGGAGACCAGCCACTGCCTAGCGTGTCGAGACAGATGGCACCCTATTTACGTCAGCATCTCGGGCCCTGCTATGGATCATGGGTAGCACGTGTATTGTAAAAAGACGTCGGTGTAGGACACAGCATGGCTGTGGCGGGGAGGAAGACGCACGGTTTGACTGCTGACGTTGGGATGCCAGATCCTGGTGATGAACTTGATGGTGGGAGACTTGAACGGATAACTGTCGGGGATCTTGATGTCGACTTCATACTGGCCGCCAGCGTAGGGTGTATCGGGCGGTGCAGGAAAGGAGCCCTTCAGGTGCAGCACGTTGGACTCGTCGATCGGGTAGGCAAAGACTCCAGAGTTGTCCTTGTCGTTGCGAATATCCATCAGCTCCTTGCCGATCCGTCTCTCCTTTGGGGTGAGGGCGGGATTAGACATGGTGGAAATTGTGATTGCTTCGCAGATTTGGCGGTGTTGGATGGGTGTTCCGTCGCGAAAAGGCAAGCAGCGGTAGAGAGTAGAGCCGTGTGTTGTGAGGGTGTATGTCTCTGTCTTCAAGTTTGTAGATTCGAGGTAGAGACGCCTCGTCAGTGTTGTCGTGGGGAGAAAGCAAGGCAAGGTTGCGTGGGCAAAGGACCGTTCGGTGTCGGAACCCAACACCCCTCCCCCTTCTCTACAGAGCGACAGATGATGCTGAAATGGTCCGTGCAAGCCCGCCACCACACCTTAGCGCCCTTGGATTGTCAGGGCCGCCAGGGAGCTGTTTGGCCCGCTGGGGCAGCTACTGGAGAAGGCGGGGTCGGGAACGGCGCAAAGAGGTACCTTAGGTAAGCCAAGGTAGCGTGGGTAGGAACCTTGACGGAGACATGTCACCGGCCCTGTCAGCTCTTGTGTCTGGTTACAGGTACACCAACGAGACGCATCAGACAGGTCTCCGATAGCCTAATCAAAGCGAGAGGACAGCTTGCGGCACATAAATCAAATGTTCAATGTGTTGCCGTTGGTTGAGCAGGGACTGGAACTGACTTGACAAACTCATCAGACGCCATGACGTTCGGTGTCACCGAGGCCTCACTTACACAGACACGGTGAACTACTTTGGACTCGACGTGTCGACGAGGGGAGCCAAACTTTACTCTCCACCACTCTTCGCGGATGTCCCTTAGGGTATTCCAAGTGAATATTAAAAATTCTAATAGGACCTAGACCAAGCAGCGAGTTTCCTGTGTCTCATACACCTTTTTGAATGTGCCCTTGATAGACCCCCTAATCTCGCCCATGGGCCATTCCCGGAACACTCAGCACCACAGAGACTCACTCGACTACCCTTCAACCACAGCAAGGTGTTTCTCGTCCAACTTGTGACGCACTTTTGATGACGATCTTGTTCCGGCTACAAATGGAGATAGATCGGCCAACGAACGGCAAGTTCAAAGATCTAAATGCTCTTCAACTGCTGTATGACATGTAGCGCGCATTGCAAGCTTCCATTACCTTCATGCTCAATGGAGCCCTAAGTTTGACAGGAGTCAGAAAACAGTGCTACCCGCTGAGCCACCTCGCGGGACGAGTCTCAAAGTTCAAAACGCCAGTGTTGAATGATTTTATTGGCCGTGTCCGGAAGATAATTCAAGAAAAAATCTGCTTCGAACACTTTAAAGAAGCTAGCTTTCATTTCTTTCCCGGAAGACAAACGCACGTTGAAACTGTCTAGTTGAACAGATGAGAAAACCCCCTCGTCTGAAACTGTTTATAAGATGCGACTTGAGGTGAGACTTTCAGCTAGTTCCTGAAGTGAAGAGAGAGAAAAAATGAATCCACCCAGCTAGTATTTCTACCTCTTATTCCAGGGGCGTAATCCCAGAGGAGGGAAACCGTCAAGGTGATTGATTCATCCTTGCTTAAGGTACCTTATCTTGGAACTCGCGGGAAGCGCCTGACTCAGCAATGTGGCTTGGATAAGCCTCCGACAAGACACGTGACTCAGGGATCACCTTTGCTGTTTCCGGCCTAGGTAGAGGAAAGCTGAGCGTCGCGTTTCTCTGCCGCCTGCAGTGGCCCCCGGTGCTGCTACGCATTGATTACCTACGCAAGCAGCAGCAGCCTTGCCTTGCTCCCCTGCGCTTCCACCTCCATCTCCGGAATCCACCTCCAACCATCATCATCACAAGCTCATCGACGACACCTCGACACCTCCCCGAATCAGAGGACCGCCCCTTTTTCTTCCCGTCAACATAGAAAGGCCGTCTGCACATTCTTACTGAGCTCTTGGAGCTCCCTGTGCCAAGATGGTAAGCACCGCTCCCCGAAAGGTGGCAGCCACGATCTAATAGCTCTGTGTAGGGTCAGAACCAGTCAGGAATGGGTGGTGGAGGTGATGGAAAGGACGAGAAGGATAAGAAGGTATGTCCAAACATATTCAAGAACAAGACGCACAATGGTGTCAATGGACTGATTGGCAATGCAGAAGGAGAAGCCCAAGTACGAGCCTCCCCCACGCCCTACCACCAGAGTCGGTCGCAAGAAGAGAAAGGCGGCTGGCACCAGCGCCGCTGCGAAGCTCCCTGCCGTTTTCCCCACCAGTCGATGCAAACTCCGCCTACTACGAATGCAGCGAATCCACGATCACTTGATCCTTGAGGAGGAGTACGTCGAGAACCAGGAGCGCCTTCGCAAGGCCAAGGCCGTCAAGGAGGGTGCCGCGGTCGGCCCCGAGGGTGATGTCGATCGCATGGCCGACGAGCGTGGTCGTGTCGACGATATGCGTGGCAGCCCCATGGGCGTTGGCACGTTGGAGGAGATGATTGACGATGACCACGCGATCGTCAGTAGCACGACTGGTCCCGAGTACTACGTCAGCATCATGAGCTTCGTCGACAAGGACCTGCTAGAGCCCGGCGCCAGCGTTCTGCTCCATCACAAGAGCGTCAGCATTGTTGGTGTTCTGACTGATGATGCCGATCCGCTGGTCAGTGTGATGAAGCTAGACAAGGCACCAACGGAGTCATACGCCGATATTGGTGGTTTGGAGCAGCAGATCCAGGAAGTCAGAGAGTCGGTCGAGCTTCCTCTGTTGCATCCCGAGCTGTACGAGGAGATGGGTATCAAGCCACCCAAGGGTGTCATTCTCTATGGTGCTCCTGGTACCGGAAAGACGCTGCTCGCCAAGGCCGTTGCCAACCAGACGTCTGCTACTTTCCTGCGTATAGTGGGAAGTGAACTTATCCAGAAGTACCTCGGTGACGGTCCCCGTCTCGTCCGCCAACTGTTCCAGGTACGTTTGTCTTTGCACATTTGCTAGCTACTTTTCCTCTAACAAGTCTAGGTTGCCGGCGAGAACGCCCCCTCGATTGTGTTCATTGACGAAATCGATGCGATTGGAACGAAGCGTTACGACTCGACCTCGGGTGGTGAGCGTGAAGTGCAGCGAACCATGCTGGAACTTCTCAACCAGCTCGACGGTTTCGACGACCGTGGTGACGTCAAGGTCATCATGGCCACCAACAAGATCGAGACTCTCGACCCCGCCTTGATCCGTCCCGGACGTATCGACAGAAAGATTCTGTTTGAGAACCCCGACCAGAACACGAAGCGTAAAATTTTTACGCTTCACACTTCCAAGATGTCGCTCAACGATGACGTCGACCTCGAGGAGTTCATCTCGCAAAAGGACGATCTGTCTGGTGCCGACATCAAGGCCATTTGCTCAGAGGCCGGTCTCCTGGCTCTCCGCGAGCGCCGTATGCGTGTACAAATGGCAGACTTCCGTTCGGCCCGAGAGAGAGTCCTTCGGACCAAGCAGGAGAGTGAGCCTGAAGGCTTGTACTTGTAGTTTGTATGACGAGGGTACGGGACTATGGCTAGACGGCGGCTACAATAGAGATAATGGCAAGGCATGCCTTGACGTTGCTTGACGTTGACTCGGCATTGATTAACGACACCGACATGGATCAATTCTGCGCTGCACTGTGAAATTAGTGACTATGTTGCATCTGTCGTGAAGCATCAACGGAAACTTTGAGCACTTTGTTGTCGTAAGCTTCCGGCTCATGTCTTTTTTTTTATCCAAATGAGGCACATCTTATAAGCATTGAATGAGGACCCTGGAAGTCAGTCTACATGCCGAGGATGGGCATCTGCCGGAACAAACGCATTGGTGGAACGAAGAGTCGTTACTAAGACGCCAATATCTCTCCGCATGCTAACGGAAGGGTGCCGGGGTCTCCACGGTGGAATTGATCGCTAGCCGCGCAGGGTGACAGTCCCAAACTCAAGATTACGCTTGCTTCCCAGACGAACTCTACTCATTGGCATTCGAGACTTTGATGATAGTAACGCCTCGGCTGGGCCCTTTGTGCATTGGGGTCCAGACCTCACGGCTCTGGTCCGCAGGGACGGCATCCCTGATAGGTGCGGCTGGGGGTCACCAAGGAGGCTCCTGGTTGCCGGAGCGAAGTTCCAGAAGCTTATTCGTATGGATGATTTCCCAGCCCTTGGATTTGGATTGTAGGTGGGAACGTTGTGAAAGCAAAGAGGACTGGAATTGGAAATTCGTCAAGTCTTGAAATCGTGCGGTAGGGAACTACTGTGACAGTCTAATGTTACGCGCCATAAATCCATTATCCCATAACTCAGCAAAAGATATGCTCGACTGGTACAGGCATTCCAAGCCGAGACCAGCTAATTAAAAACAACTCCAAAAGAAAGACAAAAGTCCGTGAGTGAAGAAACCGCAAGGTGGTGAAATTTAATATCCCGCCCGCCTAAGCCTCTCCTTTTCATCCAAAATCGGCGCCTCCTCGGCATCCTTGGGCGCGTTCGTGACGCCCTCCTCGCCGCCGCTGTAGGTATTCAAGTTCAACTGCGAAGCTACAGAAGGCGTGTACGCCGGCGCAGGCACGTCGTCATCATCATCCATCGGCGGCGGCGGCGGCGTCGCATCGCCCGGCGAACCCATCATCGCCACCTCCCTAGCAAAGGCCGGGTCCACGGAATACCGCCCCTCGAGCGCCATGAGCGTCTGCCACAGCGGCATGGATCCCTCGGGCCACTCGGCCTGCGTCTGCAAAATCTTCTTTGCCGAGATGCGGCGGTCCGCGTACGCGACGCTATTGCAGTCCTGCCGGGCGAGGATAATCGTGCCGTCAATCTGCACGCCGGCCCAGAGGCCGCGGGACTTCATGTAGCTGTACATTGGCCTCGCCGTCTTGGACACGGCGGCCTCGACGGCGCCGCCGGTCCCGACGGGCCCGATGGCCACGGAGGCTTCGGTGCCGAGGGAGACGCGCGGGTGAGTAAAGGCGGCGACCTGGGCGGCGGTGTTGAGGACGAGGACGCAGTCGTAAATGTCGAGGCCGATCATGAAGCCCGCGCCGAGGGTGGAGACGACGAAGGAGGAGGGCGGGGACCAGGTGCCGTCTGGGCGGCGGGCGACGACGAGGCCGGAGCCGGCGGCGAGGGAGCCCATGTAGGCGCCGGCGCGGAGGGTGTTGAAGATGGCGAGGCCGGCGCAGTGGGCGAGGACCTGGTGGGGGATCGTGACCATGGCGCGGCGGGTGATGCCGAGGGGGTGGAGGGGTCCCTGGGCCGTTGGCGGTTCGGGGCCGAGGTCGGTGAAGGCGTGGAGGATGCGGGCTGCTTTGGCGCACTCGCGGGGCATGGTTTGCGGGAACCAGCCCTCGGCGCCGACGAGGTGAGCGGCCTTGTTGAGGGGGATGCCGGCCGTTGTGGTGATTTTGTGGAGGTTTGCGCCGAAGCCCTTTCCGGGGGGCTTCACGGCCGGAGGGGCCCGGTCTGTGGCGTTGGAGCGAGTCCGGTGGAGGGAGGAGAGGGTGCGGGTGAGTGAGAAGCGGCGGGTGAGGGTTGAGCGGGCTGAGGAGGAGGAGGAGGAGGAGGAGGAGGAGGGGTGGGAGTGGAGGGAGTGGGTGTCTGCTTCTTGGGCATGTTCCTGAGCCTGGGCCGGAGCCTGGGCCGGAGCCTGGGAGGTTGCCTTTGGTTCTGTGACGAGGGTCATTGTGGTTAGGGCGGGTTGGGTGTTGATAGAGTTGTGTGTCCTGGCCGTGTAAGTCGACGATGTTGGGATATGGAGATGTCAAGATGCAATGGGTATCGCCTCACAAAGCTCTGACTTTCTCGCTGTAAGTGTGTTTGATAGAGAGAGGGGGAAACAACCCACCATTGAACGGTGCTCACGAGCATGCTATATACGTCCTTCGTCTCAACAGACACATCCTCACTTGAGGCGTGGGCAGGACGGAGGCATCATCAGGGATCGTCCCCCGAGCCAGAGGTGCAAAGACCAGCAACCTTCAAGGTCGAAGCCGGGATGACGCTTGCGCGCGCAGCTTTGCGCTTCGCCCCAGCCCGCGGGAATAGTGTGGCACCGCGACTGATGGGGGAAGGGCCGAGAAGTGGTCTCGCCTCGCGAGGACGGGTCCCAAGACGGCGAGAGGTGAGGGCGGCGACGGCGACGGGGGGACGTAGAGGAGAGGAATGAGACCGATGGACCAGTGGGAATTTGTCCAGAGGAAGGGGAGGACTTTTGCTTGGTGATGGTTCATGCTTCTTGGCGTCTGGGCGCCGCCTGGGCAGGAAACTTAGGGTTGTCACAGTACTATTTGCAATATTCGGAACAGGCTTGCACTCGGAGACGGAGGGACTCGACTACGGAGGCGATAGGAGGACAAGACGGACGGGATGGGGGAAGCGGTAAGTGGGAAGTGGGAAGCAAGAGGCAGCGAGAGAGATGAGCAAGGCAAAGACGCGGCGAGCAATGGAGGCGGGGAAATCAATCATCCCATGCAGACGACGACAGCAAGATACTCAAAAAGAAGGAGAAAAAGGCTTGGGTTTGCCCTATTGGTTTCATGTGATGGCGTCCGCCAGTCTGGCCCCAAAGATTCGTGCGAGATGGACCTGAGTTGGGATGAAATGCAGTGCCTTACTCCTCGTCAGCCCCCATCTCACCAGCAAGAGCAATGAACTGAAAGGCGGATGGTGGCGCAGTTGGAGAAGTTGGGTGAGACGGAGAGTTTGGCAGCGTCTATGGGCGTGTGAGTGAGTAAGAGTGAGTGTGAGTGTGTGCAACTGTCAGGTCATGGGTCCTCGTTGGAAGTTGGTGTGTGAATGGAAAGCTTGGCTAGCTAATTAGCTCACCCTGCCCTGTCTTGCAGTACGGCTTGTCTTTGTATCCTGTCCCCTCCATGATAAGACGGTAAGTGCGCGGCTCGGTGGGTGAGGTCCTCGCGAGGATCGAGCTGCCCGAACGGCGGGAGGCCGAAGCGCGGCGGAAGAGCGAGGTGGGGCTGCAGGGGCTGCAGGGGCGCGGAATGGAACCGGATTTGGGTAAACGGAGAGATTTGGTTCGTCAGGATAAAGACACTAATTGGTCACGGTACATAGCAGCACAATTTTGCCCTGAATTCTATAAGATGTCTCTATGGCTCAGTCGGTAGAGCGTTGGTCTCATATCCATACATATGACTCTAGATCATCTAGAGATATCCAAAGGTCGCAAGTTCGAGCCTTGCTAGGGACACTTCCTTTTGCTTTGGTCGAGAATCTTATATATTTGTCTTTAATTTGATTCTCTTCCGTACGCCCCCTTTTGGACAATACGTTGGCGAGGATTTCTTCTCACTTTTTGCGATGCTGATTTTCCACCGTCGGTGGACGCAACTCAAAAGTCAATCAACCAAGGATCGCTCCGCACCGAAATCTTAATCTGACAACGTCGAATATTCCTTTACTGTATTCTTCTCGGCCATGGTGAGATCGACGAGACATACATACAGACAGCACTAAAGCCATAAAACAACTGGATGAATCAAAGTATCCAATTTAAGTATCTTGTGTAGATTTGCAGGTCAAGCAAGCGCCTGTATGGTTTGCAGTCTCAAATATTTGGATGTGGCCCTTTTCGCCATGACGACCACTGCCAGGTGCTAAACACTCTTCAGAAAAGCTGCAGAGAGACTGGTGAGCGCTTGAGACCACTCACTTCAAACCAAGGTCTTTCGCCGTGGTTTACTCCCGCTTCTGCTTAAAGCTCCGTCTTGACGGTCCGAGAGTCGCAGTATAGAGAGCCTCCGATACGTTCACGAAGAGGTGATCAGCACCATTACGAGCCAGGTGGTAGTCCTCCGATATTCCCGCAGGAAGTTTGTCATGCCAGTCAATGTGGATGGGTATTTGTTTGCCTCATGCTCAGCCCTTGTCTGGTGTTGACGCAGCTCCACAAACGAATGACAAAAAAACAAAGCCAAGCTAGGCTGCCCGCGCCTCTAGCGTAAGGCTCCCTTGATGCCATGCTAACACGTCGACAACGTCCACTGCATCGCCTCGAAAATTGTCGTATGTGTGTATAGGACCTCGCTGCCTCGCCGGGGTCTTCGGTGGACCTTTCAGCTGGCGATTCCGCAAGTCGTTGCGTGGTTTGACGACTCAAAAGTACCTCCTCTTGATTTCCAAAGTCTTTGCTGCGTGGTGCTTCATACGACAAGCGCGGATACGTTAGTATTTCGACCGAGTGTCCTCACGATAGGCCGGTGCATCATCTCCGCCTGAACAGAGATGGACCGGGGCTGAAGCTGCGTGGCTTTCCCGGTTTAGGTGGCGGGTGAGCCTGGTTTTTGCGCAATTAAGCCATCACCGGGGCGTTTTGATGTTGCCGGAAGATCTTCTCGGCGTGCCATTGAACGACGTTGGGAAGATAGTGACAATCTCTGACCGAGGCCACTCGATGGGAAGCCCATCTCATGTTTGAGCCTCACTCCGTACTGGATCGACAGACTGCTCTTCCACGGGGCTCATCTCAATCAAAGCCTCGTGTGCTTCATGCCGGGGGCTCGCCTTGTCTAAAAAGATCCAGCTTGAAGTTGCCGCCGGTGGGAGGTTGCGTCCTCGGAACACCTTCAATCGGCACCGGCTTGAAAGACTCAGCATGCCGAATATCGACACCCTCCCGGATGCACCTCAGAGGCCATTGGATCCATTCCCTCCAGGGCTCCTGGATAGCCTGGTCCAAAGCCGAAGCCACGTTCCTGCCCCAGCCGACGAGGTACCACATGTTGCGCTCAGTGGCGTTAACCAGCGCTGCGTAGTGCATGAGGATGACGAGGGCCATAGGGTGGTTCTGGCTCATCAGCTCGAGGAACGGCTGGGGGAGGGAGACGGCCCAGCGCCAGACCAGACCGGACCTGTGTTTCGGGGAAGAGACCGCGGCAAAGGTGATTTTGAGCCCCTCGAGCGCGGACTGGCAGGTCGTCGTGTCGTCCGAGGGTGCCATGCTTCGCGTGAGGTTGAGAAGATCGTCGACTTTGGAGGCGAAGTTGCCCCCTACGGCCGGCTCGACGCCGCCTTGGTAGAGCCAGCGGGCTAGCGGGCCGTTGGAGATGTAGCGGTGAGCGAACGGAAGGGTGAGGATGCTCTTGATTCCTGGGGTGGGTCAGTATAACAAAGACGTGGCTCGGGTGGGGCTCTGACCTTGAAGCAGGATGAAGGACTGAGCGACGTCCTTGGAGGTGATGGGCCCCTGGGGGTTCGCGATGGAGTAGGTGTTGAGTAGGAAGATGCATATCGCGTGGAGCACGTAGGCGTCGGCGTTGTTTTCACCAATCTCGCTCAGCCCTGGCGAGAACTGACTCAGGGCGATGTTCTGGTGGCGTACTGATAAGTTGGCGTTCTCGTCCCTTTTCTCGGGGTTGAGGTGGGCTCTGTGGATAGCTGCTACGGCCAAGATGCCATGAAGGAGGAACTCCTGGAAGGCTGAGTTGAGTGCAAGTACGTGCACAGGAGAGGACTTACGTTGGCGAATGCAATCTGCGGCACTGTTGTGGTCCACAGATACACAAAGTCTGGATTCTCAGAAATGGTATGAGCCGTGGTGGTGGTGAAGTGATGGACAAGTTGCATATCGGTCAACCAGTCAGCTTGGGATATACCGTGGGTATCTCCCGAGTCGCCGTGACTTGACCCGTTGGTGGGGCTTGAGTAGTTCTCATGAACGTTCTGGTGGTTGAGGGCATCTACTTCAGCTGTGAACTCTGAGAGCAGCCCTTGGATGGCGGCGGCCTTGTCTTTTAATGAAGATAATTGAGGCAAGGGCCTTTCGCGGCGGCTGGCTGGGCGGCTGGTCGTCGAAGCTCCGCCGACGCTGCCTGGTGTCGCCGCGCTTGCGGCATCCTGGGCTGGTTTGGGCGACTCGTTGACGGGATGAAGCTGAGGTGCGAATGGCGTGAGGACAAGACTGCACTTGACGTCGTGTCGTACACAGTTGCGACATGGCCGACTCTCATCACACTGAGTGTTGTTAGTTACTCATCCAAGCCACTAAAGGTTTCCGGGCTGAAGGGGTCGGCTTGCTTGGCATGGCTTGCTGCAGAGACCAGGGCCCTGAATAACTGACCTTGACACGCCGTTTCTTGCACTGCTGACAGCCATTCCTCGACTTCTTGTGACCTATACGGGTGCCGCGTGTCGCGGTGGCCATCTTTGGCCGTCCGGCGCCGTTCTCCAGAGCCGCCACCTCGTCCTTGAGCGAGGTGGTGGACCCCTTCCTTTCCGAGGCGCCGTTCATGGCATTTGACTCGCTCGATAAATCTCTGAATGACAAGCACCGCCGGGGTGTAACTCGTCAGTGGGAAGAAGCTCTTCTCCTTCTCCCTCTTGTGCTCCGAGGAGCTGGAATGCGCTGTCTCAAGGGATGTTTTGGCGCTTGGACAAGGCGACGCAGTCCAAAGTCGATTATCTGATCCCCAAGGTCGGTGGCGTCGCTCTTCATACTGCCGGGCTGCAGGATGTAGCTACACTACGCCAGCACCAAGCAAGCGTGAGAGAGAGAGAGAGAGAGTCCCGCCGCCCGGGGCTCCACGTTGCGGCTAACAGACGGGGACCCATGCACTCGCAGATGCAGATGGAGCACGCGCACCACCGTCGGCAGATGCGGAGTGCGTATATCGATGCTGGATTTCACAATGCGATCAAGATAGGGTAACGCGAGGGCGGTGTTTACAATGAGAAGTGGCGGAATTGCGAAGTTTTGACAGATGCACGTTGCATGTGTTATAAAAGAAGGGGTCTCGAGACTGTCAGGGTGGCCCTGGAACTGGAGGCTGGAAGCTGGCGCAGTCCGCTCGCCATTCTGCGCTGACTGAAACGGCACGTGACGGTAAGGTTTAAAACGGTGAAGAACAGACGGAGGGGAGGCCCTTCCGTTTGGGGCAGATCTGCGCACGGATAAGGCACCTACCTGGTCGAGGAATGGCCCAAGCTCCTCTCCGCACCTGGGGATACGATACGTACCGGATACCTTGGCAAGCTTAGCACGCTTAGCCCATTCCCCCAGGGACTATGGGCTGACGTGGCTGATGCTGCGACATGTGGCTTGACCAACCAGTGCCCTCGTTCCTCCGCGGGGCAACAGGCAGGGCAGCATGGGCAGGTACTTCCACTGTCAAGGAACCAGCCGAACGCAGGCACGCCGTGCTAAAATGCGACCTGCATGACGCGCCCCGGCGGAACGCGACTTGCCGTTCCGTAAAAGCTGAGGGTGGTGAGGTCAGGAGCGGCTTGGACGGATAGCTCCTCCAAGCTCCAGCTCTCCTCCCGTTCGGATCTTAGCCAAAGAAAGGAGACGCCAGCAGCGCGTCAACGTCAGCATCAGCTGCTAATCTCTTCGCCCATTGCCCATTGCCATTGCCCACCCACCCGTGCCACGCAACAGAAGCAGCCGGTTGTACGCTGTAGCTTGCATCCAATCACCCAATTCAGCCTCTGTCACTCGTCCGTCACCGGCCTGCCGCTGGCCGTCCTTGAGCTACAAAGTACTTGGCCGCATAATCGCTGCGTCTGTGTCTCTCTCCCTGCGAGCGGCCAACCGTACGACCGACCCCTCCCAAATTGCAGCATCCCGTCCATCCCTGGGAAGCTAAGAGAAAGAGAGAGTGTCGATTGATAAAGGACATTTTCCCCCAAGGCCGCCTTTCAACCCCGATCGACCACCCCTCCCTCGTCAATATCCTCGACGCCCATCAACGACGCTCCTCCACCAGACATCCCACCAGACATCCCCAAACGAATCGCCCAGCATGGCGTCAAATAGCGACTTCAATGATATCAAGGCCTCCGCCAAGGATAACGCTGCTGGCGTCTACGCCTACGGTCAGCGCCAGATCAATCGGGTCGTAAGCCCCGACACCAGACAAAAGGCGTTGGGCAATGCCTACAACTTTGCTCAGGAGCAGCCATTCCTCTTTGTAGGTCGAGCCCCTCCATCCAGCACATATCGTGATACCAAACGGCTTTGCTAACAACCAAGTCCAGGCCTTCATCCTCTGCCAATTCATCTTCTCCTTCCTCCCAATCCTCGTCTTCATCTCCTTCTCCATCTCGACCATCGCCTTCGCCTTCGGTGTCGCCGTCGTCTTCTCCCTCTTCTGGATCGGCATTGCCCTTCTCGTCCTCGTCCCGACCCTCTTCTTTACCTGCTCAATCGGCGTCCTCGTCTGGATCTGGGCCGCCGGCAGCTTCGTTGTCGCGAAGCGCTTATATGAATTGTCGCCGATTCATGCTAGAGGCGACCTGGAAGTAGACGCTCCCAACGGAAAGACTTATGCAGTCACTAAGCGTGAGGACGGCGTTCACGTGCACGCCCACAATTGAGTTAGAGCATTTATAGAAAGCATGCGTGTACTAGATATGATGGGAAAAGATGGCCTGGCGTTTGAAAGTACGGATATTGGGAACGGGTTTGAGAAAAGGGGCGCCTGATTCTGAAAAGGCTGTGGATGGTGTACGCCCTCCACAGACACAGCGTTGCTATTTTTATTTTATTACCTGTTTCGCTCTTCAGCTTGGCACAGCAAGATTCGACTGTGAGTGACTACCAATCATCCTCGTCTCTAAAGAGAAGATGACTCCTGTTTCGTGATGTCGAAGATTATCGTTGCAGTCAAGCAGAGACAAGCCCAGAGCGTTCACTGTATTAGCTCGACCCGGATACCTCGGTTCAGAGAGGGGAGCTCCTCGAGGAAAATCGGCCGCTTGCTCACTTGCACTTGCCTTAGGATGGCCCTGGCCTACACCATTACGAACTGACATGGGCATATAAATCTCTTGGGCTGTTGCAACTTCTACTGGTCAACAGGAGTAGCGGCATTCCACGCGGGTCGCCTACAGCCTTTGGATAGTATTTCTAGGCAATTTGGCACTGTGAGCGTGTGCTGTTAAGGTTGAGAAGTAGCTCAGAAGTAGCACAGTTGGTCCATGTCACTTGAAGCTGCCTGGTGTGAAACTCAGTCTTCAATAAGAAGTAACTTAAGTTTATAAAAAACAGATGGGTGCACCACCACGCGCACAATGCGAAAATGATGAACCGCACTCAGGAGCAATCCTGGAAGGCTCTTGTGAGGATTACACAAATAAAAAGTGCAAAACAAGAAATTGGTGCCAACACTGTGGATCGAACACAGGATCCCCGCATTACAAGTGCGATGCCTTACCACTTGGCCATGCTGGCGAATCGAGTTATGAGTGCGATTCGAAAGTTGCAATATCAATCTCTCCCACTAGGTAGGTTCCGATTCCACGTCAGATGAAGTTCAAGCTCATTCGTAGCGTCTTGATGTCGCAACTAACTGAGCATCCACTGTCATACATGTGCAATGCCGGGCCATTTTCCTTTTCAGCGATAAGCCAAATCACGGCCTGATGTTGTAGGAGCTTAAGCGTGGTTGTAAACAAATTAGTGGCCTGGCATTGAACATTTGTGCCTGTCTATCTCATGAAGCTGACAGTGTGAATGATTGGTAAAGGTGGAAGAACGCCTCGCCAACACACATTGCAGCTGCGCCCGCCGCCCGATCCTTTTTGGTGTTAGTTGAATCCAAGAACACAGGCCGGACGTTGCCTCCAGCTGATGCTTCGATGGAGGGCTAAGTGGGCTTAAGGGCCATGCCATGCACGATGGTGCACGTCACTACTGTTCATATTGGCGACGATCACATCCCTCGATGCGTGAAATGCCGAACCACAGCCCATATTCGACTCCACAAATAATCATCAGCGCAGAGGACAAGTCATGGCATTCAATACCAAAGGACGAAGAGTTTGGGAGTCTCAACCTCTGTGGCGGGTAAAATGACAGTTGTGAACGGCGAGGAAGCTACTGCTACTACGTTGTGATACCTCAAGAGACCTGATAATCCACCAACTCACGACCTTGGTTATCATCCGATTTACGTTGGTAATTGCTGGGAAATTATCTCTAGACCAAGAACTGCTATAAAATGCTGAGGTTTTACAACCATCCCGAGAATTGAAAAGGATTGGGTCGACCTAATCTGTATCAACTTGAACAACCTAGTACAGATAGTTATGCAAGTGACCACCATCTTCCCAGCGGATCATCTTACAGCTCGCAGGATAACAAATCGGAAGACGACCCAATCAACTCACGCAAAAGTTTTTTCTGCGAGATTATGGAAGCCTCTTAGTTCAAGTACAATTCCCCAGGACCCATCAAAGGCTCGGATCTCTGGGAGATGGCGCTGACCGCTAAGTCACATGCCGCAGACTTTTGAGACAAACTATACGACGTTCTGTCTCCTGTACTTCGAAACTGAGAGCAAATTGTTGCAACAAACTACATTATTTAATATCAAAACGCCGCATGATTATTGGGTTCTTTGCGCACTGTATTTTGAATGAACGTAAACTTCGGCTCTTCTTCGCCGCCAAGGGTAGGGTTTCTGTCGCCTCTGGCAATGGGAGAGCAAATTGATCTGAGGTGTCGAGCGGAAGACAGGGAGAGTCAATTGAGAGAGCTGGACCGGGCTTTGGGCATCAGGATGCTCTGGAAGTCTCCAATGTTGGGAGACACTCTCGAGACTTTTGAGAGAGGTTTACATACTAGGACTATGTGAGCGGTTTTCTGGCCACATGCTCATTTTTACCGGCGGAGCAAGACACTCTGCAGTTGTGTCGGGTTGACGGTGGCATGTACCGGATTTGCATTGCCTAAGGAAGCCTTGTATAGATAAGACTGCCTCAAGATCTGTGTAAATTCCTTCACATGATCATATCATTGGTGGGCATACTGTCACCACTTGTGACACACAGGCACTCGTCGTTTCGATGAATCCAGAGACGTAATTAGTAGTCTATCTTGTAGGTGACGCTCAGTAACAACAGTACTTGGTCAATGGATCCATTCGGGACTATTGTCGGCAAGGTGACTGGAACCTTGGCGGGTTGAGAATGCGACTCTCTATTCCTCCTCGGCGGGCGCCTCATCCTCGTACTCCTCGGCGTATTCATCATCCATGCCCGCATCCTGGTATTGCTGGTACTCAGACACCAAGTCGTTCATGTTGGATTCAGCCTCTGTGAACTCCATCTCGTCCATGCCCTCGCCAGTGTACCAGTGCAAGAAGGCCTTTCTCCGGAACATGACGCTGAACTGGTCGCCCACTCTGCGGAAACTGTTTTGAATCGCAGTGGAGTTTCCGATAAAGGTGGACGAGACGTCGAGACCCTGGGGCGGGACGGAGCAGTGGGCCGTCTGAATGTTGTTGGGGATCCATTCGACAAAGTTGGTCGAGTTCTTGGTCTTGATGGCGTGAATTTGGTCTTCGACCTGCTTCATCGACACCTTTCCGCGGCTGTTTGGGGGGTCAGAAATTGATAGGAGAGATGGATAGTGGTGAGAATGCAACGTACAACATGGTGGAGCAAGTCAAGAAGCGTCCGTCTCTGAAGTCAGAGGCCAACATGACGTTCTTGGGGTCAAACATTTGCTGCGTGAGCTCGGCGACACCGAGGTTCGAGAAGGAGGCGGAAGACGTGAGCGGCGCAAATCCGACGGTGAAGAAGTGCAATCTAGGGAAGGGGACGAGGTTCACGGCTAACTTGCGGAGGTCGGCGTTGAGCTGGCCCGGGAAGCGGAAACCAGTCGTCAGGCCGGACATGACCCTCGACACGAGGTGGTTCAAGTGCCCGTACGAAGGATGAGCCTGCTTGAGCGTGCGCCGGCAGATGTCGTACAGCGCCTCGTTGTCGATACAGAACGTCTCGTCCGAGTTCTCGACGAGCTGGTGGATCGACAGGGTGGCGTTGTAGGGCTCGACGACGACCTCGGACACCTTGGCGGAGGGCAGGACGGAGAAGGTGGCCATCATGCGGTCGGGGAATTCTTCGCGAACCTTTGCGATGAGGAGGGTGCCCATGCCGGATCCCGTGCCGCCGCCGAGCGAGTGGGTGATTTGGAATCCCTGGAGGCTGTCGCAGGCCTCGGCTTCGCGGCGCACGACGTCGAGGACGGAGTCGACGAGCTCGGCGCCCTCGGTGTAGTGGCCCTTTGCCCAGTTGTTACCTGCGCCGGACTGGCCGTTGACCATGTTGTCGGGGCGGAAGAGGTTGCCCAGCGGGCCGGAGCGGATGGCTTCCATGGTGGCGGGCTCGAGGTCAACCAGGACCGCGCGGGGGACATACTTTTGTCTTCCGGCCTACATCACCAGCGTGGTGCGATTAGATTCCGATGATCTAGCATGAGAAGGGGGGGTAAAGGCGCAGATGAGATGAGGAAGCGCATGTGAGGTGGCAGTACCTCGGTGAAGTAGACGTTCAATCGCTCAGATTGTTGCTCATCGGTTCCTTGGAACCTAGGACGCAAGTCAATATACCATTCTCAAAGACGCCAGCCAATTGCACTTATGGCGCAGCGGCCCTGCAGGTGGAAAACTCACACTCCATCCTGATCCAAGCCATGTTCGGGATGAATGGTTTGCCTAATGTCGCAGACCAAGGTCAATTACTTGCTACAATGGATGAACTCTTGACAATGGCGTCCTCATACCAGAAAGCCGTGCCGACTTGGTTGCCCTACAATAGTCATCATCAGCAAAGGCGCGTGTGACGCGTTGAACAGGGGCAAGGGGCGACGTACGCATTGGCCGGTTTGGAGGTGAATCTATTGTGGATCACAGGGCATTAGTCGTCAAGAGGTCAAGAGGGACTCGACAAAGTCACGCCAACAGGTGCGCAACTCACAATCTCACGCATGATGCTGGTCGAGGATAAGACGGGGTTGTGGTATATTACGATGGTGAAGGACGCAGAAACGCAGATTTTTACCCCGCTGTTGGCTTGTTGAAATCACGACAGGTGGTCATCTTATAGCGGGATTCTTTAAATCACACAAAAAACCCCTTATCCTGTCCATATCGCTCGCCCTCGCTTGCGCTTCGCCCCGGATAGGCCCGGCCGTGGACTCTCGGTCTGGACTCGGAACCTCCCCACATGTTTGTGTCCAAGGGTTGCATCTGTTAAACGGCTGCCTCTTTGGATTCGATAGCTGCCTGTTTGTGTGTTTCTCTTGTACAGCAGGGCTCTTTCAGGTTGTCATACTTGAAGGGTAAAGCCAGGCAGTTAGTTAGTGGCCGGTCAGACTGGGGGCGGGGAAATTTGAGTGAAAAAAAAAGGAGAAAAAAACAAATTAAAAAAAAGACCAAAAAACCTTTTGCTACCCAACCAACGATTCGCGCGGAGGTAGCACCAGAAGAGAAAGCAAGCTAGACCCCGTTGGGCGGATGACCCGTACCTCCGTACAAACGATTGGTATATGATGCTCTGTGCAACTCCAAGTCTCCTCCAGTATCTGTGGGAGCAAAGTCTCCACGTCGGCGATAGGCGCATCATCAAAGTCGGGTGCTGGTGTCACCAACTCGTTGAAAGAGGGTTGCCTAACGCCGGTCCAACCGTCCAACCGCCCAACCAATGGCTCTCTTGGATATTCAGCTGCCTATGCTCCTCGAAACAAGCCGGTTATTGTCGGTCGCCGTGTTGATACACGGTTGCTAGGTGTCTGCCTGCGTGTGTGACACCACCACCACATCGACCGGTTCCGCCGCCGCCGCCGCCGCCGCTTGGCCGGACGAGACGGATCAGAGAGTCCGAATACCGCCCCCCCTGAGCCTCCCCTTGCCGTCCGTGCCCCTCGTTCTCGGCGGACGAACAGAGTTCGGCGCGCGCTTAAATTCCCCCAAAGCTCGGCGGACATTCCAGCGCGCACCCACGTGGGGAGATCCAAACATGGAAGAACGGGCAGCTGAGGGAATCCGGGAGAAGGGAAACTCAGCTCCCCCGCTCCTCGATGGCCTAGATTCTATGTCGCAGTGACTTTTGATCTTTGAGGGGCCCCGTACTGTTGGAGGAGCCACATTCGTCAGCGACGACGTCGGTATAGTCCGCAGATGCTGCAGACAGCCAAGTCGTCGTCACAGCGCGAACCCGACACAGAGGGTAGACCACCACCGCGGCGGTACAATGTAAGCCACAAATGCTGCAGACAGAGAAGTCGTCGCGGCGCGAACCCAACGCAAAGGGGGGGTAGACCACCAGGCCGTGAGGGAGCGGCATGTATGTGGCTTGAAGAGAGAGGACTCTGCTTTGTGACGAAAAGTACCATCACCGAGGGCGCCTGGAAGGTGTTGATGAAAGATAAGGTTATTCATTCTTAAAAGTCTATTGCCAAGCGAGCATTGCACGACAGGCCAAGCGAGGTTCCATGGCCGCGCCCCTGACATACCAATGAGATCAGAGACATGCTGCTCGAGTGCTGATCATTCACATACGACAAGGCCTGCTACAGCACAGCAACCAAACAACCTTTGAGTCCAAGTGTGGTGACCCAGCCACTGACGAGGGGTCAAGACGATCTGGAATGCGCATGTTTCGGGCAATCAGGGGCAGACGGGCAAAATCAAGGGTTTGGCGGCGGCAGCGGGAGGGGCGATGTACCTTCCTTCTCCCCTCTCAGCCTTCTCTCAACTTGACTGTCGGCCGAGGAGCCTCAGATAGGACCTGTGTGCATGAAAGCGTCGTCGTCTCTTCAGCCTCTTGAGGGAAAACCCCTCATACCGTCATACGTGTCGGGTAGACACTGATGTGGTCTGGACCCTTTGCTCGAATCCGCTCAGAGTAGCCGACCGTTTGCCAAAAGCGATCGGTGACAGCGGCATCTAGTCTGGCTAGCAAGCGGGAAATCATAGAATCTGGTTAGGTAGATTCGTAAGTTTCCCTTTCAGAGTGAGACATGGTGTCTGGAAGTTAAATGAACCGGGAGGATGTGGCTTGCCCATCAAAGAAAACGGGAGTTGTTCTCCATAGCCCCGCGTCGATGAATGCGGCACACCTAGCTACCGGACCTCGACGACAAGACCAAGTCCCGAATCCCCAGCGCGAGACTGAAGAATGAGAATGGAATGAGATATATCTATCTCTGCGAAACCCTGGTCTATCCGGGTTTCCTTCTTGCTCTTGCTCTCGCATCTTCAAGTTACCACTTGGAACACTCTCCTTGACTGCATCCTTTCTGCTATTCTTCTCAATACTCCTATTTTCCCGGGTATCATCAACTTCACCTCAGTGGCAGGAACCATCCTTCCATTCAGTCAGTCACTCCTTGCAACGACTCCTTTCAATTTCAATAATAATATCCCGGTGATTTCGAATACCCGAAACCCCAGCCCACTCCCCAGCCACCATGCACTTCTCAGCCAGCGTAACCTTCACCTTGGGCCTGTTGGCCTCCCAAGCCGCGGCGTTGAACATCGTCAAGGTGGCCTTCCGGGGCGGCGCCGTTGGCACCCCAACCTTTACGAGCACCACCGTCCGCCCCACGACGACCTTGGTCAAGCTCACCTCGGCAACCTCGTCATCGACCTCTTCCGCGGCGACAGCCTCCCCCACCGCGTCCTCCAACTCGACCTTGACCGCCGACCTGCAACGCGCCCTCGACCTCCACAACATCTACCGCGCGGCCGTCGGCAACGCCAACCTGACCTGGGACGCCGACCTCGCCAAGAGTGCTCAGGCCTGGGCCAACCATCTGACGACTGTCGGTAGTCTGGTTCACGACTCAAACCCTGGTGGCCAGGGAGAAAACTTGGCTTCGCAGTCGGGCGGCACCACCACCTACTTCACCAATGGTGTCCAGCTGTGGTTGAATGAGAAGCCCCTGTACGATGGCAAGCCCATCAGGACCACGGGATCGCCCAACTACCTGAACTATGGTCACTACAGTGAGTACCTTCAACAATAGCCTTTCACAGAGCTTTTCATGACTGACAAGTTTGATAGCTCAATGCATTTGGAAGGGAACTCAAAAGGTCGGCTTGGCCCTGGCTACCGACTCCAAGGGTACCACCTTTGTCGTCGGACGCTACTTGCCCCCTGGAAACTAGTAAGTCCCATCATCTTCACATTGTAAAGTCCATGTTCCTGACTGACTTCTTCTAGCGTCGGCCAAATGCCCTACTAAGCATGGAAGGAAGTCTTCGCAGTGTTGTTGATACGCCCTAATCATCAACACTGCCGGCTGGGCTGGGCTTTTCTTTCGATTCTAGACCGCTTCTCCTTCACTCAGTTGCTATGCTCATGGCACGATTCGCATGCCGTGGGCTCCTTCACTGCACATAGATTGTACAGTCACTTTCAAGATCTTCAACCGTGCGAGAGAAATACAAAAAGTTAGATGAAGCATTTTACTCACCATAGCCTTTGTACACATGAAAGAAAACAAAACAAAATGCCAAATCCGGAGAAGCGTTCAAAATAAAGTCTGACGTGGCAACGCCGACTCATGTCTCCGGTTCATCAATTCAAGCTCCGTGTCCGTCCGAAACGCACAAATTCACGCATCAATGTCTCACTGTTCGAGGCCTGCACAATGATTGGAGACAAACGAGGTAATATCACCGTCCGTACCGCTGCCTCGGAACGGGAAGCTGCAGCAGCTAAGAGCCGATTCGTACGAAGAGGTATTAAGAGCTGCTGAGAGTTCCCCGAAGAGCGTGCCCAGAAGGCTCCGGCCGCGGTAGGAAGCCTGGGAGGCTGGGTGACTCGAGTTGAACGACTGGTCGAGCAACTACAAGAGAGGAAGCCCTCGACCGTAATAGGTACGGCTGTCGAAGCGGATTCTGATGACGTCCTCCTTCCTTGGCCGGTTCAAACCTCAGACCCGTATACCTGGAACGCTTCATCTGCCTGCTTCTCGAACTCCCTAGTAGCACCCACGATGCCAAGGTCATCATCAACGACAAGACGCAGGCGTATGTCGACAGCCACCACAATGACAAGCCAGAGCAAGTCCATTCCACCATCACCGCCAAAATGATACAACGGAATGAGTCGGGTTCTTATCATTCAACACGGAGACGACTCACACACTGGACCAAGAGCTCCAAGTAGCAGCCACAACCAAGCCTCCACGATGCTGGACGATCCCCAATTACACCAAGCGGTACGACAAGGATCCGATGAGAATCTTCCGGGACATTCTCATTTTAGCCAATCAGCTGTTCTACTTCTTCCTCACCACCAAGTTCTATCTCCCCTTCATGCTCCGCCACTCCATGAACGGCGCCGCCAGCATCAGCAGAATGGCCTGCGTGGACGCGAGCCGCAGAGTCCTCTTCAGGTTCGTCGTGATCCGCAACCCGGAAGGGATCTGCAGCATCCCCGACGACGCCTAATTCTTCGCCCTCATCGCCGCCATGACGCTCATGCTCGCGCAAGTCGACGCCCGACGGCGTGACAGGGGGAGGAAACAGGCACTGGGGGGAGGAATATCCGCACGCACCAGCCGTATGTCGACCGCGACAAGGTCGAGCAGACGTTGGAGTACATGCGCGACGGGAGCTCCAAGAACACGGACATGCTCTCCATTAAGAGCGCCGACGTGCTGAAGATCTTATCCTATTCACGATTGAGGCTGGTGTTGTTGGGTCATTGACGTTTACTAAGGTACCAGCTTGAGTTCAGAATCGACGCCAGCTTCCGCTTCGTTTGGTGTTGTTCGTGAGGGGCAGAGCAGGGGTGATGCTAGGAATCTGTTGCAGCTCAAGATTCCGTGTTATGGTGCGGCCATGGCTCTCCGATCTTGGAAACCCCGGGTTGCTTGGCAACGGAATCGCTCCTAAACTAGAGAACTGGCCCTTTCAAGTCGGTGGTGCTGCCTTTCTTACACCGACAGTCTGATTCGAGGGTTCAAAAGCGGCGACGGTTCCTGAGGAACAAACGGACCGTTATATCGTGACTTCACGCTTGGTCATCCCCGCCTAGGATATGAGACAAGCCACTTAGCAGTGAAATGTACCTGGATGGATCAAAGTAGTCCAGGATCTATCTTTCTATGAGCGGAGCCAAATGCCAATAAATAATCATACATGTACATCAAGTAACCAGAGCGTAAGGTGTATCGAAGCATTCATCCCAGTCTCTACTCCCAGACGACCAAAACCTCTCTAGTATATCCTTTGTCGCCAGAGGCAAATACGCACCCAGAAAACTACTCTCATCAGCTAATCGCTTAGCAATAAACGACCGCGCCGCAGCGGTCCCCGTCTTGGCCTCGAACCCTGCCACAATCATCGGCCACATGACGCAGCTCCTTAGGACCTGCGACCCGGCCGCCTTCTCGAGAAGAGCAAAGAGCTTGCCGTTGTGTATCGTCTTGACGGCCCGCCAGCCCGCAGACGCAGGTATCACGCCTACGCTCTGGAGGGACGCGATGGCGAAGACCGCGACGGCGGACTGGTACACCTGCGCCATCGTCGAGAACTCTTCTTGCGATTCTGTCTTGGCGGCCGACCAATTTTCCGGGGAGAAATTTATGATGCGCTCGAGGAGGTCTTCGGCTTCTGTCTGGAGTGCGTTTAGCGTGTTTGATGATTCTTGCTCGGTTGCGAGGTACCGGAGACGGTTGATGTCGATGATGTCGATGAAGAGCTCTGCGGGACAGGGCAGGAATGGGTAGTATCCTGTTTTGTAGATTTCCGAGATGAGGTCTCTCATCTTGAAATTGAGCAGGGGTGACACTTGATCGTGTGCTGGGCTGGTTGTGTTGGCCATGTTCTCGATGCTTTTCAGTGAGCGTGCCGTCAGTGATTTGCACGTGCAATGGCCATAGTTAATAAGACCAGACATCTTACATTTTGCAGAAAAGAACTACGGTCTTGTAGCCCGCTGCGGCTTCGCAAAGACTTTTCAAGCCACCCCGCATCTCAATGATTGCCATGAAGCCGTTCAAGTGGTGCCGCCAGTTGGAAGCTGTCACCGATCCCATGAGCTGCATACAAACAGATTAGTCGCAAAGTAGCTTAGCTGTGGAGGAAGTGAAGGGGTGGGGGGACGGGGGTAAAATACGCACATCTGCATACAAGAACACCACCACAGCCGCCATCGTGTGGTCAGAGATTCTCCTCTTTTCATTGCCAATCTCTTCGTTCAAGGCGTGGATTGCTGTACATCGATGCTGATGGAATCGCGCCCGCACCTCGGCTTGATACATGTCGTTCTTCTTCTTGGACAGGCGGAGCATGCGGTGGTCGATGGCCATGGCAACAAGAGCGTGTTGGATAGGGACTCCCATGTACTGGATATAGGACACTGGCACGAGCCACGGACTGTTTGTCAACTGATTCGCTGCAAAAAAGGGGTAAACCTGCTCGTTCCCTGTTGCCAATCCAGCACCGTCAATGTTTATCGTTATTTTCTGGAACAGGGCAAAGTCCCGGTCCAGCGACGGGACATGATGACTTACAGTAGAGCGTAGCCTCGATAATGTCACAAGTTTCATCTCTCAATTCATACCCAGGAAAGATATGCACAGGGTGGTGCGACCGAGTGGCCGATACGTCGCATCTCACCGCCTTTGCAAGTTCCGACTCAACCGTCCCTTTTGGACCTTTCTTTGAGTTATCGTCCGTCTTCTTGTTGGCCGGCGGGCTTTTCCGCTTCCATGTTCGGGTCTTGACCTTGCCAGGGGCCAGCCACGTCAACGGCTTCTTGTCCTCGTACCCGGGACACACGACGCCGCTAGTCTTGCATTTCGAGCAGACGGGACGTGCCGAGTCGCAGACTAATCGTCGCCGCTGACACTCCCAGCAGTGTCTTCTCCCGTTGCTAGGTCCTGTCTGTGTCTGCGGCGGCGCACCCGCAATGAGAGCCAACTGTCTAGAAGTGGAAGTCATCGTCTGATTTCGGACGCTTCTCCCGTCTCAAAGGCCAACCATCAACCGTCAACGGTTGCACGCTTTGGGCTATTGGAAGTAGACGGATGGACGGTATGGCACAAGAAATCTGCAACCCGCTGGCTCGGGTTGAACTTAAGAAGGTAATGCGGAAATGGGCTGGAGCAGCCTGGAGGTCAACCACGGTTAGTCGGCGACGACGCATGCCTGACCATCGGCGCAGTTTAGTTCTTGGCCACTTCATTATCCTAATCAGGTAAAGCGCGGTGTCATCCTTCGACGGTCTAGCGTGTCAGCAAGAAAGGTCTAGGAGAGAGGATGGTAAGCGAGCAATGTGCAGATGGATGAGTGGGTTGTTCCCATTGGATAATCTGCATCGCTTCTGAGTCCTGTCCTATAAGAAGCGCTCATGGAAGGCAAATTGTTTAGATAGGAGAAGTTGTAGATCTTATGGCTGTGCCAATCGAGCCACGCTAGAAAGTTCCGTCGTAAGCAGTCAAATGAATCTTGTTAAGCGGGCTGAAGTTGCAGAAGCATTCAAGGTAATTGGAGGCACTCATGACAGAGTGGTGGCGACAATCTACGATCTCATAGATCAAACCAGCGCCAAAGCTTTGCGGAAACACACCGTGCCCCCTTGTTTTATCATGTTACCAGCAGTGCAACATCGAAAACTTGTGTAACCGTTCTGACATTGATTATTTTCTGGTTGAGCAACTGGAAGATTCATGATCAGAGAAGAGCAGCAATAAGACTATCATCACCTGATCGGAATCTGACTTCATCAATGTTACTGTTGTCAACATGTCATCGTGGTAGATATTGTCGAGCAAGAAATGATGCTTAGGAGGCCCGCAATAACACTGCCTTGGGAAGCGCAACTTCGGTTCTTACTAGGTAGAGAGTCAAGCTACTCTCAAGTGTCAAAACTGCATTGCCTCACAAAATCATCGGGCCCATGCAGTTGAAAACTTCTTTTAGGGCGTTGTAGGGAATGTCGATTTACCTCTAGCTGCGAGCAACTCTGTACCGACTAATGACTATCTGCTGTTAACTAAAGAGTATATGAAAAGACAATACCGGAGCCAGATCATCGGATTCCGGCAGTACCTTCTTCCGGACCCTAAGCGTCGATGGTTTAGTGGTAAAATTCTCCGTTGCCATCCAGCAGCGTCGGGGAGCCGGGGGTTCGATTCCCCCTCGACGCAATCTTTTGACATTTTCATTTATCCAATATCTGTGTGTGAATAAACCACCAATCATTAATTAGCCAGCACGATGATCCGTTTTTGTATAATCTGTCTGATTTCTTGTTGTTTACGCCAGGGACTAAGCAGAACTTGCGTAAGACGGTTATAGTCAATCAATTTTTGAGGTGGAAAATAGCGCTCGCTATTGATTTGTCTCCCAGCAAAATCAGCCATATGCTCTTGTTTTAGTTACGAGCAGGGGTAGTGTATGTAGGCAGTGGAACATATACTTAGTATCCGAGTGCTCAGAGTACATGTAAACAAGGATTTCACTTCCATCTCGTTTTCCAAACTTCAGACGTTGGACAAGACGGCGTAGCTGTGAACGAGGCTTACTCGGCCTCCGTCACATCTTTCAAGCGTCTCTCAAGCGTCTCTTCTCACTTGGCTAAACATCGAACGTCGTTGGTAGCCAATAAATAGGTTCTAAGGCAACCTTCTGAGAAACTTTTTACAAGTTTAGAATCTCCCTCAAACATGACTCCTGGGCAAGCTTGGTAATCAGAAGCAGACCTCCCACATTGTAAGTAGATTTTGAGTTGTTTTGATTGAGCTATTGATATGGCGCTCCAAACTGGGTGGATTACGCTGGGACCTGGAAAGGTCGGAGTTTATTAACCGACCGACCATTAATTTGAGACTCAGAGCAACCTAGTTCAGCTTGCAGACAGGCCCATAGATCACAAGTTTGTGTCGGAAAGCAGCATTCGAAACTATGTCGCCAGGTACAAACGACGTTGAAGGTTGCATGCCTTGCCAATTGGACTTTGAGCTTCAGGTTCAGCTTCAAGGCCGCATTAGTGCAACCACAACAAAATGAGGTTCAGTGTGACAAGGCCTTGAGGCTAACGCATGGTAAAGGTTGGGATGAACTCTGAATGTCTTCATCCACCCCTCCGCCCACTAAGCACACGTTGCTAGCACTCCTCAGAGTTCTTAATTGCTCACCACATGGAGCGATCTCTACACAAAGACAAAAAGTACCTCGACAGGAGGACTGATTTTTTGGCCAAGTCTGCGAGGACCGTGCTCCGTCGCAGAATCCAAAATGAACCTTGTCCCCTGCAGCCCTGCCCTTGAATCCTTGTCACCAGTGAGGCGGGGGGCACTCTCTTTCCTCGTTCTCCTGATCGTTCCGCCCCCTCGCCCCCCGGAGCGGAGGCAGAGACCGCTCGCCTGACTCCGAGGATAGCTGTGAAGGAAAGATCACGGCCGTCGCATCCTTCAAGCGGCACCGCTCGTCACCCCTGCACACGTCGCACAGCATCCTATCGGAAGAGCCACAACACACAGCCGCTGCAAGCCATGGCGGCTCGCCAGCATCGAGAAGGTTGAATCCCCGAGGGGGCTGACAGCAGATGTCGGTGCTCAGATCTTCAAGAACCCACTCGCTCCGAAAAATCAGACTGGGATGATGAGCTTTTCTATTGCGTAACTTGTCTTGCGCCACATTGTGGACACATGTGTCTACGCTTTGACTCTTGGCAATGTTGGTCCAGCCAAAGTTATGTCCGCAGCCGAAACTTCGGATCACGTCTGCTTCTGGTCTGGTCCATCATCATATCAGATCTCAGAAATTGAAGCAAAAAAGACTCGTCTGTCACGACTAGCTAGTGTTTGAAATCTTCATCATTTCATAATCCGTCGTTCCATGTATAAGTCCATGTCACAATGCAATAAAACGCGTAAAAAGGAACAATCGTAGGGCAGAGAAGCCGGGGCGGTAGCTTCATCAATCGGGCGTGTACCAATTTACGCGCCCACTTTGGTCTTCCCTGCCGGGTATCTGACGATGCTTCAAGAGGTTCTCCTTTCCCCTCAACACCGAAAATGCGTAAGCTCATTCCGAGCTGCGTGTGCTTGCTTGCGTCGCTGTTGTCCACCAATTCCTCATAATGACGCCTGCCTCGTGTTTCTTCTCATCGCCGCCGCGTCGTGACTGTTACTGCTCTCGGCGTCCTCTTCGGAAATCCAGAATTCCGTTCTCTTCTGGATACCTGGTTCGAGCGGGATATCGCTGTGGTCGCTTTTCGATAGGGAGGGCCTCCGTTCCGAGCGGATGAATGTATCGGTGTTGCCGCCGTTGTCGCCGTGTAATCTGCTGCTGTTGTGATACGCGGACCGAGAGCGATGTGACGAGTTTCCGTACCCTGAGGGATGGGTGCTAGGAGGCTCTTTTCCTCCAAAGAAGTAGAACCAGAGAGATCTAGAGAGCGCTAGGTTTCCGGCAATGATTCCGAGGTAGAGTTCGAGGTTGGACCAGATTGCGGTTACTGCATACACGTCTTGGAATCATGTTAGCTTGGCCTATTGGAGACTTAAAAGGGGCATATACGTACAGCTCAAGTCGTTCGTCACGAGACCAAGAGAAGCTGCTCTTGCGATGCCGAAGCCGGTTGCACTGTGGGCCAAAGTCAGTTTACCAGTCATCTTTCGGGCATGGAAAGGCATGCTGACATTAAGCCGAGACTCATCAAGGCGCCGACCGAGAGCTTGGTTGACATTGGTATGCGGACTTGCCAGACCACAACCAGCGGTAAGAAGGAGCATAGTAAGTCTGTCGCGACAGAGTATGCTAGAGCGAAGTTGTATCAGTCGCACGTCAAGAAGATCACATGTCCCGGTACTCAACTTACAGATGGTCAAGTAAATTGAGTAGATTCGAATCTTAGCCTCCCAGCACACTCCATTCCCGGTCCAGTATGCGCTGACGGGATTGCACTCGGCGAGCAGGATGATGATGACGCCAAAGTTGGTGACAACCAGACCAGCCATGACAGACCACAAGAAGTACTTTAGCCTACTGGAATCCTTGATGCGAAGCAGCAGCAGCATGATGGAGCACTTGAGCAAGCAAATACTGGCAAAGAGGAGGATTTGCGCAAACCACCCAAGCATGTTGTTGTTGACGTAGTCTTCTTTCGAAATGTACCATCGATGCCTTCCGTTGCCCGACCTTCCCTGCGCGCACTGGACTCCATACCTGACGATGCCGAGACTGGCGACAATAGCCATAAGATAGTCGTCCCATCCCAAATGCCGTAATGAAAACCGAACGTAGAGGCGAATAAAGGTTGTGAAGATGACAAAGAAGATTAGTACGCCGGAGAGTCCCAGGAGCGTCGGGTTGACGTTCTCGTCCGGCGGGAGCGGGTTCGGAGGGATAACTGGCGCCATCATGAATACCAACGTCCGAGTCTGGTGGATTCAAGCCTGTGCAGCGCAATAGAAGACGCCAGACAAGGAACGAGGGGTGTAGCCCGCCAGGAAACGGAAACCAGGCCAAGCGCTGGATAAATGTACGGGGGGAAAGAAGAGGACCAGCGGGTTCTCGACCCACGGGATAGTCTCTGCACAAGGCAGAAACGAGGAAGATCGCCAAGATCTGGTTTTGGATGGCAGCTCGTCTACCCCTGGGCTTTTCTCAATGTCTCACTCGACACCCAAGGGGCGAAAGGAAGCTTTGGTCGTCTTAAGACCTGCGACGAAGTCGAGGATGGTCTGCATCCGATTCCGCAATAGACCCTGCATGCGCAGACGGAGGAAAGGCGAGATGCAAGGAGGTCAGGGCACCTCAGCGCATATGTCTCGGATAGGCGAGGCCCAATCTACCCATCCCGCGGTGATATCGGGAGGAGGGTGGTAAATGGTAATGATTTGATACTTTGGACGCCGACGCCGCCGAGGTAGTATTGGCAAGATGCAGAATTTCCCGGCATTGTGGTTTCTCCCGAGGGGGGATAACAGACACTTGATATTTTGTTTTGTTGCCCCGAGCTAGAGGTTGCGTGCCAAAAGAACCGAGCTAATCGTCTTAAAATCAATCTTCTCAACCATGTCCACATGAGGGATCGTTTTGTCTCGCATGGCAAAGACGGGACCCCCCTTCCCCTAGAAGAAGGGTTTTATCCCAGACTGTCTGAGGGTCTCGTACTGTGCAAGGCCAGGTTGGACGAGCACCAGTTTCTCTTTCTTCCTTCGTTGGAGCCCGCCCAGCCTCTGCGAGCTTTTCTCTGGTTGCTTGGATACAAATTGAGTTTGAGCGGCTTCCATTCCCCTGAGTAACTCTCTGAGCTGAGCGAGGGTCCCAAGGGAGGGATCAAGTAGACCCCAGGCATGTGTGGATTCTTCTCAAGCTCCGACCTGCAGTGCCTGCGCATCTGACAGGCCATAAGATGTTGCGCGATATGCTGCAGGTTTCCCCAGGGGTGAAGATAATTTACAGACTGGTGGGTTTTTGGCTAATAATTACCAAGCAGCACCTGCAGAAGCGCTGAGCAGATGGGGACAATTTGATGACGATCGTCTTTCTACTTTGACTTTCTCATCCCATCTTTTACCCCTGCTCATCTTTTAAGTCTTGGCATCTCTACGCAGACAAGACATGTAGTTGACGGGCCATGAGACAAATTCGGACACAAGCCAGAAAGTATAACGGGTGGCCGAGCGGCGAGTGGCAGCTTTTCTGCTATCCGGCTCGAGGGGAACGCTGGCGAGGGATTTGGCCGTGCAGATGTTGGTGCTCGAGTTTAATTAATTGAGGAGATGGCGCGAGTCTCAGGGGTATCCTGGATACTCCGATAGCAGGCCATGCAGCGAGGAACGAGCTTCCCAAACAAGGATACCTACATGTACCATAGGTCCGAACCTTCGAGGGAAAACTCGAGGGGGGAAGAGAGGGACAAAGAGAGAGAGAGAGAGAAGGCTCAGACGGGGAGACGGGAAGGGCCGGGAAACGCCAATGTCAATGCCTCGAGACTCGCTCGAGAAACGTGGAGTTATTGTGGAATTGTTCTCAAGTAACCAGGACAGATGATTTGTCCAGACATGGTCACGTCAATTTTTCCAACGGACCTAACAGGCATACCCTTGAGTCATAAACCTGACCCTGGGGAGCGACCAGCCGGCGCAGCTCCGCAATCATCAACGGATGGTTACCGGATAGACACGTCGATGGCACGGTAACATTCGCCGGGTACACAGCCATCCCCGTTGGCGAACACGGTGGACCGTGGACGGTTCAATGTTGGGTTGAGGCGCAGAGAGCTTTTGACGTTCGTCCCCAGGCTCCTAGCAGACCAGAACGTAACCGACCATGCATAAATGTCTGACATTCCCTCATCGCCCATTTTCGTTTCCCCTCTCTTCTAGCTGGGGTAGGCAGTTAGTTAGTGGTTGTCCGACAAGTCGTGCGTTGCTGGACCGGCGCGCTGGTAGCTTACACGCGCATTTCTAAGTGCTTACGCTGCTGTGTGACACCACCACTACCACCGCCACCATCTCCTCCTCGTCTCCCGCGAACCCCGCGAGAAGTACTTGGTCCGTAGTATATGAGGATTCTCGGCACCCCACCAAGCTGCCGTCATGTTGCCGTCCCCTCCGGAGCTTTGAGGACGGGCGACCTGGGGCGGAGAACAAGGATTTCTTTGGGCCGCGTGTCTAATCATTGGCACGTTTTCTTGGATGGGAGGCCCTGCTAACTCGCCAAGAAGCTTGGAGGGGGATTAATGTCCGCATTATTGACATTCGATTTTGACTGAGGGAATTTGGGGGCTGCATACAAAAAGGTAGATGATCCTGCTGCCACATGGAATCAGGCCCGCCATAGCCTGCCCTCCACTCGTATCGTCCAGTGCCATTGAGGAGGTTTCCAAAACGGCCCTGACGTGCAGATATCACGCATATTGGTTTTCAAGCTCGTGCGTTGTTTGGTTTAGAGGAAGCATTCCCAGATCGCCGAGCCGTGGGTTCCTAAACTTTATTTCTAGAACGAGTGGAAAGATCGCTGCGTTGTCTTAGCCATGCTTGTCAAGTCGAGTCTCGCCCTCGCCTCCGCGGCCCTTGTTTTGGGTGCCCCCTCCTCCTCCTCCTCCTCCTCCTCGTCACAGCCCTATGAGGATACCTACGATTATGTAAGTTGTGCTCAGCTCTGCTCTCGGACGCTTGCGTTGCTTTCTATACGGGGTCTTTCTGTCGTTTGGACCTGTTCGCTTCTCTCCCTTCCAATTTCGATGCGGCGGCCTGGCGGGTAACCCTTAGTGATACGGATACACTAACTTTTCCACCCCAGATCGTCGTTGGTGGTGGCACTGCTGGAGTAGCCGTGGCGGCTCGCCTCAGCGAGGGACTCCCTGCCTCAAAGATTCTTGTCATCGAGGCGGGACCCGCAGTCTGGGATGAGCCTAAAATCAATGTCCCCGGTATGAAGGGCTCGACACTGGCCACAAAGTATGACTGGAACTTCACCACCGTGCCGCAGACAAACGTCAATAGCCGGACATTCACGGTCAACCGGGGCAAGGTCCTCGGCGGCAGCTCCGCACTCAACCTCATGACGTACGACAGGGCTGCCGTGGCCGAGTATGACAGCTGGGAGGCCCTAGGCAACCCCGGGTGGAACTGGGAGACGATGATTGCCGCCATGAAGAAGTCGGAGAACTTTACTGGCGTCAACACCGATACGTACGGCTCCGAGGGCGTCGGCGATAGCGGTCCGGTCAAGGCCGTCATCAACCGCATCATTCCCGAACATCAGAAGACGTGGATCCCGACAATGAATGCCCTCGGTATCGAGACCAACTTGGAGTCGCTCGGTGGAGATCCTCTTGGAGTGATGTACCAACCCAGCAGCATTGACCCGACTCACTACAACAGGTCCTACAGCGCCAATGCCTATGTTCCCATCGCCGGCCCCAACTTGGAAATCCTGTCCGACACTACGGTTATCAAGGTCAACCTCGTAAAGGCAGCAAGCAACTCGACTGTGCAGAGGGCCACGGGAGTTACTCTTTCAGACGGAACCATCATCTCAGCTCAGAAGGAGGTCATCTTGTCTGCTGGCTCCATCCAAAGTCCAGGCTTGTTAGAGCTGTCCGGCATTGGCCAATCTTCGGTACTCAACGCGTCCGGCATCGAACAAGTCATTGACCTCCCCGGTGTCGGCGAGAACCTCCAGGACCACCTCCGCATTCAAAGTTCCTACCAGCTCAAGGACAACTACACCTCCTTTGACATACTCCGCAGCAACGCCACTTACGCCGCGGAGCAGCTGGCTCTCTGGAACGCCGGCGAAGTCTCGCTCTACGACTACACCGGCAGCGGCTACACCTTCACGACCTGGGCCCAAGCCATCGGTAACGACTCTCGTCTGATTTCACTCGCTCACGAAGCAGCCGGCGAAGACCCTGGTGTCGTCGACCAGAAGAAGTTGGAGTTTATCACCGACCCTTCCATCCCCCAGCTCGAAGTCATCTTCTCTGATGGGTACACCGGCGTCAAGGGCTACCCCGCGTCGACCTCCCCTCTCTTCGGCGAAGGGTTCTTCTCCCTCATCTCCGTCATCATGCACCCCATGAGCCGAGGCAACATCCACATCAACCCTTCCAACACCACCGGAAAGCCCGTGATCAACCCAAACTACTTTGCGCACGAACACGACGTCGAGGCAGCGACCCAAGCCACCAAGTACTGCCGTAAGATCGCCACTACCGAGCCGATGAGATCCATCTGGGACAGCGAATATGAACCTGGACTGGATGCTGTCCAGACCGACGAGCAGTGGAAGCAGTTTGCCCTCAACACGACGCTGAGTATCTTCCATCCCGTCGGCACCTGCTCGATGCTGCCAAAGAAGGATGGCGGTGTGGTTGACAGCAATCTCAAGGTGTATGGTACATCTAACCTGCGCGTTGTTGATGCTAGTGTCATCCCTCTGCTCATTTCTGCACATGTACAGACTGCTGTCTATGGCATCGCGGAGATCGCAGCCGAGCGTATTATCGCAGACGCATAGAAGTGACCAAGAGGCGAAGCATGCATAAGTTGATAGATGGTTACTTTACATAGACCAGCGCTGCATGGTATTTTCTTCATTCTAATGATAATTATCTAAAGCAGACCGTGCGCTGAAGTATCTGACATGCTGCATTGATTCTTAGAGTCCGTGACAGGCAAGTCATTCCAAGTGAAAGAATATCAGATCAATATAGTAGATGTGTCGTGTGAGAATCTGCGCAAATGTAGACAGACAAGCTCTCCACGGTGTCTTGATATGCACGCACTTGATCATTAGCAGTTCAATATCCGTGGGGATTAGAAATGCTTGTTTCCCTGAGCTATTCGATGTTCAAGCCAATAGCATTGCGGGACTCATAGTGAATGCGTCACATGAAGCTCTCTAGATACCTCCATTGGCTCAATTGTGCACGCTAGACTATGAGTGATAATTGGCTATCGTGTTGCTGACTTCAATGTTAGGACCGATTGAGCCAATCTTGTTAAAGGCTCAATATGCATTTTTCGTTCAGCTGCCTCGTTTCTTTCCCCTCTTTTAGACGCACGTCACTTGAGAACTTTCATTGTCTTCACTAGTGACTTGAACTTTGGTGGGAATATTGGCCTCTAACGCTCTTCAAAATGCGGCTTCTCCACACGTCTCGACTAGAGGTCGAAAGTTTTCCCTCAGATGTCCCGATCCACGCGGTTCTTTCTTACACCTGGGACGATGAAGAAGTCACGCTCCAAGACCTTGAGCAGAAGGACGTTGCAGTAGGCTTAAAGGGCTTTGCAAAATTGAGCAAGAGCTGCGAGGCTGCCGCCGCAGCTGGATTCGAATACCTCTGGATCGACACTTGCTGTATCGACAAGACTAGTGGCACCGAGCTGTCTGAGGCCATTAACTCCATGTACCGCTGGTATCGAGAATCTGCCATCTGCTACGTTTTCCTTCCCGATGTTTCGCAATGCGACAAGGACTCCGTCTCGACCTCCTTTCTCAAACCAGACACCATTCGATGGTTCACCCGAGGTTGGACTTTACAGGAGTTGTTGGCCCCGGACAATGTTGAATTTTTTGACAAAGACTGGCAATGGATTGGCTCGAAAGGAGATTTTGCCGCCGAAATCAGCGCTACAACCGGGATACCCAGACACATCCTGCTTGACCCAGAACAATTCTCGACAGTTCCGGTGTGTCAAAGAATGCAGTGGGCGGCTTCACGTGTGACAACGCGACCAGAAGACGCGATCTACTCACTCCTTGGGCTGTTCGATGTCAACATACCCCTTCTATATGGAGAAGGAAGATCCAAGGCTTTCAAGAGGCTGCAAGAAGAGACTGTCAAGTCCATAGAGGATCCATCCATCTTCCTATGGACATTATCAGGAGACAAACTCCCCGAGGATCCAAGTGAAGTCTTTGGCGGACTTTTGGCGGATGACTTGTCTTACTTCGCGAAACTGGACTTCCCCAGCGAGGTGACCAGAACGTTATCGCAAGATCGTGGGCCTCATTTTATGCCCTTGCAAGACACGGCGATTGTCTTCACCAGCGTCGGGGCGAGAGTCAAGCTTTCGTATATTCCTGTTCCAGGCGACTCTTCGGATACTCTTTTCTTCGTACCCATGGCACGCGCTGCCGGATTTACAGCTGGCATTCTCATGCAACGCATTAGCTTGGAAAAGCCCTTGTTCTCTCGCATCGTCTGCCACAGAACCTTCTGGATCGGATCAGAAGGAACTCAAGAGTTCATCCCAAACCAAGTTGACTCTTTCCCTCACTATAAAAGTCCTTCATCAAAGCTCATACTTGACCGGACTCGCAAAGTTGCGGCGAACCGAATCTATATCACTCGATTCCATCTTACGCCCGAGTCGTCGCTTTTCACAACAGCTGAATTTGGTCTGTCTCTTGCGGCGGGCATCAGACCGCAGTCCGAAGGCAGAGAAAAGTTTCATCTCGTAGTTTTAGAAAATTCTCTTGGCTTCCAAAAGGAAAGGGTTTCGGACAATATCGTCCAAAAAGGTCATCTTGGGCAAGGGTTTCCAGAGAGTCAACCAATTCCGACAATTGACTGGGCTGCACCACTGCGGCAAGACGTTGCTAACCCCCAAGGTCTTCTCAACACTCGCGCTTCTCGCGATTGCGGGGCTCTTGGAGTCTTGAAACTGGCGTTTGGCTACTACCAACACACAACGATCAATACGGGATGGGGGTTGAGTACGGAAACGAAGTTGAAAATCCTTGGGACGTTCTGCTTGGTCGTTGGCCTGGAGGTCAAGCCGAGGACTTTGCTCGGGACCCCGTCAGCATTCATGACTCCCTGCGTCGGGATCACCAGGGACGACGACATTAGAGAAGCAATAGCGAGTTTCAACTACGAGGATCTTGGGAACACTCTCTGGTTTCATGACCATCGAGTCACCGGAGAGGCTCCCAACTATTTCCGCTCAAGCAAGAAAATCAAAATCAGGTGCTGTTTGAACCAGATCAAGAGGTTGTCTGGAGCTTGGTATGATATAGATCTATCATGGAGCTGTGGATGCTAGGGGTGGTGTCAGAAAATGAGTCGAGGATCCGAGCGATGGACGAGCTCGGCTAGGCTAATTCTCGACTCTCTTGTTCGGGTTCGCTTGCCAGGAAGGCGAAAGATTCATCAACGGTAGGAGACAGCAGATCGATGATCGTAATATAACAGAGTTTCAGCTGGCTAGAAGATGCCAAGGCCAAGGGGAGAGCCCATTAGAACGAAACAATCCATGGCGAATTTCTCGCTACCTAGGCCGTCGTCACGCATCACTGCTGTGAGATGAATGGCATTTGGCAAGGTCTAGTCCATGATCAGGCTTGCTTCGCTGGTGGATATGCCCAACCGTGCTGCAAGGATCTGTTCCAGATCCGGACGTTCCTCCTAATGAAGCAGCTTGTGTGATTGCAAAGCGCGACAAGCGAGAGATGTCCGTCCGCCGTCATTCTTTTGAATGAACAAGGCTGTCGAGTGGAGTGGGAGCTCGTTGCAAAATCTTGGCTTGACAGTTGATCAACGCAACAGGGAGCTGGCTTGATCACCAGATCTCGTCAGCGAGTCAAGTGCTGATCAAGCGGTATCTAGTATAACATCAATCAAGACCCCTGAGTGAGATCTGGGCGTCAACATGCGGGTGATTTTAGTGCTGTTCAGTCAGGGCTGGCCCCTGCTAGGTCTCCCTCGTGCCCCGCGTGACTTGTAGGTTCTCTGACTCGTTCACTGTCCAATGGTAATAGTAGATTGGTACGGATACATGTACTGGATATCCGTACTTACGCACATATCGAGTGTCTCTCGCCAGCGACAGGTCCAAAAGTGTTCGGCCGAGAGAAAGGGGAACTGCTGAAGGGCTAAACATGCCTAATCTTACGAGCGAAAAGAAAAGAGGGAACAAAGCTCGGTTCCATTGTTCGCAGCGGAGCAAATTTAAGCAGCTTTTGCCGAGGAACGCGGTAAGATTGGACGAGAACCCACCGAGTATGGTTCAATTTATTCATATCCCCCAACCCCAATTATTAAACTCAAACCAATTCCTCCAATTAAGAAGGTTGCATTCCAGCTTATGAGGGGTAATTATGGAGATCTTCCACCTGAGGCTGATGGAGAGTCTCGAGTAGAGCAACTCGATATTCTCGCCCAAAGATCAGCGCTGCAGCAAAAGTTAGTCCTTAGTCCCGGCTCTTGAACCCGATGGTCTGGCCTGACCTGGACCATATAGCGAGATGTCATTGATCTGACATGTCTTGGTCAGCACAAAAGTTTACACCATGGCGGTAGACGACGCGCCGTGTGTATGAGAGAGATTCAAGGTAGCTGCAGGGAGTCTCTTTCAACAACCGGTGGGCTGGATGTTTTGCTCGCTCACTCATCATCCCCAAAGCTGCGCTATATCCGCTACCCACTTCGGCGGCGCCGGCACCTTCGATCAGTTCATCCGAAGTTTCCAAAGTGGCTGGAGCTGGTTGGACGCAGAGGCGCTGAACGTCCAGCTCGACACCAACGAAAAGGGACGAAAGGGGGCGGCACTGCGCGCCCAGATCACATGCAGGCTTCGCGATGACGGTAAGTGGGACTTCTTGCATGTAAGTAAAACAAGCAGCCTAAATTACATGGCACGTCATAAGGACAAGTCGCCTGCATTTGCCTGCAAGTGCGGCGATGGCCTCGTTTGGGGGCTCTGCCAATGACGTGGTTCTTATTTGAAACAAACCGCGACCTCGCCCTGTTGGCGCGCTTGGCACCAGATAGCAGACAAGTCTACATCAAACAACCTAGCGGGTCCCCAGAATGCACCTCCCGGGGTCCCGCGGGTCTGCCGACGACCGAGACCGACACGGGGATCTTTGTGACACCCCGGTCCGGCGCTACGGACCCCGGACTGCGTAGGATGCAAGCAAACCCCCTTGGGCAAAGTGAGATTAAGGAAACTTGCTTCAGTGGAGGTCCTTCCCGTCTTGTACAATCCTCCAGGCCGGTGAGCAGTTGCTGGATCGTTCGAAAGGAGGTATGGCGATATAATATCAACGCCAGAGCATCACTTCGTCGTCGTCAGAACTTGACTCTCTTTCTGAACGTTGAGTCGCTTCTTCCGTGCATTCCTTCTTTTTCGAGTCACCGCTAGTACGGTGTTTTCATTCATTCTTCGTCTTGTTAGCCCTAGAGGTTACGTTCATTCACTCCCATTCTGCGACTGTTCCCTTTTTGAACAATCTCGAAACCACTCCTTATTCCCAAACAAACAAACAATCAGACAAACACACTCGAGATATTCTAGAAGAACTTGCAAACGATCGTCATCATGCGCTGTACATTCTCAGGACTAGCGGCCCTTCTCGGGCTCGCTGGATCTGCCACCGCGCAACTGCGAGCCTCGGCCTACTCCGATCCCCAGACCGGTATCGACTTCCAACGCTACTTGCCCTCCGCCTACCCTTACAGCTTCGCTATCGCGGTTCCTGAGACCATCGGCACCGACTTCATTGGTCAGATGGTCGTTCCTATCTCGACAAAGGGTAATTGGGGTGCCGTCTCGTTGAAGGGTGGCATGTTGAACGGCCTCCTCTTCGTCGCCTGGGCTGATGGCAAGGATATCAAGACATCTTTCCGTATTGCAAGTGCCTACGCCAACCCCGACGTTTATACCGCCACCAAGGTTTCTGCCGTCCCCATCGCCAACGGTACCTTTGTCAACAGCACTCACTTCTCCTACACCTTCTTGTGCCAGGGCTGCATCAACGACAAGACCAGCTTGGCTGGCGAGTCCCCCGTCCTCGGCTGGGCCTACTCCGACACCAGCCCGTCCCCCGCGTCCGACCCCTCTGCTGCCCTCAACTATCACTCTGCTGGCTTCGGTCAGTTCGGACTCGACATAGCTTCCGCCAAGTCCGCCAAGTTCGACACCTGGTCCAAGTACGCAAAGGCCGTTGACACCGCTCCCGTCCCCGGTAACGGCACTGCCACCCCCGTTCCTGGCAACAGCACCATCCCCGCGCCCACCACCTCCAACACCACCTACGATGTCATCGTCGTCGGTGGTGGCCCTGCTGGTATCATCGTCGCTGAGCGTCTCGCCGAGAAGGGCTCCAGCGTCCTTCTCATTGAGCGTGGCCCTGCCAACACTGTCCCCCTTGGCTCGGACCAGGCTCTTCCCTGGAACGACACCCTCACCCCCTACGACATCCCCGCTCTTGGTAGCTCCATGACCAGTCTGTCTGGAACCTCCCTCTGCAGTGACACTGCTTCCACTGCCGGTTGCTTGTTGGGAGGATCCAGCTCTATCAACGGTCTCAACTTCATCCACCCCCCGAAGCACGACTGGGAGCGCTGGCCTGCCGGCTGGAACTGGGCTGACCTGTCCGAGGCTGCCTCCCGCCTCTACGAGCGCAACCCTGGTACCACTGAGCCCTCCAAGGACGGCCGCTACTACGATGACCGGACCTTCCGCGTTCTTTCCGGCCTCCTGAGCGCCAAGGGCTGGAACGAGGTAGACTCCATCAAGTCCCCCGACGAGAAGAACTCCGTCTTCTCCCGCCCTGCGTGGTCCATCAAGGACAACCTCCGTGCCGGCCCCGCTCGCACTTACATGCCCTTTGCTCAGCAGCTGCCCAACTTCACCCTCAAGCTCGAGACCAAGGTGATTCAAGTCATCCGCACTGGCAGCAAGATCACCGGCGTCCTCACCCAGGCCGCCGACGGCAGCACCCAGATCATTAAGGTCAACGCCGGTGGCAAGGTCGTCCTCGCCGCCGGTGCCATGTCCTCCCCCCGTGTCCTCTGGAACTCTGGCATCGGCCGCTCCGACGCCCTAGAGATTGTCAAGTCCGGTGCCGCCAGCACGGGCGTCACCCTCCCCGATCAGGCCGACTGGATCGACCTCCCCGTCGGACACCACCTCCAGGACCACACCCAGATCACGCTGCAGTTCAACTCCAAGACCAACTTCAGTGCCTACGCCTTCAACGCCATCGCCACCGACCCCGTCACGAGCGATGTGGACCTTTACAAGCAGGGCTCCGGCCCCATCACCCAGGCTGCCCAGCGTATGCATCTCTGGACCTCCGCCAAGGGCTCCGACGGCCGCACCCGTTACCTCCAGGGTACCGCCAGCGCCATGCAAAACGGCATCATCACCGTCCGCGCGTTCCTGACCCACGGCACCTCCACCCTCGGCGAGCTCGGCATCACCGCTTCTGGCAACACCGTCCTCAACACCAAGCCCTGGTTGATCGACGCCGCTGACAAGAAGACCATGTCCGACTTCGTCCAGTACTGGCTCGACCTCACCAGCGGCAGCAACTCCACCCTCAGCTACATCACCCCCGGCGCCACCCCCGACGACATCATCAGCGCCAAGATGATTAGCGGTGACCACTGGGTCGGCAGCGCAAAGATGGGCACCGACGACGGCCGCAAGACGGACGGAACCGCCGTGGTCGACCTCGATACCAAGGTCTACGGCACCGACAACCTGTTTGTCGTCGACGCCTCTATCCACCCTGACTTGCCCACCGGCAACACCCAGTCCATTATCATGATCACCGCCGAGCACGCCGCCGAGAAGATTGCCGCCTTCACCGTGACCGGCTCCTCCAACTCCACCACCACCCCCAAGCCCAGCAAGTGCGGTGGGGTCACCAAGCGCGCTCAGCGCCGGGCCATGCGCCTCCGCCGCCATGCGCTTCTGCACTAGATGATCGGCCCTCAAGTGCTGAGTGGACGTGATCATGGCAGGTACCGGCTAAGGGTGATGATGGATGATCTCCCGAGCCACTTCAATGTACATGTTTCGTTCTAGACTATCTTATGTATAAAGTTTTTTACCCGTAAATAAATTCAAACCATCAAGTTCCTTTTCGTCGTCTCATCGTGACATGATTGTCAGGAATATCTTATCGTCATTAGACGTTGGTGCGTTGCATGAAGGCCATAATCGAGCACCGCGAATTTCCTACCTGCGAGCCACGATAGTCCGTAAAGTTTCATGGTTATGGAGATATTGATATGGAATTTAATTTGCGGTAGACATTGCTTTGAACGAGTCATTCCACGTTGTCATTGGGTTACATAGAATGAAACGGCGCCGCCCTTTTATTCTCGTTTGCAAATTTCCAGTCTCCAGCGATATTACCAAGACTCACAGCTGAGACCCTCTTGTTTACAAGGGTAATATGGTTTTACCTGCTACGGAGTAAGGATTTGACAACACAGAAATTAGGCCGTGGAACATCACTTACGATATCTGGATGCTCCGGCCATGGAGTCCCATGCACATTGAGCTCCTCAAAGTCTTTGGGCGGATTCTCCAGTATGGCATCCATCAGGTACTTTGTGCAATGGATCGTGTGGCTGTAGTTGAACGGAGGATCATACCCCAGGACCATCCAAAGGTGCGTCTGCCGCAGGGTGTACATGCAGTGGTACGTGTGTTCCTTTCTGGTCACCCAGCCGGCGGTCAAGACTTCGCTCGTTGGTGGTATCTCGTGTTTCCCGCCCTTGTCATAATACCGATGCCAAGGTCCTTCGCGATAAAAGTCTTTGACCAGCGCGACGTTGTCCTTGTGCGCCATGGGCTCCTTGGGCCACCATTTGAATGACATGGTGTCGAACTCGCAGCCCCGGTCGCGGGCGATTTTGGGGAGGGCGCCATTTGGCGCGCAGACGTATCCTGATGTGTCGAGATTCATCTTTTGACAGGTTTCGCACGATGGAAAGAAGGCTAGCCATGACAGGATTGAAAAGATGAGAATAGGCGGAACGAAGAAATACCATGATTTCCAGGCTGGGTCAAACGTCTGCCATGGGATGTATTTCCTGACTCTGACAAACCCGGCCTCTTCATCGACAGACGGTTCTCTTGATGCGCTCTCATCACACGACTCCGCCTCGGTCTTGTCCGTAAGCAGATTGTATTTTTCTTTGCGTTTGCTAGACTTGGATGACATAATGACGGTAGTTGGCCAGCTGAAGTGTCTGAAGTCACGCCTATAGGGCTGGATATGTACAACTTGTCTGTAAAGAGAGATTCTATGCTCTACTGTGACGAGTGAGCACTGGATGATGATGTTGTTGTGAAGTAGCAGAAGCTTTATGGCAAACCCGAAAGCGGCGTCGACAACTGCACGTGGGGACCATACACAATCCAGAGCACGTTCCGTGCATTTCTTTGTCTGTGGATATGAAATAGATTTGAATATAGTCATCTTTTACGGCCATGTCTAGCTTTTGAAAGTTGTCACTGGAGTATTGTCCTTGCGGGCATCAGCTTTCGCGCTGAATATTGCTTACGGCGATCCCCGGGACAGCGGACCGAGCGGGCCCATATTTCCGGACCGAAGCTCCGATCCGCCATCGGTCCGAAAAAGGTCCAGCACTCCGGGCCAATGATCAATGCCATCAGCGTCAATGTTAGACGCAGGAACTGTACCGCCTCGCAGCTTTTCCCACTTGCCTTGACAAAATCCCGACTTATCAGTTTCTGCGACAGCAATGAGTGCGCAACAATCGACACCCAACAAGTGACGCTATTGTGTGAATTCCAGCATAGTCACTCAACTATACGGTGTAATGAGATTTTGGTAGCGAAGAAGATTCCTCACTCCGGGCTAGTCATAGTCTCGGAGTGGATTTTTGACGAGGCTTTTGAATCAACTCGATCTCAAGGGGGCGGGATGGTAAATGGAGGGTAAATGCTGCCACTAGCCCAACGCGGCAATCCGCCAGTCATTGTTGCTGCTCCACATGGTATACGGTTCACCAAGGGACTAGCATGTAGAACGCCTTTGGGCTCATTACCCGATGGCAACGAAGAGTTCTGTCTTTTGGCAGTCTCATTTCAGGTAGGGTCAAGTTATGTAAGCCACTTCGAAACAACGACGACTCTAAGCGTTTGTGAATGGGCGAGTCGATCTTACAGTGGCATGAAACATGGGTGAAACTCTATGATCCAGGATCCTTGAAGCTCCCATGTTCGCGAAAGCAACGCTGGGGATCTCTCGACCACCCGTTGCTCTCCATTCTCGTCGACGATGGAGTTTCTTCTCTTGGTTCATCTCTTGGCAAGTTCTTGGCCTTCCAATCGGTTTCTGTGGCGGTGTTCTTCTTTTTGATGATCTTTGTTTGTTTGGTTGAACGACGGCCATGCTCTTCCAAGGCCGTCCACTGGTGTGGTTCTTCTTGGCGATATTCCTTATTTTCGTCTGGAGCCTCCGTCTTTTAGGCGTGCACGACGCGATCGCAAACACGGTGTCGACGTTTTTCCCCGATGCATCGAACGAAGAAGAGACGACGGAGTCCGGGTTCATGAGACAGGCGATTGATGTCGAGTTTCCAGCCCCAATCGACTACGCGCCGATTCGGGAAACCTGTTCGCGTACTCGGTTTCGCCCTGGGTTGCTTTTCAGCTGCGAAGAACAGCATGGTGGCATTGGCATGGTCCGCAACCAGATATTAAAGTGCGTCCGGTATGCGATCCACGGCGGCGGCGCACTCGTTCTACCTTCCATGTCCTTACGTAACGCGAAAGACATAACCGATATCGAGACGGGAAACGAGGTGCCCCTCGATTATCTGCTGGACCGCGAGTCCTTTATAACGCGCTTGACGGAGGGTTGTCCCGGCATGATTGTGTACGAAAAGGCTGCGGACTTCCCCTCCTACACACACCGGTTAGGCGAGCCTCTGTCTCTGGTGGGAGACCATTTCGAGCGGGACCACCCAAGGGAGGGACTGAGACATCCCCGAAAATGGCGGCACTTCTTCGACAACTGGCTTGACGAGCATGGAGTTCGAGAATGGATGGGCCCAGACGCCCCGGTACACGTCAAGCTCGAGCAGTCCTTTCTGGAGTATCCCGTACGCGACGACGGCGAAGCCTTTGTGCACGAGTTTGGCAAGATCCTATCATTCAGGAATGACACCCGTGCTCTCGCAGCAAAGATTCTCTTCCTGCTCAAGGAGAAATTCGCGCTCCCAATCGATCCGAGGAAAGCCATCAACCCCAATGCTTATTTCGGGGCGCACTTACGACTGGAGAAGGATGCGACCTCGGCTTGGGGCCCCGATGAATGGCGGTTCTCGCGCATGGACGACCAATTCGAGGAGCAATTTCGGTATTTAGAGCGTACGGGCCTCAGCATTGTCTACGTCGCGTCTGGAAATCAGACCGTGGTCGACATCTTTGCCGAAAGACTCAATCGGTATCTCTCAGCCGAGACTGGCTCACCGAGGAGGAACATTACGGTGGTGACCAAGAACGACCTGTTGCTCGGGCCCGACCGCGAGCAACTCGACAGCCTCACGTTTGATCAGCATGCCCTGGTGGATTTTCTGGTCATGTTCAGGGCGAGCGCGTTCATGGGTGTAGCCCATTCCAGTTTTCCGTGGACAATTGCTCTGCGGAGGCACGAGCTGAGCAAATATTCAAAGTTCGGCAACGAAGGCTCAGACCTGCTTAGAGACGAGTACAGCATCATCATGGGCATGGAAGCCGACTACCCATATGTCGACCCTTTTGTTTATGGCCTGTGGCCGTAGGACGCTCTGGTGTCCGGGAAGAAATGGGGTAGCGGCATGATGTGGAATAATGAAAGCATCAGATCTGATACCAGCATGGGAAAAGTTTTGACAGGCATCAAGATACAAGTACAAAGACTCTAGTGTCATAGTACTAGATAAGAAAGCAAGAAAATGTCTAATTATCTGAATGAGTATCGCCGCGTTTTGGAACGCACTTGTGCAATTTACACTACGAAGTGAGTTCAGTTTTGACGTCGCCTACGGTCTGATACTGGCAATCGATCAACAGAGCGAGTAGGCGTCGATATGTCTCCACCAAGTTCTCCATGGTAGTCTGAGAGAATAAAGACTCGTAATAAGTCAGCGTAGCGTCAAGTCGAGAAGGTCCTTCGTTGAATGCTAGCACTAGGAGTTGCTGCCGAACCAGCTGGTTAGTTCGTGCGTTCGTGTACAAAGCAAGGCTCTTTCGCTTACCTCATGGGGATCCTGCTTCCAGATGGACCGGAACCCAATATCAAGATCATTCGAGTACTTGATCTTCCGATAGTTGACCAAAGTATTGAAAAGCCCCGTGCCTTCGCACCCTAGCTGCCGCTCAACCTCAATCAGCTCAAAGGTCTTGTGACTCAGGCTGCGGATGCTCTCATCTTGAAAATCCTGCAAAGCATGGAGAATGGGCGTTGCCTCGCTCAAGCTAGCGCAGGCGACCATCATTGATAGCATTGGCCCAACAATCTCATGCGCGTGTGGCAAGTCAATGTCTCGGTCTGAGACTAGGTGACCAAAACATATGATTGAGTGGCCAGTGCATACATGGAGGAGCATTGCCCAGGTGAACTGCAGGAGGTTGGACAGAGTTACCCCGGCCTCGCAGAGAAATTGCTTCAACTTTGCCGTGATGTCTATCGAGAAATTGATGGACTCAATCACGTGAGGGTCCGAGCCGGTATCTGTACCTGTAATTGACTCTACGGGAACCATGCAGGGCGGCAAGTTCTGAAGTTTATCGACCCAATATTGATTGCTTGCCTGTAGACGACGACAGGTGTTGATGTGATCGATATAGTCATGGAAGCCGCTCAATGGCGCTTCTCCTGGATTCTGGCCCCGATAGAACGTGATGAAATCGGAGAAGAGGTGGGCCAAGCTCACATGGTCAATCAGTACGTGTCCCATGACGAAATGGACAAACGTCTGTCTGTGGGCAGTGACAAAAAGGCGGACTGAAACTGGCGGCGAGTCGTCGTTGAACAACTTCGAGCGAACGAAGTTGAGATGAAGTCTGCTTTTACTCTTGGCCTCGTCCTCCGACTTGACATTCGAAACGGAGATATCGGCTTTGTGATTTTTGAGTATTTTCTGGAAGACGTTGCCCGAGGCGAGTTCCTGAATAAATGCGGTCCGCAGTGTTGCATGTCGACTGACAGTCTGCTGCCACGCTCTCTGGAGCGCGCTGGTGTCAACAGACGAAGAGCCTTTGATGTCGTTCAACTCAACAAGGCTGTTGAACAAATAGGGACTCTGAGGTTTGCCAAGAAATGCTTGATACATCCTCTTCTGGAACGGCGAGCAGGGGACCAAGGCCGCGACATTGTCGGGATTCAGGATAGACTGCGGCAAAGAGGCAGAATTGCTCAGCGATTCAGGGTGGGCCTGACCCATTTCGTGTTTGGCCATGCGCTTTGAAATGGTCTGTGCCAGAAGCCTGATCGTGGGATTGGCAAGAACATCCTGCGTTGTGACGTTGAGGCTGGCTGCTTTGCAGAGTCTCATTACCTGAATCGCTACAAGAGATATCAGCGTCAGTCATCAGCGGATCGGGCAACAGGCTCAGCTTTTAACACGACTTACCAAAGATGGAATCTCCCCCAAGCCTGAAGAATGATTGTTCGAGTGCTATGCGGTCTAAAAACATCAAAGTCAGATGAGATCTTGTTGTGTGTTGCGTTAGGCAGCTTGCTTGTCCACTCACGAGATTCGAGGCCGAGGACTTCTGCCCATATGCCTCTCAAAGTCTCTTCAGTCGGAGAACAGCATTGGTGATCTAGACCGTCGATCCGATGGAGATCAAGGGAATCTAAAACTGTCTGCTGGTCAATTTGACCCACCCAGTTCATTAGCCGTTGTCGGTCCAGCTTGAGTGACAGTTGGACCGGAAGGCTTTTGACTATGAGCCAGGTTTCTGGAATCATATACTGAGGCAGCTCCCTCTTAAGCGCAGAGGCAATCTCATGCATCGAATTATCCAGCTTTTGAGACATCTCTCGGCTGAGGGAGTCCTTCTCAACGATAGCAACGCCCTGATTGTAATCGTGTGCTTCGAGTTTCGATGCCAGGACCGTCAGGCTCACGACTGCCACGAGACGTCCTGCGAGGTTCCCTACTTCTGGTACCAAGATCATGCTGTGTTGAATTACCCCAGAGAGATTGTTCAGATGATATTGAATCTCACCAAGCTCAACACGCTGACCGCGGATCTTGACTTGGGAGTGGTCCTTCCTACGCTGGATGAGCAAGCTTCCGTCTTCGGCATACCTGACCAAATCACCAGTCTTGTACAATCTCCGTGGACTACCGCTGTCATATTCAGACGAGAAGTTCTTGCCAGCTGCCCATAACGGAGGCTCGATGAAAGCGGTCGCGGTCTTCACCTCGTCGTTAAGATAGCCTTTGCCAACTATTGGTCCATCAAGAAGCAGCTCGCCAATAGCCCCAATGGGCATCAGAAGGTGGTGATTTTCCGGATGAACGACCCAAGCGCGACAACCAACCGGCAGTCCAATACTCGTAGCATCCGTGTCCACGTTGAACGGGCTCCCCACGGTGCTAGTCACTGAGCATTCCGTCGGCCCGTAGCTGGGTCTCATATGAATCTTCCCAGCCCAACGAGCCACAAGATCCTGCCCCATCGGTTCCGCATGGACGGTGATGAATTTCACTGAATCCAGATCATTGGGATCAAGGGTTCGGAGAAAAGATGGCGTGAATGCGGCCCAGTTCACCTGCTTCCGCGCGACGAACCCAGGGATGTCGGACATACGCTCCTCTTCGGACGGGATGCAGATGCAGCCGCCGGCAACGAGGACGGTGAAAATCTCTTCTAGAGACGCATCAAAGCAGAAGTTTGTGAACTGCAGCACGCGGGAATCGGCATTGATTTGCAGCCAGGACCTGTTGGAAGCCGCTGCTGAGCAAAATGACTTGTGCTGGATCACTACCCCTTTTGGTGTCCCTGTTGTTCCCGATGTAAAGATGATATAGAGTGTATTCAGCGGTGTTACGCCACGGGATAGCGAATCGCTGTCCGAAGAGCTTAGTAAACTCTCAGTAAAAGTCTTGTCGACAACGACGAGCGTCTCAACGAGGCCTTTCAGCTTATCGGAATGTTTCGGTGAAGATAGACCAATCCTGGCCCGAGTCTGCTTGATCACAGACTGGTTCCTCTTCGAGGCCCCATTTGGATCAATGTGAACGAACGCCGCTCCGGATTTCGCTACTGCAAGCATTGAAACCACTGCCCAGAGAGATTTCTCAAAACAAAGAACGACGATCTCTTCTGGCGCAGCTCCCTGGGCTTGAAGTCGGGCCGCGAGCTTCGTGGAGAGGAAGTCTACCTCGGCATACGATAGCTCGCCATCCCAGGCACATATGGCTGGCTTTGATGGCTGTCGGTACACCGTTTCCGATATCATGTCATGTATACAATGTTCGTTGGTCTCGAGCGGAGATGAGTTCCATTGCTCCAGCTGAATCTGGTCTAGGTTGCTGGCAAGGTGCATGTTCGACGTTTGGGCTTCTGGGTCATCGATTATGGTGCGTAAGGCTTTTGTATAGTTTGCTAAGAGTCTCTCTGACTGGGCCTCGGACATGAAGTGGGTTGGGGTCTCGATGGTAATTTGGAATTGACCTTGGCCCTCAGTTACACACAAAGCGATGTCGTACTGTGACATTGGTGACTTGAAGTCAGCGATAGTACTCACATTGTGCGGTATATAAAAATAGCTTGTCAAAGCAGATCGGGGATGGGTATCTTACCTCGCTTGTGTCGTGCGCGAAAAGCAGTTCCGATTTGATCCTACCCGCTGCCGTTGCTGCGCCAGTCTTCTGAAAGTTGAGAATCGTGTTGAACAAAGCATCTCCACTGCGCCTGGCTGCATGCTGGATTCGCGCCAAGGAAACAGTCTGTCGAGAAAGATGTCCAATGTTGTCTTCTTGTAAAGTAGTCAAGATCTCCGAGATTTTCCTCTTCGGGCCCAGTTGTACTCTTACGGGCACAACGTTTGCCATCGGGCCAACGATCTCTGACGCCCCCGGGATTGGGATGTCTCGCCCGTGGCCAAGAAGGCCAAAGACTATATCGTCAGAGTTCATGTATGTTGACAAAACCACGGACCACGCCGCCTGGAAGATAATGGGTACAGTGAGATCCAATTTTCGACATGTCGAGCTCAAAGTGCCCATGTCTGGAATGATGGAGGATTTGCGGGTAAACTCTAGCATTTCAGCTGATGACGGTCGATGCTGGCGAAGTACTGGAAACTGGCATGATGGTGCGCCATTCAAGTACCGGGACCAGTATTGAGCAGTTTCAGCGGTGTCTTGATTTTGGACACAGTCGATGTAGTTCGAGTACGGGCAGGTGTCCTGTCGTGGACGGCCGTCGAAAGCAGCCAGGAAGTTTCGAATCAAGAGTCGAGATGTCGTGCCGTCAGTGATGATGTGATTTTTTTCCAAAAGACAGTAGACCGATCCGTCACCTGCGGTGTACATCTGGAGGTTGTGGAGTATTCTACCGCTCAAAGGTTCTGGTGCAACCGAGGAAGACTGCTCGGCCCATAGCGTTGGCAGGTCACCCTCGCTTCGAAGCTTGTGGATCTGAATCACCACGTTGACAGCCTTCAAGACGAGCTGAAAGAATCTCCCAGACTCGTTCTCAATGAAAACGGTTCTCAAGATTTGGTGTGTTGCAACAACATGCTTCCAGGCTGCGGAGAGATCCTCAGGGTTGAGCGGTGTTGACCCCGACAGTTTGAAGAGAAAGCGCTGGGTATACTGATTGTTCACACTTCTCAGCTGCGACAGTATGAGGCTGTCCTGAATCGGAGAACAAGGGAAAATCGCTTCTATCTCGCTAGTTGTGATGCCAAGGCGTGATTGAGCGAGACCAAGAATGGTGTTGAGTTCCTTGCGTCTAAGCCCAATAGAAGAAACCATTATCTCAGAAGGCGATGGTGGCAAGCGCTGGTGCATATTGGCGAAACTGAAGACAAATCTTTTCAGACTCTGTTCCAACTGATGCAGCCAATTTACCAACAGATCTTGGTGGTTCATCCGAGAGTTCCACTCAACCTGTAAAGACAGCTCACTGTCCTTGATGGAAGCCAAGATTGAAATTAGGGCATATCTGGATGAACCCGCACGCTGCTGATGTCTGAGACTTAAAATTCTCTCCTGGAATCCATCGTTGCATGGCTTGAACAAGGAATCCTTCTTTTCGAATTGCTGGAAAGCCCCGAGAAAGTTGAGAGTGATCTCCATGGGATAATGGTGCTTGAATGCCTCCTCACCAGCCTTGCTCAGGAAACGTGACGCGAAGTATTCCAAGCCGTTTAGGGGGGTCATATGGCGAAACTTGCGGATGCCGCTCAGGAAATCGCCGTGATCTTGTGCAGTGATAGGAGAGAAAGTCGTAAACCAACCAACAGTGTTGGATGGGTCCACGGCAGGTGTAAAGAGTTCTCGTCCATGGCCTTCGCTGAACAGGGCAGGTGACCGTCCGAATATCTCAACGAATGACTCGATCACAGCCACCAACAGAATATCTTGAGTGCCGTGTCCAGCGTTTCCTTGCGCTGATAGTGCTTCGGAGACACTCGCGTCGAGAGTGATAGTGTGACAGATAGAGTCCCCGAAACAGTTTCTGTTATTTGCCATTCCCCAGAAGGATAAGTCAGTGACAATTGCATGTGACGACGGAGGCAGAACATCATGAGGAAGTAGACTCGATGCGAATCGTTGTTGTTCCAAAGTCCAATGCTGGAAGGACGTTGTCTCGGCTAAAATCGGCGTTCCAAGACGGAGGTATGACTCCAACTCACGCAAGAGTATCCGCCAAGACACTGCATCTACAACAAGGTGATGAATTGTCATTGATAGTAGTGTCCGACAGTTGGCCTCGAATACGTCAACAGCCATTAGAGGACCATTAGTAAGATCGAGTGATCTCTTGGCCTCGGCGATGCACTCCACAACGTAATCGAGCTGTCCGCGACTGTGAAACCGTAGGCGACAGCAGTCGACCATGCTGATAGCGGATCTCACAGGAAGTTGTTGCGTCCATTCGCCTTTGCTGTGGCACTTGAAACGCGCACACAGCATTGGGTGAGTCTTGAGAATAGATTCCAAAGCCTTTAACAAGTCCTGTTGATCCAGGTTCTGGGTGGCTTCAACCAACACGGTCTGTTGATCAAGAGCATCTCCCTTGGGTGAAGCTTGAAAGTGGAGTTTCTGGATGGGGGAAAGTGTGAAAGCCTGCATATCTGCCGATTCTTCGGATGTGTTGGCTTGAGCTGAGGCTGGCGAGACGGCTCCTATGGCTGCTTTCACCAATCGTTCGATTGATCGGTATCGAAGGACATCTGCAGCGCAGATGTTCAATCCAATCTGCCTCGCCATACTGCTGATGGTAATTGCTGAGATAGAGTCGCCGCCTGTTTTCATCAGCTTTGAACATCGTAAGTATGACCTTGAACGAAGTAGGACTTACCAAGATGATAGAATGAGGTATTCCAGCAAATCTCATCCTCACAGATATTCAAAACTTCACTCCAGATACTTCTCAACCTTATTTCCAGTTCTGTACCCGGTCTTTCAGGGCTATCGTCATCCATACGAGGTAGTAAGCTGGCAAACTCGTCAGGGGTGAGGTTCTCGAGATACTTGGTCACGCGTTTGCGATCTAATTTTCCGGAGGAATTCCTCGGCATGGCCATTAGAATGATCCACAGCTCTGGGTTCATATAGGGCGGTAACTTGTCGAGGAGGAACCCCCTCATGCAGTCGATATGCTTCAGCCAAGGTGCGTCGAGGATCTCGATACGCGATACCGACATGCTTATGGGCGGCGCTGAAAATGGGTCATTGAGTGTGACAACAGCCACTAATCTCTTGGCGCAAGGTCCGGACTTGGGAACAAGCGCGACGCATTGCCGCACCCGAGGCTCTAGGACCAACTGTCTTTCGATTTCTCCTAGCTCGATCCTCTGACCCCTTAGCTTGACCTGACCATCTCTACGCCCAACGAAGTGGAGGTGCCCAAAAGAGTCATACTTGACCAGATCGCCGGTCCTGTAAAGTCTCTTTCTAGGTGCCCAGTCGAGGCCTTGAACGAACGAGGTCGATGTTTTCATGGGGTCACCCAGGTAACCCCTTGCGAGAATCGGTCCTTCCATCAGGAGCTCACCCACTGCGCCAACGGCTTGAAGCATATTTGGATCATCTGGCCTAGCAACGTATGCTGCGCACCCAGAAACCGGAAATCCAATGTTGGTAGGGTTGCTTCCTTGAGAAAATGGCGAACTGATCGTGCTAGTAACGCTACACTCTGATGGTCCGTAAACTTGGATGAGTTCTGTTTGGGGCGTGGCCCAGTTCTGGACGTTCTTTGCAGTCATTGCCTCTCCGCCAAGAACCATTGTCCTCACAGTTGGCAGTGTGACTGGAGTGAACATTTCGGCGAATGAGGGTGTGAGGTGTGCCCAGTTTGCTTCTGATCTCTTTGCAAATTCCGCTAGATCTAAGCAGTTCATTCTGGCTTCCTCAGATGGAACACATAGACAGGCACCTACGGAGAAAGTTGTAAGATGGTCCTCCATGCTAGTATCAAAGCCATAGGAAGCAAACTGCAAGACTCTCGAACCGGATTGGATGTGTATTCCTGGGCTGTGAGCCTGAGCTGCGTATGCATATGCTCCATGTTCCACGACGACTCCCTTTGGCTTTCCTGTAGATCCAGAGGTGAAAACGACGTATGCCGGGCTGTCAGAAGAGGTTGCTACAAGCGGACCGCCACGCTCTACTCTTGATGACATGGACGTCTCAAGCTGTTCCTGATCGAGTTGGAGAATCTGGCCAGCCAAATGTCTGATCGATGGTGCCTGCTTACACGAGCAAATGACCAAGCCAGAATTTTCGGAAATTCCGAGCTGCTGCAGAATCTCCTCTCGCCTAGTCTCAGGATTCGAGATATCAACAGGCGAGAAGGCGTTGCCACTCTTCAAGACGCCGAGAAGGGCCACAGAATACCATTTCGACTTCTCGAAGCAAAGCGCAACGAAAGCTCCGGGTCCAATGCCGAGGTTTAAGATCTCTTGGGCCACAATCGTAGCTGCTTCGTCAAGCTCTTTATAGCTCATGTTCCCATCCCAAGAGTGGATAGCCGGGGCAGTGGGCCGCAGCCGAACTTGTTCTTGGATAAGTTGGTGGATGCAAGTCGATTGAGCTTTGAGCAGGGGAGTGTGCATGTGTGAATTCCAGGCTGTGACTTGGCGCATATCCCAAGAGCTTATTGCGGTTGTCGAGTTGACAGCAGCTTGTGCGTTATCCATCCCAATCAACCTTGACAAGATGCTTGAGAAGGTATGCGAGACCCTGCTCGCCATTGACGGCGACAATACAGCTATCGAGTACGCGAGCCGCACTCGAATGTCCGAGTCCGAGTAAACGGCCTTAAGCACGATGTCAAAGTCTGAGGCATTATGCGATGCGATTAGCTTGAATAAGCTACTGCTGCTGTCGCCGGACATGTAAGGTGAGTAATACGAGGTCATGATGGTGTTGAAAAGCTTCGTTTCGTTGGTTCCGAGGATACGCTGTACCTTGCTGATGGAGAAGCATTGATGTGGCAGCGCGTTGAGAAAATCATCTCTGAAAGTCTCAAGGAGATCTTTGAGTGACATGGTATCCACACCACCAACACGGGAGACAAGCAAATTCATCATTGGCCCGACGATTTGGGCAACTCCGGGGATAGGCAGACTTCGCCCTGAGGAGAGGTATCCGAAGCAAATGTCTGAATCGCCTGTGTAAGTGTACAAGACAAGAGACCAGACAGCTTGCAGCACATTTGATATGGTTGCATTGTACTTTTGGCAGAAGGCGCGGATGTCGTCTAGCGTAACAGTGAGAGGCATCTCCGCGACTTGGAAAGATCCAGCATTGCCTGCCTGTGTTTTATTGTCGTCCAAAGCCGGAAAAAAACACGGCTCTGCCCCGTCCAGGTAATCAACCCAATAGTCAAGTGCGCCGTCTTCGTCAGCCTGAGTCTGTAGATAGTCGATGTATCTCCCGTATCCTGGCGCTGGACCAGGTTGCCGAGAGCACTGCAACCCGTTGACCAGCTCGTCTATGATTATCATCAATGAGCTACCGTCTACGGTCAAGTGATTCAAGTCCATATGAAACAAGACTCGACTACCGGTAGGTTCTCGAGCAGAGACGTAGATTGTGATTTGGTGTTGGCACCCATCTTGGTCAGTTTTGACTGTCTCGAGATCTCCGTTCGTGAATTGGTGACTAATATCTTCCAAATCCTCCACGTGCTCGATGATAATTGACTGCGGTCCAGATTTCAGGACGACGGCATCCAGTAAGCGGCTCGAGTTGAACTCAGAAGCCTCCACGTAGACAGTTCGGAGAGTTTGATGACGGTGGACAATTTCATTCCATGATGCCTGAAACTGATCCAAGTCAAGTTCCTGTGCTTCAAAAAGCCCACGTGTACGGTAAAGTCGCTTTGAGATCATCTTCTGGCCAATATACATGCTTTCTTGCATGGGACTACAAGGATAGATGTCTTCGATAGCATCGACGTCCACATTGTAGTTTTCCCGCAGCTCGTTGAATATCTTGGCGAAGTCATAGCCAAGAGGCATTTGTGAAAATCTTTCGTCTCCCTTTTTGACTTGCCGGATTGAAGTACAGCCGTCTTGGTGGTTGGAAGCTAGTGAGGCGACATCTCTCAAAGATTTGTGAAGTATGTCCTGGAACCGGACACCCAAGCCATGCTCAGCACATTTCTGGTAGAGATGAACAGCCTTGAATGAGTCTCCTAGTTACTTATGAGCAATGCGATGACATGCGAAATCGAGGAGTCATCAGCGTGGCCAGGACTCACCTCCAAGGGTTACAAACGATGATGCATCGTCAATATTCTCATTTGGGACCATCAAAATGTTGGAGATGAGAGTCCTAAGCTGATTGATTACAACTCGAATCCTGTCTTCTGGAAGAGTGGTCGCAGACATGATGGGCGAAAGTGAGTATTCGGTTTAGGATGGTCAACAATGCGCCACAATTGAGTTGGCAGAGGTTGAGGACGGGCACTTCGTTTGAGTCTTTAGTCAAGCACCGAGTCATTCCTTCACTTCATAGTGTAGGGCCAGAACAATTGATACCAGTTAAGTTGGAATTATGACCACAGCTAGAAAGCATCAAGCGCTCTGAGAGGCCAGGTGAGGCAGTTGTCCAGAGTCTCGTGAGCGTGTGTGGCTCTATGTCGAGCTGCCACTTACAAGTCCGGAGTAGGTAGCCCACTGTTCACGACATCCACCTGGCATACCACGCCGGACTGGCGCCGAACGTGGCTCGGTCCGAACTATAACTCTATTTTAGACCAGAACTTGAATCCACTGGCTCGCATCGATAATATATTTCGCAGGGAATTCGAATTGCAGGAGATAGCGATCGAACCGGCTGTCAATTTAAATGAATTAAGGTGGTCCGAGAGAGGGTTTGGAAGGCCTAGTATTGTTGAGTCTTGTCTCTGTGGGATTGTTATTAGATAGACGAGTCGATTTAGAGCAGCTCGAGTGACTGCAGAGTGATGCGCGCACCGACGGGAATGAGAGAACTAAAATATTAGACGAATCACTGCTGCGACTGTTTGTCGGTGGCAGCTATTGGCAAATGAGCCAGAAATACAGGCTTCTGCAACGCGACGAGCTCCAAATTGAACCCTAGATCCGGTCTTGAATGCAACCTTTAGTTGTGACACAACGAGGCTCATACTCACCATTCTGAGGACCGCGGGTCGACGCCAAATAGTCATATGTAATCCAAATCCCAAGGCTCCGAGGATGAAGAACTCGGGACTTGAAACGACGTGTCGCATGGGCGCACAGTGATATCACCCAAGCAATCCTGCTGCTAGCAGAGGTCAAGACATTCAAGACCAACGAGCAAACAAGGATTCGGTATCGCGAGTACTTCTTTTCTTTCGAGTCTCAAAACTGCAAAGGCACCGCCATAGAAAACTACTTGCCCACGGGTCCATGCAGACGCTAACATTCTGCGGCTTGCGTTGTAATTTATGACGAAATTAATTTTATTCACACTATTGATAGCGAGGGAACTTTCTGCTTCTCAGTCCTAATCATGCGGTCACGGTGGTCGTGAAACATGACACACAGCCAAGTCAGACCATGGACACGAAGCTTCTTCGAGTCGCTCGCGTATCTCTCTTGTCACTGATTATGAAACTTCTCAAATAGGTAGTCTGTCCGCGTGACAATTGAAGATCTGTTGAAGAACTTGCTTCGTCTGGCTTATTCCAATTTTCTTGCGGGGGAAGGGAGAGAAAGATGCGGCGCCGGCTTGGTAATGAATGACTGGACGCATCCGGACTCGAAGGCCGCGCGCATTCTCGGCCCACGTGTCGCTCGCGAGGACAGCTCATCCCGGATTCCGTCAAAGGCCACCGCCATAGCTCCCACCACCACAGGCACCCTGATGCGTTTTCTTTGGAATGTGGATCGGCCATGATTCTCCATGGTACCGTTGGCGAATCCTTCGGACAGACTCCGTGATCACCCTACTGACACCCACCTAGCTGCGAGAGTCAATAATGCTCAGATTATTGATATTCGAGATGTCAAATGTAGGCTGGGCACAAGCTGTTCAATTTCATATACTAATCCATACCCTAAATCTGCGGCTAAACTCCCACACGTTACTCGGCTTGCTTCATTTGGTAATGCGAAGACCGGCGGACATTCCGATCAACTGCGGAAGATCAACATTATGTCATTCGGATCCAGCTTCCGGGGCAGTCGACAGCCACCGCCTCACCCGGGACGCCGCATGCGTCCTGACACTCTTCTATACCAAAGCGATATGTTCCCTGCCGACTTCAATGCCTAACAGGTCTTAGCTGTCTAGTGCCATCTTGGTTTAGTGTGGGTTAGATCAACCATGCTGGCTTAGACACGGACCGGCATGGATTTGGAGGCGGGGGTATTCGACATGCCGCCGAATTGTAGGTAGACAACAGAGGTGGCGGAATTCCGCTGGATTTGCCCATGTGTCGAGGCTACACTATCCAAATGTTTAGCTTACCTCCTCCAACAGCGTCAGGCTAGTGTGGCGGCAGAATGATTTAAGCGAGCGAGGCCTGAAGCGGTCTGAGTATTCACCACATTGCAGGTCTTCGGGCGAGCGCAAGTGAAATCAGTCTGTTGAACGACCTGAAGTGGACTTTTCTAATCTATAGAGAAGGTATACTGGGCCGGTGACTATCGAAAGATATATCCGGTTTGTGTGTTCGTCAAATTGTTAACACCTAAGATCTCCTGCGGTCTTATGTCCAACAATAAACTTGACTTTGACTGAAGGGGGCGAGAGTTTCGGGAGGCTGCCGGCAGTGCATGAAATACCAAAAAATAGCACAACAGACACGCCAGCAAGGCACCCAAATGGAAGCCTGCCGCCCCCCGCAAGCTGCAAGCCAAGCCACACAGTCGAGGGAGAGCCGAATGGGGGCTAGGGGCGAACATCCCCCGTGGGAAACCGGGCGATGGCGACCTCGGCCCCCAGTTCCCAGATGCTCATTGCTTTACCATAGCAGTTGCTATTCATGTTGATGATTTGATTGGATTTGTGGGGATACGGCTTGTTCTTTTGATCAGGCCCAATCCGCGAGCATCCTGTTGCTTCATTTTACGTGTGTTCCGCTGAATGAACACACCTAAAATATGAGGTTTCCATGCAGCCGGATCTCTCAAGCTCCGGTTCTGACATCCACACCGGCGCGGATTCGGCTCTCGCGTCAGTTGGACTGGCTTTTTGGAACTTTTTAGACGCCCAACATGAAAGCAAAGATGATGTCACTTACGTGATCTTCACGTTACCTACCTACATGAAGCTCTAGGGAGCTCTTTGGTCAGCGAAATTTTACCCACTGCTTGTGACTGACTCAAGAATTTGCCCACACTAAGATGGACGATCGACGCTGAAGTGAGCAGCTAGATTCACCTTGCCTGTTTGCCTGTGCACCCGATTGGTTGGATCTGCATGTTTTGACGAAAAGAAAGCCAGACCAATGGCAAGCTCATCGTCTTGGGCATACCATCCAACCAACATTAAAGTTAGGGTTCCTTGGCTAGACCAAACATAAGAGAACTTTGAAGAAAGAAGCTCATGTAATCTGGGCTGAGGTTACTTCGCCGCAGGCCCAGAAAATGCTGACGGCGGGACCCTTATTTGCTGATGCTCGTTCAGCTAACGCTGTTGCCGTGATCCTGAAGGATTCTGGCTCCACGTGTTAGCGGACCGCGCTTCGGGGGTGTCTCAACGCGTCTCTTTTGCATTCCTCCTGTCTTCATGAGTGCCGGAATAGCAAAGCGAGCACACCCTGACGTTTGCGGCGCAACTTTTTGGAAAATGTGAGGCAATCCGTAGGAAGAGATCAATATTCTCAAACCACAAGTGTTCATACACAGCCATTGTGGTGACTATATCCGCATCGTGAAAACACCGTCACCGTCACCGTCCCACCTCTTCTGCACCTCCCATGTCTTTTCGCAAAAAAGTAGAGTCAAGCTCAAAGGGCTATTCTGGTCATCGGAACATTTGCCCACCACGGCCCCACCGTAGTTCCTAAGTGTCATCCGTCGGAGGATTCAATATAGTGTTGTTCATCAAAGGAACCGTTCACCCACTATCGCTATTCCAGGAAACCAAAGAACAAGGTACGCCGGGTTGGGGCTGTGAGGAATTTCGTCCCGACGCCAGCATGCAGACCAGTCCTCTTAGCGTCGACCCCGGCAAGCCTGCTGTCCACCTGTCTTACTCATAGCTGAGCCCGTCCCGTCCTGACTGACTCACAGCCTCACCTCGCCTATTCAGGCTACTAGTTATTCCATCATGAATCCCCGAACGCGCTCGTCTGGTGGTGAGGCCGGGGAAAGGCGGATACGGTCTGTCGCTAAGGTCGGTAGTGACTATGGCGATTGAGGTTTTGATATAAGACCTGGCGCTTCTCCTAGAGTCGTAGGATAGGTTGGAGTCTTTATTCTAGCTGAGCGGGCTTTTGAGTTTCCATTACACCATTCTGAGCCATCTCCATATTCACTCGCAATTACAATCATCAGTGGCCAATTATCGAGATGCGCTCATCACTCACCTGGGCTCTAGCTCTTGCGGGAGCAGCTACATCTGTGTCTGCAAAGCCAACGCAAACGCAATCTCACGCAAGCCATACCGATCACCATGCGACGTCCACACCAACCAACGCGTGCGCCGTGGCACAAGCAGCTGCAGAGTCGTTTCTCTCAGCCAACCCTAGTGCAACGGGAGCCGCGATAGTTCCTTCGATTGCTTACGACTGCTTGAAGTCTATCCCTATCGACAAGCAGAATGACTTGGATCTCCTCAACTACCTTCAGCCATACATTGAATTCCAAAGTACTTTGGAGCCTCTCACTAATCCACCGAAGGGATACCTCATCCCGGGCGTCGATGTCATCAGGGGACTCGGCCAGATCCGGGCCCGTGTGATGAAGGACAAGTACAAGAGCCAGGTCGAGTTTGCGCTGGACATCAAGCGTCTAGTAAGACAATTACGAAGTCGCCGTGGACATGACATGAATTTAACGTTCTATAGTTCGCTCAAGCTTCGGATGGACACTTCAATTACAACCCTGCCATCCTCAACCTCTTTACCTTTCGCAGTCTGAATCAGCTCGTTTCTGTATCAGACGATGGCCTCAGCGTCCCGAGAGTCTATCTCGTCAGTGACTTCCTCAAGTCTTACGTCAATGATACGGATGTCTATGATATCAAGAGCATCGATGGCGTCCCCATCACGAAATGGCTCGAGGCACAGTCTTTCCGAGTCTTGACTCAGGATCCAGACGCCAAGTATAATTCTCTGTTCAACACAAACCCTGCTACAGAGTTCCAGGGTATTGGCAACGATTTTGTCCTTCGCTTCCCTGGGCACGCTCCGGATTCCCAGGTGATCAAGTTCACCAACGGAACGAAGTACGTCGACAAGCTTGTAGCTGTCGTCAGTGAGCTCTTGGTACCGTATCTCGGCAGCCCTGAGGCCATCCACTCGAAGGTCGAATTACCCCCTACAAGCACCAGCTCATCCGTCGCTTCTTCCTCGTCTGCTACATCTTCGTCTAGTGCAACACCCACCACGACAAGGATCCCGGGCTACCCAGAACCAGTATCCAAGCACGCGAGTGATTGGATCTCTACATACTTCCTCAACGGCTCCTACGAGGACACCGCGGTCGTGGCCATTTCTTCTTTTGCTCCGTCCGATGTCGACACCGCGAACTCAACCTTTGAGATTGATGAAGCGAGGCGTGTCGTTGATGTTTTCCTCAAGAAGGCCAAGGACGCAGGCAAAAAGAAGCTCATCATCGACGTCCAGGCCAACGGAGGCGGCTTCATCGCAGCCGGATTCCAACTCTACAATCAGCTTTTCCCCAAGACCACCGATATCTGGGACGGAAACCGCATCCGTGCCCACGAAGCTTTCAACGCCATTGGACTTACCGCTCAAGAGGCTTCGTCCAGTACTTTGGCAGATTTGCTTTCAAATGCCCTAAACGACGAACTCCAGCCTTTCAAGGACTGGCAGGATTTTTATGGTCCTGAAGTGGTTGCTGGACAGAACGTTACAAATCTGTTGCGCTACAATCAGTCCGCGATCGGTTACTCCATGAGTCAAGGTGACCAAATCTTCAAGCCGGAGAACATTGTTGTCATCACTGATGGCATCTGCGCCTCTACATGCACCATCTTCACCGGTCTCTTGGTAAGGGAGCAGGGCGTCCGCACGATTGCCCTTGGAGGTCGCCCTTCGGAGGGTCCCATGCAAGCCATCGGCGGCGTTGAGGGCTCAGAGATCCTCGACTGGCCCACTTTGCAGAGCACAATCATGCAGGTTGCCAGCGAAGCTATCGCCGCGAACGAGACCGAGATTCTCGAAGCGGCCATTGATGTTCTCCCCGACCTCGGCGACCCTCCTTTGCTCCCCACACTGGCCAACTCGGGCGGTAGCTTCAATTACCGCAACGCCTACGCTCGTAACAACACGGACGGATTCCCGGAGCAGTTCATATATGAGGCTGCTAATTGTCGTCTTTTCTACACGGCGGACATGCTTGTCAACATTACAGAGATTTGGGTCCGCACCGCCGACTCTGCTTGGAACAAGGCCAAGTGCGTTGGCGGATCGACTGCCAGCTCGGACGGTATCATCAGCAGCGACGTTGTGCCTTATAGCGACAAGGTCATCGGGAGGAACTTGGAATACAGGGGGCCCGGCAGCTTGTCCTATAAGGGTGCCTATGAGCCTTCCTCTCCCTATGTCCAGAAACACACGAACAACAAGCGCTCCATCGTCGAGCAACTCAACGTGCCCGAGAACTTTGTCTACGAGCCCAGGAAGCACAAGATTGGCAATCTGAAGGAGTACCTTGCTCGAAACATGCCCGAGAGCTTCAAGTATGAGCAGAAGCACAAGGTGAGCGTTAGCCACACTCACCGGAACCGGTGGTAGTTGAGTCGAAATTTTGGAAATGAATTATAATGAAATGCTCTACTACAAGAATATGGGAGTTCATTTCTTATGCGTACATATACCTTAGACACTCATTGACACACAAGTAACAAAGAGTCACTAAAACAAACATTTTTTTGCCCATAACTAAATTTCACCCCATGCCAATGAGTCAAGTGTTTTGAGATGATCCAAGACAACGGCGGAGCCCTTGACTGGAAAATAATTTGACGTTCTTCCCTGAAACTGGGTAGTCTGGGACCAATATCAGAACCTCGAAATGACTCATCAATATCTTTATCGTGGCCTCAGTGAGTGAGGAAATCGACATGTAGTCCGAGCAGTTCCAAAGCTACCGAAAAGCTTACCGAGTGTCCTTGACAACGCTGACGGGCTCAAACTGGTCTTATTTCGGCGAAAGCCAGCGTAGATAATTTATACATGGTCAGAGAAAATGCAGCTAAAGATCAGTTGAAAACTCCAATTTCGTATTCCATATCCTATCATTTGCGAAATGTAGAAACACTGCTCAGCCATCGACAGCCTCGGTTACGATGGACCCAGACGAATGAAGCACCATCATCTCTAGCCCAAGCTTGGACTCTTCTATCACTGTTCAACTGAGTCACACGAACTTTATAGGCATTAGCGAACCAAAATTGGATTTTTCTGGATAGGACCATCGCTTCTGGTGTTCACCTGACCTTTCTTAACTACTAGAGGTGCATTTGAAGATCACGCACGGCATTACAAAATTCCATTCGAGGTACACAGACTCCTCATCGGGCTTGAAAGCGCGACTCATGTAACCCCGCCCCCGCGAACCTTCACAATGACTCTGTGTTCAAGCGAACATGGTGTGGGTGCAATCAAGCTTTTCGCACCTTCGTTTACACAGCCGACTCAGAAGGTATCATTCTCAATCAAGAGAACCCCAGCCACCGGGTGGATTTCGTTTCCAAGGGGCCAGGCTCACATGCTTTTGTCATAACGGATTAGGTCTTTTGTTGTCACGCTACGAAGTGACGAGACTCGACCTCAGAAAGCTGCAGAGCGTGATACAGAAACACAGCAGAAAAGCATGGAATTCTAGTCAACAACAGAAGGCTCAACAGGCCAGGGGTCCGATTTTCTGCCCAATCTCTAGTTAAAGTATTTCTCCGTACCTGACACCACGTTGGCATCTCACCACCCAAAGCAGCCACGTGTAAACGCGGAACAATCGAACTCTATGGCAACGGGGAACGGCTGAGTTTGTCTTGTCAGTGCAAGTCTTGAAGTCTAAATCTGTTTTTCCACGCACCGTCCAAGGCCGATTCCAGGAACGCCCGCCATCGAACGACTAGCTAAGGTTACCCGCCTAGCGGAACACTACTAGCGTCCAACTCCCCCTCTATACCCTTTTCCGAGCGAGAATCATGTGAACTTGCCATTCAAGCTCCAACGCCCCATTTCCAATTTCTTTTGCCATCTCTTGCCATTTTGGCGACTGCCATGACTCTTCAGTAAAGCCAAACCTCATAGACTCGAGTGATTGCTTCAGCCAATCAACCGAGGAAGAGATCCGCCAATCCTTGCTATCATCTATGACCACACGTTCGGATGTTCCTAGATGTCTTACTGGGTCTGCTGTTCCTTCGAGGGGGTGGTAGTCTTTTGCGTACCAGCCATCGCGACAGTTAATCTCGATGCGCTTGACGTCCTTCCAAATCTCGTCTTTCAGCGGAACAGAGTCCATGCCATGAAACATCTGACGGGCAGCACGCTTCCAGTTCTCGGTCATCCACTCTTGCTTCAGGAGATGAGCGGCGTGCTCTCCAATGAAAGCCTTGAAGGCTGCATTGGCGACCGTGTTGTTGGTGATTCCAGGGAAAGGCCCGTAAATGACGGCCGCAAAAGTCCCATTTCCCCGCAGACTCTTTGCAATGTTGTCAAGGGTGGGCGCCAGGATAGTCCAGTGTAGTGACTCGCATGCCATTACGAAGTCAACGTCTTCTACACCGACGGGGGCTTCCCAGGGGTCTTCCCCGCGGCAGTTCCGGTAAGTAAAGCTGGTTCCGGGGAAGCGGTCTCTGAAGCGGGAGCGGCAGTCTTTGATGTTGATGTCTCGCGGTTCAGTCAAGATGACATGCTTGGCAGGCGATGTTGTGTGTGTCAAAAGACCGTCTGCAGCGTTGCCGCTGCCGGAGCCAATGTCGTGGACGACGGTCAGAGGGCCCTCATGGTAGCTTGTCCAAAGTTCCCACATAGAGTCTGGATAGGGAGGCCGGTGATCGACATAGTGCCTCGCCTCGTTGGCTATAGTCACCGAGGGTTGATGATGGACATCTTGAAGAGGGGTAGTGAGGGGCGCACTCATTTTCGACAGGGATTTTAACAAAAGCTGATGTGTCTTCCGCTAGGAATTGCCTATAATATTGATCCGAAGTGATACGATACAAAGGCAAGTGTCGGTCTACATACTTTTCTTGGCCAATTGCGTTCTCTTATTCTTAATTTCGGTTACTAGTCCTGAACAGCTGATCTTCGGACGTGAAACAAGTACCGACAGGACCGTATCGGACTTCCTGGGCAGAATCGGGCAATGTTTAGGTTCGCAGAGCCTACAGCATCTTTCCATAACCGACGGAACGCGACGGTAAGTAGAGCTGCAGACTCTGGCCCGAGTCGGATCAGGATGATGAGATGCAGGTGACTGACTCAACCCACGATTGCATTGCTTACATGCTTGGTGTTTCGGAAGATTAGGCCGCAATAGATGGGCGCGCTTATCGAGCTTTTCCAAAGCTTCTGGTTTTTTACCGAACAGCCACGCAGCACTGAAGTAAGTTTGGACAACACTCGAATTAGTGGAACTTTGTTTGCGGTCATGTTTCCAAACCCTGCCTGCCCGAAGGCACTGTCTGCAGGTCTGGCCGATGGCTAGCTCAGAAAGACGATGCTACGAACGGAACTAGCCCAAGCTGCCTTGGAAGCGTATCGAAGCTAATCAGGAAGCTTGTAGCTTCTGTCTGACGGCAGGGCAATCAAGATATTGAACTCGGCAAGCAAGGTGTGAGCGGGTAATGGCGAAGTCAGTGAACTTGTGGCACACGGATCTGGATGCCCCGAGCGCGATTTTACCCCATCCTTGAAGGGGACTCGTGTGAGCAGGGTTGGAAGTTCGATCACTGACTGTTTGACTAAACGGATATAGTCTGACTAGGTACGTAGGCGAATAAAATCACTTAAGCTACAAAACATTGACTAAGCTGACTAAAATCTAACTGTTGCAACTAATTAATTTATTCTTCTTATTCTGTTTGATTTTGTTTTTATTCGTATGTTTGACTAAGATTTTTTTTCACGGCAGTGATAAAATTCAGTCTGACTAATTCCAACCCTGCTGGTGATGGAAGCAAGAGGGCCAAGCCTAGCCATTTTGAACAGACTGGGCGAGTCATCCACAAAGCTTAAGCTCGTCTGATGTGATGAACACGTCCTACATAGAACGAATGGCACATCGCTGCTTTTGCGCAACGACCCAAAGGGAAGGAAACTTTAAAGAGCAGTTGTGTGAATCACTTTCATCGGCTAGGAGATTACGAATCCGAGACATCCAATACGGCTTGCTGCTTTGTTTGTCCCGTTGAGAGTTTCTGGTAGAGCTGGTCCCGCTTGAAACAGTCTTATTCTTCTGGATCTGCTGTCATCCTAGAGAAGCTTGGGGAGTCTGGATTCTTCCACTCGGGATGTGCAGGGTCACTGTCACTAACACAGACCTTGTCGGAAAAATGACACGGTCTGAAGGAGTGCATTCTATAGACAAGCCACGACGAAATCGGGATTTTTCAGACGAAACTCTGAGTCAGGTTTTTGGATTCGTCCGTTGGTCAGGGAGGGGCACTACTTACATGGATCAAGCTTATCTTGCATTCAGCTCGACCTTTTATCTACAACGACTGCCGACGCTTTGCTAAACTTCGACCATTACCGTCCCGTGTTAGTTCTTGAGGCGTGGAGGAACCCACGTGGAACCTAACTCTGGCTATCAACATGCGTCGAATCACACGTCGTAGAGGCGCTTGTCAAGCTTGCAGGTCTAGGAAGGTTCGCTGTGAGTGTTCAGATTTGTTCTCAACAGACCTCATCATGACATCTTCAAGGTGACGGTGCCGATCCGTGCCTCAATTGCGAGGTATGAAGACGTCATCCTGCAACATCAACACATAGCCCGAGCTCACAGTATTACCTAGCGTAACGGACAAGCATGCTATTACCCCCCACTGGCGCCTCGACCGAGGAGGACAAGCGCGCCGGGAACAAGCAGCCAAACGACGCCAAATATTCGCAGGTTGGGAAGCAACACAGACCAAAACGTCCCCGATTACGATGCCTGGCAACAGATGCCCCGCGATACCGCTCTGCTGACGCCGAACTCTACAGAGGGTACTGGGAACAATGGCGGCAAGGTTGATGTTGATGAGCTTAGCTGCATGCTTCATCTGTCCATGCCGGAGTCATACCCGGACTTGCGGCATGATGGCCGGTTGAATCTCTTGGATTTACCATTGCCAGGGGAAGACGAGCTCATGGAGCTTCTGGACACAACTCCCTCTGATTGCCAGTCTTCGATTGGAGAGTTCAATTTTGATTTCACTGCATCCAACATCAAGCCACTTCCTCAGTCTCCAATCACTGCTCCATCATTGCCAAACGAATGTCAAATTCGCGATAGGCCGGACACGACAAGCCCTCCAGACTATAACACGGTATGTGGAAGTGAGCACGACCAATTCAGGTACGCCAATGACTTAGACACTGCGCAGTTGTTCGATTTTGAGGAAGCGACGGAGAATCCGCCGCCAGCATTCAATTCGAAAGATAAGTCTCCCACGTCGAAAAATGCTACTGTGCACGTCGACTTTTCCGCCGCAAACCTGTATGGGCTTCCGGAATCCATCTCTAGGGGAAGCAAGAAAAGCCAGAGCAATGAGACGATCAAGATCGTAGAAGGTTTGCGGCGCGTTCTCTGCGACAGTCCAGTCTCAGTAGCCGACGATGGTCCACTTGATTGGACTAGAAAGTTTCCCGAGACTGATACTGCTCTTTCGTGGTATTGCGATGGTGAGTGGTATTCGAAAACCCAATGACTTCATGTTACCGCTTCTGACATGGCTCTTACAGCTTGCTTTGACGATTGCTGCCCGTAAGTGATCGTAGTCGAAAACTTCGGATGGATCTGTGTCGAGCTAAAGTTGCCTGACTACGAATCAGAATTGCAGACTTTTTGACGAAAGCCGCCGTTGAGAAAGTAATCAAGCAATCCCGAGAACCTGATCCTACCAGATTGGTTTCAGTATTCGCGGAAGCTATTGTGGCTGTTGGGTACCACACGGCTTGTCTACGGAGTCGAGAATCTCCGACAAGAGAAGAGGAATCCAGAGCTCAAAAACGCCTCGCCGCAGTTTTACGGCTTTACAAAGAGATCCAAAATTTTCCAAGTACTTTGATGAAATTTCAGGTCAGTCTATCCAAAGAACATTTAATATTATTTTATCTCGGCAACTCGCTCACGAATACGTTGTTTAGGTCACTCTGGTCATGGTATGATGCGAAGTTCATAGCAATCATCTGCCTTTCCTGTAATCTAACTAACTCGAAAAAGGCAGTCATCGCATATGTGTGCGAAGAAAACTCAATTTGGGAGAAAATCACAGCGGCGGTATGTTGTGCGCGTGACCTCCGCCTCATTCACGCAGCAAGAGGCCAGCAACCAAGCATGAGCGAACACGATCAAGAGCAGGCTCAACGGGGCGTTTGGTTTCTCTACAGCCTTGAGACCGACTACGCAATCCACCATGGGATGCTCCCGGTAAGCCTGTCAATGACTCGACTCTGAACCACCATCAGGAATCTCACACTGACATGCTCACTAGATCCTCGACCTAGGCTGGGGGATACAATTTCCTTCATTCGAACGGGGGGATGACATGGTTGCTGTGTCATACACGTTCTCCGAGCTCTTGCACTCCGTCCTCAAGTTTCAATACAGCCCAAGAGCACTCAACAAGTCCGCATCAACATATGATCGTCGTGACCGACTTCAGGCCAGTTGCCATGTGCTCAATGAGTGGATCGGTGGCCTGCCGGCGCCTCTGAACGAAGCGAACAATGCCAAGGTACTGCAAAGTATAAAGAACGACCGGCAGTTGCGGAAGGCGTTCCGTGTCTTCTGCATGTATCATCGGGCCGTATTTTTCATTCACTGCCCCTGGATATCGCCGATTGCCACGGATGACGCGGACTCGTCCGGTGTTGCCGAGCAGACCAGGGAGAGATGTGTCGAGCGATGTGTTGAGTCGGCCTTCACTGTTATAAAGTTGGCTAATAGCGGAACTTTCTGGGAAGAGGGGCTTGAAAGGTACGTCTTGCGCCCGCAGCTGAGCTCGGCGGCTAACCTCTTGCACCTAAAGAGACATTGGATCTTCAAGTATGAAATGGGGTCACATGGGACAGCTCCTTCTGGTTTCACTTTGTTTAATTGTTCATCACCTGATCAACGGAGAAAAGGAAAATCGTAAGACTGCAATGTCATACCTTGCTATCTGCGGAGGTCTATTTGGCAGGTTGAGCCTGGATAGTGACGAGGCCTCGTTGATGGACCATTATCTCGAGCTGATTCAGGTGGTAAGGGCAAAGTGACACATTTGAGACAAAGTATAGCGAGCAAGCAAGAAGCGAAACCGGAATGAAAACAATGACGTCTGGGCCGGTTAGCTTCTCAATTGATTATTCGGCATGAATAGGATTTAAAGTCTTGATTAAAGTTCAGGGGCGGCCCGCTCAGCTAGCTGCTGAGGAGGCTGTGGGCTGAAGGGAAGATCTTGGCTATTGGCATATATTCACCAGGGTTTGCTGGGCAGTAAGGGATGGTCGGAAAAGGTTTGTGGCTGTAGCATTTACCATTTGGATTCTAAGGATATTTGAGGCTCGAACTCGCAGTCAGCTTGACATCAGACTGAGGTTGCCTTCTGGCCTCGAAGAAGGGCTGAAAATCAAACAAATCATGGGCCCATTGTATTCGCGACAAGAGTTGATTTACACTTCCAAGCTGACAAAGGCTGATTGCCGCTCCCGTGGAGACGGTTCCTTGCTAGCTGTCCCTGCAACTCTTCGTTCCATCCCGACGGAAACTGTTCGGATCGAAGTGAATACTGACTAAATACGTGGATGAAAGTCTCCGTTCAGAAGTTCACCTCCTCCTTTCTGCGCCTGACGAGAACCCTTGAAGTGGGATTCGCAAGCATAGAAAACCCAAACTCAAGAGGATTGGTGTTTGCATTCTCCGCCAGCTCGATATCGTACTTGAGCAACAGGTGGCACATGACCAGCTTCACCGTATTGGCGCCGAAGAACCGACCGGGGCAAGCATGGATGCCGAGCCCGAAACCAAGGTGTTCGGGCGAAGTGCTGACCAACTGCGAGGTCTTTTCTCCCTGTTCAGAAGCTTCCCGCAGTCGCAGGAAACGGTATCCATCATATGCTCGCGGGTTCTTGTAGATCTCGGGGTCCCACATCTTTTCAGCATTGACGGCAATGCCAGAATCTCGGGGAAGAACTGTGCCATCCTTGAGGCGGACTTCTTCCATGACTCTGCGGCCGAGTCCCACTGTTGAAATGTGTTAGTCAATTTTCCCGTGGTTATTAATCCTGAAGCTTGATTGGCTTCTCCCACAGTGACCAAAATTGTCCGGATGATCCTGACATGGAAACTGGGCTCATGAAACGGGAAACATACCGGCTGCAACAGGCTTCAAGCGCAAGGTTTCCTTGAGTGCGCTATCCAGAAGCTTTGTGTTGTAGAGACTGGTAGGTTTCCACGCACCGTCCCCAAGAACAGACCGAATCTCATTCCGAAGAGGCTCGAACATCTCCGGATGCTTGCAAAGGTCCATGATGCTCTGGGACATGAGGTCGTTGCTAGTCAGAATTGCAGAGATGCTGAGTGCCAGCTGTTGATCCGCGGGGTCATAGTCAACGCCCATTTTCTTTGCTGCGGTCTCGTACCAGTCCAAGGCATCGTGGTATTCCAGATTAGGATCTGCCGCCTTTTGAACACGGCGTTTCTCTAGGATTGGCGCGATGATTTGACGAGCTTCCACTAGCATACTACGAACTTCCTGGCATTCGGGAAGAACCCAGTGGATGATGCGATAGAGAAATACAGGCCACCGCCGCAAAACCTTGGCTGCATTTGTTGCTTTGTTAGTGTAATCTACTGTGATTTTCAGCCAGTCGGGGTTTCGGCACAGCTCCGGACCAAGAAAGATGACGGAGGACACTCGTGCAACGATTCGGATGATAACATCGCCGAGGAGAACCTCATGCCATTCTAACGAGGAATCGATGTTAGAAATCGCTGCGATCCAGCAAGACTTTTTGAGTGGAACAAACCTTCATCGTCTGTCAAAATATCTCTCAAGGCAGCGTTCGCCTCATCAGATAACGGCTTGTTGAGCTTGGCTAGAGCATGTAGTTGAGAATTAGGAACTCTGCTCAGAAACAACCCCAGAATGAATTCAACGCACCGATACCAGCAGGTGTAAGATTCCATTTGATTACATTGTGCAAAATCTCAGTCCCAAGAGCAATGTAAGGCTCAAATCCCGGGATCCCCGCTTGCCAGTACTACAAGAATTGCACACCTGTCAATGATTGCATTCTTAGCAAAAACGCCAATCTGCAGTCAATCTTACCTGAAGCAGAAATTTCGTTGAATCAAAACGGACGTCATTTCGGACTTCCGGCATAACGCTGTGATCGAGTATAATGACTCCGCCACCAAGGCCGGTGTTCACTCTGAAAGGCTTTCCGCCAAACTCCTTCAGACCCCTGGCCAACATTGCCCTTCCGCTTCTTAGATACTCGTTCTTGGAAGCATTAATAACTGGAAACGTAGACAACTTGTTGCTACGTAGCGAAACGGCCATTGCTGAGGCTACCAGAATAATAGCCATCAGGTATGGTACATAGCCGGTGGCCTCCATCGAGTTGGGCAGCCCGAAATGGCCCAAGTCGACCCATGATGGCCGGGGTGGGCTGAGCGTTGTTCGCGTGTTGGTGTTGAGGTAACTAGCCATTGTCTAATAATTTGAAGCGTCACTTTCTCACTGTTGAGTACTAGGAAAACCACTAAGGAGCATATGGTTACCGCTGTTTCCAGACTCTGTTAAACCAAGCAAACGTGGCGCAGGACGAAGGAGGGCTCATCTGATGACCATTCCCGTTCACCGTACCAAGTAATACCTTATTTCCATCCACAGCCATTTCAAACTCTGAGCCCAAGCTGACCCAAGCCGCATTCTCGGCTCCGAGTCGCCGACGTGTTGCCGTTCTTTCGTTGACCACCTAGATTAGGAAGCAGACTTGGCTGGGTTTACTGCAGCTCAAGTCGCTCGGTCCGAGCGGCGGAGCCGGGGTGGTTCACAAGTCACCGCACGGAGCAGACAGCGCCAGGGATCGCGTCGCGCCGAGGTCGTGTTTCACGCGCGAGGGGCTCGTTTCCGAAACCTTATGCCATCAGCCCCTTGGTTGCAGACTGTCAGGGGCTTTGAGTCATTTGTGTCCTCGGAGCAGGAACAATGAGGAACCCTACGGAACACAGTAAGCAACTTTGTGGAAAGATCTCTGGGTTGAGTTTGGGCCGGGGAAGACATCCTTATCTCTACGAACCACACTATCCTCTCACTTAGGCTCGATGACATGGACAAAGGCCTGAGTCGTTCATTCTTGGACCGGCATAGGTCGTCGATGCTGGTGCTGGCATCCCAACTTTCTGCAGCGGCACTAAACGGGTTTGCCAAGTTCTTTGAGACGGGCGAAGATCCTGTCCATCCGTTCCAGGTTCTCTTCGTCCGGTTCCTCATCACGGGCACTGCATGCACCTTTTATCTCTGGTTGACAAAAGCACCCACATTTCCATGGGGCCCGCCAGAATTGAGATGGCTGCTGGCTTTGAGAGCTGCAGCCGGTGTTTTCGGAGCCTTTGGTTTCTACTGTAAGATGACATACCGCATCGTGAAATGATTCTTTGGTGAGATCAAGCTGTTGACACGCTATCCCTCAGTTTCCATAATGTACCTTAAGCTCAGTGAGGCAACGGCGTTGAACTTCCTGGGACCGCTCACTGCCATGATATTCATTCGGTATCTGGATTACGGCACTTTCGAAGTGATTGACCGCATCGGGGCTTTTGTGGCGCTCTTTGGTGTGATACTCGTCGTCCAACCAGACGCACTCTTTGGTTCTAAGCCAGCACTCGCCAACGCTGCCCAGTCCATAGCTGATGGCAGCACCAAGGGTAGGATGATGGGATTCGGGTTTGGCTTGATAAGCGTTTGTGGCGGAGCCGTAAGTTTACAAACCTCCTTTTGTGAGACTCAAGTTGAACTCGTTCCAAGGTCGCGCTTACCGCGATTCGCTCTATTGGCACACGTACGCACCCTTTGATGAGCATCATGTACTTTGCTTGGACGATCGTCACGATATCAACTGTGGCATTTCTTCTGATGGACAGCGTTCACCTCACAACAACGGTTTTGTCGTGGGTCAAGTTGGTGCCCCTGGGCATTTTCGGGTTTACAATGGTAAGTTACGATAACGGGACAGCCGTTCTACGCCCTTGACTAATATCACGGACACCTTTAGGAGTATCTTCTTACGCAAGGCATAGCAAACGACGCCTCGTCTGCTGCTACGATCATGATTTACTCTCAGGTCGGATGGGCATTGTTACTGGACTGGATTGTTTGGCATTCTCACATCAATTTCTTGGCATTGGTAGGGATAGGTAGCGTTGTCACGAGTCTCATCGTTGTCTCTTCCGCAAAGGAGTGGAACTGGCTACGAAAAGGTCGATATGAAGTACTGGAGCAAAGTTCACTTGATGAAAGAGAGCTTGACGAAGAAGAATTCGTAGAGATGAGACCAATTAGCTCGGTAGCATAATTCATAGGCTACGAGAATAGTGAGCTGTAATTATAATAACAACAAATCATTCCTAGTAAAGAGTCGCTGCTAGACCTTTGAATCGTGAGATATGGAAGTATCGTGTCAGCCTTCTTTTACGCAAGCACACTCGGTCCCTTCGGGTTAAGCTTCAGATGAGATAGAAAGACCCTTGCAAATCGGGTTGAACTTCATGCATATTGATTAAACGGGGAGTTTTGGAAAAAAAATTCGAATTCAGAGAAGATTTCTACATGCAGTGACCCAGAACGCTAATCGAATAACTCTAAAAGAAATGCTATCAAGTGGAGGTATGACCGTTGCATGGCACTATGAGGAAAGTCCGCCTAATTACAAAACGCAATCACTTCCTCAATGATCTTCTCAGAAAGATGCATCAGAGAAGTGCACTGCGTAACTTCCATAGACGTCAGACCAATGTGGAACTGCTGATGAATCCAGTCCACCAACTCAATGGAGATGATGGAGTCTAACCCAATCGAAGTCAAATTCTCAGTAAGAGGAAAATCTTCCACAGGTCTCAACATCAGATGGCTGAGCGTGGCGCTGATAAAGCGGGCAAGGCTCGTTACCGTCGCGCTGTCTCGGAGAGTAGCCGGATCCGACCTGGCGAGCGAGATGAACGTCTCGGCCTCGTCATTCACCCGGGCCTCTGCAGAGGTTGACGTGCTTGACTTGTGAAAGTAGTGGGACTGAGCGAAACGGACATCTCGCTTCCAGTTGACGCGGTTAGAGGGGTCTGACAACGGCTTCTCGGAGAGTCCTCCCAGACAAAAGCTGCTATACGGCCCGCCCGAGGAGTGGGCCACGGCGATAGCGGTAGAGTCGAGAACATCCTGCTCTTTCAAGAAGAAGAACCCACCGTTCTTGAATCCCTCATAAAGGTCATCCCTCTCTAGAAGATATCCAACGTCACCTACGACGCCGAGGTCGATTATTGAGGCAGGAAGACCAAGATGATGGCGGTACTCGACGAAAGCGTCGAGGTAGGTATTGGCTGCGCTGTAGTTGGCTTGGCCATAGTAACCAGTATGGCCACCACCAGAACCAAAGATAACGAAAAAGTCCAGCGGAACATTCGCATCTAAAAGAGCTTGATGGACATTCCAGGTACCACGGACTCTGGGATCGACCACTCCGCTCCACTCCTCCCACGTCATTTCGGCAGTGGAGTTATCCTTAAGGATAAGAGATAGCTGCATCACTCCTGCAACTGGCATGGGAGCCTCACTGATGGCCTTGAGTACATCATCGGAGCTGCTGACGTCTCCAGAAACCGTCTTGATAATGCAGCCGGGGTAACTCTCGAGCTCCTTCACGAACGGTTCGTTGTCGATGCTACCAGCGGATCTCGAGAGGAAGACCAGGTTACGAGCTCCATGTTCGAGCAGCCAAGTTGCCAAAGAGCGACCAAGGCCACCGAACCCACCTATGAGGAGATAAGACACATCATCCCGGAACATGGGGGCGTCCTGTGTGGACGGAAGGGCCTTGGTGACTTGGGGTTCCGATAACCCGAACCAGTACATGCGAGGGATATGAACCTGGCCATCCACAATAGCATAGTCAAAGTCAGCGTCCAAGTCTCCTCCCTTGCGACGGTTTGGTAGACTCTGAACAATCTTGTACAGAGCCTTTGATATACCGCTGCTCGATACCGAAAGATCGTCGGCCTCGACTAGAGTGATGTCTGCTTTGTTCTCCATGCGGACGGTTCTGGCAGTGCCTTGGATCATGGCAGGCTTCGCATCCTTGCAAGCGCCATGGACTGTGGGGATGACCCAGATGAGAGAGCCGCGCAGGTTGCATAGACTATCCATAAATGGCCTGAAAGTCTCGGAGGCCAAGTCGTAGATGGTGTTCCCAGTCAAATCCAGAAGCGAGATGATGAGAGAGCCATCAGACGGACCCATGTTTTGGTGAGAGACTTCGACAGTAAAGCCCCTCAACTCAAAATGAGACTGCACCTCGTTGGCTAAATGGTTCCCTTCCTTTGTGTCATGTGTTAGAATGGTGATGTTTGTGCTTCTATCCATTTCAGTGCGCTTCGTTGGCTCGGCAAGGATCAGACCAGAAGCTATTTGGGAATGCAGCACATAGCCTAAGGTTTTTAACCTCTTACTGATCTGGTCGCTGTTGGAGATGGCGTCCGTTACAAGTCCGGAGTCGTGAACGATAAGGCGACTTCCCACAGTCTGCAAAGACTTCAACTCCGTCAAGTCATCAAGGAGGAAGCGGTCGTCTGATAACAATATCGAGAGCGGCAACAGCACGACATCGGCCGTGTTGCACATGCAAAGCTGCTCGAGATCCACAACAGAGATGTTCTCATGCCCTAGATCCTCAGTTGCCTCTGTGACTCGTTGAACCTTCTCCTCCGATGTACATACATAAGTGTACTCGGAGTAAAGACGCTTGTGCTCCGTGGGTTGCAGAGCATCCAGAGCAATTCGAGTGATGTCAGTTGATCCGGAGCCAATCTCCAAGACCCTTGAGTCCGGAGTCTTGAAGCCGAGTAGAAAGATTGCTTCGCTGATGTCTTTGGCGAAGTCCAGGTTACCGCTCTCCATCTCTGCAACGGATTCCATCATGGTGATATCCTTCCTCCACTCAAAGGTGCTTCCGAGTAGAACTTCCTCACGCTTCGCAACAGGTAGCTTCGAGTAAGATAGACCTTCAAGGTACACAGTAGGCCTGCCCTCCTCTGTGTAGATGGCGGCGTTGGCAGTCATGCCTTCTGATCCCTCCTGGATACTGCCATAGGCTCTCATGCACAGGTCTTGACTTCCAAGAACACCAAGCCGTGAGATGAAGGTGGGAAGCAGGATGCTGTCCAAACGCCGCTTCTGGCCATGCGTTTGCGCTACAAGGTTGATTTGGAGCATTTGATCTAGGAGCGTCGGGTGAGCGGCGTAGTGCGTTGTGTCTTCAAAATCATACACAGTCGCGGTGGCCTCCCTGTTCACCGGGCTGGCGGTGATTTGCTCGAGTCCCTGAAAGGCAGTCTGCCAGTCAATCCCGACAGCCTTGACGGCTTTGTACCAGCCTTGAGCCTCAATCTCGCGGGCGAATTCTTGATCTGCCTGAGCGCTTGTAATAGAGGTCTTGTCCGCTTCAGCGCCGGAGCGAATGAAGCCAGAGCAGTGGGTGACCCAGTGATGCCCATCGCAAGACATAATCTTGAAGTTGTACCATTGGCCTTCGGCACTGGGCTTGTCTTCGGGGATCATGCGGGTGTACAGTTCCATCTTCTTCTCCTTAGGAACGGTCATACCCGTAGTGATTGACATGTCTCGAATAGTGTAGGCATCCGAGCCATTGGCCACCTGACGCATTGCTTCTCCGGCTATGGCCATGTAGCCAGCGCCCGGGAAGACGATTTGACCGTTAACGATATGGTCCATTAGCCAAGGTACTTCCTTGAGGTCGAGCATATTTCGCCACGCGGGCTCGATGTCATTGCCTTCAAGAACTCTGGCACCGAGGAGGACGTGTCTAGGATGCTTTCTTTGCTTGTAGCGGGATGGATTGCGAGGCTCGTCCATGTAAGTCACATCATGCAGCCAAGGATAATTCGGCAAGTCGGTTAAAACTCTGCCCTCGGCGATAACCGTGGACGTGTCGACCGGAGCTCCTTGCAAGAAGAGCTCACCTGCTAGCCGAAGCATGGACAAGGTGGTGTCTTCAGCTCGACGAAGAGTTGTGATATACTCGCAAGAAGACTCGGGCACGCTCCGAAGAATCTCACTGATGGGACGTTGAAGAGCCGGGTGTGGACCAACCTCAACAAACAGGTTGTTATTGTTGCTCTTCAGAATAGCCCGCATGGCTGTATTGAAAAGTACAGGCTGGACGAAGTTTCTGCGCCAGTAGTTGGCTCCAAAGTCGGCTTTGGTCATCTCGACACCAGTGACGCTGGAGAAATGAGGCACAATCGGAGCCTTAGTGTCGGCGAGGTACGGCTTGAGAAGTTCCTCATACGGTCCAGCTAGAGGTTCGATCCATGGAGAGTGGAAGGATGTCTCCAAGTTTAAGATCTTGGCCTTGACATCTGGGTGACGCCGCATGATCTGGTCGACGCAATGCTGGATGCAGACAGGGTCACCAGACAAGGTGGAGTTGAGGTGACTGTTTTCACATCCAATGACAACACCAGGGATCAGGAATGGCTCGACCTCCCTCGGTCCCAGACTGACCGCAGCCATAGTACCAGGAGGAACTACACCATTGACTAAGAGCCAGCCACGAAAGTAGGCAACGGCCATGGCTGCTTCGGCAGTGACACTGCCTGCGGCATACGCGGCAGCAGCTTCCCCCCCGGAGTGGCCAGTAACGGCATCAGGACGCACCCCAAGGCTAGCCAGAACATCGACCAAAGCAATCTGAACAGCAGTCGCACAGGGGTGAGAGTATCCCCGCTGGCCAACCCTGCTGGATTCGTCATCAATGGAGAGTTCCTGCTCCAAGGTCCAGCTGGGCCTGTGTTCTTCGGAAAGCGACTGAAGCCAAACATCTAGTTTCCGGATAGAGTCTCTGAACACCTCATTGGTCTCGATAAGAGACTTGCCCATACCAGCCCAGTGTACGCCCTGTCCCGTGAATGTAAGGATGAGCCGACGGGCAGTGATGGGTTTGCGCTTGAAACTGCTGGGGTCGAAGCCGCCCTCTTCGTTCGCAATAGCATAGGCTCTGCAGCTGAGATGGTCGCGATGTTGGCCCAGGGTGTGAGCAAGATCGTCCAGATCAGCACTCTTTGTCTCCAGGTATTGCTTATGTTGATCTACCTGCTTCTCGAGCGAAGTCAAGTGAGCAGCAGAGAACAACAGCAGTCGCTGCCCGGGCGAGCGAACGCTCACGCCGGAGTCGGAGCTGATTGAGCTGGCATCATCCTGCAACTTTTGCCAGCCCTCATATGACTCGAGAATAACCTTGAGAGTGTGAGCGCGAAATCTTCATGTCGGATAGAGACTGTGATCTTACATGAGCATTAGACCCAGCAACACCAAAGGAGTTGACGCTAATGCGTTCGTCTCGATCTTCTGGCCAGAAAGCTGGCTCGGTCGGAACAGAAAGCTTCCCCTCTTCCCATGGAACTAAATAGCTGTCAGTATGTGCAGGTGAACTTTTGTTTAGAGAGACATACTCCTTGGGTTAGGGTTTTCCATATAAATATTTGGGGGAATCACTCGGTTTTCCAACGCGAGAACTGCCTTGATGACACTGGTCAAGCCTGCTGCACCTTCAGAGTGCCCGACATTTGGTTTCACCTGAAAACGTCAGAAGAAGGCCACAAGTACTCTGAGAGCCATGGTATACTTACAGCGCCGATCATAATACCATCGTGGTCTTTCCAGATACGTGCAACGGCCGCCACCTCGAGCGGATCACCTGTGGGAGTACCGGTGCCGTGGCACTCAAAGAAAGCGGTCTTGTTAAATGGCAGACCAGCCTTCTCGTAAGTCTTGCGAATCAAGGCCTCTTGTAAGTATGTGTTGGGGCTCATGATACCGTTGGACCGGCCATCGTTGTTGGTAGCGCTCGCTCGAATAATGGCCCTGATTGGGTTGCCGTCTCTCAGGGCGTCGCTCAGTTTCTTGACGTAGACAGCGTTGACGGCTTCACCACGCCCATAACCGTCGGCAAGCAGATCAAAAGTCTTGCATTTGCCACTGGGAGACAAGACACCAGTTTCTGTGAAAACGATGGAGGTGATGACTGATGTAATCAGGTTGCACCCAAGAGCCATGGCTGACTTGCAAGCACCATTTTGAACAGCTTCTGCGGCGAGGTGCAAGGCGACCATGGATGAAGAGCATCCAGTCTTAACAAGCATGCTAGAGGAATGTGAGTCATTGAACAACACCTCTCTTGCCTTTAGTCGGATTGATTATTACGAACCTTGGACCAGTCCAGCCATACTCGTATGACACGCGGTTCGGTTGTAGGAAGTCGAGGTATCCAGATCCTCGGTATAGACCTGAAGCATGCGGGTCCATTGACAAGTCATCTTGCCAGTCTGATGAGAAGTTGCCAACATAGCACCCAATCTCTTGGCCGCGCCAATTAGTCTCGCCGGCGTTGTCGAGACATTCGCGGGCAATCTCCAGCAGTTGTCTCTGCATGGGGTCCATGCGCTCAATCTCCTTCTCGCCACACGTGAAATAAGACGCGTCAAACTTGTTGAGGTCATTGTCGGCCTGGCTGAACATGTATGCCTCTTTATTCTGAACCGTTCCCCATTTCGCAACTGGGCTGTAGAAGCCTTCGCTGTTCCATCTCTCTTTCGGAATGGGGATGAGACCGCTTTGCTTATTCATCATCAGGTTCCAGAAGTCTTCCGTGTTCTTCACACCACCAGGAAGCCTCACAGCCATTCCCACGATGGCGATGGGGTCGGAGGTCTCCATCTCGGACGAAAGAGTGGCGGCGCCCGGCTTTGGCGACATGGTCTAAAATCTGATAGGAAGGGACTGTATGGGCCTACTGACGCCTGCTGAGTGAGAGTCAAATGCCAGCCTAGTAAAGGATATTGTGAAAATTTGGCTGAGTATTATAGTTTGGGTTACAGACCCAACGAAGTTACTTCGACGCTAATGTAGAGCTTCTTGACAAGAGATGAACGATGCTGAAATGGAGTTGATCTCGGTATCTCTGAACGCTTCTGCTATGTTGCCAGTCTGGTTGAATCCGAGTTTTGCGAAAGTCTATTTCTCAAGTCCGAGAATGAGCATAGCTTCCGTTTCCTATGATTGGCTGACCAAAGACTATGTAAACACCCCATGGCAGCCCGATCCCTGTACAATTTCCGGTCCGAGAAGCTCAATGGCAGGCTGTTCAGCAGTCCGAAATGATGGGGAGGTCGACTGAATAGGTGATCTTCCTGGATAGACGAAATCTAATTTCCACATCACTTATGCATGCGGTCTCATACAATATCGTCAATAGCAAGAGGTGCGTGTTGTACGATTTGGAAGACATCCATCTAATCATTGATAGTTTTACGACAACTGAAGTCAACAAACATTGTCCATTCCAATACGATATGGCTTCAATTGTCCCTAATGACATGAAGGCCATCATAATTGAAGGTCGTGGCAAAGCGGCAATAACCACATCATCACTTCCCAAATTGCGTGACGGATACATCCTGGTGAAGACTACAGCGGTTGCCATCAATCCTTCTGACTGGAAGCACATCGACTTCATGTGGGTGGGCAACCCCTCTGGCACCCGTCCAGGCCTAGAGTATGCGGGTATCGTTGTCGAGGTTGGCAATGGAGTGGAGAAAGACTTCAAGGTTGGCGACAGAGTATTCGGAATTGTTAATGGCTCGTAAGTGGCTTCACCTGTTACGGGGAAAACTAGAACGCAGGCAGCCTCTAACTATCTCATAGGAACGTAAGACAAAAAGAAGACGGCGCATTTGCAGAGTATCTCGTTGCAAAGGGGAGCCTGCAGATGAAGATTCCGGGTCACGTAGATGACATGGAGGCGGCGGCAATCACCTCTGGACTGGTGGCAGTGGTCAGCGCTTTGATTCTCTCTTGCTCCCAAAAGGTTCTTGCTAAAACTATTTGCAGGGCCAAGGTCTTTACCAGTCTCTGCAATTGCCCCTCCCCACCAAGCCATCTCCAGAGCCGATCCCCCTCTTCATTTATGGCGGAAGCACTGCATCGGGCATCATGGGCATACAATTTGCCAAGATGTCCAACTGCACTGTTATCGTGACATGTTCACCGAAGAATTTCGACTATGTCAAGTCATTGGGGGCTGACTTCTGCGTTGACTACAAAGCAGAGGATTGTGCTGAGCAGGTCAAGACTTTCACCAAGGGGAGGTTGAGGCACGCTTGGGACTGCATCGCAACAGCCCAGTCTGCTCGAATTTGCGCTGCGGCTATGTCGATGCGCGGAGGACATTACAGCAGCTTGTTGTATCTGGTCCCTTCCATTGTGAAGAAGGTGAACCCGAAGATTGAGTGCTCAACCACTTTGGGTTACACGATTCTAGGAGAGACGATTGAGAAAGAGACCGTCATCGAGCCAAGGCTCGGCGATTACAAATTTGGGAAAATGTTCTGGGGCGTAAGTGAGAAATTGCTACAGGACGACAAGTTTCGGCCTGCAAGGCAGATTGTCAATCAAGGTGGCGCAGGATTGGAAGGTGTTCTTCATGGCATTCAGTACCTCAAGCAGGGAAATGTGAGCGCCGGAAAGTTGGTGTACACGATCGGCTCATAAGAGCAGATACTTTAACAATAACGTCATTCTTCACTGTACCGGATCAAGCAGTATTATGAGAAAACATGCCACTATTCTGAGTTTCTGAGTTTCAAATCTTGGTCAAATTTTGTCATTTTTGCACAAAGTCTAAACATGCATAACCCTCCTTCACTTCTTCAAGAAGCATCGATTACGCAGAGAGTTCTGAGCCGCGCAAAAGTGAGTAATTCAACAGGGCGGCGATGACTGACTCGGGCATTAAACCGCCTGAAAGAACTCTCGCTGGGCCCCTCCATATTCCGCCGAAATCCGTTACCGAGCGGTCCGTCGCCTCGGAATCGGTAAGCCCACCCAAGTTATAGTACGCTGGACTCGGTTGTCGCAGGGCAGCAAACCAGGACGTGAATGAAATGAGAGATATGAGAGACTTCGACAGGCCTCACATGCATAGGGGCTTCAACGTTAGGACCATACCGTAGAGATCAAGCCACATCGTGACACGGAGTCAACATCAACATCATTCCATCTTGGGCGGGAAGTCGATATTTCAAAGCTAGACCAGTCTCCCTATGCTGAGAACAATTAAGCATGAAAGAAAGATTTATCCGATCAAGGCGTAACGGAAGAGTGAAAAGAGAGGAACAGAGAAGAGGAAACACGATGGTGAAGACAAGGCATGGAGAAATTAAGTGGCACTAGCTACTGCATTGGCTTTGGCTGCATGTGCTTACTCAGACTTAATCAAAAATCCCCGTACTTTATCTTCAACTCCCTGCCAGCCTCAGACATATTCTGGAGTGGTTGAATGGAAAAAGATTTTCATGAGAAATACGCCCATGTAATCATGCGAACTTGAACTCCCAGTGATGCAACTGCTCTGTACTCATCATTCCCCCAAACAGAAGGGGATACAACGCGAGTAAGTAATGTTATCGGAGACCTCCGAGCCGGACCGGCAGTGGCCCCTCTTCACAGTTAGTGGCCATCGCGCTCTGCAACTCCGGGGCTGGGTGATTATCGCCTCCTACAGCCACTCCCAATCGATGTCTCCAGGTCAAGTCCATGATTAGATGACTCACAGACTGAATGAGACACATAGAACTGAGGGAAGGTCAGCTTGATTCCTCTCATCGACGACGCAGTCTTTTGTAAAAGTCATTCATTACCAGACAGAATGGCCGCCGTGGCATCCTTCACCGAAACAAGAAACAGCACGGACAAGATTGTTACCGAATGTGGATTTGCCGGCTACTATGAAAACGTTCATTCACGACAAAAATCTTTCATTGTCCTATTGGTCATCAAATCATTTCAAAAGCTGCGGTGCGATATTGCGAGGACGAAGCCAGGGCAGAAGCTCAGACCGATCAAGTGTGTCGCGAACGTACAAAAGCAACTTGACTTTTGCTACGAAATGCTCTTAGATGCAGGCCTCATCCGCCAGGAGGGCGACTCATACATCCGGACCGAAACACCAATTCCTACTGGAAATCCAAAAGAAACGCTTGAGCAAATTCTCAACGATTTCCCAACTTACATATCTTTGAACAAGCTTGTGGCTCATGCCGGCAACAACCTCGCTGAGATCTACGTGGGCCGCACAGATGGCGTCCGATCGATTTTTGGGTCACCAGAGGGGCGCGAGTATCTCGAAGATATCTACGGTGCAGCGCATCCAAGCAAGGCTTTTCAAAAGCTCATGGAGGACTTCATGAGCCGCTTCATCAAAACTGTCACCATTCCCCACGGCTCCAAGCTCAAGATGCTCGAGCTTGGTGCTGGAACAGGGGGTACAGCCAAATGGCTGGCCCCGTTGCTTACTCGATCGGGAGTTTCCGTCGAGTATACCTTCACCGATATAGCCCCCGGTTTCATTGCTCAGGCCGCGCGCAAGTTCCAAGACTACCCGTTCATGAACTACCGAACACACGATATCGAGAAGCCCCCGCCCGTAGACCTCGCGGGTACGCAGGACGTAGTCATCGCCGTCAACGCAGTCCACGCCACCCCCGACATGGTGAAGTCGCTCACCAACACCCGGCAGTTTCTACGACCTGGCGGGTTTGCGCTGGTGATGGAGGTGCAGGAGCGTTTGTGCTGGGCTGATTTTGTGTTTGGACTGTTTGAGGGATGGTGGTTATTCAGCGACGGGAGAAAGCATGCGACGGCGGATGAGATGGTATGGCGGGATGCTTTCATGGCAGCCGGCTTTGATTATGTTGATTGGACTGGAGGGGACTTGCGGGACTCTGGGCTGCAGAGAGTTTTCCTGGCGATGGTGCCAGGCTCGTGATCACATGTATTGACCATGGTACAGGGCCTGTGAGTTCGATTTTGGTTTCCAATGACGAATCTTCACCTTCATCTCTGGTACTCCAAGTTTGATAGATCACGCCACTTGATAGCCGACATGGACCCAGCCGTGTTTTCGATAGCGGCGTCTTTGAGCATGTATTATGAAGTCAAAGCTCCACAAGTAGGGCTCAACGTAATATATTAAAGAAGTTGCCGAACCGGAACAATGCCGAAAAGTCGGTGATAAGGTTTCGAGTTTGAATGAGGCTATCATAGAAATCGGGATGTACGGTTAATTAGAAACTGGCTGACAGATAATTCCCACGTGGTTTGGATATTAATCCTCTTCAAGAGTTTCCGCCTCGAAATATGCTTCTGCTAAATTCTTCATTGGAGGTGATACTTTCCGCCTTATGACCCTGTACGGGTCCTCAGGACACCCAATGCGGAAAATGCTCCTCCCTAAGGGGCACATAGGCACGTCTCTACACGAAATAGACTTGTGGCAGGCGGAAACACAGTAACTCTAATCGGGCAACTAAAAGTTTCTTTCGGCTCGTTTTCATCGTAAGTCCGTTGGTCGAGACGAAACAGGATGGGGGAAGAATATCTGGGATGAGCAAAAGGCTACCAAGTCGTGATGTGGGTGACTTCATCGCAACTTCGTGCGAGAGGTCAAGTTTCAGATCACTTTTTCTCTTCCCCAACGCTGCTAGACTTCGAATGGAGCTGCAAAGTCACTGATGGTTGTGAGTTACATGGTACTCCGTTTTCATCGATAATACGTAAGAACGCAGACCAAGTAGAGTGTGTATTGAGTAATGTTGGAGCATTTTCTTGCGCTCGCCTCTCAAATCTAGCCAAAGTTTTTGACTCGACAATTGTTACCACTAATGAATTTTATGACACGAATTCCGATCTCAAGAATGGTCACTGACAAACAAGTCGAAATTAGGGCCGAGCGACGAGATGAGGATGGTGATATCTTGGTTGACTGGAATGGAGAAGACGACGAAACTATGCCCCTGAATTGGTCAATGACTCGAAAATGCATCAACATAGGACTAGTCAGTTGGTTGACCTTCATCGCGTAAGTGAAACTTGACGAGATGAAGATCTTATGTCGCTGATTGGTTATGGATGACTCCGTAGGTCCATCGCGTCAGCCATGTGTGCCCTCGGGGTCCCGGAGATGATGGCCGAGTTCCATAGTGACAGCAAGGTCCTTTCATCATTCATCGTGTCCATCTTCGTCTTTGGATACGCAATTGGTCCAATGTAATTGCATCCTATCAATCACAGAACGAGCATTGTTGCGCTAATCAAGCCATTCTCGTCAGCTTCTTCGCTCCGTTATCTGAGCTCTATGGGAGACTGCCCATTTATCACAGTTCGAATATTCTCTTCACTCTCTTCAGCATCCTCAGCGCTGTGTCACCAAACTTGCCAACCCTCATCATCTTTCGCTTCCTCTCCGGCGCTTCGGGCGCAGCTCCACTTGCCATTGGTGGCGGTACCATAGCGGATCTCATCCGGCCGGAGCGGCGCGGCTTGGTGGTGAGCATCTACTTCGTCGGTCCAATCCTCGGACCAGCCCTTGGACCTGTTGCGGCAGGATATATCTCGCAGGATCTTGGCTGGCGGTGGATTTTCTGGATCACTGCAATACCTGTAAGTTTGGCAATATGGATATCATAATATCTTACATTTCACTGAACAAGAGGCTGTAACAGTCTGGTGTTTTCACCTTGATATGTTTTCTATGTTTGTATGAAACATATCCTCCAAGACTACTTCATCAGCGGACTGTGGCGCTCAGGAAAGCCCATCCCGAAAGTTCTTTCGCAGCTTCTGGCGAAAAATCTGCGTTGAGCCCCGGTGCCCTCTTGCTCAACGCACTAGTTCGGCCAGTCAAGATGTTCTTCTTAAGCCCCATTGTGCTCGTGCTCTCAGCAATCCTGGCCTTGGCGTACGGGTATATGGTAAGCCGAAATGAACTCTCATCATACGTATAGTGAGTCTAACGACGAGCAGTACATACTCTTAACGACCTTCACTTCAGTTTTCACGTCAGAGTACGGTTTCTCGTTAGGCACAGTCGGTTTAGTTTATCTCGGACTAGGCGTGGGCTTCAGCGTGGGAGATATATGCAACGCAATTTTCAACGACCGTATGGCCAATAAGAGAACAGCACACAGTGATGGACACCGTCAGCCTGAGTTTCGACTTCCTATTATGACCAGGTCGATTCTGCTTACCCCGTTGGGTCTGTTCTTCTACGGCTGGACTGCCCAGTACAAATTGCACTGGATACTGCCCATCATTGGCACTGCGCTCCTCGGCGCTGGCTTGATACTGATAATGGTGAGTTTTACGGTAGACTTCACAACTTACTAATCTAATTAAGCGACCAGATGCCATTGCACACATACCTAATTGACGCGTTCACGACCTATGCCGCTTCTGCGATTGCAGCATCGACCATCTTCCGCTGCATTGTTGGAGCGTTCCTGCCACTCGCGGGCGAGTCATTGTTCAATCAGCTCGGACTCGGTTGGGGAAGTAGTCTATTAGGTTTCATCTCACTTTTGCTCTGCCCGGTGCCTTTGCTTTTGCAGAGATATGGCAAGGCAGCCAGGGAGAAGTTCACCGTAACTTTCTGATGAATGGTCAGATTCAGACAGTAGTGTGTTGGAATGGTCTGCGCTAGTCAATGTACGATATATCTCTCAATCATTTTCTTACATCTTACACGCGCTAATTGTAATGAGTGAATGACATATGCAACTGTTCTTACGTCCTATGATAGACTTGAGAGAAGTTTTGTGACTTGGTGGAGCTATACTAGTCTTTCCGTTACTTGATTTTAGCGGTGCCTACCTATGCCTACATGTAGGTATGCGTCCCGAACAGATATGCAAATAGTAAACATCACCACTCTCTTGCCCTCTCTAATGATTTGTCCTCGGCAAGCGTCACGCAGGGCGTGTACTCAATGTCAAGATGTGAGTTGATAGCAAAAGGATCCTCGGCATGCATGTTGATCAATACATGATCCGCACAGTGAACCGAGTGATTCCAGTTAATGGCGTAGGCCGGAACGGTCGTTTTCCATCGTGCAGCACTGCTCAGAATCTTCCATGTTGCCACGCAATGCCAACGGTGCAGATCCATAGACACCCATTTGATATCCTGCGTGCCTTCCATGACTTGAGCTAGGGTAATTGGCTGGGTGGCATTTTGGTCTTTGAAGAACTTCCACGGCCATACGTGTTCGAATTCGTCAATGAGTTCCGGCGACGAACATCGTGACGGCATCCAGTGAAGAAGGACGTCATCGTAGATGCATCCTGCTGCGCGGGCCTTCTCGGGCGTGTTCCCGCAGGCTGAAGAGGGCTCCCAGGCGCGAAAGTTTTGACCATTGTCGGTGATACTCCATTCTGGAACGACTGGGGACAGTTTTGTGCGCGATTCCAGGAGGTATGCCGCCAACGGAAACAAAAACACCATGAAGCCTCCCGATAAAGAATATATGATTCCCTGGAAGACCTTTCTCCACTGGAACCCCCTGGGATAATTGTCTAGCGCCTGTTTGGAAGCGATTTCCTCCAGTATGTCATTTTCATAGCTGCTAGATCGGGAGGATAACAGCCTTTCTTCCGCTGGGTTGCTCGGCTCTGTGGTGGGTGACATTGTTTTGTGCCAAGTTGATAGAGTCGAGTAAATGGACCGGTGCGTTGCAAGCAAAGTAGTCTTGAATCTGCCCGTGGAACGACAAGAAATTTTTGATCTCGAAGCAAGAACAGGTCAATATTTCAGCCTCTGTGTGGTACTGCTGTCCGAAGCTGACGATCTCGCCAGGTTACTTTGGCGTCTGGGCTCTACGGGTGGTAACGGACATGGGGCATGTACCACGTAAGGTCAATGACTGGGTTCACTTGTACAATATGGGTGCGGAAGTTTTGGAAAATTTGTCAAGCTCCCTCTGGGGCCTTGGTGGAATGACTTATGGTTCGAGGTTTAAAGTAGTAAAACGCGGTTGTGAACATCTCAAGGGCTAATGGAGCTCAGAACAGCAACCGGAAGTTTATTCCTTCCAACCGGGATCGGGTTTCACGGATAGGTGGAGTTACCTGCTACACCCAGCACTGAAATTCATCGCACTAATGATATGTTTACGTCGATATCGGAAGCTAATTGATCTGTAACGTAGGCGGAACTGGGCAGAAAACACAGAGACTTTGCATCCGGGTTTCTTTGTCCTGTTCCAACTTCCAAGGATAAGCGAGCAACGTACCTTACCTTCTTGATGAATCAGAGGGGATAACGTGAGCATATCTGCCCGCATGGGATGAGGTCATGAACAAATTTCATGCAATGTTGAGATATCTTACCTCTTGCTCCATCAGCAGGATAATTTTTCGATCGGTCATTCCCAGAGTTATCACTCCTACGAACAATCATGGCAGATCATCGCGAAAAAGTCATGAAGTTCCACAGAAACATTCACAGCAACCTTTCACCATGTCTTCGACTTCTTTTCTTTCTTCTGGGCGCATCGATCTGCATTCTGTTCACTCTATTGGTTCCTTTCTCGCCGTTCTATGGGACAGAACACGCTGATGATGGCCAATCCGATACTCAACTTGGGCTCATCGCCAGTCTACTTAGAGACAGCTTCCCTTGCGGTAGAGATGCTCCTACAGCATTATCACGTGGTTGCAAGTTTGAGTCATATACGGCGACATGGCAACCTCCGCAATGTTTTGACTCGGCTCTGGATGCTGAGTTCCGCCAGGCTCGCCCATGGAAGTTCTTCACAGCTCGCAACTCGACCTCTCAATTGTCCTGGATAGATACGGAGATGATCACTCAAGGACAGGCTTGGACGACATGGGAGTTCCATCTATATTCTTGTGCTTACCTCTGGAAGAAAGACGTCAAGATCGCCCACGGTCTGGTCTCTGGCACTATCGACTACCATCAGTGCCTGGACCACGCGCTGATGCAGGACTATGCAAGACCCAAGGACCATGTGAGCATTCCTTACTGGCCACGATTTACTTCTTGTCGACCACCCAGCGACTTATCTGTTCACCAGTTTGATCTAAGGCCTGGGGTGGAGAAGGGACTCGATGGTGATGGACATCTAGCTGTAGTGCATGGTTATTCTCACATCCATGGGTCAAATAAGGAATTCGATCACGCTCCGAGGGAATGAACTTAATCCATACTTGGAGGGCAAAATTGTTAATGCATACATGTAACCACTTAAAAAGTAGCAAGGCTTTGTTCTGGGGCTTACGATTTACCAGTCTAAGCAGCAAGACAAGAACAAATCCGCCATACGACTAAAAAGATAAACTCCTAGGCTCCCCGCAGTAGGGCAACGAGGTTCGTATTCGAGTCGATGACGATACTTTGTGTCAATACTACGATGAGTAACAATATAGATCACCGGTCACCATTCCATTATTGAGCAGTCAAAACAAGTTTCAAGAGGCTCAATAACCGAGAACGAATTGTTTACCAAAAGTTTTTGTAGAACTGAGTTCGTTTTAAAGATCAAGGTTTCTAAACTAGAGGGAGCAGGGCAGGTCCTGGTTCTCAATGGCATCCGACTTTTCGACTTTAAGCTTCCGTCATTTCACCCGACAAGCTCAAGATTGAAGGCTTTCATATAGGTGCCCAAGCGATGATCTTTACAATGCCAGAGCTGTACAATAGCACTCAAACGCTCCGGGGTTTCTCCTTTCGGCCATGGTAGTAGAAAGGTAACGCGACTTTACCAGGCAACCTTTCCGGATGGAGTCATTCTTGCAAGCTATATTCATCGCGATGATGGGTTCGGCGGATAAACGGCTCGAGCCGGAACCTTAGTCATTGATCTCTAAGCCAATGTGTGTAAATGGGGATATTCCAACAAACCTTGAGGCAAAATGATTACCGCGGTAACGTAATCATGCTTGCTGGTCTAATGCAAGGACCTCATGAGACAGGCTCGAAGAGCACACCAGCACAACTTATATGACGGCACTAAGCCCCCTCTACACCAGATCCAGACAGAAGCACCTCTCCAAACACTCAAGAACAAGAAGTCCACTCAAATATACCATCGTCACTAAACACCAACAACATGAGATTCACCGCAATTAAGTCCGTTGCTATCCTTGCAGCTACTGCCCTCGCCGCCCCAGCCTTCCAGACAGAAGAGAAACGGGCCTTTGTTACCGACGAGCTTGGTAAGTAGATATCATTCCACTGATGGCTCCAGTCAGGAATAGTCGCCAATTTAACCGATATAGATCCCCGGGAGTTCGTCACCGAGGCTAAACGCGAGTTTGTCACCGAGCCCCAGCGCCGTGGCTTTGTGACTGAGCCAGAAAGACGCTCCTTCGTCGCTGAAGACAAGCGAGGATTTGTCACTGAAAAACGAGGCTTCGTCACCGAGCCGGAGAAGAGATCTTTTGTAACGGAACCCGAAAAGCGCGGATTTGTTACCGAGTCTGAGATGGACAAGAGTGGCTTCGTGACCGAGGAGAAACGCGGATTTGTCACCGAGCCCGAAAAGAGGTCCTTGGTCGCTGAAGATAAGCGCAGCTTTGTGACTGAGCCTGAGAAGAGAGCGTTCGTGACTGAGGACAAGCGCAGCTTTATCACTGAGCCCGAGAGGCGCGGATTTGTCACCGAGGAGAAGCGTTCGTTTGTCACTGACGAGGATATGCACTAAAAGCCCCTCTCATCGCGAGAACTATGGTGTAGGAAATCAGGCTAGTTTGCGAGGAACCCCGAACAGATTGGCCTATGGGGAAACTGGCGGTGTTTGCTGGGAGTTTACTATTCATTATACTAGACGAGGTAGCTTCAACAGCAGACTTGTCACTGGAATCACAAACTCTTGTTTGACCTATTAAAGGTGCTCTTTATTGTGCCACTTTGTAAATCGGTGTCGACATTGGACAACGATCTAATGGTAGTAGTCGCTCATAGTGGATCATTCATTCTCCAAGGATTTGATGGTTGACTCCGGAAATAAGAAGGATTACCAGATATGTATTATGGAGATTTCACAGCTTGACACTGTATAGGAGCAAATTCTGCGAATTTCGCAAGTGCAGAACCGTGATCCTCTACTGTTCCAGGTCTGAATGAAATAAATATTGAGGAAATTTTAAGAAAATCTAATCCGTGTCACCGGTCAGCCAAATCTCGTGACCATTTCCTTCCTGCACGATGCGACTATTCAGACAACCGAGGATCGCGACACCACTTGCAGTCCACCACACGAGGCCAGTGATATTGTGTGATGAGCCGTAGCTGTACACTATTCCTGCTATGGACGAAGTCGCTGACCTCACCAGTCCAGAGAGCAAGAAGGCGCTGCTGTGAGTCCGTGCTAGAGCAGATGGGTGCGGCGAAGATCTGACCAGAGCATGTAAGCATGTGTGAATATTGCAAGAAGAGGCTCAGACTTTACTCACAGGTTTGTTAGAACAAGTTGCGCTGGTACGACAAATGTCGATGTCCCTACCATCATGATTTGTACTATGATGATGAGAAACCATACCATGAACCCTGTTTTACCAGCAGGTGGCGGTGTAGTGGAAGGCATCGCTGCAATGTAAGGCAGAATAAAATACAGCAGCGGCATTCCGAGCATGAACTTTCTCCACATCTTCAAAGTACCGAAGCGACGGCTGATGCGAGGATAGATGAATAGTTGCGTGGGCAATCCCATGAGTCCGACGATGGAAAGAGACCACATTATTTGATCTGGCTTCATACCAGCTCCCCCAGAGAAAAAGAAAGGCAGCCTAATTTGATTTTCTTTGTCGACCGGGTCGCTTAGAAAGCTTGTCCACAGCGTGTTGTATGTCGTGATGTGATACTCTTGGATCGCGTATGAAAGAAGCATGAGACACATGTTTCTCGTGAACATGCGCTTGATTGGTAGGATCATTGGAGCCGGCTTGACCGCCTTCATCGGTGTTTTATGCTCTTCAGAGAATCTCTCCGATGGCTCCGAGTCATCCGTGATCATATGTAACATTTCTTCGTCCGTGGCCTCTTCTCGGGCTGCCCTGGCTGCTGCTGTAATCTTGTTTCCAAATAACAGTGAGCGGAACCTTCTGGTGACAGCAAGCCCAGGATCGTATCTATCTTTTAAAGGTTCTAGAGTCTGTAAAGGCCAGAAGTATTAGTTTGGTTCCGCGATAACAGATTAGATATGCCAACTCACTTCCTCTAAGAAGAAGAAAACAGCGAAGAAGGCCAAAAGCATGATGCCTCCGCTGAGAATCGCTGGCGGTGCATAGGGCCATGCTTTCAGGAATGCATTGTTACCAAACCTGTCGGGATACTTACCCGGCAGGTCGGCCAGCTGTCCAGCCATCAATGGACTGGCCATGGCGGCAACGTTGAAAGAGATTGGGAGCAACAAGAACGCATGGGGCTGAAATCTGTTGGCATCGTCAGCAATATTCTCGCGATTTGAACCATCCGACTAACTTTTTCTCAACGACGACTTCTGATACCATGGTCCTTACTGTCGCTACATTTCCGTTGACTAAACCCTCGAGAATCCGCAGTGCCAACGCCTGCTTGAAGCTCGTGATAAAACCAAAAGCGACGCATCCGATGACTATGATGCCAGAGTCAGAGGCCGAACGATGTCTCCGCACAGTCAGTCTGTCGGACGCAGTCACTCACATGATCCAGCTATGCCGCCCAAAAGAACAAGTTTCCTGCCTCCTCTAGGGGAATCGGCCAATTTTCCCAGAAACATGGATGAGAAACATTGTGATAGCATAAAGCTTGTTTGCATATACGCGACTTGTCGGACGATGGCTCCGGACTCTAGAGTTGGATCCAAAGACTGTAGCTGGTAAAACAAATATGTCTGAAAGGCCTTGTCAGTGACTCAGAACTTCGCTCATCTTCGTGATGGTTACTTGATACTTACGAGCAGGGAGATGCTTACTACCGGCTCGGCAAACCGTAGGAAGCACAAAATTGCGAGTTGGTCCTTTCGCGGCAGAGATTGCCAGGTCACTTCCTCCTTCTTGACCTCCATTGGTGACAGTAGTAGGTATCTTGTAAAGCGTTGATGCAATATTTCACAGTCCGTATCCGCCAAATACTGCTGTTAACAGGTCAGAAACGCCAGTATCTGGACCACCCCCCTCTGCCCACCGTGAAAGGGCTCGACCTGGGGATAAGCTGTCATTACACTACGCACGCACTGCACCCGCAAGTGTCCCGATTTGGAAAGTTAGCTCCGACTCGAGTCCGAAGGCGGCGGGGTAACGCCGTTCAAGCTTCGGTCCGCAGTGGGGCTGAACTGATTGAAACAGTGCTACTAAACCTTCACGCAGGCCAATTCGGTCCGTTACTCCAGTCAGTTGCAGGCGAGCAAGATGCAGGTTCTCATAGAAATTTTCATGTTTCTATGATTGAATGGGAACGTATCACCGCAACGGCCAAGGTCTGCCCTTTGTACTGCCTCGCCTGTGTCTATTGTTCCCAACCTAAGGTCGAGTAGTCTCGTATCGAAGCCCTCAAACGCTATGGGCAAAAAGGTCACCTTTGCCAGCAAGATGAGGGAAACAGCCAAGTATGAGGTGCTTGGGGAAGGCGAAAATAACGACGATGATATCGAGAGCCTCGGAGGTGTGGAGCGGAATTGTCACGAGCAGGCTGGAAGCTCGCCAACCTTCCCATACCAATGGAGCCAAGATCGTGTCTTATGGGACCAACAACTTCGCAAGATTCAACGACTAGCTTGGGCGGAGGGTATCCTGTTAACCACTCTTCTCGGATACATTGTTTTTCTTCACATTGGGAGCACCTTATCACGAGGACAAGGAACTCCATTAGGGGTTGACCCCAGTGGTTTTGTCCCACCCGGCAAGTTCAATTTTTCTCCCAGGAATAGTGAAGCACGTTCCTGACATCAGGCGTAGAAATTGGGCAACCCGTCAAGTGGGCAAAGTACGACGACGAGACCGATCCGCACTACTTCAAACCGGATGTATTTAAGAGCCTAGAAAGTGTGCAGGCTGCTGCGAGAGATTTCAAAATGCTGCACAATGGTTTGTCGATACTGAGACAGTCAAAGAACAGTGGCCGCAATTCTGACTCGTTGAATAGCATCCAATGTGAGAATCAACGGAAAACACACCACCTATATGGACTTTGACGGCGCGCGGCGACCCCTCCCGGCGTATGTTACCCGCAAAGGCTCGGAGCTTTACAGCATTCGAGCTTTTCACCAGATGCACTGCATAGTAAGTACTAGCATTTGGCAAGTAGGGAGGTTTCCAAAAACCAGACTGACATTTGGCAAGTCGATCATTTTTGAGGACATTGGTTACAGGGTGAACAACAGGACATCAAAGTGGGAGACAGGCCATGTCATCCACTGTTTGAACACCGTGAGGTCAGCAATAACATGCCTGGCAGACGCCACACCAATTTCTTACGTTCATGGAATGGGTGTTGGCCACACTACAGATGACCAGCAGAGTCATTGCAGAGATTTCTTTGCATTGAGGGAATGGGCACATGATCCAGCACGTGCAGTGAAATGGGTCAATATTGCACCGGAAGATGAGAAAGATAAATATCACGAGATCATAGATTAAAGTAGAAGAAAATAAGCAAAAAGTCTTGAGGTTGCGATTGAGTAACTTGAACGTAGTGGCACAAAGAAAACATCCTATTGCCGTTGGCTATGTCCTTTTTACTTTAAAAATGAATCGACACATTTGATGCAATGCCTGAGTAATTGAGTCTTCAGCAATAGCAACTATCAAAACGAACCTGTTTCACTCGTTGAATAATAATCTAGCTCAATCTCGTCTGATTTTTCCGAAAGAAATCTCGTCCCACTAATCGAGGCACATGTCCAAACTTTTCCGAATATGGGCCGTGATGGTATCAATCTTACCCGTGGAATTAGTAGAAGTCTGGGCGAGACAACCTCACGTCCAGTATGACTTACGTATTCTTGATCAAAGATGCTGTAATGATTACCAGAAGTTTCGATAACTTGCTCAACAAAACCTTCCATCATATCCTCCCAGCCAAGTTGAGGCAGAAATCGAGTTCTATCAAGGGGACATTTCTCGCCCGGGTCCGCCATGGGTACCAAGTCTTTAGCTCTGATTAGCACCGCATGTGGTGGAGTCGGGTCGACATCGCGGGAGCGCGCGGTCCCAAGAACGCCTGTTCTAGGCATCGACCATGCCGGAGGGTCCCACTGGTCTGAGAGACAAGTCGCGCGCATGAGAGCCGTCATCAGCTTGTCGCGGGTTCCTTGATTGACTCCAGGCAGGGCTGGGGCATGATGTAACTTGGCTGGCTCCTTTTGAGCCTCTGGTCGAGGGCAGCGGGGGTAGACAGAGTCGATGAGAATGATTCGTGACACGCGCAGCCCGCGGCCTGATGTTGCTAGCATGTGGGCGATTTGCACTGCGAGAACGCCTCCAAATGACCATCCTGTCCTTTCAGTCAGTACCAAAGACAATATGTGAAAACCTTCGTATTTCGTACCACCAAGAACGACTTCCCCTCTGAGCATGACCCTTTTGATGAGGCGGATGTATGCTTCGGCTATATCTCTGACACTCTGCCACCCGCCAATGCCGTCTGCGTCAAATTTCGGATCCCAAATTCCATAGACCTTACGTCCTAATGTGCCAACCTTGAAATAGCTGGTTAAGAGGCCGCTGGCATCGTGGATCAGGAATACCGGTGGCGGCTCGTTCCGAGACCGCGGGATGTCTTGGATTAACACTGGGTTTGCAGCAGGCATAGCGGAGAAACGGGGGCGTTCTTGGTTGTCAGTGTCAGTTCGGGATTTGAGAGTTGATTCTGTTACAATTCTAGCACTGGTAACACTCTGCAGGAATAGATTATTGAAAGACCTTGCAATTTTCACCTAGGGACTACTGAAGTAACTGCCAAAAGCAAGTTGCCTACCATGTCTTGACAGTTAGACTGGCAAACCAGGCCCACTCTGCCTGCGGTCCGAGATGCACCTCCAACCTTATGTTCAGCGAGGCTTATCCGAGCTCCCTCCAGCTGATGTTACCCAACAAATCCATGCCAACAGTCATGAAAGACACCTTCTAGCAATGCCAATAGTGTTTTTGAAGCCTCAGGAATTAGTAATCAGGAAAGGCGAGCCACTATCACCCTGAATCACGGACCAACGAACCAAGCTTGTGGTTAGCCAGTCTCGACATGGAGAAACAGAGGTTTCTCACGCAACAACCCCAAGTCGAGAGTTCGACCTCGCAACGAAACAGCTACCACGATGAGACCGATTCGATGTATTGCAATGCCGAAGTTCCGCAGACTCGAAAAGCGCGTCGCAACGGCGTGTGGTCGATAGTCGGAAGACTCGCCCTCATATCGCTCGCAGTCGGGATCTTTTATCTGGGCCGTATAACCCATGACATGACGCCCGCACGACCATCCGAGCCTGTATCCCTAGGCAAATGCTCTCCGGACTGGAAAGAATCCAAAGCTCGAGGTTGCGTTTACGACTTTATGCTCTCCACCTGGATGCACCCCAGATGTTTCAACGAAGAGATGCACGAGAAATACTTGGGTTACATGACGTGGAGGAATACAACATATTGGTATGAGCGAGAACGCATAAACAAGGTTCCGTTTGATGTAGCCGCAAGTGGTGAACACGGCGAAATCTTCACAGATGGCACGATTCATCACATGCATTGCAGCTATGTCTGGGACAGGATCACTTATGCATCTCACTTCAAGCCTCGAGTTCTTGACTCTCTTTGCCGAGACCCGAAGCATGTTGAACACTGCATCCTGTATAACGGGATTCCACAATCTTGGGAGATTGACTTGCCGAATATCACTCGAGTTTACAACGAACCTCATGAGGTGGACTGCTTGATTGGATAGGCAAGGGTTAGTGGCCCCAGAGGCAAAGGCAAGAGAGGGCTCCTGGGAAGACATGAGAGAACGAGTTTTGGAATTACCACGGGGCGGAAACAGATATTATCTGCCGTACTCGATACGTGTAGCAATGTAGCGACGAGCAAACCACGGAAGTTGAAGGAAAACGAGCTTCCCTTGAAAATAAGGCAGAACAGCCCCAATTTCAGATCAAAATTGAAATGGCATTGAGTTGTACTCCATGAAAAACATGATGTTGGGTGATGTGTTCTGTGGAATTATAGTGGGAATGGCATTATCCTCCTCCTAATTCCTGACTATAGCCGACACCATCTCAATGTCGGTCCTAAATTCAACCTGATAATTTGACGGGCATTACAGCTTCGACGGGCACGTCATACTCATGCCAGACCCACTTTCTCCAGCTCAGAAAGCTCTGGAAAGGGGATAATCTCAGTGTTGCTGTCGTAGCCCGCCCCCTCGGGCGCAATGTTTTTGTAGCGGATTCCTCTCACCGGGTCGTTTGCCCATCTGCGTAGCGCAGACCAATCCCTGCACATGAACTGTTGATCGTCCGTCACATGTCCGACTGCGAACCCATTCACATAAGTCATTGGTGTGGCGTCTGCCAGACACATGATGGCTTCGCGAATGGCGTTGAGGCAGTGGGCCACATGCTTGGGAGCCCACTGGGAAGAGGCGTTGTTTGCTCTGTGTCCATATTCCTCCGCGATGGAGATCTAATTACTTGAAAGTTAAAGGTTGCGCTTTTTATCAGCAAGCGGTGCTTTTGCTCACAAGACAATGCATCTGATGAAAAGACCGGATGATGTAGGTCTGACGATATGATACTGTGGAATAATACGCCGGCAGTTTGGCGACCGTGCCGTCAGGTTTCTTCCAGTCCGCGAAGTTTCCATTGACAAGGACGTTTGATGCTGCCAACAACTTAGCGATATGCTACTAAGTAAAGCCTGTTAACCTACAATTATGCAGGCTTTTGAGTCTTTTCGCCATCATTTTCGTCTTGTTCAAGTCATAAAAAGTATCTTCTTCGATGTAATATGGAGAGTTGCTATCAAACAGCGTCCATCGTGGCGGCTCACCAATGCCTACATGTAGGCATTAGTTGTCATTAACGACGACGCCAAATTCCATGGCATAAGGAGGGGGGACTCACCAGGTGGCACGAAACCATTCGGGTCGCTACCTATGTGGCCCTTTCCACAATTGAGTGACGCTTTATCATAAGAAACTCGATCGACGACGGCGAAAACGGTCACAAGTAACAGAGCTACGATGGTGATGAGTAGGCTAGCGCGCAGACACCAGATGTTGCTCTCCAATGCTGCGAGTTCGCTGAGCAGCTTTTCTTCCCGTTCTGGTTGGTCATCATCGTCGGATTGGCTTGTGCGTACAGCGTTGTACGTGGGCGAAGATTGCCAAAGGACTGATTTCAGCTTCTGCATGGCTCTCTTTTCCAGTGACAAGAACTCGAATCCAGTCCTCCTCTGATGTGCAGCTATCTCAGCATTAAAAATCAGTATGTCAGAACCTGGTTGGTCTGTGATCGAGGTGCCAGGCATTCCCACAGAGTCTAGTTGGTAGCATATTCCATGTGCGAATTGTCAGGCTGCACTAGACCAACTCTACGTGAATCGGTTGGGTGCGATGGTTAGCGAGCGAGTCAAGCCCGAATATTGCAGGTTGGGCCCGGTCCGAATTACACTAATACGCTTCTTGCGGTCCGAACCTTATTCAGGGGCCTGGAAGACGTTGGCAATGGCCCCAGCCATGTGAAAATCTCATTTACAGTACACCAGTGGACATCGATAGCGTTGAGTAAACCGCGATAGTGGAATTGTGAGCTTCGTTGCCAGTGCTAGAGGATCAGAAGTCGTCTCTATCGAACGTCTGATTCCCACAGGAACCGTCACCACCAACACGAGAACTCGTTTGCAAGTTCAAAACTAGCCATGTCAAAGCCCGAGCCCGTAGCAATTTGCGGCATTGGCTTGCGGTTACCAGGCGGCATCAACACTCCGACGTCCCTCTACAATTTTCTCATCAATCGCAAAGATGCGCGTTCGAAACCAGATCATCCACGATACAGCTCGCAAACCCACACGTTCAAAGCGAGCGGCAGGTCAGGATCTTTGCCGACAGAGGAGGGATACTGGCTGACGCACGACGATGTGACCAAATTTGATCCGTCACTATTTTCCATGAATCCAAAGGAGCTGCAAAAACTAGATCCCCAGCAGCGTCTGCTCCTGCAAGTCGTGTGGGAGGCGTTGGAAAGTGCTGCAGAAACAGACTGGCAAGGTCAGAAAATTGGATGCTATGTGGGCAGCTTTGGAGACGACTGGCGTGAGATGCACGCTGTCGACGCCCAAGACGATGGAATGTACCGCTTAACTGGATACATGGACTTTGTGCAGGCAAATCGCATTTCTCACGCCTTTGACTTGAGAGGTCCAAGGTAACACTCTCTAGTCGTCTTCAGTTCATGATTCTTGCAGAGACTAACAATTTGACGGTGTAGCATGACAGTCCGCACGGCGTGCTCAGCTGCCGGCCTCGCAGTTCACCTCGCGTGCCAGGCAATACGCGCCGGAGAATGTGACTCGGCGATTGTCGCTGGGGCGAACCTGATGCTGTCACCAGGCTTCACCAAGCTCATGGCCGAGCAAAGCGTACTATCGCCTGATGCGTCATGTAAGACGTTTGACGCCGGGGCAAACGGCTACGCCCGGGCGGAAGCTGTCAACTGCCTCTTCATCAAGAAGCTTGACTGTGCGATTCGCGATGGGAACCCAATTCGTGCTATAATTCGCGGATCAGCAACAAACTCGGATGGCAGTACCCTCGGCTTGACGACGCCGAGTGCACAGGCACAGCAGCAGCTGATTCGCGATGCATACCGGCACGCTGGTATCCCCGAGAACGAGATGTGGGAGACCGCCATGGTTGAATGCCACGGTACCGGCACGGCCGTGGGTGATACCATCGAAGCGTGCACTGTTGGCGCTGTATTCGGGCAAAGGGGGATGCTCATTGGATCGGTTAGTATAATGATTGCCTTTCGTAAACTGGTGTTGACAATGTGTTTTTCTTTCAGGTCAAGCCCAATTTGGGCCATGCTGAAGCAGCTTCAGCAATCACAAGTATAGTCAAGGCAGTTGTGTCTTTGGAAACAAAAACCATCATACCCAATATCAAGTTTGAGACCCCTAGTGTTAGCAGTAAGTCTGTTGCATTCGTCTTTGATGGTATAAGGAGCTAATCTTCATCAACAGTTCCTTTCGCATCAACAGGCTTGAAAGTCCCGACAGAACCGCAACCTTGGCCTGAGGAGAGAGCAGAGCGAATCGGTATCAACAGCTTCGGGATTGGAGGCACAAATGTCCACGTATGCAATCCAGTTACCGTTTGCGATCCCATAAGCTAATAGACACAGATTATTTTGGAGTCGGCCGCATCTGTAGCAAGCCCAACGACCATTCGAAGCCACGGAAATGTCGAGACACCGCCCCCATCACCTCCTCCGCGGAGAAACCCAGCAACCCTGCTACTTTTCTCCGCAGGACATGAAGAGTCACTCAAAAAAGCGACAAGCCAGTATCAGGAGTTTCTTCGCGCCAGGACAGGAAACTTGGAAGATCTTTCCTATACGCTGACGCATCGTCGCCCTCATCTGGCGCACCGCACCTTTGCGGTAGTTACTGAAGACTGTGATCAACTGGCCTTTACTCTACCTCCAGCACCTAGTTTCCGACCAAGCTCACAAGCCGAGGGCATTGCATTCGTTTTCACAGGTCAAGGAGCCCAATGGGCTCGAATGGGCTCGCATCTGATGAAGAGTAGTAGAGACTTCCTGCAAGATGTCAGAGAAATGGATGCGGTCTTGAACAGTCTTCCACAGGATCATCGTCCCAGCTGGGATATCCGAAGTCAGTTCATCTAGACTTTCCGCAGAATTTTCAAGAGATCATTTTCGACTGACAACGACACATATCAGATGAGCTCATGAAATCGGATCCCACATCTCGCCTTGGGGAAGCTGAGTTTGCTCAACCTATCTGCACTGCCATTCAGATTGCTTTGACCAGACACCTTTCTAGATACAGAATCACTCCCAAGGCAGTGGTTGGCCATTCCAGCGGCGAGATAGCGGCCGCATACGCGGCTGGTGTACTCACCATGAAAGAAGCCATCATCGTCGCCTACTACCGCGGGTTTATGGCCAAGAAGCTGAGAAGTCACGGTTCAATGGCGGCCATCGGACTGGGAAGGGATCAAGTCACACCGTTCTTGATGACTGGAGTTTCCATCGCTTGTGAAAACAGCAACTCTAGCGTGACGTTATCTGGAGACACGAATGTCCTTGGAATGGTTTGTGAAGCAATCAGGTCTGCTCACCCACAGGCCTTGGTTCGTTTGCTCAAAGTTGACACAGCATATCATTCCCGTAAGTAAAATGCCAGGAATTGTCTCCGTCTGTGTTTTCTGATAGTCTCTTGTCATAGATCACATGCGCGCAGTTGGTACTGAGTACCAATCCCTCATCAAGCCACATCTCAGTCCCAAGTCACTAAATGTTGCTTTTTACTCTAGCGTATCATCCCAAAGACTAAAACGCGGCTCAGACTTTGACGCCCAGTACTGGCAGCGAAACCTTGAGTCGCCAGTCCTGTTCCGACAGGCGGTGGTACAACTTCTCCAAACATCATCGACAACTTTGCACCTTGAAGTCGGGCCACACTCGGCGCTAGCTGGTCCCTTGAAGCAGATCTATACGGAGATGGCCATCTCTCCGCCTTATATATCTGTCCAAAAGCGAGGATCAAATAGTTCAGCAGCCTTCCTTGCGGCCATTGGCGAGCTGCACTGCCGAGGCGCTTTGGTCAAATTCCCCATCCCGGACGGCGTTCGGCCGCTGACAGACCTGCCACCGTATCCGTGGCATCTGAGCAAGACCTTTTGGCCAGATTCGCATGTCACAAATTCCTGGCTGTTTCCTGAACACCCACCACACGAGCTACTCGGATCACGTACGTTGGAAAGTACCGGTACAGCCTCGAGTTGGAGGTGCCTTTTCTCACCAGACGACGTCCCCTGGATCGCGGACCACTGCGTCGGCTCAGATATCGTTTTCCCGGCCGCTGCTTACGTCGCTATGGCTGGGGAAGTCGTCCAGCAGCTTTCCGGGCTATCTTCCTACACGATTCGTGACATGCGAATCACGAATGCTCTGATTCTTTCCAGGGAACATAGAGCCGAGCTTGTGACATCCGCTCGAAAGGAGGAGCTAACGCAGGAGGAGAATTCTGAGTGGTGGGAGCTCACAATCCAGAGCTGCGCTTCATCCGGCACGTGGATTACGCACTGCAGGTGTCGTGTCAGAGAGGGCCGCGTCTCTAAAGGACCAGATTTTGCGGGTCTAGACTCTGAATCTTTCCTTCGATCTGTTGAGCCTGCACGATGGTACAGAGCAATGTCCAGGGTGGGTTACAAGTACGGTTCGGAGTTCCGAAGATTAAAGAAAATCCGCGCCAGCGTCACATCATCAGCTGTGGCAGTCGAAGTTTCTGACGAGAGAGTCACGCCTGAGCATAAAATGCGTCGCTACCCACTACACCCCATTACGATAGATCAGATGCTTCAGTCGCTCATCATAGCAAATCACTCTGGAGAATCTCGCTTGCTCGAAAGGCTCTATCTGCCGACTCATATCGAGGAGCTGTTCATCAGCTCTGAAGCTGCAACAAAAAGACTTTTGCTCCACAGCGTGAAGTCAGGAGGTGAAAGGGATCATCAAGGTGACTCCTCGGCAACGGTTTACGATAGCTCTGGAGATCGACAAGTTTTCTTCATGAAGGGTCTTCAATTCTCGCCGATAGACCTCGATGATACTGCCGCGAGCGCAACCGACAGTTCGAAAATTGCCGTCATTGCTTGGGAGCCGGATGTGGACATGATGGATTCTACAGAATTAGTGTCGTCTGCGTCTGGCCCTTGCTTTCCAGACATACATGAACTTCTCGAAGAACTTTTCATACTTTGCGGCAGAGCAGCACTCGACGAAGTGGAAGCAACGGACCTTCCCATCGATGAGACTCAGAAGCATCTGCAAAAGCATTATGGTTGGCTGCAATCCCACATCAGCAAGTTTGGTCCACAGGTGCTTCACACAGATGCTAAAGAGATCCAAGCGAAGATCGAAGCTGTCGGCTCAAAGCTCGAGAAAACGTCGGCATCCGCAGTAGCTGTTCTCATCAAACGCTGCTACACTCACGCCAAACTGCTATTTAGCGGCATCATCAGCCCCCTCGAGGTGTTTCTCAAGGATAACACTCTCCATGAACTGTATGACTGGATGAATACCCTCTTCAACTACAAGCCTCTGTTTCAACTCTTGTCTCACAAACGAGGTCGCCACCTCAGGATTCTCGAGATCGGCGCCGGGACCGGTGGTCTGACTTTGCGTATCCTGAAAGATCTGACTGACTGTTTCGAAGATGGCAAGGCTCTCGGGACATACATGTTCACTGATGTTTCTGCTGGATTCTTCCCGGCGGCGAAGGAACGCTTTCAAAGTGCTACGCCCGGCCTGATAGACTATCGTGTGTTGGATATTAGTCGTGACCCAGCGGATCAGGGATTTGGCGGTGAAGAGTTCGATCTAATCGTTGCGAGCAATGTACGTTCTTCATTATGTCGGAATAGTATCCACCTGCAAGTACAAAGTCTAATAGGAAGTAGGTCCTCCACGCCACTCCAAACCTGACCGACACATTGCGCCATGTTAGATCTTTGCTCAAGCCTGATGGGAGACTTTTGATGCACGAGCTCTGCTGCAGTGAGTAAATGTCCTGGTCCTCCAGTTCGTTCGCAAATTCTTACCATTCGGCAGACACGAAATGGATCAACTTCATCATGGGTTATCTCTCAGGATGGTGGCTCGGTGACTCTGACAACCGTCCGGTTGAGCCTTACATCTCCCCAAAGCAATGGAAGGAGCGTCTGTCATTGGCTGGTTTCTCAACTCCCGAGGTTATATACGATGCCGGGTCGCAACACAAGCTCAACGCAACCATCATTGCTCGGGCTACTACGCCCAAGAACTTGGCCAACCTCAACTCCCAGCCGATAACTTTGTTGTGCGAAGAAGAGTCTCATCTTGTGGTGGCCGAATTTTTTCAAGTTTTGCAAGATCTTGGTCACTCCGTCCTTATTTCAACGCTAGGTTGCGGCAACTTGGATGTCAGCGGCGTCGTGGTGTCGGTAGTTGACCTGTGTCGCGGCAACGGCTATTTCCACGACATGACGCAAATTAAGCTGGACAACCTCAAGAGGCTGCTGAAAACACTTCAGGAGAGCAACTCAAGATTGCTCTGGCTAACAAGGCCCTGCCAGGTTGGATTGATTGATCCGACCTACGCCCCGGTGCTCGGCATCGCGAGAACAGCACGACTTGAGATGGGCGTACACTTTGCCACCATGGAACTTGACAGTATCAATGGGGATTCAATTCAGGCAGTTTCTCAAGCTGTCAGCAAAATCCTCTGTACCCACATGGCTTTAAGCGCGAAAGTGGGTAAAGACATGGAGTTCTCATACTCCTCTGGCCGCACTCTGATCCCGCGATGCAAGTGGACGCCGATTTCTAGCGCTCTCGCAGCTGGAAGTCGCGTCTCTTCCGGCAAGATATTGTCAATATCGAGACCCGGGGCCCTGAAAACTCTTCACTGGGAGTCTCGTCATCTGCCCGAAGACATACCATCCGACCACGTCAAGATCGAGGTCCGCGCAGCAGGCCTCAACTTCAAAGACGTTGTCACAGCAATGGGTCTGATCAAACCCTCATCTCCAAACGGACTCGGGTGTGAAGCCAGCGGCATTGTGACGTCCACCGGAGCTACTGTGACAAATGTTCGTGTCGGTGACCGCGTCATGGTCTTCGCACTGGAGTCGGCCTGTTTCTCTACAGACATAGTAGCTCCGGCGCAGCTTTGCGTCCGCATCCCAGAGACACTCACCTTTTCCGAGGCGGCAGGTATGCCATGCATCTTCACTACAGTCCTTCGAGCCTTGGTCGAAAAAGCCGGCCTTCAGGCTGGTCAGACCATGCTTATCCATAGCGCCGCCGGTGGTGTTGGAATCGCAGCCCTGCAAGTAGCTCGGTGGATCGGAGCGACGGTATACACGACTGTCGGTAGCGAAGAAAAGGCAGAATTCCTCATTAAAGAATGGAATGTTCCCAGGGAGCGCATCTTCTCTTCTCGCGATGTCAGCTTCGTGGAAGGCGTCGAAATGGCGACCGGTGGACTCGGCGTGGATGTCGTCCTGAACTCTTTATCCAGAGAGCTTCTTCATGCATCTTGGGAGTGTGTCGCTCCCCATGGCACCTTTATCGAGCTAGGCAAGAGAGATACTCTTGCTGGTGGAAAACTTACCATGGCACCGTTTGACGGAAATCGCTCATTCATTGGCGTTGAGATGGCAAACCTGGCGGCTGAGAACCCAACCATCATCTCTCGCTTGCTGCAGCAGTGCGTTGACCTGTACGAGAAAGGTCTCATTCAGCCGGTGGAGCCTGCAAAGACTTTTGCATGCCCTGCAATTGAAGATGCTTTCAGGTATCTGTTGAAAGGCACTCACATTGGCAAGGTGGTCATTCAAATGGCCGAGCGGAACGAAGAGGCATTGTGCGTTACTCCAACGCCTCCGATTCCCAAATTCCACGATCAAGCAACTTATGTCCTCGTTGGTGGAATGGGAGGCCTCGGAAGTACGATCGCACGATGGATGGTATCCCACGGCGCCAAAAGTCTCCTCTTCATCTCTAGGACTGCTGGACGCAGCAAGGACGATCAAGGCTTTCTGTCAGAACTTCGTTACGCAGGATGTGAAGCTGATGCTGTACAATGCGACATTGCGAATGAGGCTGCGCTGCAGGCGGTGATCACAAGATTGGGTTCATCAAAGCGGATCGCCGGCGTGCTAAACCTAGCAATGGTGCTTGCTGATGGCGCGATCCCAGACCTCACCCTGTCGCAGTGGCAATCAGCGACATGGCCCAAGATACGCGGGACGTGGAACCTTCACCACGCTCTGCCCCGTGACATTGACTTTTTTGTGCTTTTCGGCAGCACATCAGGTGTGCACGGATTCCCAGGCCAAGTAAACTACGCCGCCGCAAATACCTTTCTCGATGCTTTTACACAATACCGCCGTGGATTGGGTCTTCCCTGCTCGGTAATTGACCTCGGAGGTGTCGAGGACGTGGGTTACGTGAGCCGCACACAAGACGTAGAGGACGCCATGAGAAAATCTGGATCCAAGTTGGTTTCTGAGGCCGACCTGTTGCGAGGTGTTCAACTTGCCATCGCTCAGTGTCAACCCACTACGGTGGATTCAGAGAGTAGAGCTTGCGGGACAGCATCCAATGGCCAGATCATACTTGGGATTGACTGCGCCACATCCATTGATGATGCTGGAAATCGGGTAGTATGGAAGCACGATCCTCGTATGAACCTCTATCCAGACATCGCAGGGGATGAGAAAGCCTCGCGGAGGGAGGCCGGAGCATCTTGCATAGCTGAGTTTCTCTCTAGTCTGCACTCGAGACCAGAAGAGATTGATGCACCGTCATCTACAACTTTCCTCGCGCAGGAGATCGCGCGCAGGGTCTTTGGCTTTCTCATGCTTGAGGTGGAAGAGGGCGGGATTGATACTGCTATCTCACCTTCAGCGCTTGGAGTTGACTCTCTCATGACCATTGAGATTCGCAATTGGTGGAAACACACCCTGGGTATAGATATTAGCGTGTTGCAGTTGACAAGCGCGCAGAGCTTTGATCAGCTAGGGCAACTTGCCGGGAAGCAGCTGAAAGAGAAGATTGCGACAGCTTCAAAAAGTTGAATGGAATAAGTATTAGAGTCTGGACTGTAGGCATATAAGTATTAATAAAAAAGAAGAACAATTTCATACAATGAGACTATTACCCGGGTTACCTACAACTGGCCTCCTCCCTTAGAGTGATGAACAAAATTTGACGCCGGAACCCTCCGAAACGAGGTGTGGGGCCGATGGAATCGGAGCACCGTTCCGAAGTGGGGTCTTGTCCGTTCCGGCCCTTTCGGTGACATGCAGGAATATTGATGACTCAGCTCGGTGAGGCGCGGAAGAAAAGCTCGAGTGGGGCACGCCAATGGAATTGTCGTCATGGGCAATTCGTCGCGACGCAACTCTGCCCACCACCAAATCTACGCTCGATCGGCTCACCTCAACCGGTTGCAGAGCCCACCGCTCGACCATGAGCGAGAACCGCCATCTAAAAAACCCCGCCATCTGAGTCTCAGCGATTTTAAAAAAAAAAAAAAAGATGTCAAGGTCAGGAGCCCTCCGCCTGTGCGTCAGGCCCCGGGCTGCGGCGCAAAGTCGAGCTTTTCGACCTCTGGGCTTTTCGACGACTACGTCTACGCGGGCAGCTGAGATCCGCGATGTCTCTTCCCTGCCGTCTAGGGTTATTCCAAAGTACCGCGACCCTCCGAACTCGACCTCTGGCCTGCTATCCCTACACTGGCCAACGCCTCCGCGAAATATCCTTCTGATGCCGAAGCTGCGATCACCGCAAGTCCTACGGGCGACCATCGACTTTGCGAAACATCTACAAAGCACATACTCTGGTCTGAACCTCATATTCGAGCCGAGGGTTGCGCAAATGGTGCACGAGTCCTTCAACTTTCCCATCTATACGTGCGACCCGTCAGCGTTTCCGGATAGGATCGACATGATCACGACCCTGGGCGGCGACGGCACCATTCTGCGCGCCGCTAGCCATTTCAGCATGTACTCGGCCGTGCCTCCGATCCTTGCGTTTAACTTTGGTACAATCGGATTCCTGGCGGAGTGGAAGTTTGAGGAATACAAGCGGGCTTGGAGGGAGGCATACATGAGCGGAAGCGGCGTCGCTGCCGAGGATCTGTTGACGCCGCACACGAGAGTTGCGAGCGGGGAGAAGGAACACGACGTCAAGGATCGGGGTCAGTCCGGATGGCATGCGTCTCCGGGGAAGAGCATGGGGCCGAGCCGGGCAGCTAAGATCCTGCTCCGGCACCGACTACGGGTCGGCGTGTACGACAACAACGGCCAAAATATCAGCAGCCAATTGCTTCCGACGACCAAATCCCAGGCGCACCTGCCAGCTGTCCCCCCTGAGGACACAATACTATCGAAACGAGACATCCCGCAACCGATCCACGCCCTCAACGAACTTCTGATTCATCGAGGCCCGAAGCCACATCTTGCCCACATCGACATCTACCTCAACAACCGATTCCTGACGGAAGCCGTCGCAGACGGCATTCTCTTAAGCACACCGACGGGCTCTACAGCGTACAGTCTAAGCGCCGGTGGCTCCATCATACACCCCCTCGTCAAATCCCTACTCATCACTCCAATTTGCCCAAGGAGTCTGAGCTTCCGCCCCTTGGTTCTTCCTCTCAATACCAAGGTGACACTCAAGGTCAGCAGCAAGAACCGCGATGGAGAGCTTGAGGTCAGTATCGACGGCAAGCGAAGCGCCGGCGCCGGCATCGGCACGGAAATTCGCGTCGAGGGCGAGATGGTAGGCGAGTCCAGCAACGGTGACTGGAAGGGAGGAGTGCCCTGCGTCATTTGCGGGCCAGGCAAGGGCGACGCGTCGGACTACGACGACGACGGGTGGGTAGGTGGCCTCAACGGCCTCCTAATGTTCAACTACCCCATCGGGAGGTGAAATTGAAACTTATCGTGATACCCATACCCGAATGTATACTACAAAAGTCTTTCACCGGAGTTAGTGCCAAAGGAAGCACTTTGGTCGGGCCTATTCTCATCTTTGGCTAGCTGTCTTACTCCTCAATCGGACGATCATTTGAATCAAAATTACCAGCGTCTGTTATGCAGGCCTTGAAGGGCTCGTATCAACCTATCGATTAAGTTTTGATGTTTTCCTTTCTTGAGATCTATTCATTGATTGGAAGGCTGACACCAACAAAGGTTTGATTGAAATAAGTCCACTGATTTGACTTGATCGACGGCGTCGCGTCGGATGCCGGCATGGCAAAGGTACGTCTTCAACTCGGTAGCCATTGAAGTCATCTACCCTCCGTTCAGGGTTTTGGCGTTACAATCAACGCCATGCCGTGACCAGCATGCCTGTCGCAGTTTCAAGGAACGGCGATGATCTCAGCTATCAACCACTTCATATCGAATAGTTCAAGGAGTATATAGCCCCTTGCCTCTATACGCTGTCGGTACATGTATCTATCTTTCATCAACCCCAGGCCGGCGATGGATCATCGGCCAGAGAGCGAGCCGACCCCTCCTCAGTCAGATAATAGTCACAGAGAAATGCACATTCACCTCATCCTCTAGCTTCTCCCCTGTTTCCCCCTGGAACTTCGTGTAGGAATCTCCGATGCCACCTCCTAACACCATGTTGATCAGGCAACGTGCCGGGCCTCGAAGTCGGCAGGCGAGCTCGCCGTTCTACAGGACGGAATTTTGAACCCCTTTACCGCAATTAAAAGATGATTGCTGATCAGTCAAGTACCACTGCCAGGTCAAGGACACCCGAAACAAGAGGCGACTTATGCCAGTACAACTTAGAGGATCCTTTCCGCGTTGAGATTGCTACTATTTCTTCTCGTAAGTATGTTGATACTCTAGCCAGCTGTGCTTGGCACCAGAGGAATCATCTAGCAGAGGCCTTACTCGATAGGCAAGTGGGTTATACCCATCGGACTGGATTAGGACTTAGGACTTAGGACATAGGTCTTTGATAATGAGCGCAGGAAGTTTTATGTAGCGCCGGGGCGGCGCGATAACGTCTAGCTGGCTTCATTCGTCTTATACTCCTGAGCTTTCTACCGGATACATGTAGATCAAGAAGCGGAATCTAGGCTGAAGTTCATGTCGGTGAGGGCGCCATCGAGCACGGTATACAGAATGTCAAGGGCAATCATGAGTCAGCGACAGGGCCATTGAAACGCTGCCTAAACTCTTGCTGGGCGTACCCATGCGATCACTATCTACGCAGTCGGCATGTTGATTTCGGCATAAACGAAGAGGAACGGCGTTCTCTTGCCTGATGTTGAGACCGTACCGGCCATGCAACAGGCTTCGTGTCCGAAGCTTACATATCCTAGCAACCAAGACAGGCTATGACTTTCCAGGCATTCTCATTGGTTTGCACACATCAGCTTGACTTCGCATTTTGACTTGCGGTGCTGGCGGGGAAAGCTTCTATGTTCTGTGTGCTTATTTGAAAATCCCACGGGAGGTTCCTAGCTTCTTATCATATGACAAGGGACGGGTGGCCGGCCCGTGATCTTAGTTATTGGCATGCGACTCTGAATGTCGAAATTGCTGTCGCCGCTTCGTCGGCGGCGGGTCAGCGGCAGCGGCGTAAACGGCGTAAATGGCGTATCTTTTGGCATCCAGATGACTTTATCGAGGTCTAGTGGTAATTATACAGACATAAGGTTCGGATTAGGCTCGGATCTGCCCTCTGCTCAGCCCCAACAGCATTTCCTGGGGCGCTTTGTTGGTCCCGATCTCCTGGGTGCTCCATAGTTCAGCTGCCTACCTATTCGGAACCCCGAGTCAGGTCTGCGTACCGAACCCGAGTGAACCTGGCAAACTTTGCTCGTGCTTGATTCTTCATGGTACCAACCGAAGCAGTTCGGCGTCGTGGGCCTCGGCCTTGCCGTTGCTTCTTTTCGGCCGTTAAGCTAACAGGCAATCTCAACATGAGCCAGTCTGGCGAGCTTAGTGAAGCTGGGCAGAGCCGCGAGCTTGTTAGTTCGATCCCAGTCCCGTATCGTCCCTCTAGGAATTTATTTCCGCCGTACGCTCTCCCGCACGCTCTCGCAATTTTTTTGCCATTCTCTACTCTCAACTTTCTTCTATGTCTCTTGGCCGTCCAACTCGTCGCGCTGAGATGCAATGACTCGGCCCGCTCCAACACCCTAGCTGACAGAACCCGTTCAGAACTCCTTTGACGCCCTGAATATCGATCCAAGAGGCTCAAACATGGAATTTTGAAATTGACCAGATAACATTCTTCGTGGGGCGCTATTTGAAGTTGATAACAAGAATAAGCTTCTCGACTCGAGAGCTTCTCGAAGCACAGGTGGGTGTTGCTGTCAAGGGTCCGCCGACTCTTTTGCCCCTCCGAGTCGGCATTGTGCCGTGCGCTGGTATGCGCCGCTAGCTTGGAAAAGGATGCGCCGCGCCGCTCGGCATACCAGGACAAGGGGACATGTGCCATCCATTATCGACCCAAATATGGGGGGACTTTGGATGATGCGACCCCAGCTCACGCGCGACTTACGTAGATTGGTAACTTGCCTGCCGGGATTCCTTTCCCCAGACGCTTGTCTGAAGTCTCTATGCAGCAGCTGCGGTGTCATTGTGAAAGTCGGGCTTTAGCCGCTCTAACCCCCGTCTTCACAACTGACTGGAGTTTGACTGAATCTTGACGTGCCCAACCCCTGCGTTCACAGTCCGCCTCTCCCTCGCTGCATACTCCCTGTCTAAGCAATATTTCGAGGATCCAATCTGCGGACATTTTGACTCTGACGCTCCCCGGAGAGATCAGAGCTGGCGTTTTACGGGTCCACGTGGACTGGAAGACTTGCAAGTATCCCTCTTTGAATGCTAAATCTTAACCGCAGCCACTGGCGTTGCTCCAAGTCATGGGCCGAACCCCGACTAATCGCATGATCTTAACTCGCCTCGCGCCGTCGATACTACCATAAGCGCTAGCTATCCACAATCGGTTTCTGCTTCGATTCATTTGCCGCGGCGGTCATCTTCTTCCTGACTCACCCGTGCCACTTCTGTGGCTGACACAGCAGCAGATGGCGGATAATACCACTAACCCACTCACACCTGCCCTTCCCACCACCTGACCGCCCAGCTATTATACTCGTAGGAGAGTTGAGGTTCGGGGAGGGGAGTCTTTTTTCTCTCGCTCGGAGAAACATTTGCATTTCAATATCGATCCTCCCTCCAACGAGACTAACAATTAGGTCCGCTGTTGTACAACGCAGGCCATGCAGCTAGGTGATATTCGCCTCTCACATCGCGAGAGAGAGCTTGACGCCGGTCTCTTGCAGCTCGAACATCACACCTAGAAACCAGTGTCGAGCTTGAGTCCGAATACAAAATGTCCAAGAGAAGCACGACTTTAGAGCAGCTTGCTTTCCAAGCAGGCCAGATCCCATCTGACACCAACGGCGACGACCAAGATCGGACAGAATCGCAAAAACCATCCAGCAAGATGACGCGGACTTCCATGGCCAACGTTGTGCTTCTGGCGTGTGTCTCCTGGATCCTCAGTGCGATTTCTGCGCCCAAGCTCGTGGCGTACGAAGAGAACGGCAACAAGTACGAATGCAGATGTTCTCCAGCTGACAGCTGCTGGCCCAAGGCCGATGCTTGGAATACGCTTAACAATACTGTGGGAGGAAGCCTTCTACAGCACATCCCGCCTGCTGCAGTTTGCTACAACCAATATCGTGGTATCGCGACCTACGATGCAGCAAAGTGCGCTGAAGCAACTGCAAAGTGGACCGACGAGAGCTGGCAGTGAGTCTAACTTTCAAAACAGATCGCGGAGCAAGGGAAGGGAAAGCCGAGACTAACAATACCCATCTAGGATTTCTCAGCCTGCGTCGCAGTTGTGGACATGGGGAAGCAACAACACCTGCGAACTGACCACAGATCCCACAGAGACATGTTCTCTCGGCAACTACCCCGAGTTTGTCATCATCGCAAAAACGAGAGATCAGGTCAAGGCCGGCGTGGACTTTGCAAAGTCGAACAATCTGCGACTAGTAATCCGCAACACGGGCCACGACTTTGAGGGACGAAGTGCCGGTGCGGGATCCTTGGCCATCAACACGCACAACTTGAAGGATATCTCCTTTGTTGATTCATACAAGGGCCCCGGAGACTATACGGGGCCTGCCATCACGATTGGTGCCGGAGTTCAAGGGTACGAAATCTCCGCGGCTGCGCATGCCAGAAACCCACCGCAGAATGTTGTCACAGGCGAGTGCGAGGTAAGCCCGTAAGACCCCATCTCCCTCTACTCAACTAACAACTCTCTAGACTGTGGGTGTCGCAGGTGGTTTCATGGGAGGCGGTGGCCACGGGCCTTTGAGCGGCAACTATGGCTTCGGCGCCGACCAGGCGCTTTCTTTTGACGTTCTCACCGCCGCCGGAGAATTCATCACGGCCAATGCCAATTCCAACTCCGATCTGTACTATGCACTCAGGGGTGGAGGTCCGGGGAATTACGCGGTTGTCCTGTCCGTCACTCTCAAGACATACCCCGACACGAATCCCGGCGCAGCCCTCTTCTTGGATGTCAATGCCACAACGGGCGCCAACTTTGACCAAGTCACAAAGGCAGTCAACAAGCTCAACGAGTTAGGAAACCGAATGGTCGACAACGGACTCTATGGAATCTACATGCTGATGCCGCCGGCGCTCGGAGGAGCACTGCACGTGCAGCCAATCATGGGAATGAACAAGACTGCGAAGCAGCTGACTGCCGTGGTCCAGCCGCTCCTCACGTACCTCGACACCGAAGGAATACCCTACGACTTTGGCGTCAAGGAGTACCCCAACTACTACACCCTCTTCCACGACATCTTTGAGCCCGAGGCCGCGGCCCAGAACGGTCTGACGGGCGGCTGGGTCTTCACCCACGACGACATGGCGAGCAACCAGCCGGCCATCGCCGAGGCCATTGAGCTCGCGCTGGCTCCGGCCCCGGACCAGTTCGGTATCGTCATCAGCCACTTCTTTGATCCGGGAAGTCATGCAAAGAACGCCGACAGCGCGACGCATCCCAGGTGGAGAAGTGCCACAATGCGGACCATGGCTATTTTGCCGCAGCCCCTGGACGCGACATGGGCGACGAAGCTGTCGCTCAACGATCTCATGGTCAATACCATCACCGAGAAGTTTAAGCAGGCTGGTCCGAACGGGCTTGCGTATGTGAATGAGGTAAGCCTGACGTCTCCCTCCTTGCCTAACGTGGTTCATTCGCGTTATTGATGACATTGATACTAAATATGCATGGATAGAACTATGCCTTTATGAAGAACTGGCAAGACGCCTTCTGGGGTCCCATCTACCCTAGGCTGGCGTCAATCAAGAAGAAGTGGGATCCCAACGGCGTCTTCTTCTCTTGGTCTACGCCGGGGAGCGAGGAGTGGGGTGTTGTTGACTATGGGAACCGGCTTTGCAAAGCGAAATGATTGAAGCGTTTTGAGCGTACAATTTAAGCATAAAGATACCACTTGGGATATTGGATGAGTATCCTAGATTCTTGGATCTCATGAGAATACACGCAATCAACTGCATGTAACATGGCTATATGCTTCCGATGAAACCGGACATTTCTCTTTCAGCAGGCTTACTCGTTCCAGATAACAGCACTCAGCCCATCCTCTTGGTTAATAGTTCCTGGGTTCCCGACCTTGATAGTGGCAAGAAGCTTCCCAAGTCTACCCGTAGTGACGCTCCGCTCCACAATTGCGACGTTGGCACTAGTCTGTCCACCCATGGCAACCATAGTTCCGGCACTATTGATGGTGAAGGTACGGGGGAAGAACGAGTAAGCACTCGTTGTCTCAAGATACGCGATCTGGCCTGTCGAGACATCGATCGAGTAGGTCGTGATGGAGTCTTCTTGAGTACCGAAGGAACGATCATTCCTGTTCGATGCGTAGACGAAGTTGTCTTTGACGTGCACTTCGGCCGCTTTGGAGCCAACCGGGGTAGCTTTTCCGGGAGGGAACGTGGAAAGCATCTGCTTCTTTGCGAGCACAAGGCAGCCGGCCGCCGGATACGTTACCGACCAGGACGTCAGCGAGTTTGATAGCTCGTTGACGATGAACAAAAATGTCGCGTTGCCCTGGGTCCTGAAAGCTCCATGACGAGGTCCGTCCCCGGATCCCGTTGAGAAGGATGGGCATTGGGTCAGATTACCTGACGGACTGATGCCGAATACTCGAATCAGATCAGCTCCCAGGTCCGCAGATAGAAGATATTTTCCGGTGGGATCCGTGAAAACTGAGTGAGGATGAGGTTTATCCTGTCGAGACGGCACTGGCCCTGGCTGAGACATTGTGAATACCAGTTTCTGCAAGGCTTGGCCTGAGCTGCTCAATGGGAGGGCGTATGTGGAAATCGTCGACGCATCGCTGGAATCAGTGTCAGTAACAGGAAACCCTCGCAGGAATATTGTGAGCAATCATACTATTGTGCCGTTGCAATGCAGCCATTGCTCGGTCCATAGAGCGTGCTGTGAAGCTCGCCGCCAGCGGTCTGGACTTGGCCTTTTGGTGTTAGACTTCCATCGGCTGCAAGAGAGAAGCTTTTTAGGAGGGGCTGTCCCCATTGTACTTCATCCGGAATATAGACAATCTTCGACGCAGGGTCAAAGTCGAGCCATGCTGGCATCCGATTCCCCGTGCTGACTGAACTTGCAATCGTGAGTTGGTTCGTCGATGATAGGTTGAGCGTGTAGAGTTGTCCGCTGTAGTGTGAAGCAATCAGAGTGGCCGCAAGGGCACCTCGAAGAAATACTACGCAAACGAAGAAACGCGTAATATTTTCCATTGCTTGGGATTCGATGACTGGTTTTGCAATAAGCCTTGGCGATCCCAAGCTGGCGGGCTTCCCTTCTTTACTGTTTGAGATCTCGTTGCCATCCTCATACCACAAATTTCTGTTCCGTTCCGCGAAGCCTCGCGAGCTCGCGTTTAAGCATTTACCCGAAATAGAGCAAGAAAATGTAACAGTGCCATGCCTAGATGCACCGGTCCTTGTTCTATGTAGAGACCTTTTTGACTAGCGTCGACTCCGAGATGCCCAATGAGGCAATGTTACGGAGGCCAGTGCCGGAGTTGCAGATCAGTTAGGTGACTTTCACATAGCCGAATCGCGGCTAATTGCAGATCGCTATTCCTTTTCTCTTTGCTGAAAACACTTTGAAATTCCGGAGAATTATGAAAAATTTGTTTTGAGCTTTCGAATTCGTTGATAGCCCAGCACTTAACGGCAGAAATCAGCAGCAACAAAGATTGCATCAACCGCATAACCTGAGGGTCTAAAAACCCATAAGTCATGGCAATATCGGTTGGGTGTTCGTTGGCTCATTACTGGATGGATGCAAGGCTTTCTTCTAGGCTAAAGCAAGTTCATATATCCAGATGAGTGCTGCAGACTGATATTGTATACCCTGGAAACAAGATGATTTCGGAGCGAAAATGGCCGTTATGATGTCATTTGAAGTAACCTTTGGATCATGATCAGTCTTTTCAAATATCAATTCAGTCATGCTTAAAACCTTTCCGCCAAATCTGGTTTGTAGCGGATCCTTCGATTCATTGCTACGGACTTTGGGAAGCCGTCTGACGACGTCGCGATCTGCCAATTTGTTTGGAAATTTGCAGCACTTTGGCAATGGCCTCACTCTCGACCAGAAAGACACTTACAAAGAGGCAGGTCAAGGTTTACAAAGAAGACAGAAGAGCCCATCACTAACAACAACGCAGCAGGATAGATTTTATCCTCCGAGTCTTTACACCGACAAGCTCTCAGATTCATAAGTGGAGTTTCTTATCAACTACCTACCGGTATACAGTCGGTGAGCCCCTGAAGAGGGACTGTTATGTGGAGATCGACTTTCATGAAGGCAAAAGCTCGGCTGTCGCCGAAGCTCCCGCAGACTATTCTTCATACGCACATCGAGACAAGCTTCTACTGAGTTAATTTTACGATGGCGTTGACAATTCTTCTACATCCCCATAAGATGGATTCTCTTACTCCAAGGATTTGCTGCTAAGATTTCCGCGGACATGGAGTATGAGGATTATGGAACTTACTTCAACTATCCGGACCCGAATATTTGGCAAGAGGAAGCCCAGATGATAAATTGGCGACATAATCTGGCGAGGCTACCAGATATCAAGACTGCGGTTGATCCAGATGAGGATTTTTACTTTCCTCAGAGTCTAAGGCCGGCTGAGGGCCTCACATTCTGACTGAGCTTAAGTGAGCTGTGTTTTTGGGATATGTATGGGCTGTAACACGGAGTGAAATGAAAACATGGCCGGCCATCACTGTATGCAAAATTGAGCACAGGAGACGATGAAAATATTGTTAACGACAAGGCATGATTTGCTAGTACTACGTCGCTAGAGCGATAGGTCGTTTTTTTTTCTTTCAACGCGTCTATTGAAATATCTCAGCGCTTTTAAAAAAGAAAACTTTGACACGGTGACTATCAATACCAGACTGGCGTGGGAGGCCGAGTGCCTTAGGTCTTGATAGGCTTGCCATTGAGGTTACTAAGACCCCCTTGATCAACAAAGTTGGGGGGGGGCATGTATCTGGCTGATCCCGCCCAATATTACATCGTGCTTCTTGGCAAGCAGCGGCTATTGAACCTCATTCGCATACTTATCCGCGTTGCAAGGTCGTTTTCAGCGTGGATGCAACCCACGTGTCGATTAGGTGGTCGTGAGGGGCCCTAGACCCCGCGGGACGACGAAATATTGGGGGCATCCCTCCCGATCAATAATAATCAACTGCCTTATTGGGCTGAGCAGCTCTGGCACTCTTTCTCACGATGCGACCAGCAGCTGTATATAACAGATGGCTGGGCAAGATGTGATTCGAAATAGGTGATCACCTCGAGGTCTTCCTGGTCTAACCTCACTCATTCGTTCCTTTCATCAAGATGCAGGTCAAAACTCTCTTCGCTCCCATTCTCCTAGCCAGAGTAGCTTTCGCCCAGGGCCTCCCAATCCGTGTTGCCTCATTCAACATTCGATACGACGCCAGCTCCCGTGAATCCGGGGAGAAGCCGTGGTGGGATCTCTTCTGCTGGATTTCCGCGGACCGCTGCCGCCAGCCCTATGTCATCGACGCAATCAAGAGTATTGGATCAAACGCACCATCCGGCGCCGTCACCGTTATTGGTCTTCAAGAAGTCCTCGACAATCAGCTCAGCGACATTCAGAACGGTCTCGGCTCCGACTGGGCCCACATCGGCGTCGGACGTGACGACGGCAAGAAGAGCGGCGAATACACCCCCATCTTCTACCAATCCGACGCGCTCAGGCTGCTTTACGAGGAGACAAAGTGGCTCTCGACGACGCCTGATCAGGTCTCTTACGGCTGGGGCGCCGGCAGCAGGCGCATCGTGACCATTGCTGTCTTCGAGCATACCGCCAGCGGAAAGAAGTTCATTCACGCCAACACGCACCTTGATAACGCCAGCTCTCAGGCCCGTATTGAGGGGATCAAGGTCGTAGTTTCGAAGATCCAGGCCGTGCAGGCCACCTACGGCCCTCTGGGCATCTCACTCACTGGTGACTTCAACTCCGACCCCAATGGCGATGCGTATAAGACATTGGCAGGGACGGGGTTCATGGATGAGTTGTACAACCTGGCTACACCAGAACAACGCATCGGCCCCAACCAGTTGACATACACCACTTTCGACACGACCAAGCAGGGCAGCCGCATCGACTTTGTCTGGCTCGGGCCTAAAGATGCGAAAAAGTACTCGGTCCAGCGACACGAGATCCAGAACAACAGTGTCAATGGCATGCTCATTAGCGACCACAGACCTGTGGTTGGAGACGTTACGTTATTGTCTTAGGCAATGTGTAGATTTGTGCGGGAATTGATACTTGATGCCCATCCCATCGCGCAGACCTTTCCCTGCCCATGAGTCAATCAGTGACCGTTACTGAAATGTACATGTATGCAGTGGTTCTTGCAGCCGTGACTCTCATGTTGACGCCAAATTTTGGCTTGCTGTTTTAATAGAAGTGAACTTACTTTGGCAAGACCAAGAAAGGAATGGGAACTAGTAAAAGCCGCGTCTTTCATCCTGTTGCAGGTAGACGTAAGTTTTCCGAATATTCTCGCCTTTGCCGTTGATGGCTTTACCATTGAGAAAAATTAGACTCAACCACAATTGCAGTCATATTGGAAACATCCACCCGACAAGGTCTGTCTAACCGCTCCCAGCCTGCAGGATAAAGGGGATTATTACGCCCAGAGTGGTCGCGCCAGAACTGTGGACGTCACACGATTCAAAATTACGGGCAAACTGACTGAGCTCTTGTCCCAATACTACGAACTATACGACCAACCTGAAGCGGAAGTTCAAGCCATAAGGGCTCGGGCGAAGACTTATCCTTGGAACTAGGTCGTTACCACGGGCGTGGACTCTCCACTTTGATCTCTTTAGTCTCCCACCGCGTCCTAGGTGACTGATCCTGCGCATGTGAAATTGCACTCGTGGAATTGCTGGGTCCTTCTGCCACTTTTGATTTTCTTGCAAATGCAGCAGGAAGACATATTGAAAACGCCAGAGGCTAATGATTCAATGTCTCTGAGTTGAAAAATTACGTCTACTTAGGCGTGGATTATTGATGGTCTTTCAAAGTGCTCACTACCGTCTAATCAACAAAGACCATCAACAGCTGTCGGGCGCAAAGGCAATGCGCATGAGACACCGCTACTTGGACCCTGTGACCAACTACACGCCCACTAAAGCACAAAAAGCTTAACCGAGTTACCCGCCTGCTAATTAATGCCCACAGCGCCGTCTGAGCACAGTCACACAAGATGAGTCAGCGGGAGATAACGGGGACAGCTTGTTATCGTCATTGATAACTATGCGCTGCTGCACGCGGCACTCCTTCAACTCTTCTCACTCTGGGCTTATGCTCTTGGTGAGTTTGCTCTCAAGTACGACGTATCTTGATGTTTTGACTGATCAACCCATTCAGTCTGGTGTCTCTCATTCCTTTTTAGGACCTATTCATGCCATTCACCATGGCTGCCGTTAACCCGAGACAGCCTGTGTCGATATCGCAAGGCTCTGTCTCGCGGGATGACGCATCCGAGATACTCGGCAGCATCAGCATGGCTGCCTTTCTCTGCCTCTTGGTATACGCTGCCGATCACTCTGGACCTCGGAGGAATAAGCTCACATCTTCTAGATACCACAACTTGCCGCCAACTACAAGTTGAAGAGCGCAGACAGCTTATCTATGGCATTTCTGTTCATTTGGCTTCTGGGCGATGTTACCAACTTGTTAGGTAGGACACGCTCTTGAGCCCCGCCGACAGAGTTCGGGAAGAGTCTTCCGACATGTCTTCAATGTGCCTGTTCGGACTACTGACGGTGAATGATACAGGAGGTCTCGCAAACGGCATCGCACCGGCCAGCATAGCCGTGACAACGTACCTCTGCTTTTCGGACTCTACACTCATCTGCCAGTGCCTTTATTACAACTCCAAACGTCGCATTCGGAACCTTGTGCACCCAAACACTCCAAGATCGCAATCTCCAGAGCACCGACCCCTCCTAGAGCCTGCAGACTCTTCCGAGGATGTGAACTCTGTAGGCCATTATCAGGTTGCCTCCCCCAGATCGACTCAAGTTGTGGACAAGGACGAGGAAGACGCGATTGGCACGGTACGGACTCTGCACGACTGGCGCTTTAACGCGGCATGCCTTCTTATGGTCGCAATCCTGGGAGTCTCGGGGTGGTTTGTGCTTCGCCAGTTTGGGATTGTTGGCGGTGAGAAGCCTCCTGGAGCCGTACGCATTACAGACTTGCCAGGCATTTCCGAGTCGGTCGGTTCGGCATTAGGAGTTATTGGTGCCATCTGCTATCTGTGGTGTGTAGTAGACATCCTACGACATGTGCCCTCAACTGACAAATGCAGCGCCCGGATTCCACAAATCATCAAAAACTACAGGGGAAAGTCATGTGAAGGTCAGGTCGCCCGCCTACTTATGTCATTGCGGTATTCATTGAAACTTTCTAGGTCTCGCGCCGCTATTTCTGCTCCTGTCCATAACTGGGAATTTGACGTATGGAATGAGTGTCATTGCTTACAAGCAAGACAGAGAGTATCTGCTTACAAGCCTACCGTGGCTGATGGGCTCACTCGGGACGATTGTAGAAGATGGCATTATCCTGTTTCAAGTTCGACTGTACTCGCAGGTCCAACAGTCAGTAGAGTCGAACGACTCTTGATAGGGACTATCTGGAAATGCCTGTACAGGACAGTCACGATACCCTTTGTCATTTCCAATCGAGTTGGTTAATATTTCCCAACCCCACCCGCCCCCTCGTGAAGTGACATAGATCCATTTCAGTAGAATCACTCACACACCATTGTTATTATCCTTACCCTCCATCATGTTCAACTTGTTTGTGTTGTCAGGGCAGCATCAAGTTAAGGTGATGACATTGAACTTCTCCAAAAGGAGATTGACATCGTACTTGTTGCAAACATGATCTTCAGCAGCCACTCACACACAACTATCATTGGTATCGTGGTTGCACTACTGGAGAAGAGACTATTATCAAAAGCCTCCCGGCTCCTCATCTTCAGACATCTACTTCCGATACACCTTTGTTTACTAACTTTCTCATCACATAGAGTATCCGCAAGACCACTATTTTTGCAAGCATTTCTTACTGCTCAATGGCTTGAGGTCAGGAACGTATAGTCAACACTACAATCCGAACTTTTCAAAATGGATTAGATGTCCTCTTCTTTGCCAAACGAAAGTTGTGTACGCAAGGCTTGCAGATGTGACGGCCGCAACAGAGACCAGTGCAGGCCAGTTGAATTGCGAAGGTCGGAAGAAGAAAATGGTCGCCATGTATGAGAGCAGCTCAAACGCATTTTGCCAGGCTGCCTCCACAGTAGAAAACCTGCCACGGCTCTCGGCTTCGACTTCCTGCACTCTCATGTTAGAAATTCACGATGTTGGAAACTCCTCGTTGGTCGGGAATCTCTCACCTCCTGGACAATGATCTGGGTACAGAGATCGAAGCCGCGGAGACCAAGGCGGCTGATGATCACCCCGATTACGAGACTCGTTGCCGAGATTAGGGGATTGGGCATGAAGACCCAGAAAGCCACCAAACCCCCAATGAGCGGCAAAACCTGGCAGTTGCTCATCCAGAGACCAGCCCGTACTTGTCCAATTCGTCCCACAAGCCAGGGTGCGACCCAAGTCGCCATTACCTCAAAGATGACACTGATCGTTCTTGCTATACCGATATATGTTGTGTTGTAGCCCGATGCGACAAGGTACGTGACCATCTGACCTCCAAAGCTAAGCACCGTGAGGTACAATAGAGAACAGGCAAATGACGGTAGGAATACGCGATGACTGAAATAGAACTTGAAGTCGGATGCGGACCGTTTGACATGAATCAAGACATTTCTGCCAGGCTTCAACGATATCCTCGTAGGCGTCGATTGGATTTCGGAAACAGATGTCGCCATAGGCTTGGGTTCCTGCAAATCAGGGTCCTCGTTGTAAATCTTGGCGATGGCATAGTACTCTGCAACAACAGAAGCGATGTTCATGGAGAAGTTCACGATGATAGCTGCCTCTGTGGATACACCGTCAATAAGAGCGATGAATAGCGGCCCGAGCAGCTTGCAGAGCAGATCGATCCGGCGGATCTGCGCATTGAGGGTTGCCAGAGCCTCAGTGTCACCCTTGGCGAGAACGACAACCTATTTGGTGGTTAGATGGAATGGAGTCGTTTATTTGTGATCAAGCTTACCCAGTCCTTTTCGACCGAAACCATGTTTACGATGGAGTACAGCTTTTCAACACAAGCCATGATGGAGAGGAGCGCCAGCAAACCCGGGCGTCCATAACCACCAAGCGGTAGCCCAATAAAGAGGGCATAAAACAAGATGCATGAAACAGACACTGCAAGTCGTTGAAAGACTGTGCAACACAAATTAAAATCACTGTGGCTGATCATTGGTGTATTTGGGCTGAGACTCACCTATCGAAGCGCGAACAACTTTCAACCGGTCGTTATTATCAATGTACTGTCCGACCGTAGGAGCGAATACCAGGGCCGATAGACCTCTGGCGAGCGCATAGAGCGACATGGGCAGCAATGTCCCCGGGAAGATCGTCGCCAGATATAGCACCGCGCCGAACTCGAACATGCGAGAGTTCCAAGTCGAGAGGAAATGCGACAGGTAGAGCCAGCGTGCTATTCGGGGATCCACCCGGTGCATTTCGGAGACCGAGCCATGTCCTTGGCCTGTTCCGTTGCCGAGAAGCGGCGTTTGCTCGTCGGGCCGGATAGCCTCCTCATCGGCAAGAGACTGAGGGTGCGCCATAATTCGCGGGATAGTTACTCTGACGCGAGAAACAGATAAAAATGGATGGACTGGATGAATAGTCAACTTGGCAGGAAACAGAGATAGCTAGGCCGGGTGAGGCCTGGGCAGGACCGCATCAGATAATGTAGACATCTCGCCCTTGGCGTGGCGTGAGTTCAGATGAACGGTGAGTCGGAAATATCATCTACTAGCGAGGGAACAATGGGGATATAAACTTAGTAACCACATTCCTGAAGCTCTTCGTTGCAAGCAGCTCGGTACGGAGACGTCGAGGCGCCGGTCAGGGAGCTACGAACCCTTGTTGACAAGTCCATGGGCCCAAGCAACGGAGGCAGCTGAGGTTCCGTGTCCGTCCCTTCAGTTGCTCATTGTACACAATCCCATGCCACCGATTTGTACCGTCTCAAATCAGCAAAAAGTCCAGGACCAAGTAAAGAGTTATTCAACGCCTGCCCAGTTATAAATTTTTCGATTTTTCTTCTTCCACTCCTCCTCGTACATGAAAGTCCTCTGAAGACTGAAAGTGAGAACGGAGACACCATCCTGTCTCTTGAATCATGACCGTCCACTTTGAGACTAGTGCCTGATCTCCACGACGGCATGAATAGAGGAAAACCTTATGTCATCGGAGCTATGCTCGAGAAGCCTCCGCTTAGTCAGAGGATCAAATCTATGAAAAGCTGTGGCCTGGCCGCTGACGGAGCTGTATCTGCTCCGTGTGTTCAGCTTGCAGTCTTGCCCCAACAACAATGCCCGGGAAGCTTCGGCAAGAGTAACAGCTCCCATGGAGCGCTAATCAACGTCAAAATGCCGCCAAAGCGAGCATGCGACATATGCTATCGTAGGAAGGTAATATCTTTGAAGTTGCTACTGTGTCGCATCTCAGTGGAAGACGGCAGCCTGTTGCTGACCCATACGTGTGCCACAGATCCAATGTCTGATCCCTGCAGAGGGCTCACCATGCGACTGGTGCAGTCATCATGATTCCGACTGTACCTTTCATCGAGATGCGCCGCGGCGGAAGAAGAAACACAAGTCAGTGAATGATCACCATTTCACGTTTTACAAGATTCGCAGACTTTATTGAGCTGACCAGTGACGCCATTTTTCTTAGAGTGACATTGGGCGACGTGCAAGGCCTCAACGATCGCATACAGCAACTTGAGGATGCGTTAGCCCAGGCAAATGCGCAGCAACAAACTCAACACGACAGTGTCAGTCAACCAACTCCGGCAATATCCGTGTCCGAGGGAAGTTCCAACCCAGCATCCGTACAGAGTCCACCCCCAACAACCATTGGGAACTCAATCGCTTTCTCCGAACACTCCCTATCCCCTCTAGTCTTCTCCCAAACCCCCGGCAGTGCCAATGACACATCAGCAACAACAGATGGGTCCTGGCCTGGCAACTACATCGGCCCCAACTGGTTCTTCAGAGGCATTCACGCCTTTTCGGAGAACGGCCGCCGATGGATCTCGTCCAAGACTGGTCAAGCCATCGACTGGAGTAAACTTCGGATATTCACCACGGAGCTCTCGCCTTTCTCGAGTAAATATACATGGGCATCACCAGGTCTTTGTGAACTCCCAGACCAAGTCATTTGCCGAGAGCTTCTCTCATCGTATTTCAAGTCATCTTTTCGCCTTAGGTTTCCAATCATTGACGAGATCCTCTTCGAAGAAACGGTCAACGTGGCCTATCAGGATGCCGAAAATATCTCCTCTTCGCCGGTGACTCTGTCCGCTCGGGCCTGCGTTCTAGGATTTCTTAGTCTCACAGCCTTCTTACCCAATGTAGAGCCGAATTCTTTGGGGTTAGATGCGAACGAAAGCGCCACCAGGGCGACTTTCCTTCTCAATCATCTTCCCGGGTACATAAACTTGACCACGTTACAAACGATGCTGTTGCTGGTAAGTGGATTTGTGACATTTCCTCCCTGACGGTTGTCAAACCGGCAAGCTGACGCTTGGATAAAGCATGTGCAACGTCTCCTCTGTGGTCATTGGCGAGAAGCCGAGTCAATTCTTCCAATCGCTTGCCGTATGGTATGTGCACTCGGTGGACATCTTTACCAGGCATCAAAGTCTCTCGCCACAAATATTTCTCTGTCTGAGAGAAGAAGCCGTCACATCCGAAACCTATTCTGGATGTGCTACTCGTCAGACAAAGACTTGTCCCTACGGACAGGACAGCCCCCTCTTCTCAGCGACATCTACTGCGACCTCACCATCCCAGACGACTATCTGAGCTCTTATACGCACTTACGCGGTCTGGACGAGTACCATCCTTCTCCAGATGAGTCGATAACTATGGATCTCACACCACATTTCTGGGGAGACGCTCAGCTAGGGTATCTAAAGGAGAAAGTATACCGCCTCCTCTACTCGGTCCAGGCCCTCAAAGACAAAGAAAACCAACTCCTCATACACATCCGTCAGCTCGATGACGAAATCGAATGCTGGCGGTTGTCTGTCCCGGTGGATTTCCGCCCAGCTCTGTCGGTTTCATCCAATACTCTTCTACTCACGCCTGAAACAAAAAAGCCGCATCTCCAGAAATACGTCCACCTGTTATTAGAATATTGGTATTTGATGATCTATGTTCATACCACGGTCAGACGATACGACGCACATACGATAATAGGCGATGGGAGTCAAAATCTTCATAGGGTAATTCACTCGAGCTATGATTTGTCAATGGAAGCTGGCCGATCAACACTTCGATGCTTGCGGGTGTTTATGAATACCTCCTCAAGCGATGGCTTCTGGTGAGTCATCCTATTCTATCTGGCTTCTTGGCATACCTGGTGCAAGGATCGAATATTGTCCTTAAATCTAGGCGCTAATCTCTTTAGTAGGCTTCTGATGTTTTACGCGACCAATGCAGCAATTTCGCTGTTTCTCAACATGATTATACATCCGGAAGATTCAGATGGCCAACTTGACCTCGAGCTTCTCATCTCGGCCGCCAACGCGATCCGCACCGCCATTCCAAGCGCGTCAACGCATGATGAAAGTACACGCATCCAACGGACGTCCGATTTCATCATGTGGCTTACGTGGCTTGGATCTTGTGCTATTACCAAGTCAAAGGAAGAGGGCTTACAGCACCAGTTGTAGATTATCATGGACTTTTTTATGATTACCCACAAATATTAGGTTCTTGGTAAAACAACTAGCAAGGAGTCTTGTCCAGGCACTTCACATTGAAGGATATTTTAAGCAATATAAAAGGCACCAAGATGTTGATTCGAGTTCAAAGAATTACAGAAATTTGTCAACAGAAAATGACAAGCGGCTTTTCCGCTTACAAGGCGGTCAAGTTGGTCGAAGGTGGGTTCTGAGGACGCACGAGGTCAAAGCTCTTGACTCAACAGGGGTTGCAATCCGAATACTTAACGAATATTGAAGTGTATCTCCAGATTAAAGGATACTTATTTCCCGAAACTCTCGCTATTACTGGCTAAAAGTTGTCCAACTGACCTCTGGATTAGTACATTAAGGATATTAAGGTTCAGCTGGGTTCCCCACCCACTTTCCGGAAGGCGACTAGTGGTCCCGGAATATTTCCTCTGAGCGTCTGTCTACTGATCGATTCGAAACTTGAAGATCCCTTCCGGAGACCAATACCCGAGCTTCTATAGTTTGAGCATTTGTTATGGCTTGCCTCTCTCTAGGGGCAGATGGTGTCTTTATGTCCTCCGGCTCCCGGCCCCACCGGAAGAGATGGGGGACGGAGGACAATCACGAATCTTAGATCGCCAGGCCGTAACTACTTGAATAGTGAAAGAGCCGGAATTTACCTTGTGATTGTTCTCATTTCGTGTTGCAATTTTCTTGAATTTCGCCTCTGCGAGTCGTCATCATGGTTCAACTTTCATCCGTCGCCCTCCTGCTCAGCTTCATAGCGAGCCACCTCGTCTCGATTCAAGCTCAGTCTCTGCCCAAACAACTCGCCGTAGTCCGTCGCCGCTCCGGTCTCACACATAAAGAGTACTTGTACTACCATACGCTGGTTCACGGCCAAAAGTCCTGGAACGCGCCGCGAGACGACGCCTTCCCCGCGGCCTATGTGCAAAGCCACGTCTTTGACGGAGTCTTTGGTTCGAATAACACCGTGGGGAACCAAGTCTACGTCGGACGCGATGACATTGCAGAGCTTTACAGCAGCTCCCCGACGTCTTTCACCGGCCCGCCGCCCACGAATTATACTCCGACGGTGATCGGCCCTGATGGGGCCAACTTCAATGACTTTCCAGTTGCCATGTCAATGATTGCGACGGAGAGTTTCTTGGCCAACTTGCCCATGGGCCCCCCCAAGCCTCCGGCGAAGCTCGGCAATGAGCCTCCGGTCGCCTTCTTTTGGGCGATGGCTAGAAAGGACGCTACTTCGAACGAGACATTTGCGAGAAATCTGGCCGAGGCGCTCATCAAGCCTATGCCTGCTGGGATGGTCATCAACGCCAGCATACACGTACCGATCCCGGGCGCCGATGTCAGGCCCTACTTTGGTGGCGAGAGCATGCCAATCCTTAACACTGTCATCAAATTGTGGCTTAGTGATGGTGACCAGGCCATCACACAGCTTCGGGCTTCGCAGACCAAATTGGATAATGCGGCGCTCCATTTGGACGAGAATCTATCTTACATGCTTTTGACCAAACAGGTAACGATCTGGGATACGAGAGCTGGCATCAACGTAAGTTTATTTGAAGTCTTCCAAATACGCTGATCTAACGCACGAGCAGTTTGACATCCCGCGCCTCGAAGCCGTGTTGAAGGCTGAGAACTATTGATCACAAAACTTGCATACTGATGCAGTGCGAGCCACAACATTGTGGGCCTCCGTAGAGTCCTTGTGTTCCTAAACATCAATAAAATTGGGGTTCTGCCTCCAGTCTTTTACCGGAGATCACTTCTGAGCATTTTTGATTACGTATTTGAAAGAAGTTCTTGAAGCCCATGACCTGAACGTATTGTGTACAATTACGATTAAACCTCGATTTCAGAGCTTTCCGTCGTTTGACACAACCTTTGTAAAGCTCCATTGTAACCTTGAAGAAGTTTACAAAAGGTCAAATCCTTCAGAATGTCTTGCCAAGAGTTGTACAAAGCCGGTTAGTTCATAATGAGCTGTAGTCAGCATCGTCATTGCCAAGGCTGTAGGCGCCGAGAGGCCAAGGCGCAGCCCAAATCTATCTCCACTGGAAAGTACACCGCCCCTGTGAACATCAGAATACCAGGCTCTCCCACGTCATACGGAGTGGCGCAACATGCAATTTTCTTAACGATTGGCAGCCCACTGCTTTCTTGGTTGCAAGAGGAGAATTTCAGGGAGATCGTCCCACGAGAATTGTGGCATTGTAAAGCTTGTAGAGCCAAGACGGAAGCCCCAACCGCTCCGCACCACATATTTGAAGCATTTGTTTTTCCGCCTCAGAGGGACCCATTGATGTTCGCATGGCCCCCTACCACGTCGTCGGACGATCCTCTATAACCTTCCAAAGTCCCTGAACAAGTTCAAGAGTAAAATCTCAGTTTTGGCACGTAGAGACTATTTATTCTTTAATCGACGAAATTGGTCTGTGAAGACCAACCAGCGCTCTCTCGTTCCGCCTTCGTCATTGATCTAGTTACTAGCTTCACTCTACGACAACATGATCGGGGACAAGACCGAAAAAGATGCATCATTCAAAACGGCAAACTCTTCTTTCACAGGAGGAGACCTTGTAACCGATAGCCCTCCTTCTTATTCCGAGGGAACCTCAACCAAAGGCGACGGCCTTATCCCCGCCGGGACTCTCCTCCTCGCCGGAACAACCATCTATACCACGGAATCAGCTTCATCACCACCATTGTACGAGCTCACCTATCCCATCGGACACCTACGGGAATCCAACACGTCAGTTTCGTTCTACCGCTATGAGATGAACGTCCGGGACTCTTCCTCCGGCACGTCCGGTCCGCAGGTATCATCTCGAAAGAAGCACATCTTCGACCTGAAGCGGGACCCAACAGTCACCGATCCACCGTTTCCCTACCATTTGCATTCGTTCTCGCGCGGGAATGTGGGCCACGTGGGCATAAAGACACATCGGCGACTGGGCTCGTCGGGATATCGCGCCTGGCGGGCGACAAGACCGAGAGAAGGGGCCGATCTCGAAGCCAAGGAGATGCTCTTCGTCATCAAGACACGGAGCAGTGGACGGCATGAATGGCGCGATGGGAATGACAAGACGGTCCTTGCGCATGAGACGAGCGAAGAGGGAATTCACAAGCTGCAGATTGTTGTGCCGCTGAGCCGGGATTTCAGAGATGGACTTGTCGCAACGTGGTGTTTGCGGCTTTGGTGGGAGGTGGCCGTGTCCAAGGCCGAGCCCCTGAGCTGGGGCGAAGGTAAGTCGTTTGATACTCACTCTTTGCACGGGCGCCATGTATGCTAATCTAGATTCCTCACTCATAGTCAAGCGCGTGCTGCAATATCATACTAAGGAATTCCCTATCGGCACGGGCTTCGGTATTGTTATTTGAATTACGTGTCTCAAGGGCCTGGGTAGACGGTATCGCGATGATGATGCTACTTTATGCCCATCCCGTTGATCGGAACCATCATCGCAAGCTTATTTCGTGCTCATCCCCCCCGTAAACGGTGACGGGAAAACGCAAGGCAACTGCGGCTAGACAAGTGTAGGGGGAGAATGGGTCCCTGAGGGTACTCTCATGGGGGATCGCTAGCAATTAGGACCGTGATCAATATGGTGCTTGCATGCATGCATGTTGTTGCAATCACAGGGTTCCTTCTGTAGTAGTTGATTGGATCAGCTGGCGGGTTTGCATTGCCCTTAATCAGGAGCATTGTCGACGTTATAACAACGATTCTAGTAACCGTACATTAGTTGCAGTTCCCAATGTAGCTCCGGTCCTGAAGTGCCTCTGCTGATCTTCACGGACCAAGTCGAGGGCCGTAGTCCGAGTTGTTCAAATGGAAATTCGTCTGAAATAATAAGAAGTCATTGGGGATGTTGAGTCTCGTTCTGATATTCATTGAATCAAAGTCTTGGCTAAGAAAAGAATGAGCTAAAAGCCACTGACAAGGGTTGAACATGTTCATCGTCCCTAGTTGTGATCTGTGAGGGTAATGTAAGAGTACCTCACGTCTAAAATGGAATGCAAACTCAAGCAAGTAAGTTTATTGGCTTTATGATGTGTCATGTCATAATTGAATTGCTGGTTTTCAAATATTTAAAACTGCCATCTCCGCGCTACGTACAGCAGGGCACGTGTCGCATACCGAGTTCATAGTTTGGGTGATCCCGTCAACTTGTGACTTCCGCTGGTCTCTCCGGATCCCCCACATTCCCGAAGGCTTCATTTAACTCTAACCCCGCCATCGCCATCCCCACACCTTGAAAGCCATCACACATCACCGCGACATATCCGCGAACTTTGATGTCCATTGAGCTACGTTCAGTGTGCAACATGGACGGCTGTCCCCATAATTTGAATCTGGCTTTCACAGACCTCGCGACGCCGTACTGGTGTATCTGCTAGCTCCTAACTACACCGAGCTGGAGGGACGCTGCTCGGCGACATCCGACCGTCTCATCCCTATCATCAATGTACTTCCTCAGTGCTTCCTATCGCAACATGTAGCGAGAGATAGGCTCGCGTGCCCTCTTGCCCTGAAAGGGTAGCTCATCCCCGGGGAACAAGCAGCCACAATATCGACGGCCTTCTTATCGCAGGGACTCTTGGCTGTCTTTTGCGATTCCGAGTTCAGGAAACCAATAACCCACGTTGAGCAGGCTCGGAGCTACCGGTAGCTGGCCCAGCCTCATTCGCCGCAATCGCAGCTGAACCGGTTCTGGGTATCTCGCCAGGCGGAGCGAAGGTCAGCGCAAAAGGATCGACCTTCCGTCTTCGGCCTAAACGTGGCCCCAACGTTATCAGAGAGACTTCCTAAACGCGGCGCGGGATTGGACAGTGACTGGATTAACGTTATTTGTTGCTCTCGGAACCCCACAGCCCAGGCCAGAGGGCCTTGTCCATCCCCAAGCCGGTGGGGGGTGAAGCGATGGGGAAGAAAAATCTCTGGGAATCTTTGCGTTCCTTTTGCAGATGACCAGCGACGCGACGAGACACATGCTGCTTGAAGCTTGGATGGAAGCAGAAGGATGGACGAACTCTCGGAATCAAGGGGGACAGGGCCAAGCCGGCCTGGCACAACATGACGGTGACTATCCGTATGCCACGGGTGGATTGCCACCCTGGACCGCGCGTCGTGTTACCGAGGGAGTGTCTCGCTCTGCAGGCTCTTTGGAGTGCATCGATTGGACTCCATGATGAGCGTCTGGTTGCTCCGCAGATGTTCATCAGGGTGTTGCCTTCACACCGAGCTGGCTGAGGCTCCTTACCATGCGGAACCCATGTAACTTGACCTAATGAGGGAACGGGTGCGGACCGACACTTGATGAACTCTGTCATCCATCCCATTTGCCAGGCTCGGCAGCATCCGTCCACAAGGTAGACGTGCCGTCCCTCGGTCACCCTTTGAGGACAGTCCAGCAAGCTGAAGAGAGACCGTGATGCTTCACTGACCGCACATTGGCCGCGAGTCGCATGGCATCGTCCGGAGGAACGACACCATCGACAGGAACCCCGGCTCAGGCCCCCCAGACCCGTCCGGCCAACGTCGCGTCTCCTGAAGAGGCAAAGAGACCGCTGATAAGCCAATCATCCAAACCACCACCACAACGTGTATCTCACCCCTCATCTGCCCGCGTCTCTTGGCAAATGCTACTTCATCACCAAAGAAGCTGTGCTTCCCTGCATCAACCACTCTGCCAATGCCTTGGCATGCGGCCAGAAGAACCTCCAACGGGGGGGCTCTCTGGGCTCTTGACTCTCGTCGTGTCTACCCAGCCACTCAGCTGTCAGAGAGATGCTCTCCGAGAGGCAGGCCCCGTCGAAGCTGTCGCGCTGCGTTGCCCGTGCCACCGTCGTCACAATCGCCTGTGGTTCCTTTTTGTCCACACTTCAATTGCTGCCCGCAAGCTCTGGGCAGAAGCAAAAATTTGCATATATTGGCGAGGGTAGCTGCAGAAACTCGAGATGATGCGTCTTGTGATCGCCAGCAGAAGAAAGCCCTTGATCCTGTCCCCTCCGAGTACTGTGCGTGGCGCATCCTCAACAGCGGCATCGTGAAGGCTTAATTGACTTCCCGCGCAACCTTGACATCAGACCCAGCTTCGCAATCCCATTCGTGGTTTTGACTTTTTCCATCTCAAGCTCTTCCTTTCGCTCCCGCCTCCCGAACGTCGCAATCTTCTCACTATGCGCCAGTCTCTCCCGACTCTGGCTCTGGCCTTGGCTGGCGCCGTGTTTGCGGTTCCTGAGAAGGAGGACGGCGACCACCTTTACTCGTCCCGCCTCTCCAAGCGTGGCATCGACGCCGATGGCAACTACAACATCTCCTTTTTCCACGTCAACGATGTGCACGCCCATCTCGACGAGTTCTCCTCCTCGGGCACCGACTGCACTCGTCCCGAGCGCGGCTGCTATGGCGGCTACGCCCGCATCAAGCACACTGTCGACGAGCTGCGACCCCAGTACAACGACTCTCTCTGGCTCAACGTCGGCGACGAGTTCCAGGGCACGCTCTTCTACTCCTTCTACAAGGGCGAGAAGATCGCCGAGACCATCAACCAGCTCGGCTTCGACGCCATGACCCTCGGCAACCACGAGTTCGATGGCGGCGACGACCAGCTCGGTGACTTCTTGTTGAACCTCACCTTCCCCATCATCTCGGCCAACATTGTCTCCGACAACGAGAAGCTCAACAAAACCATCAAGCCCTACCACATCTTTGAGGACCAGGGGCTCGCCGTCATCGGCGTCACCACCACCACCACCCCGGGCATCTCCTCCCCCGGCGACGGCACAAAGTTCCTCGACGTCGTGAGCACCGTCCAGTCCACCATCGACCACATCAAGTCCACCACCAACATCACCCGCATCGCTGCCATCACTCACATCGGCTATGAGGAGGACCAAAAGCTCGCCGAGCAGACCACCGGCCTCTACCTCATCATGGGTGGCCATTCACACACCCTCCTCGGCCCCATGAAGGACGCCGAGGGCCCCTATCCGACCGTAAAGCAGAACAAGGACGGTGACGACGTCTTTATCGTCACCGCCTACCGCTGGGGCGAGTACGTCGGCTACATCGATGTCACCTACGACGTCGAGGGCAAGATCCTCGCCTACCACGGCGGCCCCATCCACCTCACAAACACCACCGAGCAGGACCCCGCCCTCCAGGCCCAGATCGAGTCGTGGCGCGGCCCCTTTGAGGCCTTTGCCGCCGAGGTCGTCGGCGTCTCCAACGTTGAGCTCGACCAGACACTCTGCCAGAAGCAGGAGTGCATCCTCGGCAACGTCATGGCCGACGCAATGTACGAGTACCGCCTCAACTCCTCCGCCGGTAGCCCGCCCGACTTTGCCCTCATCAACGCCGGCGGCATTCGCGCCACCATTGACGAGGGTAACATCACCCGCGGCGAGGTCCTGACCTCGTTCCCCTTTGGCAACTCCATCGTCGAGATCACCTACAAGGGCTCCGACCTGCGCAAGATCCTCGAGGGCGCCGTGACAAAGGTCAACCAGTTTAACAAAGAGGTCATTACCTCCTTCTTCCAGGTCTCCAAGAACATCGTCATCGAGTACAACCCGTCCGGTAACAACGGCTCCAAGCTCATGTCCGTCGAGGTCGGCGGTGGGGCGCTCGACGACGCAAAGGACTACAAAGTCGTCACGCTCGACTTCTTGGCCGGCGGCGGCGACAATATCTTTGTCGCTACCTCTGACTTTGTGGCCCTGGATACCCAGGACGAGGTTCTTGTTCAGTACGTCGAGGCCAAGAGCCCCATTGACGCCAAGATTGAGGGCCGTATTGTCGCGACCAACGGTACCGCTTCCACCCCTTCAGGCACTGCCACCGGTACCGGCGCCGCTCCCACTTCTACTTCTGGCGAGAGCGGTGCTAGCATGATCTCGGTCAGCATGGGTGCCATGGGTCTTTGCATGTTGACCCTGCTGGCGATGTGAGGATGGAGTTGGGTAAATGTGTAATGTTGTAATGAAGCGGATGACGTAGATGTATGAGTAAAAATAATCAAAAGTACTCCGCCTACTGATATTTGAAATGGACTTTTAGTCCGAATTGATGATAGTTTGAATGATGCCAGGTACTCGTACGCTTTTCTTCTTCTCCGTCGCCCAGAATCTAGATGATAAAGGTGCTCAATTGGTAAAGTCATCATTTCCTTTTGCTGCTGTTCTTTGTTCCTGGATAGTGAACCTCTTAAAAACCTAATTGCAAGACTGGCTGGCATCTGCACCTTGACCTTGGTGTAGTGACCTTCTCGTGCGCAAATATCTCCCAGGGCGGAGGCTCTTCGTCATCGCTGCAAAAGCTACCCTTTCTCATCAGCGAATGGCATTTCTTGGAAAGAGTCACATTTCAAAGCTATCGACTCATGGGCGCTTTCCAAATGGACGATCGCCGCCATTATAAAGGGGGTACAACCCTACTATAGAAACTCCAAAGTAAAGAAATGTAGGGTGCAACAAGTTAGGTAATTGCCTTGACCAATAGGATCAGTTGCGTTGGAGGTGGATAACCTCAAGTTATTTTCGCGGATAGGTGATGCGACTATAGGGATCAAAGTCATCTTAGAAGAGGGATATCTGACGTAGCTAGGGGTCCTTTGGGGCTCTGCAGTGAAGATACTGAGCAAGGAGGAAAATTAGATGATGCCACGGGTTGAGTAGGGGCGATGTTTACCAAAGATGACCAAGTCCGCCCGAGACTGATAGCTATTTCTGTAGGACCGTCGGCATTCGAAATTCTGAGTATTCTTGAAATCTGAACCCCAGTTTGATTGATCCTCATAGCCAATAAACTCGAAGAATCACCATTATAAAATGTGTATTGTCTCTCTGTTTCATTCTTGTACTCGATTATGCTGGCACCTGCCCTCGCCTTGATCATCGCATCAGACAGCGGCAAAGGTCCCTCGTCTCCCATGAAGCAGATAATTAGATTGAAAATAGCCCTGAGCGCGGTCGAGGAATTTCTGGGCGAGTGAGGTGACGGTTGAAGTCTGCTTTTCGTTACTTCGAAGTACCGGAGAATATGGGTAGTTCTCTACATTCATTTTAGAAAAGGTAGGAAGTCCGCATTCAGGGGTATTCAAGATAGTAATTCAGGCGAAGTATTCAGGAAGGAGTTGGAAAATACCATGGCTTCCTTAAACAAGTGAGCATGTATCTCTAGTCTCGGTACGAGAGAGAGCTGCCTCAAGGACCAGGATGGAGATGGGATCAATGGTAGAGGCGCATGAGACGGTAGACGATTTGACAAGGAAAGAAGGGGCAAGCTCATTTCATAAAGTTTAATGTGTTGATAACATTACACTTGGATCTGCTCCTTGAGTGAAACTGCTTCAACCCAGCAAAAGCCATTTCGACGGACGCATCACTCAACACATATATACTCGCGACCTGGGGGCCTGCAGAGTTGGCGTTCATGAAGAACAGCGGTATAGTCTTCATGAGATAAGTGACTACAACTATGACCCAGTTTGATCCTGAATATAGCTGTGTACGTCTCGAATAACGACCGCGTCCTCCAAAAGGATCCTCCTGCCCGCTTGTCAGCACAAGTCGAGCGCAGCTCCTAATTTGGCTTCCGTTTATTCGTATCCAATAGCCCTCGGGGACTTTCCGGACAGTAATCCTCCTCGCGTCCCGGCATCGGCGGTTGTTTGGTCTCGTCCCCCTCGAACGCGTTCAACTTCCACGACACCAAATATTCCATCTCCGAAAACTGGCACCGGGGGAAATCCCGCCGATTCCACCTAGGAATCAAAGTAATCGACGTGGAAGACGTGGAGCCGCATCGGAAGAACCGCCCGAAACTGCAGCTGCTTGAGAGAGGCCATCTGGCCCGCAGCTTTCGCGAGGGACGCAAGCATCGCCACCATCTCGGTTTCGTTGACGGTCCGGGTGAACAGTTTGTCGCCGCGGCTGACGCTGCACTCCGCGTCCGGCTCGATTATCTTTATCTGCTCTTGCAGCTAGTCTCTGTCCATCAATAAATCTATCAACGCGCTCTGCTCCTTTTGCTCTTCAGTGTCCCCCGTGTGATGACCGACAGCGGTGACGTCGTGATGGGGCGCGTACCGGAAGCCGCGTGTAAGAAAGTGCTGCAGGTAACATTTCCCACTCGGCACGACGAGGTCGTAGTCGACTGTCAGCTTGGCCAAGAACTGCCAGGATGGAGCTGAATCGCCCAGGCTGGGAGCGAGCTAGAATAAGGAAGGGCTGAGGTCGCCTGCGTAGCCGAATCTCGAGAAGCCGTCGGTCGCTCAGCGCACAGGGTAGCGAAGAAAGAGTCGGTCTCGCCATATTCCGTCATCTGCAGTAGTACTTGGTTGCAACCGTATGTGTTGGGTTCGATGATGAGCCGGTCGTCCTTCATCGACACCGGGAAGGGGCACGAGGCCGGGATTTCGGTCAAGTACTGTCGTATCTCCCTTCGCGGTTTACGAAGTGATGCTCCCGAGATGGTACTTTGAAGGTCTCCAAGCTGGGGAATTTTGCTGTGAGTCCGAGGGTGCCCTCGAGATCAAGATTTTCTTCAGAGCTGTGGGATTTAAATTGCCGGACGCACGGCACGACCGATGAGAGTTGGGGATTCAGCACATAGAGATAGTACGTCTCCCGGATGATTTGTTAGCCGTTGGGTATGGTACATCGACGCCAACGAACAGTGACAGTTGGGCGCCATGTGGTCATTGAGACAGAGTGAACATTAGTAATTTCAGGCACTCCGTGTAGACGTTGCTGGTGTGTGCCAGGTTCCCAGACGTCACGTAGGGAATACAGCTGTCTCCATATTCGGAAAGCTGGGTTCTCAACGCGAAGGTGTGAAGCGAAGTCTGACGATTATGGTGACAATCCAAGATATCTCTAAACAATTCGAATTCGGTGCTATTGATGGCGATTGCGGGAGGTGTGCCGCTCAAAAGCTCGCTTGAATTTGCGGGATCCGCTCGCGAGAGCCGGTCAGAGAAGCGGCGTCTTTGCCATTTTCTGGTGTCAAACTATGGCGTCTAGGGAATCGAATTTGATCATCACATTGTCGCTGTCTCGTTGAGTAATGCGACCGATAATGTTATCAAGGATCTCTTGAGGCAGGGAGTCCATCTCGAGAGGACAGTCTATGTTATTTCTAGCGTGCCTAGATCCGAAGGTTATATCGTGAATCAGCTGGAGCCGTAATGACCTTTGCCTCTGACGCGTTACCCGGAGTATGTTGTTTTCTTGGACGCGTCGTCCTGTTAACTCAAGACCGTTGGTCATCGCCGACGGCATGAATGCAGGGGGTTGGCAACATTGATGTGTCGAACCCGCTGCAACATCGCGTTTTCGGTAGAATTTCTTTTTCCTAATGAGCGAGGCACGTCATCTGTAATTTCGGGATCTAGATTTCAACCTGTTTTTCTTTCCGTTGATGCCAATTTCTCAATCAACAAACTTCCTCACATCAAGATTATTGAATATATCCATCGTCATCTTCGAATCGGTGTGGTAATAGTATCCACTGACGTCGGTGCGATTTTTGCTTTCTCATACGCTCCGGAGCGTTGCGCAAATCGTGATCCGGACTGAATTCGTCTCTGCACTAAGTTGCCCGGGTTGTACTGTATAGATGTAAATGTCAACTTCTTTCTCATAACACCGTAGCCTGTTCCCTGGACGTCGAAAGTAAGAAACCTCTAACGATAAAAATCTCGAACGAAGGCATCAGACCTAGGCCGCAGATGAACCTTGTCGGTACCAGCGAATATGACCAATCAGAAGCCTTGTCAGCTGGGAGGTGATAGTCCCAAGACCGAAAACAGCCGCTAGCGATGGCGGCTGTCGTAGGATCAACGCCAAGTCGGGGGGCCTGCTGAGGAGTAGCGGCGATAGACGACACCTCGGAGATCGCTGCCGAGAGAGAGGGATGTCGTGTCTTTTACCAGCCGCATTCGCACCGAGGACCACGGCCACGGTCATGGCACACAGCTAGCCAAGGGCCAAACGAGTGACGGCGGGCGACGGGGGGCAAGATTACCGAATACCCGGCTGACCGAGCGGCTGACTTGGTCATGTCTTTATTTTCATCATGAATCCAAACCTAGCGGTTGAGACTTTGCTGTTGCGGGGTATGGGGCCGCGGCCGTCGTTGTGGGGAGTTGCGAATAGCTTCAACGAGCCAACGGCGACTACATCTGATTCGCACGCGTAGGTAGGCCTCTCGTTTTCTGGGGAATACGAGTAGCGGTGGGCCGGCTAGCAAAAGTTCGGCTAAAGAGTCAAAACGAAAAGGTCACATGCTACAAGGTGAGGCGAAAGTTCTCGTGGGTGGATATGCCCCGTTGTGATGAACGTTGAAAGAATCAAGGTTTGAATCCCCGCGGTACCCGTGGGGAACTGATAGTCGCCATTCTTTCAATTTGTCCATCAGATTCTGGAGTCTGGAGTTCAGCGGGTCTCTGGGGAGAAGGCGAACCCAAGCTTAAAGCAGTTGACTCGTCCGATGTCTCCATTGTTCTAATCATGACGTGCCAATGGACATAGCATGCCCGCAGGGGCGACTAGTTTCGTCTAAACCCTCGAGGATATCACTGGCTGGACCCCAGGCAAACGCAATGCAGCGTCTCCACCCGGCCCTTGGGATATGGGCCGACTAAGACGAACTTTTCGACAAAGCAAACCCAGCTTGGGAAATGAAACCAACCACGTCGACCATCGTCATAGGCTAAGTGGGAACCAAACAGGGTTGAGCGGGTGAGTACGGAGACGTGAGTGGAAGTTCCTGGGGAAGTCGGGTCCGCTGTGATGACTTCATTTCACCGGACTATTATTCGCATCTCTTGCTATACACGGCCAAGGCGAAGATACCGGATGGACGGATCAACATCATTATCAGGCCATGCGAATACAGAGAAGCACACGCTAGATGCTGAAGCAAGCGCACCAACGCGTAAATAGCATCAGCCCTTCCACTAGTGCCCGAAGCCACCCGAGGCCATCGACCAGTTGCAATTTGCAAGATGCTGCCTCAAGTGCCTCAAGTGCCTCAAGCAAGTGGGTGTGCCGGGATATCACAGCTAGTCAAGGTTTGGCTTAGTCTTACACCAGACAAACTGGGTCTCTCCAACTTCTCCAAACTTCTCCTCTCAATCCATCGTCCTCCACTTCATCCACCTCCTCCAGTCCCGCCATCCCCATCCTGTCCAACAACTCCGTCCCTCGGTTGGCCTTTGGAGAACTAGACTCGACGTTCCCCGCTCCCCGCACAATCTCCCCGCACCAAGAGAATTCTCCCACCTATCATCTTCGAGGTCATCCCCAGACACCCCGGACGCCTTCAGGGACAAGGTACGGAGGCGAGGCTTACTCCAAAAGCTCCATAGAGCACCGCGCTACCCGTTTTCTTACGCGCACCAATGGTAACGTGGCATCATGCAATCTGGCAGGTTGAAGCAAGCCTTCGCAGGCCGCTCCCGTCCTCGGCGCTGGGGCTTGGGGCAGGGTGGGTGGTATAAGACCGGATGCTCCCGATTCCCCTTCCTAGGAGATCTTGGCCAGGGCGACTCCAAATTTTTCTTGGCTCTTGTGCTTGTTGTCTCTTGGCCGTTGCTTGTTCTCTCTTGGCTTTACTTGTTGCCTCTTAGCGAGGAAAAATTCCGAATTTGCAGCCCTCGACCACCTTCAGACCTCCCCCCAAACTCGACCCAATATGTCGGCAGGTCTTGCCCACGATGGGCACGATGCCTCCAGCAGGGACGAGAACGCCTATGTCGACGAAAAAGTCGGTGACGCCACCCACATTGATGCAGCAAATAACAAGGTTCTGGCCGACTCGGATCTCATGAACGATGCCTTTGACGGCGAGAACGAGGAGCACAACCAGGGTCTGTGGCAGGCTGTCAAGACGCATCCCAAGGCTTGTTTCTGGGCCTTTATCATGTGCTTCACCATTGTATGTTCTCTCCTTTTGTTTCTGTTTGGTTTCCGCCGCTGCGTGTGTTGGCGGCTCTTCGGGCCGTCATCCCGTCTGCAAGCCCGAATCAGTTGCTAATTGGTTACTCGTCCACCAGGTCATGGAATCTTTCGACATGTTCCTGAACGGCAATTTTGTTGCCCAAAAAGCCTTCCAGGATAGATACGGAGTAGAGGTTGCTGGCGGCGGCAAGGCCATCGAGACGAAATGGCAGAGCGCCCTCTTCCAGGCCGGCCAGTGTGGTGCCTTTGTGGGCGTCTTCCTCGCCGGCCCCGTCGTCAACCGCCTCGGATACCGCCTGGCTACCATGGTGGCGTTGGTCATGATGAACGCCACCATCTTCATCTCCTTCTTTGTAAGCATTCGCCATATATGGACCACACCCAACATCAAACTCATGATGTGTGCTGACCCCCAAATCAGGCCAACTCCCTCGAAGTCCTCACCATCGGTCAAGCATTTGAGGGTGTGCCATGGGGTTTCTTCATCGCCATTGGCCCGGCTTACGCCTCTGAGATTGTACCTCTTGCTCTCCGTGGTGCCTGCACGGCTACCCTGCAGATGAGTTGGTCCATCGGTTCCATCATCGTCGCCGGCGCAACTCTGGGCTTCAACAGCCGAACAGATGAGTGGGCGTGGCGTGCGCCTCTCGCTCTGCAATGGATCTTCCCCGTGAGTCTACTACCTCCCTTCGTACTCCAAGCAGCCACAAGGCTAACGCATCGTCTTAGCTCCCCCTCATGGTTATCCTCTGGTTCGCCCCCGAGTCTCCCTGGTGGCTCATCCGCCGTGGCCGCAAGGAGGAGGCCCTGCGCTCCATCCAGCGCCTCGGCCCCTCCAACGGCACTGCCGGCCAGGCCCAGCGCAAGCTTGCCATGATTGAGCGTACCGTCGAGATTGAGGCCAACATCGGCGGCACCCCTACCCTCCTGGACCTCTTCAAGGGGGTTGACCTCAGACGAACCACCATCACCTGCTTGATGTACGCGTCACAGAACTTTGCTGGTAACTTGATTGCCAACCAGGCTACCTTCTTCTTTGAGCGTAAGTAGCCCACCCATATCCGATCTACTACTCAAAGACAGATGGCTGACCCCTCCACAGAAGCCGGCATAGCCCATGACATGGCCTTCAACCTCAACCTCATCAACTCCTGCCTCCAATTCGTCGCAAACGCCCTCTCCTGGCCCCTGACCGCCTGGTTCGGCCGCCGCACAATCTACCTCTGTGGCACAGCTGTCAACGTGACCCTCCTCATGATCCTCGGCATCTGCGCCTCGATCCCCCAAAACAACGGCACAAACTACGCCCAAGCCGTTCTCGGTATCCTCATCTCCTTCGTATTTGCCGGTACCCTCGGTCCCATCTCTTACACCATCATCGCCGAGACCTCGGCTGTCCGCCTCCGCGCCCTCAGCACCGCCGTCGGCCGCGCCGCCTACTACGTCGCCGAGATCCCCATGATCTACCTCTCCTCTCAGCTGCTCAACCCCACGGGCTGGAACGTTGCCGGAAAGTGCGGCTTCGTCTGGGGCGGTACGGCTGTTGTGTGCTGGGTTATGGCCTTCTTCTTCCTGCCTGAGCTTAAGCACCGCTCGTACCGTGAGGCTGATATCCTCTTCAACCGCAGGATTCCTGCACGCGAGTTTAAGTCCACTGTCATCAACGTTACGGATAACGAGTAAGGTAACTCCTGGATTAGATGGAAGACATAGAATGTACACTTTGGACCCCTGTTATATGATGAAACATAGAGTTCAATTGTTGGTCAACAGAAGCGGCCATTTTCTCGGAGGGTTCTGGCCAGCTCCTGGGTCCAACCGTACTTCAGCATGATAGCATGATAGAGGCACTTCACGTATAGATAGCGTTTAATGATACGCAACGATTAATGTTCAATCCTTAATCCTGAATGTGAATCCCATACGAGACTGCATGAAATTGTATCAATTTTAGCAAAAGACGATTCTTTAATGGCGCTATTCCATTGAAGTAGCTGTGGATTGGCCTATGTCGCAAACAAACGCCAGTAGCTCCCCTCAGCTCATTCAAATCCCAGCCTCCCACTCCAGTAGCTGGCGCAAAACAATCCCTTCGGTCTATGCCGGCAACCCCTGCACGTTAAACCAAGCACTCAAAAGAGGCAACTCATTGGCTCTCGTCGAGATGGGGCCGAAAGATTTGGGGAGGCCGTCCCAATTTGCTGAGTTATGGATGCTGAGCAGGATATTTGCATCGTTCGGCCAGGAAGAGAGGATTTTGTGAATCGACAGCATCGCTCCCACCGCTTTCTGGCCTGTGATCTCTTGCCTCTCTTTGGACAGGACGTATAGAGGATTTTGTAGTCATTGGCGAGGTGCCTCATAATTCTCGATAGAAAGGACAACTGACTAAACCAGCTCTTGATGGTAGCCGCTAGAGGTCATTATACAATATTCAAACGTTTTGATGTTCGATAAAAGACTTTGAGTAAGGAACGTCCAGACAGCAAGTACAGCGATTGGTTGACCCTTTCTTTGAGATGTCCATCTACCTGCCATTTCGAGGCTGATACTTGTATTACCTAAGCTGGTTTGCCTTGCTTGGGTAAGATGTTTTGTTGGAGGACGGCATTGCGAGTCTTCAAGAACACCACCACGGAGATGAAATCAAAAATTGCAAGCCGTTCATATTCACAGAGAAATTTAGTCCGATCTTCTGACCTTTTAATTTCATTACATCTGTATTTCCTTTTGTCAATTTAATTACCCTGCCATGCGAATGGATTCAAGTCACCTACATTGCTGGGCGACGCCCTTGCCGCTCAGGCTGGAAATGTGAACTGACGCTGGTGTTTTCATCGCCGAAAGACTGAAAACCGATCAATCTGATAAAAAGACGATGCGTGGAGATCGAGGAGAAAATTTCGGATTCGTGAGTTTCAGAATCGACCTCGTCATTAGGCTAAAAGTTGATGAACGTATGATGGTCATCCATGATATCTGCTATCCATAACTGCCATGAGTGAGCCGGTACCCATCAGAGATCACAACATCGAAGCACACATCATGATATAGGGAAGGCATAGAAAAATGGAAGGTGCAGAATTCCACTTCTACATCCCCGGAAACAGCGTGAGCCCATCGTGACTGACGCAAAACACGGCAACCATCCTCGAGTCACTGGGTGGCCACTTCCTATCGTTATCAAACGCCATCCAGCAACAGCTTCCTTGCGCAACTGCATTCCATTACGCAGGCACTGTTTCCATGTTCATTGAATACTAAGTAAGGTAATTTAACTTGTACCAGAACGATTCTCTCCGTCTCTCCCACGTCCCTTCGTCTGCATCCCAACATATTGTCATCCCCGCCGAATTGGCTGAACCATCCAAACCACCCGAGCCGCTTGGAATGCCACAGCTCCTGTAGCGTCGAACATGAAAGCACTCCCGCAAGAACTGATTTACGAAATCGTCGACCATCTTTATCGAGTCATCGTCGCCACTGAGGAGCGGGACCCAGGCTGTCTGGCCAAGTATGCTCCCGTCTCGCGCGGATTCCAGGACGCCATCGAGAGACACACCTTCAAAAGCATTGAGCTCAAGAGCGATGAGCTCGACATCTTTCGGCAATATTTCTCGAACTCGCGCCGCCAGGCCCTGCTGAACTCCATCAACTATATGGTCCGCTTACCCGGTTACGAGGACTCTCGGCGCTTGTGCTATGAGAACCACATGGACCGTCAGAACAACGACCAGGCGGCGACAGGAGCGATGGATTCGCTTTTGATGCTACTCTCACAGTGACGACAGGATAAAACTCTCAAACTGACCGTCGCTATGAAATCTGACTCTGAGCTGTTCTGGTAGACTTCGGACGAACAAATCATTGGCGAATGTCGATACCGTTACTCGTTCATTCGCATTCGGAATATCAGATGCATGCCTTTAGTGCCCTGCGTCCGAGAGTTCCGGTATCCCCTCCACAATCTCAGTCATTTCGGCCGTCAAATCCACCCCCTCAGCTACTTTGAACTTCTCGGCCGATTTCCCGAAATCCAAAGCCATGAATTCAACTTCTAGGAATGCCACACGTTCGTGGAATTCAGTCTTGGGATACGAGGCCAAGTTTCATATTGTCTTCAGGAGCTCTCTTTTCCTACTTCGCTCCGCAAGGGCAGATTTTTCTGGCACATACAAGACGAGGCTTTGTATCCTCGGAAGCTATCACCCTCATTCTCTTCTCATGCTGGGCGCAGACTTGTATCCAGTCTCCATCATACGACCAACCACTTTAGGGAGCTTATTTACGTTGGACCATTGGATCCATCTTTGTTCTGGCCTTACTGGTCATCCGAAGCTCCACGGCCCTTCTGGCAGTCCATGAAAAAGCTTCAGGTTGAGTTCAATTTGAAAAGCCCTGCGGGGGACTCATACATCCAAAGTTCCCTTTATGATGAATTTGAACAATATTTGGCTCTGATGGCTCCTCCCGGGGTGGATCATTTGAGGCCACCTGGGTACGGAGGAAACCAAAAAGCAGCGTTGGAGGCCCTGGACTTGACCTTTCTCAAATGGTACGAGGCACATCCAGCGCTCTACCAGGCCATGATTGCCAACGATCCAGGCCACCCCAGTCACTTTTGGATGAGAGGCGTCAATACAGGCACATGGAAGATCAACAACGAAACATTCGTGCCTCTCCTTCAAGCAATCGCAAAGGCCGTCTCTCAAATGCCATCACTGGAACATTTTCATATCCAAGCCCGTCTTCCCCCTCCCAGCACCCAGGCTGGGTCAGCCACACAATGGTTCATCACGTACATAGCACCAAGGGTTGTGGTCTCTGGCTCCATCCCGTCTCGGAACATCCCGCAAGTTGTTTTGGGCACGAGAGAGTGGGAGCCGCCTGTACAGGTGCTTGAAATGTTTCGTGGGATGGTGAGGAATATATATGGCACGAATGCACTTCTAATTGGGGTTTGATAACCGTCACGTATTCTACATAATCAGCGGTGTCGACGGTGTTGGCCCAGGGAGTGCAATGCTTGTCGCTTGATGGGCAGCAATTGTCGCTCCACGCGAGCCCGGGGCTGCTTGGCGTAGCGGTCAGAGATTGGGGACTCCAGCCAGCGGAGCGTCGGTTCTCGGCGCTGGTATCGTTATTATTTGTCCAAAAAGCGTCACTTGAATTAGGTCCTATCAGTGGAAGGGAAGCAAGCGATTATACGAGACTTCAGTTCTAACAGACGCGATAGAATTCAGAAATACCCGCAGCATACTGCACTATTATTGAGAGACCAAAGTTGTGTTTTCTCTCAGCGAATAATCAAGTTCACTCTGCATGTCGGAATTCTTGTATTGTTCCAAAACGGCTACCTCATTTCCTGCGGCAGTTGTCCGATCCAAAGTACGAGTTGAAGCAACGTAATCAACAACGACATCGACATAGGTACGGTCGTAGGAAAGGTTGTCTGGCCTTCTCTTCCCAACCAAATCAGACTTCATGAAACTTGACCGTCGTCAGGTTTCAAAATTCAGAAGTGCTCGGCAACGCTGGGTGCAATAAGGGGCGTGGACAGCTGAAAAGCATTTCTCTTCAGCCAGGATTATCACAGCAAAATGAGTCAGATGTATCCCTATTAACGCGTTACCAAGGCTGACATTTCATCTTCCCCAGCTCCCAGAATATAAATCCCTCAACTGGCATGCCTGCATCGAGTTGTTACTTCGATCCGGTACATCCGGTGGGCGCGCACCCATTGCATATCCTTGTCAAGTAACATCACGCGCCAATTAAAGGTCTCTGACTAGTAATGGTTGTGTCTGGACGTTTCTGTCGTCTTGGCGATGTCAAGCGTGATCGAGTGTTGCCCAGATTCTCTCGTACCGTTTGCAGCTTGATGATTTTGATACTGTGACGATCTGAGGCGCCTGGCGAAGGTCGCGGCTGTTGCTGGGCGCCATGAAACATTAAGAACGACAGTTTTACAAGTCTCCAGGTTTCCGATTGGAAGAGATTGACGGATATAGCAAAGGGATCTAGCTATGGGGACCGTCGCCTGAGCTTCACTGTTGTCCAAGCTGACATAGCCCTGCCCGGATTGTTATCCTGGTCTTGTTTTCAAACACGCGTGCTCGAAGAAACCTACGTACTCTTTCATAAACATTGAGCAGGTTCATTGGGGATTCATTGTGAAGGCTTTGTAATGCTAAGGAAGGAAGTCGAATCGCAAAGGCCTGTTCTGCAAGACATCATAAATTATTTCAAAGAGACTAAAGATGACACTTCGATAAGTTGATTGTACAAAGGTTACAGTAGCTCTGTATATTTCATTTACAAGTAGGATCTCCTTAGGTCGACAACGCGTTGCATAAGAAGAGGCTTCACACAAATTGCTGAGTGTATAGTAGCACTTCCAGTCCACTTTTGGGACAGTCTCCTGGTGGCAAGAGGGCAACGCAATACAACTGCTCAGCATACTGGTCTACCATCATGTATTTGATCCTTCTTCTACAGTCCCGCCGGAACCTGTATTTCATAGACCCTGCTATCTCCACTGTCAGTACCTCAACTAGTCTAGCATGTTTCAAAATCCGTCAGCGCAGCGGAAAGCGTGAGTGGAGACTTGACCAGACTACTCACCTGACTAGAGCACGATTCAGCCGTCGTCGTGATCTTATGGGCTAGCCAAATACGACAAATGGAGGCCAGTGATTGCATGAATTTTATCAATGCCTGCGTCGGCGATGAATAGGCATCCGTAGGGCTCCACAGCTTTGGCAGAGAACGAACGCGAAAGATTGAGTTCGCAAAGGTCTGAACCAGACGATGAAGCAGCTTCTACATTCCAAAAAAAATTGCCTTTCTTCACTGCCACAAACCATAACCAAAGAAATTTGTTCATGATTCCCCATCTGGAAGTCTTTGGCGCTGATGTCGCCCGCGGACAAGTCACGACTGCAATTTCGTATCGGGCTATATCTTGAGTGTGCAGGCAACTGACACACAATGCAACGCTCGGCCATGTAGCACGCGATCTTGTCAGCCTCACAAATTCTGGAGAGAGGCGTCTGGACAAAGTATACTTTTGATTACTCCGGCTGACTCCGAGTAAGTGCGTCTGGGGAGAACGAGACCACAATAAAAGTGTGGTATAGTCAAAGCGAATCATCGAAACTCTCTATATTCCTCGATCCAGAGTCATTGGAAACTATTTTCGGAAGACAAATGACTTGGTAAGACGGCTGCCGTCGTCCACAAGATACTATGAAGAGTGTGGAAATTCGCCCGTCCGTTGCCTTCGGACGAGGTCTGCGTATTCTGAACAACATGAAGTCAGTTTGAGGCCACGGACGGACGACATATTTCAGCCCAGATTCCCACTTTTTTGAGACTGAGACGCAGTGAAAAGTAAAGAGGCATTGCCCAATCCATGAAAATGCGAGAAATCTGCCTCTTGTCATCTACCTGCAACGAGCGTAGGCAACCCCAAAAGAGTCGAGTCTGCTTCTTCGCCGAATCGGCTCCGAGGCAATCCTCTTTCTTTTCCGGACAGCACGGTCAGTGTAGTCGAGAAAAAGGTCAGAGGACTGTGTTACCGAAACCCACATCAGGATGGCAGCTGCGGACAGCATTCCATATGTGTGTGGGTGTGTGTTCCCAGGATGGGAATGTTGAATTGGGGAATGGCAATGTTTGAAAATGCGACGTTGGATCTCGGACGGCACTCCTTACACGTTTCCCGTAACAACTCAAAATGGCCTCATTGCGCTCGTCCAAAAGCTCGATGACAAGTCATTGATCAGATCTACGGTCCAGAAAGAACAGATTTAAGGCTGACGAGAGTCATGAGAAAAGGAAAGACGGACAGGAATCTCTCCCATTCGTGCGGCAGTACTTAGTGTCATCGGATGGCTCGGGAGAGATTCCGCGTGCGTTGGGTTATGCTTGTCGTCGTCGGCCTTCCCTGTGGATGACCTGAGTAACGGTGAGAACTCTGGGGCGAACGGGAGTAAAAACGGAGAGTGCTCGTTGGGTTTATAACGGCGTGAATCCTTTAACAAAACCATTATCCGAATGCGAGACGCAGGCTCTTCACATCACAGCAAGCATGCAATAATAGTAGAGTTTGCATCTTGCATTCAGGATGCCGTTTAAAGTTTGGAAAATAGCTGAGATGCGGAAACCGGCCGAAAGATAAGCTAGAACTTTCGGTCGGCAGCTAGCATTTGACTTGCTGTAGACTATTTCTGCGATTTATTGAAGAATGCAGTATCTTGGTCACAGAGTTGGAAGGATTTCACCCATGGTCGGAAACCGGAAGCTATCCGACTCTTCAAGTGACCACGTGGGCGCGGAATACTGACACCATGATTACTGTTGAGTTTGACTTATTATGGTCAACAGGCACGATATCGAGTTTCACAAGAGATCCGTGGTTGTCACATGGCTTATTAAACGGCAAATTCAGCCCCCACCGTCCTTCTCCACCTTGAAGTGGACATATCGTCAATGGCAATAAGTGGATTTCCCCGGATCGTCTTGGCGGTGATTGAAATGCCCGAATGTCTATCCGTACTCCGTAGGTTCTAGTCCAAAACTCCTCTTCGGGTAGGAGTATGGATTCCGGGGAGATAACGTCCACCAAACCTCGGCGAGACGGGGAATAGTATTGACGTTTGCCTCGGCTCGGTCCCCAGATGTACTTCCATTACCCACCGCAAGGTGGCAGTATTAGTGTCTTGTCGATTGGTCATCCCGCTTGATCTCAACCAGGGTTCACCTTGGCAGAGTCTATCAATTCACGGCGTCTCAGCAGAAGGCGTAATTGAGGCCGGAAATAACTGCGACTTTGGAGAGACGCACGTCCACCCCGCGGCTCAGCTCGTGGCATCACGTCGTGCTCGGACAATGGTAGGTTGAAATTGTTTTGTCAAAGAGCCAATCACAATTCTCTGGGTTAACAGCCCCTGAACCACCTTCATGGTTGTGCTACAGAGACCACTCAGACAGGGAAAGACGGAGGGCTTGAGTCATCCCGGTCCGCGGGACGCCGAGCCCATGAGAGTCCGTCCCGCTAGGACATACTTTTGTCCTGGAACGATTTGGAACGGGGATGGAACATGCACCCTTTTTTGCCCATTCCCAGAGCGAATACCAGAGCTCTATTGTCTACAAACACATGGCGAACCTTAATGGCGAAATCTTAACAGACATCAGCTATTTACCATAGCGTGCGTGCGCGTGGTGATTGAACTCTTCTCGGGAAACGGATTGTTTCCCGGGTGAAATCCGGCTTGGAAAGAAACCTTCACTCCCCAACCCTCCATCGCAAACGGGCTGAGTCGCTTTTATGACTCGGATTATTTTCTTCACCTAGCGGGGATGATGGTTCTTGGCGTTGGGAAAGCATTATCAGATAGCCTTTTTGGGTTTGCCGCTTGAACAGGCTGATGTTGAGGCTAGGGTCTGGTATGTTCTCTTTTAAGCTACAGACGGTCCCTGGTCTGGACTCACTGGAGCTTAAACCCCCAACATTGAATACCTGAGGCTCTGCATGTTGGTATAACACGGCTAGATCCCCCGGCCAAGAAATCTGGATGATATCTCCACGCAGCCGCGAAACTTCGCCGATCTATTCAACATTGCGGATATGGATGGCCCGTCAGATTATGTAGTCGACCATTTCGATTCGGATAGCTCGCCTTACTCGGTTCGCCCATTGCCACCGGTTCTCCGCCATGGCCTCGCCGCGGTGGCGGCCATGGGGTTTCTCTCCTTCTTCACTAGCCTCGGTTTGTTAGCGTTTCTCACTTACAAACTGATCCAATGGCAAAACGGCTCACCAACCACGAAGAAGGAGGATCTCATTACCAAGGTGGAGTCGCCGAAACCGACAGACGCTGTGTTCATCATTCCAAGCAACTGGGCTGCAGCTACTGAAGAAGAAAACTCGAAGAAGGAGAAGGAAAGTTGGTTGCAAAGGGCCATCAACGAGCCGCCGAATCAGTTTCTCGTCTTAATCTTCAACCTGCTTCTCGCCGACATCCAGCAGGCGCTAGCCTTCCTACTGAACGTAGAGTGGCTGACGAGAAACGCCATTGAAGTCGGCACGGGCACCTGTTGGACCCAAGGATGGTTTGTCTCGACCGGCGACCTGGCGTCCTCCGTGTTCATCACTGCCATCGCGATCCACACATATATGTCGATTGTCTCGACGAAAAAGATCCCGACGTGGGCCTTTCATGCAGCAATTGTTATGATGTGGGGTTTCGTCTACGGGACAGGGGTCCTCGGCATAATCATCACAGAGAACGGGAAGAGTGAGGGCGGTCTCTATGTGAGAGCCGGCGCTTGGGTGAGTCAGGTGTGCTCCGCGGCTACTGAAGAAACAACATTAACACACACCGTAGTGTTGGATCAACTCCAAGTATCAAGACGTTCGCTTAACACTGCATTACCTTTGGATCTTCCTCTCCCTAATCCTTACGCCTATAATCTACTTAATAATATTCTTTCACTTACAAAAGTTGGCTCGGCAAAACGGCGGCGTTATATCGTGCTGTTCCCACTCATCAGGGGCGGCGCCAAGCGCATCGAGTTGCAGCTCCTCTAGTTCAGGCACAACATCAAGCTGTAATAACCACAGTACGGTATCGCGAGCGATTTGGCGTCCACTGAGTGTGACGAAGATTCTCAGACGGTTACCCGGCATCCCAGATTACGCACGACAGCACACCTTTCTCTTGTACCCTCTGGTCTATGTCATCTGCACCATCCCTTTGGCTGCTGGCCGATTCGCCTCTATGCTTGGCCACGATATCTCTCTAGGATACTTCTGCTTTGCGGGAGCCATGATCGCTTGCAACGGTTGGATGGACGTTGTTCTTTACTCATCGACACGACGATCCATCGTCTTCTCATACGAAGGACCGCCATCGCAAGAAGTTGGCCTGGAGACTTTCTCATTCATGTGCGGCACACCTCCAAAGTTTGGCAACACAACCATTGTCATGGGAGGTTCTCCTCCGGAGCAAAAGCGGGCAAAGAGATACAACGAGTGGTACGAGAAGGTTGCCCGCAAGGGCCCAAAGTCTGGCGGTTTGAAAGCGCTCAAAGTTGAAGGCGCCGAAGGTATAGACAGCATGAAAGGATTCGTCATGGGAGAGGGATCTATCACGGGCATGGGGATTCAATGCAAGACCACCACGACAGTCTCCGTCGAGGTCAACACCTTGGCATCACCTACGCGGCCGAAACTTGCGGCTGTAGGCAGGAAGTTGAGCGATGCCAGCAGCTTTAGTGTTGGCTCATCGATAAGTGTAGAAACTACCAAGGAATGAGCCACCAGGCTCGTTGGAGTTCAGCTACAGGCATCATTCAGGAGATGATAACGCTTATTATACGACTACACGAAGTACAGGCGTACAAACCTTCGCCAGTTTGGCAACAACAGCTCAATGGGCTATGATATACCCAGATATGACATTGTATTATACAGTAACTTATATTATGTTCTTTTCAACCGCAGCTCAAAAGTGTTTACTGTCCCCACTGGTCACTCTTTCGCAGTCGGAAATTTTCAGATTCATTAGGTTGCGTACGCTGCAACCATCTTAGTTGAGACCGCGGACTTAAGCGATCGACCCGGAGACTGGGGAGGGGCGTCCTCATTGGGATCAAGGACGAAACACTGGCTGTAATCGCCGACCTCTATATCGCCGAGTAGGCCACAAGGGGGAATCCCTACGAAGTCAACCTAACTCCGGATGAGTTACGATGACGGGACCAACCTTACCCACGCAATTCCCCATGCTAGATCACTCCATTTGTAGTCTGATTTCGTTACCCCATGGATCCACCTTTCTCCAACGGCTCAGGGTTCCTAGCAAAAGCTTCCCAACTCAAATGAGTGTCAAGGACAAGGTTCATAATTTGCGCGCTGACAGCTGAGATATGAAACTCATGGTGTTTGGTCAACATTGGAATGTCCTCCCGTAGAATCTGAACGCAGGAAATTGAACAATAGAGTTTTGGACGCGGTTTCGAGACAACTGGTGGTAGTCTGGCTCCGGTCTCGTTCTCGTTGACGCAAAAGAACGGGCACAAGTACGCACAAATGCACTAACAAAGCCCGCAAACTCCCAAATGGACCAGGTAATGCTTTCAAATCTTTGCGTCCATAAGAATCACTCATGTAGAGACCAAGAAACGCAAGTCAGCCTCAGGTTGTAGTAATACCTGGTGTAAGATGAGGAAACTTTTTACTTCCAGGTCACTCTAATATCTCCATGTCTTTTCTGATAAGATATTTCTGATCCGTGACAGCTCAACATGATTTGAGTAACATCAGCTTGCAGTAGATTTGAATTAAGGCAACCGAAACACATCGTAGAGTAAATCTGGGTAGCTGAGATCTGTATAGGTGCCGCCCGCTATCATTGGTCTTGGTGGCGCCTGAATGCGATTGGATTCTGAAAGAACGCGCAGGCCGCACCTGAACCACCCCACTGAGACCGAACTCTGAGTGGTGAAAATTGCGTTGGACCAAAGTCTTTACGCCGTTCGAGGCTTGGTATGAGCCAGTCGCGCTCCCTAAAACCTGTCCTTGCGACACGCACGCGTACGGTAAGTTGTAGGCATCGATAGAAGCTCTAAAGCTGTATGTGTTCTACCACAAAGGCTTGGGATGGAAACTTTCGCCAGGAGCGAATGAACATGCCATTTTGGCGAATAATTAGCTCCACCTCCAGGCTTACAGAGCACTCCTAGTGGAGTATAGTGAGTAGTGAGTTTGAAGTTCAAGACCTCCTCAAATTGCTTTTCGTTAATATTCGCGGTTCCGAAGTTTTGAAATTTGATTATCTTTGGTTTGTAGTCTAGTAGCGACTCTGCTACTACTCTACAGGGCGATTTGCTCCAAGCTAGGATTCCTTTGTTCTAAATGGTGTCAGCAAACACGTAATCTCTCGCAGCATTATAGAGCTTACCTCGGAGAAGAACAAGCACTGCACAATGAACTAGACAACAATCTAGCAACATAGAAAAAGCAGAATTTACAGGGCACTATCGCAATCCCGAGAGCATTAAGGTAAGTATTAAACGCTCCAGACGTGGCTTTTGGTGACTGCAAAGACGACCCTTATGTCGGCCATGCTTCTGAATATTAAGTGGCCGGCGGCCGACATGCGCCGGGGGGTTAGCAAGGGCAAAAGAACGGGCATTCTCGGAGAGACAGACATTGCCAGATAATGGTGGAGGATACCAAACCGTTGCCGGACCATTTATTGCATCATTACCCGCCCCAAATGATCATGTATCATCGCCAACGGTTGCCCAGCGGTTGCGAAGAGAGCCTTGGGGTGGAAGGGGATCCTGTTCTGCGTATTGTCCGCTTCAATGGTCTCATGGATTTCAGAGTATTTGCATCACCGGCGCCATGGTATCTTGTGAGGTTACCAACTGTAGTCTGCTCTTTGCCCTCGCTGTAATGCCATCGATGCGAACTAGAAGTTCGCGGCTCAGCCGATCGTGTCGAGTCAAGTAAGGATTGCTTGGCAAACTGACCCCGGCGGCAAGGAGAGTCCGCATAGCACCATCGCCGATGGAAACGCCTGAATCAGTGTCGGTGTTTGCCAAGCCCTACGAGGTGTAGAGGCACGGTCAATCGTTCCACGTAATTGTTTCTCGGACTTCGCTTGAAAACTTCCCCGCTGAGTAAGAACATGCCATGAATCCGAAATACGGGAACTTCCATGGGCCGCCCGGGGGGCCCAATATGACTCCGACGCTATACGCCGTGCTTCTCAAGGCTATTGCCGTGACTCTGTGCGCTGATTACGCCAGCTCCGTCGTCAGGACAGTCGATACGTAAGAGCACATGACTCTACCCATGTCAAGAAGGATGCGACCAGCGATGAAGACTCCGAGGTTCTCGATCGCCGCGTCAATTGCTGCGCCTACGACGCAAAGGAACGAACTCGTCGCGACGGCAATGCGATGGCCAAGACGATCCGAGACGAGGGGGATCTCGCTTATGTGTGGCTAAAATCTGCTCCGATACCAACAAGTGGAAAGGTGGTGGGGAGACTTGTTCACGACCGATCATTTTGCCATTTGCTCATCTGCTGGAAGAAGTTGATCAGGGATCCATCGAAACAGCGTGTCAAATCAACAAAGAGAAGAAGTAAAAGTTTCAAGTTCGAAGGGACGAAGCCCGAGATCTTTGAGCCATTATGTTGTCTCGGCGTTTAGTGGTGTCGTTGATTCGAGAGCCAGCGATTGTCGCTGTTCTCCAACCTGTCACCGCATGGCTGCGATTCTTCAATAGTTTCGCAGATGAATTCTCACATGCAGTATCAACCTCAGAGGGCAAATAATCAAAATTCTGGAGTCCACCGGACACAGCCTTCGGTCAACTGCTGCCAACTTACAGGCTTGACTGCCAATCATTACTCCCGATAATTGTTGCATTCCTTCGTTCGCGGAAATCGATTAGTTGGCAGCATCAACATCGAGTTCCCCAACGCGGGGAAACATGGCTGAATAGCCTCCTTTCTGTGGGATTTAGTCAATAAAGTGCGGGGCGTTGTATCGGTGCATCGGTAGTCGGGAGAAGATCCGGGGTTCACAGTCGTATCGGCACATCGGGCGAATCGTCGCGCGGGGAACCATCCATCATCCTCCGCTCCCGCTCGGCTGTCTTTTCCCCGAACCTAACTCGATGGTTCGTAGTACGTCAGCGTGATAGATAATGAAGCGATGGAGGGGCTCTTTACGCAAGACTTGAACCTCTGGCATTGCATATCCTGAACGACATTCAAGACTTTGCAGAAACCAGGCACTCAACAGCGACATGGGTTCTCTGTTGAAGTTTCTCGCCAAGTCTGAGTTGGCGTTGGATGCGCGCCGAGAGCATCGGATCAACGCCAATTCTTTCCAGCAAGACGCCATAACGAATTTCAACGGCTGGCAGTATACCTGCTTTTACACGCACAAGGATGCATTGAGCAATGCTCTCTTCGTCAGCCTTGCCCGGCGACCCATTCGCGACTCTCTCGGCAGCTGGGAAGCGTTGACCTTTGAAGACTACGAGCAGACCGCCGACGACGGGCACAACACCATCTCGATAGGAGTCTGCGCCGGGGACGGCACTATCCATGTGTCGTTCGATCACCACTGTGACCCGTGAGTCACTTTACTAGACATGGGTCTCACCGTATGTAGCTTTACTGATGGGTTTATGCTACCAAGTCTGCATTACCGCCTGTCAATACCAGGCGTGGCAACAAAGCCGGAAGCTCATGAATGGAAAGCCTCGCTTTTCAGCCCAACCCATAATCAGCTTCCTGGATACACTCGCACAGGCCAGTTGGGAGTCGAGAAACTCTTCTTGGAGACAACGTACCCGCGCTTTATCCGCATCGACGACGACCTGCTTCTGAGTTACCGGATTGGCATGTACGTGACTTGACTCTATGCGCAAGGATGAACCGAGCTCTGACTGGGATGCAGTGCGGGAGCAGGCTCCGATCACCTGTTTAAATACAGCAGCAAGGACCAATCATACTCGTACGTCGGACAGTTCCTTGCGGGCGTCAATAATAACCCGTACATCAACGGCATTTCATACGCCAACGGCCGCATGCATGTCTCCGGCACGTATCGCGGGTTTGTATGGTACGAAGGCGTGGACGATCCAGAAGTGCGAACGCACACCGCCCAAGCCGGACCCAACGGGCCAGAAAATAATCACAATGTACGTGGATCTCGTCTGTCTGCCTGGCGTGAGACCTATTAGAGCTGACCTTTAATCCAGCTATTCTACGTACACAGCGATGATGGGGGCAAGACGTTCAATAACACAAAGGGCGAAAGACTGGCAAACCTCGAAGTAGGCGAGACCGTGTTCCCCGACAACGACGGGCTCATCGTTTTCGATATCCCAATGAACAACGGCATCCTGAACCAGGAGGCGCAGGCAGCGGACGACGAGGGCGGGTTCCACGTCCTGAACCGAGAAAACGAAGTCTGGATACACTACTACCGCAGCCCAGAGGGGCGATGGAGCCGCCACGCGCTACCTGCCGACCCGCAGCCGACGCGGACGGGGGCGCGTGGGGACGTCGTTGCTTTGCCGGGGAAGAAGACTGTTATCTTTGCGCTGCCGGGGAACCGAGATGACAAGCTCACTGTTCTGAGCGCCAGGTTGCCTCCTCGGGCGGTGTCTGCGGAGGAAGGGGAGGTGCTGTTGGAATACCGCACGCTCTGGAGAGCTGATGGGTTCTCTGGCGAGCCGCAGGTTGAGACGTTTCAGTCGGGCTCGCAGCAGATGGTTTCGATTTTCACGCGAACTGAGGAAAAGGAAAGAAAAGTGGTGGTGTTGGATTTTGCTCTGGACAGAGACTTTTGATTTTGTTTTAATCTATTTTATCCCCCCACCCGCTCCAGCTAGTTTGGATCTCAATCGAAACAGCCGCTGCCGACGGGGGCCAAGTCAAGAGACGGGAAATGACAGAAATTTCTGTCGCCTGCCTGTATCCTTGAAAGCAGCACTCTAGACGCAACATGACGTTGGTTTGGTTGTACAGACGAGAGAAGGAAACACCGAAATAGTTGGGCGCCGTTTGCCCTTGCCCCGAAGCGCAAACGGGCGAGGCGGTGTACTTTATTGGACTGAAGAAAGCAAACATGGTGGACCAAGCTCAGATAGCAGCTGCGAAAGTGAGACATTGGAGGAGATCGTCATGTCCGCATTTCACTTCATTCTCTATCAGGATAGCCACCAGCATTCAATGGGCCGAACTCTTTCTCAATCAACTAAGTTTACTCTAGGAGGCCGCCGGGGGGCAGTGACGGCACGGAGCAATGCAATGTGGTGCCCCCCCCCCCAGGATCGAGCGTCGGACTCACCAACAACCCACTTGCATGTCGTGCTTGAAGAAACGTACATGAACGAGATTCATTGGCACAGGCGATGCGAGCATGAAAAAAAACCGGCCCAATGGCCATGTTCCACGACTGATGGGCTTCCAAGTCTCGGGCCAGCAATACCATTCGTCTTGGACTGGGCGGTGCAGGCTGCCGTAACCCCCCGGCTTCGAGCAATCCACCCAGAAGGTGGCAGAAGGACCTGCAGAAAAGAAACAGAAAACCCATCCGATCCTTGTCTTGCACGGCTCGGCCCCTGGCCAGCCACCGGGAGTTTCTGAGACTCCAATAGGCCGCGGGCTGTGGGCTTCCCATCCCGCTCCCAGTTCTCCTCTCCTCTCCAGCCCAACAGCCACACGGACAACTCCCGGCACTCATCAGCCGGGATTTGCTTTTGAGCCCCCCCGTTCTGCCAATGCCGCGCTACTGTGCCTGACCTCGTGTTGACGACCGCCAATTATAGCGCACAAGTAGCCAGTCAAAACCCCTGGCAGCCCTAAAGCCCCTACTCGTCTGGGCTGGTTGGTTTGGTTTGTCCAGCTTTCCGAGGGTTAAACACGCACTATTTGTCCCCTGCAAGGCGTGGGTGGCCAACGCAGCGGCCGGATCACCAGAGAGACAGCTGTCCAGCCATCCGTTTCGAGAAGTTTGAACCCTGGCTCGACGAGAGATCCCACTCCGATAGGCACGCTTACTCTGCCTACCTAGGTATGTATGTTTGCTGCTCCTTGACGAGTCCGTATCCGAACTTTCTTTCCTCGCTTCTTATGCCAAGGGTGGGCAGGATGGCGTGCAGAAGAATCACCTGCAGGCTTTCTGCGGGATACGGTGAACGAAGGCCGTGTTCCTGGCGTTCCTGCGCAATCATGGGACTAGTCAAAGTGCTGAGCTGCTGCGTGGGTATTGTCTCCTTGGGAAGCCGCATGTTTTAAATAGAATACCGCCTTTTTGGCTGGCTGGCTTGCTATCCGTACTACGAGGGGGAGAAAGGTCTGGTTGCTATATACCATGGCCATCCATCCGGCCCACCCACGAGCAATCGTCACACGCATATTTTGAAGCGGTCAAGAATTTGCCTGCGCATCCCAGATATTCCCGCTGGTCCACATAGTCGTTTTCATGGCCGCACCACGCTCGTTCTAATTACTGGAATATTAATTCTGTCACTCGCTATATCACAACAGCATAATACCGCAACAATACCCTAGAGAGCATGATTGTCCCTCTACTCATCGCGAGATCCGGGGGAAACCCGGACTCCGACCCCGTAGCCGCCGACTTCACCGCCGGACCGACCACCGGCGGCGGCGGAGGAGGCCCCAACCAACAAACGCTCATCATCGTCTCCACCATTCTCGGCTCCTCGTTCCTCCTCATCATCGCCATCGCCGTCTACTTTACAATCATCCGCCGCCGCCGCAAGAGGCAATTCGCAGAAGAATACAAAACTGCATGCCTTCGCGATCCCGATCTCACGTGGGAGGAGTACACGCGGCGAACGAAGCTGACGCGGTCGCGCATCATGCTAGCCGAGGAGGAGCTGAGGGACACAATCATCCGCAAGTCGCTCCAAAACAGGTCATCCGTCACCGTCACACCCATCGCCGTCACTGCCGCCGCCGCCGCCGCCCCGGACACGCCCACGACGCCCGTGTCGCCGCCGGCCAGGACACGGTCCAAGACGTGGCATGGTCGCAGCAGGTCCCGGTCGAGCCTCGACGCGGAGGAGGGTGAAGGGCTCCTGATGTCTCTTCGCGGCGATTGGACCGAGCACGAAGCGCGCGTCGAGAGGACGTGGCAGCTCCTTCACAAGAAGTACCCGACGAGGCGGGTGACGCTGCCGGTGGAGGAGGACTCTGGCGGTCCGATACGGCCGCCCACGATACGGCTGAAGACGCCGCCGTTGCTTTCGCATCCCATGTTTCGGGGGTGGAATGGGGAGAGCACCGTCAAGCATTCCAGCGTGCCGACGGAGCTGGAGAAGATGAGGCCCGCGCAGATTTGAAATGGGGTTTAATGGAATGCGAGGAATAATGTTTCATGTGTATAATGTCTACGACGTAGTAACGAATAATGGGATTGGCCCGGATCTGGCCCACGGCGCGGCGTTTGATCAAGGTATATATGGTTCGTCTATGCTACGGTTGGATATGAAGGAACCTAGGCCATAGACTGCAAGATTTGACATCTTGGAAACATCAACTACAAAGCTTTGCCCTTTCGTCTCTCGGTTCTCGTCACATTCGATCCCTGCTGCGGGCAGTGACCGTCAAAGGCCCCGCCAGATCACTCACCCCAACGCTGATCAGCTCTGGCAAAGTCCCACGGAAGCTTCCATCCGCAGCGAGTCTTTTCTCCATCGGATCAGAAAGTTGAAACTCAAAGTCGCGCAGTAATGTGCTGGTTAGCTTGTAAATGTTGGATTGCGCAAGCGTTTTGCCGAGACACTGGCGACCGCCCAGGCCGAAATGCATCAGATAGCGGGCGCGTGTAGCCGTCTCTGGCCGATCCCATCTTGACGGGTCGAAAATGTTGTGGTCTTTGCCCCATACTTGTGGATTGTGATGGAACGAGTGGTTGCAAACTGCGACGGATGTCTATTATACAAGCCGTTAGTTGGATGCCTTTCTTCTTATGATTGCCTCATGAAGACAACAGCAAATAAATGCTCGGGCAGAGCTATAAAGGGGGAGGGGTTCGTTGTCGGCTTACCCCTTGCTGGATATGGCGGCCTGCCACCATAATGCCTTCGGGAGCCATCACACGTCTCGCCAGCGGCATCGTGAAAACGGGTGTGATGCGGTAATTCTCTTTGACACATGTCCTAAGGAATGGAAGAGAGGTTTCTACTTCTGTAATCGAGTAGGCTTCTTTCCCGTTGTCTAGCGATGTCATGTTTTCGTCAATCTCTCGCACACACTTGCCGAGTGCTTCGGGATTGTGAAGCAGGTTCCAGAACAGCAGTGTCGTTGTCGCGCTGGTCGTATGCGTTCCAGCAATGCTGTGGTGCCAAGTCAGCGACCTGTGCATGTTTCCTCGCATGGGTTTCGACCTACATCATTCCAAATGCTTCGGCCTCCAGATCGACCCTCGCAATCTTCTCTCCGGTATCGGGATGTCGGGCCAAGATGAGACTCGTCAAAATGTCCTTTCTCTGCACTTTGCCCTTGTTCTCGTCTTCTTCAACCTCTGCCAGTCTTCTCTGAACACACTCGGCCGCCAACCCAGCGCACTTGGCTCGTCCTGCAAACAAATCATGCAGGCCGGCGCTGGGTACCCTCGGTAGCCATTGCTTGAGCGTTGATGTCATGGCCGGCCAGGCGCCCAAGGTCGAGCCAAGAAGAGTGTGCGGGATGACTGGAGGGACACGAGACTCGTCATCCGAGACCTGGACCCCAAAGGAACGACTAAAGGCTAGCTCGCCGAGGACGTCGATGGTGTAAAAGTGTAGGAGTTTCTTGAGATCAAAAGCCTCCCCCGTCTTTGCGAACCGAGAAATCTTGTTTCGCAGAATCTTAATGTTCTGGTCCAAGTATTCCTCCATGCCCTTCACGCTGGTAATGGAGAAGCTGTGCGACATGTGACGTCGCCTGATGGAGTGCAACTACATATTGTTAGCGCGGAATCCGTTCATTATACAGAGCTGTGTCATCGCCCCTACCTCTGTAGACCTCATGCCAAAAATGTTTGGAGTCTTGGACCCAAAAGCGTCGTAGTACTCCGTCTTTGGCATTCGTTGGCCGCCTTTTTGATAAACCAGTGGTACGACCTCTTCGGCGGTGATGCTCAACTTGTCCGGCCCATACCGCACGAACTCCCCGTATTTTTCGTGAAGCTCGGTCAAGTTGTAAGGTTGCTTCAAAGATAAAAATTGATTGACCTGCCATAAATCCGTGAGAGATGCCCAAAATGGGCCTGGATAGGCGGCCAAGGGGTGGAGGTATCTCTGGTAGATGACATAGACTATGGCGCCCGTAATGGTGAGCCCCAGAAGCAAGCCAGGAAATGAGACTGGAAGATGGTCTGATTGAAGGATTGAAGATCTCATTGCAGCTTGAACTCATTAGTAATTTGATAATTTGCAATCACGACGGCGGGAGATGTTGGTGAAGGAATTGCACTGTTGATGTCGCTGCAAGTTCCGGCCCCGCGTTATCAGTGCGTCAATACCATCTGAATCTGAACTGCCGAGCTCTCCCCGCACCATTCTGCCCGCTGTATCCGAAACTTGCTGGAGAAGAGCGTTCACTTGCAGCCTTGCACTTTTCCGAGTCTGAAGTCGGGGTAGCTAGATGAGGGGCAGCTTCCAGGCAAGGGTGCTGCTTTTGAGCTCGATTCATGTAGTTTGCTGACTCTCCTCGATGTAACTCGGTGAGGCTAATGATTTTGGCAGGCCAGAACACCATTTGACGCATCACTGTAGGATTGAATCGGTCCCTGAGGGTTTTTATATTACTCATCAATATGAAAATCCGTCTTGAACGTGTCTTGGAGGCATCATATTGCCGACACCACATGCCTCATTTGTGCTGTTATGCCTGGATGTAGGATGGGGAAGAAGTTGGAAGGACCACGTTTGAAGGGTATACAATAAGCTATGGGGACGGAGGTCTCGAATAGCTCACTCACGTGCCCTAGGCTACGGCTTGGCCTGCTGAATATGCGAAACGCGTCGAGATGCATGACAGCGCTCAGTTCAGTGTGCACATTTGGCTGCTCGTTGTTACTCTCGTCTTGCGTCGATTGTTGACAACATCTGAATCGCGAGTGCAAAAGAAGAACAGCTCCTATGCTAATTGGAATTTCAATGTTTCCTAATTCAAAATGCGATTATCTTTCGCCTGAACGTGCAGATTTGGAATCCGCAAAAATAAATCCGACCTACGTAGGGATCGAACCTACAATCTTCACAGAGTGACTAGAGAGCCGAAATGTGACGCGATGCCATTTCGCCAGCAGGCCTGGGCTATGCAAAAGGGGTCAAATTTGTGTATTATATAGTATAGTGGTGGCCCGTGCTCAGACCCGTTCAGTCCATCTCTATACACTTTCCTTTGATGAATAAGTGGATAGCAACTGTTGAGACTTTTGCTCCAGCCCCAGTTCCTTTGACCATGCTGCAGCTCTGAAAGATGAAAGAAGGTTGTAATTTGATAAAAAAGGCTCACCATCTCCTTGATGTGGCGGCGAAGGATGGAGATCTGCACCGTGCGCATGCGGGTGTAAGACGAATTATACGGGCCGCTCCGTCTACCGGCGGACACCCGCAATTCCGTTGGTGCTGAAGCCTGCCGGCATGGCGTCGTCTCCGTTAAACGTCGCAGGACACACGCGTATGTAAGTGCTACATCTTGTACATAAAGCGGAATAGCTCGGGATACTTCTTGGTTTTTCCAAGGGCTCTCTTGTTTTCTCGATTCTCTTCTGTCAATTACCTATTCACCTCCCGAATCATCGTCAAATCCCCACGGCACTTCTTTCTCAACCGCTACAATGACAAGTATCCGCAAAGTGGTCATCTCCCAATACGGCGACGTCGACGTGATCAAAGTGGTCACCGATGTCTGCCCTCCACCATCACCCGGCGAAATCCAAATCACCACAGAGTACTCGGGCTTCTCCGGCGCCGACGTCAACATGCGCAAGGGTATCTACCCCTTCATGAAGAAAGCCCCGCTGACGCCAGGCTACTGCCTCGTCGGCACCGTCCGCGCCCTGGGCCCAGGTTCCAAGAACTTCCAAATTGGTGACGTCGTCGCCGTCCTGACAAAGTACGACTCCGAGGCGGAGCTCGTCAACCAGCCGGAGAAGTACTGTATCCGGGTGCCCGACGGCGTGGACCACCGCCAGGCGACGGCCCTCATCTGCGACTGGAATACCGCGTACGGCATGGTGATGCACTCGGCGCGGGTGTCCAAGGGCCAGCGGGTGTTCGTGCACGGCATGAGCGGCGCCGTGGGGTACGCCCTCATGAAGCTCGCGCAGCTGCAGGGGGCGACGGTGTACGGGACCGCGAGCCAGCGGAACCATATCGATATTCGGCGGGAGGGCGGGATTCCCTTTGTGTACAGCGACAAGAACTGGATGCGGGAGATGGTTGGGCTGGGGGGCGCGCACGCCGTCTTTGACCCGCTGGGGTTCGAGAGCTTCGACGAGAGCTACAGCATTCTTGCCGAGGACGGCACGCTCGTCGGGTTCGGGAATAACAAGGCGTCGTTGAACGAGGGCGGGCCGGCGCGGAACCCGATGGGGGCGCTGTTGAAGTTGTTTGCGAGGAATTTGAACTTGTTGACGATGAGGAGCACGACGTTTTATGCGTTGAACCGGGACTCGGCGACGTATGTGCCCAACATGACGGCCTTGTTGGATATGTTGAGGACGGGGACGATTACGGTGCCGATCAAGTGTGTTTGGGACATGGAGGATATTCAAACTGCGCATCGGCAATGGGGCGGCGGGAGTGGTGTTGGATCTCTGCTGATCAAGGTGGCCAAGGACTAGAAGCTGAGCTGGATATATGATACGATTCTCTATTTCCGGCTGGGAGTGCGTGATGGGAGTGGAACTACGGAGTTTGGTTTGGTTTGCATGGTTTGGTTTGGCTCAGAGCCAAAGTGCGCATGTAGCAGAAATGACTTTGCTTTGCTTTGGTGGTATAACGGGGGATTTATATGATTGGGTTGATTTAGAGAAATAAATGAAATCGCAAGGTGATTACTTAGTTAGCTACTCTTCCATACCTCCAAATATTCGCCCTCCATGGTAAGCTTCCATTCATGGAGAGTTTCGGAGCACCCGCGCAGCGCCCGGCCCTCCACTTGAGCAGCTGGGCAGGCTAATGCAATTGAGTTGATCCCATCTTTCCTCGTGAAACATGAAGGTTCGCGCTAGTGCAAAGGCATGATATGCACCAGAAGAAACATTCTTCATTTGATCTATTCATGTCTCGGCGCGTTTCCTGGTTTCACATGTGAATAAGAGGCGAGCAAAAATCAATGCTGTGCTGTCGTGAGTGGAACACCCCACCTCACATCGGAGCTCTCACCCCGATGGGTTGTTGGCCGCCCTCGGTGAGTGTCAGGCGAGCTGCAGGTGTGCCAAATGCGAAAAGCAACGGCGGGATTGGCCCGGCAGACGCCGTTGTCTGGGTGCCCGACCGACAAGCAAAAAGAAATAGGTGGAAACGGAACGGAGGACGGAACGGAGGACGGACTTCGGGTGGGAGATGATCCATGCCGTCCGGCTGCAGCCAATTACAGAGTATGCCCCGTGCGTGCTTACCTTAGGTACTACTTCTTGTAGGTACCTTACCCCGCCATGGAGCCATTCCGCATTGCGCAAGTCGCAGCTGCAGGCGCAGGTTGTTCAGGGCTGTCAGGCAGCTTTCCCACCGTGTCACCTCAGCTTGCCAGTTCCAGGCGCTCCTCCTCCTCCCCCTCCTCCCCCTCCTCCGAAGATGCCGACACAGACGATGACATACCATAAAAGTACGTACCTCTGACCTATGCAACCCCTCCATCAGGTCCTCCAGATTCGGGCGACCCAAAAGCACCCAAAATCAAGGGTGCGCTCGGCCGCTGCAGACCCAGACCAGACCGGACCATGTCTGGACCGCAACTCTGAGTCTTGTTTTCCTTGCTTTGCTTGCTTGTTCTCTACTGTGTACCGTACCTCGCCTTACCAACCTACCGTAGCTCGTGCCCTCCACTTTGAACAGGGAGCGTGTTCGGATAGCTTCAAAGAAACCACCTCATCCCTCCACCGCCCCATCCCTCGTCCGCTATCTTGCCTGACCTTTCTGACCATCCTTACCCTGCCCTAACTCAGAATACCAGAGTACCAGAGTACCAGAGTTCAAACCGCAGCGTACACTCTCCTCCTACCAACCCTTCCGATCGCAATGACGCCGCATGCATAGCTTCAGTCACTCCTACGAGGCCCCGATGTCCAGCTGACCCTACCGACGAACATCGACACTACTACTCTCGACCTGCTTCTCCTCCTCCGCCCGACTGCGCTCTCCTACAAACGTTCCTCCGTCGCCCCGCCCTGGGTGGCTCCCGTCCCTCCGACCCCGCCGCGCCAGGCATCACCCCGGCTGTGCCGTCTCACATGCCAGGTCGCACGCGACGTCACGGTCAGCTTTTTCAACACGGCGCAACGAAGCTCTCGTCCACCTATTCCTCCTGCTCACCTGCCCCTCAAGCGACCAGCGCTGCGCTGTGGGTCGTCTTTGTCCCGCCGACACCATCCTCATGCCTCTCAAATCTCCTCTCCAAGGCTACGACCAAACCAATAATCCCATAACCGCAATCATGGCTACCGACGTCCACAAGAAGACCGATCCGAAAGGCGATGCGAAAGTCCCTGCGCCAGCCCCAAACGCCGGCCTTGTCAGGAGAACGAGCGATCCCCATCCGGCCGGCCGCGTTAAGCACAGTCTGTTGATACAGGTGCTTCGAGGCTTCTCATTTGGTCTCTATTTCGCTGCTTGTTGTCTCGCGTTCGTTTCCTCTGGCGACGCCTTGCCCGCTTCTTTTGCGACAGCTTTGTGCTAACTACCGTCGCATGCAGCATCATCACCACCCAGATCATGGGCGTCCCGCTATACTGGGTCAACCGCGACATGTTCTACTCCTACATGGCGCTGACGAAACAGTCGTTTGGCCTGACCATCACTGCCATGACACACATTTGGAGCAACACTACGATCCGGATAAGCGGTGATGCGTCGATGAACCGTCAGATCCAAAAGACAGCGGACGGCAGGGTTCAGTTCAACTTTCCTGAGCGTGTAGTCTTAATCGCGAACCATCAGGTACGAGACTGCTGGTTCTTGCGACACAGACGAGAGGGACACTGACGGTGATGGACAGATATACACCGACTGGCTCTACCTCTGGTGGGTGGCCTACGCAAACTCGCCGAGCATGCACGGCCACATCTACATCATTCTCAAGGAATCGCTAAAGTACATCCCCGGCGTCGGCGCCGGAATGATGTTTTATGGCTTCATCTTCATGTCGCGCAAGATGTCGACCGACCAACCCCGGTTGGCGCACCGACTTCAGAAACTCAAGAAACAACACGTTGGCGCCAACGGGAACAAGTACCTCGATCCCATGTGGCTCCTGCTCTTCCCCGAGGGTACGAACCTGTCCAACAACGGCCGCAGGAAGTCAGCAGCCTGGGCCAAGAAGAACGATACTAAGGACCCAGAACACGTGCTTCTACCGCGAAGCACCGGTACCTTTTTCTGCTTGAACGAGCTCAAGGGTTCGCTCGAGTACATTTACGACTGCACAGTCGCGTACGAAGGAGTTCCGTAAGTGAAATCTCTTCCCCGCATTCGTTTGCGAGTTCTTTGCGACACGCACTAACAGCATTCCAGCCGCGGCAAATTCGGCGACCAGTTCTTTACCCTCACGAGCACGTACTTCCAAGGCCGCCCTCCAAAGTCGGTCAATTTCCACTGGCGCCGCTTCCGCATTGCCGACATTCCTCTGGACGACGCCAAAGTTTTCGACACCTGGCTCCGCGAGCGTTGGTACGAAAAGGACGCCATCATGGAGGAGTACCTGTCCACCGGACGATTCCCCGCCAGCCAGGATCTCAAGGGCGGCTTCCTCGAGACAGAGGTCCGGCTGAAGAGCTGGATTGAGCTGGCCCAGATCTTTGTTGTAATTGGAATTGCCGGCCTCATCTGGCGCATGGTTGTCAATGCTTTCACAAGATTTGCTTCGGTTTTCTAGAGCAGAGAGGCACGGCATCCTCAAATGACTCGAAACACGCTTTCCATCATGTTAGGACTGGTTCCGGTTCAATCGGGATTGGGTAAAGGTACATATTTTCGGCCAAGTCATTGCCACAGAGAATATGAGTTGGCGAGTGATGTTTGGTTTACAGAGATTTGGTTTGGTTGGGTCTAAATTTGCCAGCGCGGTTGGTGTACCCGGCGTTCCGCTCTTCTTTCATACAGACTACAGTTATCTACATCAGAACTTTGATCAAGGGCTCAGCGCCTCTGGCCTATTTTTTCCACGTGGACGCAAAGTCTAATAAATGAACTACCATTTGTCAAGTCGTTCGCTCCCATGCAGGTTTCGTGAGATTATTGGATGGATCGCCCCGGGTGCTTGAGTCTTCGCCGAGGCCGACATCGACGTCGGGGCTTGTACTGAGCCGCCGTCTTACTTCCCTGCAGCGTCTGGGTGTCCGCTGTATCCGTAACGAAATTTGATAATCCCCAGAGGAGGTGCCGGTTGCCAATGAGGACTTTGGTCATGGAGCTCCTCACGCTGGCTGCGATCTGCGCGTTGCTTGTGCCGCCAGAGGTCACGCGTTACCCGATGAACTTTGGAGACGGTAAGCGCCGGGACCGGTCAGATGGTTCATGTAGGCCAGAATTGCTACCTGTTGCCATCCTGCGGCAGGGGTTTAGGAGGAGTCGGTGATGTGATACAAGGGCACGTGTCGAAGGCCAGGGTCCGGGGCCTGGTTACGGATACTACGCTGCTACCCTGTCCGTTGACCTTGACTATGTTGTCGATCTACGAGTAACATGACTGACTAGGTTGGCGATGATCTAGTGGAGTAGGAATTGTGGGTGCAAGACAGGTCCGTGGATGTGCGTACCAGGTTTCAGTCTGAGCAGCAATGTTGCTCGAGGATAGCACCCTTGAGTCTGGAGGGGCCTCAATTGCCCGTGGATTCAGTGCGGGAGCAACATTTGACTGTGTTGGAGTGTCGTTCTCAGTCCAATCGGAGGCATCTCCGTACCTTCACGAAGGTCACATATGACGCCCCATCGGCCTGGTGGTTGAACGCTGCCATGTCCATGGCGCCACTTCGAACCCGGTCAGGAGATTCTCGACCGTTGAGAGGTCTATAGCATCTAGCCCTGTTGCTGACCCTGTAGAGATGACGATGCTGTGATGCGGCCGCATACGCCAATGAAAGAGTTTGAGCCTGGAGATGACTGGACATGTGTTTAAGCTTTTCTCCACCACTACCGACTTCTTTTGTACAAGTAGCAAGGGTATAGGGTTACAAACGCCACGAGAATTTCAGTAACCTGATGAACTCTTAGCAGGACTTCAACAGCGGCCGTCTGGTTCCAAGGCCTGGGGCGCCAAGATGGCTTCCTCTGCCAACCAAGAGTTGAATCTCGTTATTTATGAGTGCCATCTCTATAGGCGCAAATACTACCTTGCCTACAGTCAGGGCATGTTTAGCCGAATAGCTGTTAATGTGGCGGTAAAACATGAAGTTTACGGTTGTGGCTCGGATACTTGTATGAGATGTACCCAGGGGTTGATTGGCGAGGCCTTCTTCTCACAAAAGTCCCGGAATCAAACTTGTCATGTCACGGTGACGGAAGAAGCCCGACTTGGAGATCGTATTGGTCAGGCAAGCAAGCTCTTGAGAACGGCGGCTGGTAATGAGTCCCCCCCCCCCGGGACGATTGTGTTGATTTTCAGTATTATCGTTCCGCGTACACGCTGGACATGATCAAAGGCAAGGTCCCATGGCTACGGCCGTATGCATGCGATTTGGACGTCTTACCGTCAAGTCGCAAGTAGATTGATGATTGGTTCCACTTGCTGCGGTGGACGAGGGTACTTTGGACCCTTGGACTTCCCGTACCGCGAAAGTCGGTCTGTTCCCATGTCCTGGGATGGAATGTTGCATGACTCGCCACTTTCGGTAAGAGCCTGTCAGTCTACCTGGCTACTTTACCGAAGGCTTGCGGGCGTCAGGCATGGGACATCACTGGAAGGGGTTCCAAGTACCAACGAGGAGCAGAACAGAAGAGGTGGATGATGAAGAAGCGAAACATGGGAAGGAAGGACTTGAATACGACTGAAGGTATGTAGGCCAAAGCAGTGTTTCTAGATCAACGACAAAAGATCAACGACAAAGTGATTTCGGCCAAGTTGAACAGAGTCTCTTTGGAAGCCAAAATCCCACATTGCAGAGGTTTCTCCTGGCACGACATGGATCTCCCCAAGGATGTCAGCTTGCGGCCTCTGGTGTATGGCCCGCCTCCGCCGAAAACCCCTGCGACTGTACTTAAGGTGTGAAAGGATCACCGCTTGAGCAAAGGACTGCGAGGATTGCGTCTAGTGTCTGTCACGAGACTGATGCGGTCTTTCATGTAGCGTCATTTTGTGAATTAGCCGTGGAGAATCGAGAAGCTGAGGACGTCGGATGACGGTTCCCGTTGCGACGTGTCTTCAATCTCTTGTATTCGGCAACGATTCTGATGAACACTTGCTGCGGTATCGTGATGTTCTCTTCCAACTCGATGACAATGTTGGATCCTTCTTGAAACAAGTAAACCCCTGGGCGTTCACAGAGCTCCTGTCTGACTGTCGGATATAAACGGCTGAAAGCTCTCTCCTCATCGTCGGTCATCCTTCGATACTGGCGTTGGCTGTCCCCCATAGTTGATCCAAAGGGATGATGATAGGTCGTGCTTTTGTAGCGCGTTGTTGAGCTTTTTTCGGAATGACATGCCCTTTGAAAGCCTGAAGTAGCATGCGCCGTGGGCCTTATTTATCTAATCCTCGATGATGAATTGCACCCGTGCCCCTGATAGATGGTAGCACGCTGCCTAGTTTCATTGGACAAACTCACGAACTCTTACTTTCAGCTCTCTGACAATGTTGAAGGTTGAGGAATGGGAATCGGCTTCCTCCATGGAATAGCGGAAAGGGAGTCCGGCTGTCCAAGTCATGCCATCGACTGGGTCCGAGTCATCCAAATCGGTGAACAGACCTCAGACCCCACGGTCAAGGCGCCTTGGTCAACGGAAAACCCTGTAAGCGACGCGCAGGGGCAGCCACCCCCATGTTATGAGGCGTTCGTGGGCACGGCCAGTTGGGCAGAAATTCCTACACGCCCAACAGGGCCTCCTACAGACCCTTGCGAGATTGGACGCGAGACATCAAATTGGATCGATGGGCTATGGGGATAGTACACTGGGCAAGCCACGATCAGCAAGTAATGAGTCTTGATGGGTCCCCCGACCCGGGACCGTGTCTTTGCGCCCCTCCCCTTGTCCCCCATAGTTCGTGCTTAGTTCCATCTCACGCCGGGTAACTTCCATACTTTGTTGAACTGAAAACAACACAAGAATGTAAGATGATACGAGGTAGAGTGAAAGGGACTGGATGGTTCACTCAAGGCTCGCTCCGTTCGACAAGAGATGAACTCTATGATAATGAGCCTACATGTGTGTATTGCAAGGTTGAACCGGCAAAGCCAAAGAGTGCTTTCCTCCTCGAATTCCAGTCATGCTTATCATGGTTTGAGAGCCATGTCGTTGGGGCGAGCTAAAGCCCCATCGCGGGTAAGCTTCCGCAACTTAAACGGGAGTCCAGGCCTCAAATTAAAAAAAAGCTTAACCATGCGAGCTCCGCGAGGGCCAAAGTTTCATGGGACAAGGTTTCTAATGTGCTTCCATCGTATTATTGAAATATTTCCTGCCCGGCTTACTCTGCTATTTGCTACCATTCGTACATGTCGTTGCCGTACACCACGGAGGAATTTTCCAGTCCGGAAACTCCTCGGCAACTTCGCGCACTGCGATTTCGATCAACCTTTGAAGGTCTACACAATACTTTTCAGTTTTTCCAAAAACCACAGCCGTAGCATTGCTGCGCACAAACACGATTCCCTTCAGCTCAGGCATGCGCAGTGGAAGTTGACGAATGGTCCGCGTAGCCAGTGAAGACACTGCACCCTTGACGATTCCATTGCTCATCACAGAGTCGTCGATAGCCAAATAGCGGACGTCTCTCAAGTCGGACGGGTCGCACATGGACATGGCAGTAAAATATTGCGCCGATGACGCCATGAACCCCCTCACTGGACCAAAGTGTAAAACGTCGATTTCGGGATTAAAGTAAATTTTTGGCGGCCCGGCCATACCGAATCTTAACTTGCCGTAGTATCGTATGGCCTCTTGTCTCGATTCGCGGCACGCGTGGAAGAGGGCTGGTATTCTCGCCGGGGACGTTCCCCAGCTGGAATGGGCTGTATCGCATCGGATAGAAATGGTTCGGGTGGTTGGAAGGCTAAAACGCCAAGTCATCACTCGGACCTGAGTTGGGAGCCTGGGAAAAGGATTCTTGAATATTGTAACTTGTCAGTTGAATGGTCTACCCAAAGTATGCCGAGGTGTGGAGTTGCCTTACAAACTCCATGTCTGCCGCACTGTGGTCATCTCCCAACATTGTTGCAGTTGCGGTTCGTGTAAGCGGGAAAGTGATTTTACTCAAGTGAAACGAAGGGAAGGAAGGTCGTTTTCATCGCGATTGTGAGATCATGAGATGGGATTCTGTCACGTAACAGTGATATCGTCAACGCACGAAGTTTTAACATCGATAGTATTGCCTCGCAAACTTGCTGATATTTTTTTATCGCATGGCAAGCGACATCTTAGCTAGAGCCCGGGTCGTGTCATTGGCACCTTCTGGCGAGCGGAGTTTATCCCGCGAGGGGAGGACGACAGTCTTCGACGAGTCTGAGAGACTATGGTTTGCCTCCCAAGCTGGAGACATACATTTACATCAAACCGAAGAAAAAGAAAAAGGAAGTATTGAGAGATCCATTCCTCAGATGACCATTCACCAAGACATATAGATAATTCGCCTCTCCGGATCACCATTTAAACTTCGATGGTACGAGATGGCTCTCAATTTGCCCTCAACCAACAGCATCCCTATCATGAGTACAATCACATATCATATTATTCTACTGGTGCCTTCGCTCACTCGAGGATACGATTGGCGCGTGACGATGTGCTTGTTATCAAATATGGCCAGGGTCCTTGACTTTAGACTGTGAGTACTAGCCACCCACCACCTGATCCGAATAGACCGGAGCTCGAGTCCAAGTCAGAGACGGACTCATTGTGACAGGGAGAGGAATAGACACTTCCTTAGTAACATGCAGTTGTGCAGCATGGTAAGGGTTGGCCAGACCCACAGTCTTGCGCTCAGGCAAAAATAGCAAATGACGAATCGACACTTCGTTAGGTCTATCCAAGTTGAGACACTGGCACAGAACTTGCAGGGGCATTGAGGCTTGACGATCCCTGTTCTGTCAGCTATCAGAAAAGAGCCGTGCTGGGCTGAACTCTACCTACAGCCACGTACATGTGTCCTAGACATCAGATTGGAACGCTTCTCCCAGTCCCAGCCGCCTGGTCCGAGGATCCTCCGTCGATCTGCCTAGCTCGGGCACTCGGCCACTAATTCTGGCTTTTGAGCAGGAATTCATGGAATTTTGCCCATTTAATCTAGAGGGCGGCTGGTGAAGATGGCCTGATTTCAACCCATATGGGAAAGGTCGGTTTCAAGTCAGCCCAGTAACTTAAGCCCTCTCGAGCCCTCTTAGCACTCCTACGGTGTATCCGAACGCCAAGTTCGTCATTGATGACCGTGGGCAAAAGGGAAAACAACACCACGAGACATGACGTGGCTAGCTTGCCGTTCCCTAGATACAATGCTTAAGAGTAGGAGCACCCACACCATTGTAGCAGGCTCTGTATAACGATAAGCCATGGTCCTATCTACTACGATCACCTTCAATCATCAAATTGTGTGCGATATTGTTCCCCGACTATCGATAGAACGACCAAAGCGACTTGAATGGTTAGAGTGATGTACGCAATACGGCAACATCATCTCTCACAGCCAGATACATACGGCAAGCCTGTGGTTCAGGATGCATGATAATCAAATCTCGTGCCTGGCCATATGGAGCTCAACCTTCACATTTTGACCATGTTCTGTGGATCCCGGAGTGTGCGGCTTACGCTTGGCACGTCAGTGAACATAGTGTGGGAAATATAGTTGCACCACTACTCGAATGCTTGGCACGCATCATGTGGAAATCAGTCAACGTATCCGTACAACGGATAATGGTACTTTGGGCAAGATACGAGGTGTAGCAAGGTCAGTGATTTAGCCCGGAACAGAGTATGGCCGTAAAACAAGTTAACTCCACCTATGTAATACAACATGGGTGAGACAGGTGGAACCTCGTTGGGCCAGGGTCACAGATTCGGACACAATTCCGCTACAGGTCTAGGGTTGAAGGGTTCGTCTATGTATGTGGGCAACAGTGGCAGTCAGCATACCTACAACTTACAAGTCTCCGACTTGTATCCGTAGCTTGGTCGCACTTGAGTAGTACGGGCCCGGGAACTTGGCATTGAGCCCCGGGCAATAGAAGGAATGAGGGGTGGGCTAGCCTTCCCTTCCCCAAAGCCGGGCCTTGGACTGGGATTGCGGCATTTCCATACCCTGATCGTCACAGTACTGGTGAAGTTACCCCACAAAAGAGTTCCCTTGTGTAACCTCTTACTCGCCCATGCTGCTGGAATTTGTTGACGCTCAGGTATCTGAGTCAAGGTCCGTGCCGTCTGCCGTTGAGTTCAGGGTAACAAAGGTTACGAGATGAGTTGTGACATACATTCCGACCCCAAGGTTCAGTCCTAGATCTTCCCCAATATTTCTGTAGAGAGAACGAAGTCCGACAGGGATGAATTGCTTACGGCGGTAAATATTGGAGCAGTTTTAGTTGACTTCACTTCTCCGTTACGGCCCAAGCAACCTTGATCTTTTGGGCGGAGCTTCACGTTCCAGTCGTCATGGGAAAGACCAGAGCTGACTACCTCCTTTTGAGGCATTTGTCAGAGAGTACGCTGTTTGTTCCCTCCATAAGATAATGCTTGTTTCTCAGTCAGCCTCATGATCCAGGACTGGCCGGTGATGTATCGGCAAATATCGGCATTTGACAAGGTTGAGCAAAAAGCAACGGAAGATGCCCAAGGTCATTTCTTTCATGTACGCATCAAAACCTTTTTATCTCCCCTTAGAGGTCGCAGTGAGGCGATGACATGGAAAACCAGGAAGATTTTGATCACAACGACTCCGGACATTCTCACTCAGGACAAAATCATTTACAAATTAATGTTGAGCAGATCAACTGTCTTTCCGAGACTCAAACATCAATATCCTAGCAATACAACAACACGACCACCAATAACATACGCCATGGAACGTTATCCTTGTGTCAACAGATACAAGTACACCGTGAATTGTTCATCTTGGGTTTGGGTATACCGTGCTCGGTGCGAGGACTGCGTAATAGTAAGCATCTTGGGGAGACAGGATATTGAAGGAAGATTCTGACATTGAGTAGTACAATCGATGATAAGGTTAGGGGCTTGAAAAAGAGGTGGACTGTGATGTCCAGATGCGGCCGGAAGGCAGCTCTTAGTGGGGTGTACGATGACTAGAAGATTCAATTTACCAAGGCAACACTCGCAAAGTCCTGAAATTTAGCATTCGCAACCACATTTATTGAAAAATTAAATCGATCCGAATATAGTCGTCAGCATGCAAGGGCGTGTTACGTTCGTCTGAGTGACTACCTCGGCAGCAAAACCAGGAGTACAAGTCGAGTTGATCGTACTCCCCTCCTACCTTGTTGTCATCAACCGTCTTGATATTAACTTCTGTTTTCGAATTGGTGAGATAATTCAGATAGCATAGCATATTGGCGAGTATCACCCAAGTAACATGCCAGCCTGAGGATACACTTCTACCGGAGCACCTGCTCCGGTAGAGGCTCTAACAGCAGGGTAGACGTGCGGTCTGGGTCTCGTGCTACTCTCATGGCGCCAAAAGAGATGGCGTTAAGCGCGGCAGGAAGCTAGGGACTAGTCAAAAGTATTGACAAGGTGTAATCCCAATTGCCCCCTGCTCGCGTGTCTTGTAATTGTTGCACAACGCTTTTGAAATCACGAGTTCACCTTGCGTACCTACTCCATCATCTCTCATCAAGTTGGAAGCGGAATCGAGTAAGGGTATTGATGCCTCTCAATTGGGCTTTTCGCGCGGTGTATACGAGATTAAACTCCTCTTATTTTGTGAGTTTCAATCCATAGGGGCATCATTGTAGTCTGTCGTTCGAAGTGGCTGAAATTTCAAGTATTAAGCACCGCTTCGGGCAACCAAGACGACTAATTGACTTCTCAAATCTGAATAATGAACCTGGAGGATATCGTCATTTTGTTATAGCTTTCGCGAGCAGTACGTGTGACCCAATTTGCTTTGAAGGAGATGGGAACTTACATGTACCCTGTTCATTTGCTTAGAGATGCATAGCAGTCCTGACCTCGACACCATATCATCCCGAATTCTGAAATCTTTAAGTCTTCTCTCTAACCAAACAATGAGATACCCTAAAGCTGAACAGTGGACCTTTCCACGTAATACTGACTCCCATTCGTGCCCAACTTGCTCGTTTCAACGCCTTTGGCCACACCAATAAGTCAAGACTATGTAGTAGAGGGTGTACATTTATGATGAAGTCTTCTTTATCAAAGGTCATCAGCCGCCCTGAGTCTACCTCTTTGGACTTCAGACGGCCAATCCAAGATTCAACAGCGCTAGTTAAAGCAGACGCAACCTACCTTGCAGCTGGGCGACTGGTCACGGGTGTGCATAGAGCACAACCTGATCTTGATGTATCAAAAACGAAGTGAAGGCCAGAGAATTGAAATAATTATAAGCTGAGCAAGGAGTCACATCGGCGCTCAGTACATTTAGGAAGTCCAGGCGCGACCGGGTCACTCATTGCCTCAAAGTCATGCGACACGGCGGTTTTGATCCTAAGCAGAAGTGTCTGTTGGCGGGATTGACTTGGGTACGTAAAATAGTAAGTGGCCTGTACAACGCGTATTCGTGATGTAGAAATTACTCATTGCTCTGACGAATGAGGAATGAGCGGCTAACGGCTCGACTAAGGCCGAGTTTCTTTTTTCCAATGCTGTCACTCCACTCTGAACTTCGTCTCACACTCCGATTGCTCCTGCATATAGTCTATAAGCTATTAAAGCCAAGCATCGTCCTGGAAATGGCATCCGCTGATCCTGATGGGACTGGCCCGCTGATACCGGTGAGGTAGTTCAGTACCACTCCAAGACCTCGTCATCATCGAAGCCCGAGACAGTGAGGCGAATGAACCAAAATACGTCTCCTTCTACCTCATTACGGACGAAGACAAGCTATGGTTCGGCCAGAGCTCCAAGAACAAGCGAGAGCCTTCCATGGTCGACTATCGCTTGGCTCTAAAGCCAGTCTCTGGTGAGGAAGTCTATCCTGTAATTCCTACTAGCACCGAGCTCACCATCGCGGCAGAAAATTTTGATGATTCAGTGTACGTCGTACGCCCCGCCTCAATACCTACAAAAAAATAAAGGGCACACTTGTTTTCATGATAGTTGTCGACGAAACCCAAATCATGAAGAAGGTCTGCAAAACTCAACATCCGAACATTTCTAAGTACAAGGGCTGTCAGACCAAACGCGGCCTCATCACCTCCATTGTGCTCAAGCAATACCACTACAAGTTCTCTTAATAAACCTGACAGCAAGGTTTCCAGCATCTACCTTAGACAAGCAAAAGTTTGTGCACGCTAAGAGACAGCAGCCGCATACATACACTCACTGGGTCTGGCATATAATGATATAAACCCGGACAATATAATGCTGCTGAAGAATGACTTACCTGTTCTCATTCACTACGGGTCCTACGCGCCATACGGACAGGTGTTTCAGTCTTTAGATACCAATGGATGGTGTTAGAAGGTATTCTTCACATCGGAGAGGGACCAAGATAATTTCGCTTTGAAGAAGATGAGATTTTGGATACAGAATACACCTGGTGGGATAGGTGCGACAAGATATGGTGTGCTCGACGTTTCTGATAGTACTAAACGCGACATTAATCCCATACAGCGAAGTTGCCAATGGAATCTCACTTGAAAATCTCCTTGCCAAGTCTACAATTTCGTTCCTGAGCGAAGACCATCGAGTCTTAACTCTAGCAGTTGATGAGACCAAGATGAATACAAGTTCATCATTAGAGAATTATGGCAAACCTGTCAGCTGGGGTCAAGTGGAGCCAGGTAATACACTCGACAGAGAGGATATTATCACGTTTGTTGTTGAGTGCCGCCAATGGTCACCCGTTGAAACTGGCCATGTCGTAGACCACCCATCAGCTCTATTCAGCCAATCAGAAGTGGTGGATCCACTACAAAGGGTATCTAAATTACCGAGGCTCAAAGAGCACGCCTTTTGTCAGGCTGGAGGAGGCAGGGGCGACATCTGTCGTACAACACGATGTTGAAACATTGATCTAGGGTGGATCGGCCAAGACACTGAAATCTTAGAATTCCGGCTGCCGGTCGCCTACTTCGTTGCCCGAAAGATCCGCAGCCCGGGCGATGCGTGGTCGGCGGAGACAGACACAGCTTTAGATGACGCGGACGTCAGCATCATGCTGCGATTCAGCCACTCGCCAGGGTTTTAGCCTCTTGGCGTTGTTCCCACCGCAGGCCCCAACTACCATCAAGTATAACGTAACGCAAAACAAGTCTATTCAAAGACACCTGAGCAGGAGAATATGGCCCCATAAGACATATCATCCCTAGTAATGAAGACATTTCCTCGCCAAAAGGGCAACCGCAGGTAGGTTGACGTGATGACATGCTAGCTGGGAAAAATACCTAACCAGACTTCAAATTGGAACGTTCTTATTCTTCCCAGAACTTTGTTTGTCCTAACCCCCTACAAAGCCATTCAGCCGGCCCGGTTGATGGGTCTTAAGCCTTGGAACATCGGCTGCCGGCTTCAGGCACAGGAATGCGACTCACGGGACGGCTTCGGAAGATCGATCACGACACAGCCCGCAGCCAGTTACGCAGGCATAATGTGGCTTAATGGCTATTGGCCAATTGATATGTGCTGAAAGATGCGACTAGGATCAACGTGGCTAAGAGAATACGAGAGCAGCAGTATCCTTACTGTCAGGGCGAAATACGTCTGCCTGGCAGGCTGACTAGCATCATGATCCTACAGCCAAACGTCGGCGACAACTGATACTTTGCTGCCATCTAGGGTGACGAAATCAGCTTTTGGCAAAGCCGGGTATCTCAAAATGAAAAGTGGTCTTTCAATTGAGGTCCTACAGATTTCTTGAAATACGTTGCGTTGCCTTGACTTTCGAGACGACATGATCTCGATATGATTCCAAGCTCACAAGCAACTTACAACATCACATTCTTCAAAAATTCATAACATCGGTATAGGGAATTAGCTCTCATTCAGAGTTAAGAACTTTCATTACCATGGTGTCTTCTCTTCTTCTAGCGGGGTCTCTATTCGGCCTTAGTCAAGCAGTCTCCGTGCCCTTGTCTACTAGAAGTACAAACTCAACCAAAGCGTTCAGTTGGGTCGACACAAAACCAACCAAAGACCTGCAATACTACGATTGTGGTGACGGCTTCCAATGCGGCCGTCTCGAAGTCCCGCTCGACTGGTCAAACCCAGACAAGAACAGCACCGTGGCCATCGGCATCGTCAAGCTCCCAGCCACAGTCCCGAATGACGACCCGTCCTTTGCCGGCAGTGTTCTCATCAACCCCGGTGGTCCAGCCGTTTCCGGGACCAACTTTGCTTACTCCTGGGGGCCCACATTGCAAAAAGTTCTCGGCCAGGATCGCAACTATGAAATCATCGGGTTCGACCCTCGTGGCGTCAACACAAGCACGCCTCACAGCGACTGCTTCAAGGGAGACCAATTCGCCCGTAGGCTTTCTCAGGAGAGTGACTCCGTTCTACCGCCGATTGATGACGCCCTTGGCTTCCATTGGGCTAGTGCGACTGCTAAGAGCGCGCTCTGCGAAGAAAATGGCGTTGACAGCATCTGGGGCCACATGAACACCGCGTCCGTTGCTCGCGACATGGTCGAGATTATTGATCGCATTGACGACCTGCGCTGGAAGGAGTCAGGCAAGACCAAACCCAAGGATGCTGAGGCAGCTCGCCTGCAATACGTTGGCATTTCATATGGATCCTTCCTAGGTAACGCGTTCGCGTCCATGTTCCCAGAGCGTGTTGAGAGGATTTGGATCGACGCTATCGTTGATGGCGATGATTGGACTGCCGGTGTAAGTTTTTTTTCTATGCATCTTTTCAATGATTCCCTCGAATGTTAATTTATCTGTCAGACTTTCCGCAATGACATCAATGATGTCGAAAAGATTGTCGACCAATTTTACGAGGTCTGCTTCAATTCAGGGAAAGATTGCCCTCTCGTCCAATCATCCGACAAGTCCGGTCCAGACATCAAAGCCCGTGTTGCCGATTTCCTCGATGAAATGGATACCAACCCCGTGTCCTTCAGCTACGACGGCCGCCCATACCTTCTCACATCCTCAATCATTCGTCAAGCGATCTTCTCCGCAATGTACAGTCCGTTGAGCTCATTCGAGACACTTGCTCTGCGTCTCAGCGCCCTTCTGAATGGCGATTACTCCATTCTCGTAACCCTCCTACCCGCTGATTCCATCAAACTCGTCTGCGACCTCCCCGATGGTGACGAGCTTCCCCAGTACAACTGGGACTCGGACGTCTTGGCTGGTGTTCTCTGCACTGATATTGTGGACGATGTGGCTGATCGTAACATCTCCTTTTACGAAGACATTGTCAAGTACTTCAAAAATCAATCCGAGACAACTGGCACCGGTGTGTCCGGAGCCATCCCGATCTCCTGCGCCGGCCGCAAGATCCGTCCGCCTTACGCTTTCACAGGACCATTCACGAGCCCTGCCGCAAATGCCAACGACTCCAAGGCCCCCGCTGCACCGCTTTTGATCACCTCTAGCCGCTACGACCCCATCCTCCCCCTCAGAAACGCCTTCACTGTGCAGAAGGGGCATCCCGGGTCGGCTGTGGTGATTCAGGAGACTTCCGGACATGGCGCAACCTCCAACCCGAGTCCGTGCCTTGTCAAGATCGTTCGAGAGTACTTTTACGAGGGTACTGTGCCCGAGAGCGGAACCGTCTGCGAGTCGGAATGTCATCCGACTATTCCTGCTGACAAGGAAAACTGCACTTCCATTCTGAACTCCAGAGACGTTGAGTACTTGTTGTCTCCTTTGGGAGAATTCAATTGGTTGTAAAATTGGTTCTAGCTGCACTAGCCAATTTTTGAATACTTTCCCCAATCTTGTCTATATAAATGTAGTCTGAACACAGAGCATACGAATTGAGGCTTTTTATCTCATTCTGACAAGCGTTTTCTTCGTAAATAGTGAATCAATCAAACCACCACTTTGTCTTATCATGCCAGAAGTATTGAGCATTTGAAAGGAGACTTGCTGTTAGGGCACATAGAGGTAGGAAGGGTGGGGTTAAGGATGATGTGTGTGTTACATGTAGAAAGGGACAAAAGGGCGATAGAGACAAAAGCGAGACGATTGTGGACAATAGGATTAATGTAAAACTCTATTTACACGGCTGGATACATCTACCCAGATGCTGCAATAATTCTGAAAGAGTAGGAAATGTTATTCCGATTACCTAGACCCCTGTGATGAACATGGAAAAAGCTAGGTAGTCACCACTAACCAAGCTCATTTCATGGCCAAAGAATATCATATTAGAACTTCTTGAAAAGCATGGAAGTATCCAGCGCTCTCCACCCTGGACCGAGAACACCGACCTGTCAATAATCTGGGGTGAGGTTCTGTTGGTGAAAAGCACAGGTGCTGTCTGTCGAAGTTGTCAGAATTAACCTGGCATGGTTGGCGGCTTCAGCCGAGTAGTCAAGACCGGAGTTATTCTCCATGAGAAAAGAGGCTCCGGTGTACATTGAAGATATCTTATGGGCCAATAAATCTCGTTTTGACCATGCCTTTGATGTTCCGTGGATGCAATGGCATGAAGTCACACTCAAGCTCATTTTCTGACCCACCAGGGACACACACAGAGGAAGAAACCTACAACCCCGATTCTTACATGTACTCAGCGACGCCGCTCTGTCAAAAGCGCCGCCATTCCCAAGGAATATAATTCTCATACCTTGTAAGGCCTTCGAGGGAAAATCACTTTGCATCCCGTAGAATCTTGCACTTGATATCTATAAGCCATGTAATAGGTCCATTCTACCGGTGCCAATGACTACCTCGCTCCATATAGGTCATCCGATGTATCCTCCAGGACTTCTTGGTCAGTCTCTGAAATACGATCATAGTCCCAGAAGACGTAGCCCCAGATCTTCAGATGATCCGGCGTGCGTCGTCTATCGCCAATTCTGTCAGTCTCTTCCCATAGTAAAGTTTCCGCACGGCGGGCCCTAATCTTTGTCTCCATCCAAGACAAACTTCATGACATCCACCTCGACAATGGGATGATCTGTCTCAGTATCATCCCTCCATCGAATGTGCTCTGCTAACATCCAGTCGAGCCAATTTGCGCCTCCCCGGGAAAGCTGGCGATCCATCGTTTCTGTTTGATAATGTGATCCTTCATCCAGGATCTTTTCCTTAGACTTCAAGGTTCCGTAGAGCGAGGGCCAGCTCGCGCTGCATCGGCGGAACCAAACCCTTGAGATCTCCACATCCATCCAAACCATTAGCATCTACACCTTTTGGCATTGGGCGGAAGATCTCCAGCCCGCGTGATACCAGAGCCTCGCGAAAATAGTCTTCGGTGTCCGATTGAGGTTTAGCCCTAGGTCAGTCATATTTCAATGAGGCAAGAAAAGAAAGAAATAACGGTAAAATCGTACTTGTATTAGATAAGTTCAAAAAATGCTGGCGTCGACAATTGATCGGAGGCAGATTCTTGGTCTTGAAGAAATTCTTCATAGCGTGCATGTAGAGAAAAACATTGCTGTTTTTTCTCGGGCTGCAACGTAGATACGCGCCACCTCTTCGATTTCCCAGAGTTGAAACTACTTGTTCAGAAAGTGTAGCATCATATGATTACAGTTTCCGTCATCGGCACCAATTCAAGGACGCTAGCCCCAAGGCCACAGTGGCTGCACTAGATATCGAAAAGGTGATACTGGGCACGCAGCATACGGATGCTTTCTGTGGTACTTGGTCGCCATTCTCGCCCTCCAATTATAACCGCCTGATATCCAGGCTGGATAGGACAGGTTATCTGAGCAAAGATGGGGATTGATCTTATTTGTCGAGGAAAATCTGATTTTTACTGCAAGGCGCGTGTCGGGAAAATGGTTCAAAACCCTTGTTTCGGCATCTTGGAGCTAGCCGTATTGAAAGCCCATTACCGCGCCCCTCACAGGGCTCATCCCGACAGTCTGGATGACAGATGTACAGAAATGGAACGGCGATGGCATCTTCTCCTTGTTTCTTCGAGACGCGTGATCCTATCAATTGAAGTTAGTATCCCTAATGATGCCGCGCTAGCTGAGTATTCTTACACTTTATCGCCGCAAGGGTGCGGCAGAGAATCCTTAAACCGATGAGATGCTGCCCCATCCAACAGGAACCCAAGAACATAGGTGCAGGCGTTAGCAGGGTAACCTAGCACCCGATCTACACACTCAGGTTGCCGTTTGGGCCGTTATCTCAGGCGTCTCTAAAGCTTCGGACTGCCTTGGCGCGCGCTTACGTCGGCCCACACCAGCGATGCATGCAGATGTATTGAAATACTTCACGGTGTTCGGCTGTCAAGATTGCGGTCGTATGTTCCTGCGTTTTTAATTTCTCGCAGTTATTCTTTTCACGCTTCCAGCCGCGACGTTACGGTGTCTTGGCATCAGTTTACTGTCCATCTTTTCACTCCAAACCGTCTGGTCACATCAAAGAAAAATAAGTTCATTCAACGTTTAAAATGTGTCACCAACGTATATTCGTTCACGAGCATTGCGACTGCGTCTGGGACAAATACCGCATTCTCTGTGATGAGCATGATACACCTGGTCACACTTTTAAGGACTGGCCCATCCCTGTCGATACACCATGCGACATACATCCCGGGGGCACCCCGTTCGTTGTGACCTACTTCCTCCGAGCTGCCGAGTTTGAGTTCCTTGAGGATGATGATTCTAGCACAGACACAAGTTCAAACTTGGAACTTCAGTCTGAGGAAGTATACGACTCAGATGAAGAGCGCCAAATCCACCTTCAACAGGAGGACCGAGGAGAAGAGCAGTGCCGGGCGGCATATGGCAGACTGGACGGAAATCTCCTACCATTTATCAACGACAAGTCGTATCATGTCCAGGACGACACCATCATGCCCAATAAGGCATTCTCGACAGAAGAGCCGTACACCTCAGTTCCACCAGTTGACAAATCTGAGCTGTCTCCTAGTTTTGATCATCATGAATGTGACGGCGAGGAGGTTTCACAGCGTATGTTCAATTCAAAGCAGCCTACTGAAGTCACTCTTTCCAGTGATTTAGGCCAAAGAATTGGTTCAGGTCAGACATCTCTGATTCCCTGGAAGATTCAACCCATAATCCAGAGGAATTGTTAGCACTAACTTGTCCTAGTGTACCACCTGCTTCCCCTTGGCATAGACAAAGTCTGGGTGATCAAGTTGCAGCACACTCACTCTCTGCTCCCTCCGGTTGATTTTGTGCTTACCGTACTACAACTGGGGTATGAGTTCTTACAGTGTCAAAGTTGGTCTTATCGATGGGAGGACTGCCTCAATCCACTCAACCAAATCGTGAATGGGATGTGCACGAGTGTCACACGGAGTCTCCACACTGCACTGCGCTGTTTACGTCACAGCTTCAGCATCAACCAAGTGTACATTGAGGAGAAGTCGATCAAAATGCAGAAGATGGACAGAATTTACTGCGAAGCAAGTTGTGTGAGAATCTGGCCAGGCGAAGCAGAAGACTCTACAGAAGCGGCCACGCCTCTGCAGAACAGCGGTCGTGCTCTACAGGATGAGGCAGGAGCCACTCAAAGAATCATGCAGGATGACGAAGCAATTGGCGTTCTGAACAAGCTACTACTACGTTGGTACTGGTCCCGACTTTGGGTGTCTCAAGAGATCCTCTTGGCAAGTCGCACGGAAGTCCGATCCGGCACTTTTGTCGCAGACTGGTGGACGGTCAAGATATTGGACACCCTTACCAGCAATCCGTCCATTTGGAACCCGATTGGACTTCGGAAAATATCCATTGGCGACCTGAGCAAAGCATCAATGAACATTGCGCATTTCAACGTCCCGTCAAGCCAACTTGAGAGCATCGAAAACCTACTATTTCCGAACACCCACCTGCAGGCGTCAAGGAACCGCGACAAGCTACATGCGCTCATGGACCTTTATAATATTAGGGATGATCTGGCCGTTGACTACTCCGAATCCCTGCGCGGCACATACAACGACTTCACGCGTTGTTACACTCGGCGCACTGGTGGTCTGAGCTTGCTCTCCGGCGCGGGACTGTGCCAGTCAACCAGAGGCCGAGACATCAGCCTTCACTCATGGGTTCCGGACTTCCACTGGACAGAATTCAGAAATTCATTGTTTCTTGCCGCCGAATTCTCTAAAGCCTTCGACGCATCTGTGGGAAGAAGTTACCTGGAAACAAAGCACCGTGATTGTGAAATGCATTCGAACGACAGCGTTTTCCCAGCTGAAGGTCTTCCTGTGTATGGTCTCATGGTTTAAAGGGTTGTCATGACGCAGCAACTCGATGGCAATGAATCTATGTGCAAGGAGACGCATCGGACATTCTACATAGGCCGCGAAAGCCACGGTCTTTCTGGAAAACCTACGATACAAGCTCTCGCCGAAGGCAGCGTTGTGGACAGTGATGCGAAAGCTATGCAAAGAAGTACAGGACAACACGATCAGGGCATGAATTCTTCACTGCTTCGCCTTCTTAGTCTTCTCAAAGACGTCGAAAACTTATACAAGACAGGTTTTCCTGAACGAGGACGCGAGCTTGATGTCGCCGCTTTCTTGGTCTTGGTTTGGGCTGGACTCATGCAAGTCGATGAAGTGAGTGAGACTTACGCTCAGCTTTGGGCATCAAAACCAAAGATGCTGGATCGTTATTGCGCTATGTTTATCCGCGAGCTTAACCGTATGTGTGGCGCGTCTTCGCAAATGTTCTCGACCAAGTCTGGCGACCTAAGTTGGCAGAGCAGCCGCAAAGGGAAAGGAAGGGGACGTAGTCGCCATTTTTTCGGGAAGTAGACTTTCTTTGTTCTTCGCAAGTCGGATCATACATATTCCTTCTAGATTTTTAGTTCTTGCTACGTCAGTGGCTCTTGATATTTGGCGAAGTAGTGGGCGGTTCGGACATGGGTCAAGACCATGATCACGAGTTTGAGAACATTCTGTTAGTATGAAGTACTGGATTGTTGAATTGCAGGGGGTTTAAGGATACAATCGATGCTCGGGGAGACGAAACGGGACCAAGGACATGATAGACCGGGTTTTGGATTTAGGTCTGACCATCAAGATGGCTTAAAGATTCGTAAGTTATCCTTAGTGTAGCTGAAGGTCGACAACTAGACTAGACTCTGTCCTATTTTGTTCTGAGCCTCGTTCTGGAAGTATGATTGTTAACCGTCGCAATCTCTGCCCTCGGTCATCCAACGGCCGTCGCTTACCCTCAATGTAAAAGTAAATATGAGACTATGCATATCGCCCACGAGGAGATTGCAGAATGAACGATCCTGCAGCCAGTCACGCCATCCCTTCGAACCCCATTCTAGGTTTTCATCCACACGACTTCCAGCCATCTTATGTGTCCAAGCTGACCAAGAGTAAACATTGGCAAGCTGCGGATCGACATTGCTTTTCTTTGCAAGATGATGTAACCACATGCAGTCATGATCCTCGTCAACAGCCCGCTACATCTCATGTGAGTTGGCAGTGTTCAATTTTCTTTCCGATCTGCGCGCAATTGGATGAGGCGTGCCTTTGTCCATAGCTACGCAATGGTTCTCACTCTTTGTTTCCAAGGGCCCAAGTCTTGAACTTTTCAAACCCAACCAGAAGGAGTTTGACTGGTTAGCTCAGCAGGGGCGGCAGAGGTACAAATCCATCTTTAGCACTGAGGACCCTGATCTCTCTCCTGTCCGTGAAGCTGGCTGCAAGCTCGCTACATTCTACAGTCTCGAGAGGTCTCTCGTCTTTTTATCGCCTGTCTGACATCAGCCGATTGATAATCGCACAGAGTGACGACTTCTCCCTTGGAAGGGCAGTGCCAAGTGCCATAACAAAGCGTGGTTTCATCCCAGAAGTCGACACCTTTAATCGTCATTTCGTATTACCCGGCATGAGTCAGTCTTTTGATTAACAGCGCGCGCGGTTAGAGAACGGCACCACCCCAGACTACGCCAGTCAAGATTGCAGATCTGGGGGATGCTGTGCCAATACCCATTTTGTGCCCGCACTTGCAGAAGGCAAGCGTTGATCACAGTTGTGACAAGGCACTTGAAGCATAGTGGTAGTGTGGAAGCTAGACCAGGTAACTGAAGAGATATTTGACAGCTATTCTGAGTGCTACTATTCTTCGGAAAGCCAAATTGACTTTTGTAGGCAAGGCTGAATTTGTTGATCCGGCTGTAGGTGAGTCTCCTTGTCAAAACCAGCTTGGATTAACTGCAGATTTTGGTGTGCCATGAAGAATAGCCGAGTCATCTTTGCAAAATTTGTCCATTATTGGATGTTCTATGAGTCGACTAAGACCATGGGTTTGAAATCCTCTTTGTGGAATCTTTGGCAGTACGCGTCCGAATAATATCAAGCATACCATAGTTAACCAGTGCACGTATACACCTCTTTGCTAAGTCTTTGGTGAACATTTCTAAGAGCATGTGCTCGAGCAGTCATGCAACGTGGAGTTGTATTTGGAGTGGCAATCACACTTGACGGACCCCACAGGGTGGCAGGTGCCGGAAACTGAGCCACGGTGCGGGTCGGTCGCGTTGTCGTTGCTGTACTTGATGTTGAAGGTATCGCCCGTTGAGCCAAACCGGCGGTTGATGTAGAAGAGAGCACGTGCCTTGCGCAGTCCATTGTTGCACCACTGTGCAGGGTCGTAGCGTGCCCACCAGTCGAATTGGCCGCAGTCGACTCCGTAGTATTTATACACTATGAGGCGAGAAGGTCAATATCGTGATTAGGGGAGAAACGGGGCTAATTTGAGCAATTTTGGGTACTTACTAGCACTATCAACGAGAATCCAGGGGTCGACGTGGTCATCAAAGCAGAAGTCAAGTATACACTGAGCGCGATGGCAATTGCAGTAGGAATCGCCGCAGCCGTCGCGCTTCTCGAGTTCGAACGGGAGGTAGGCGGGAGACGAGATGCTGGACAGAATGGGAGAGACCATTAGGCTGGCAAGAACCAGAGAGAAAATTGAAGGCATCTTGTAAATGAGTGTGGTTAAAGAGTGTAATGGTTTATGGAAGCCAATGAGTGTAATAGACGAAATTGTTGGTCCTCCTACTCGGAAATTGCAGATGACTCTGGGTAGCATATTTCCCTTATAGATAGAAATACCTTACATTTACGATAGGTATTTCTATTCTTGGACTGAAGGCTCTTACTCAAAGTATGGTAGATCAACAAGACGGGCATACCCGACTTGTCTCGCGAGTGGCAACTCCGTCTCGATCAATGGTTGATCGTGGTTCATCAGGTTTCTCGGACGATGCGAGATCTCTATTAGACTTTAGGCTAATTACGCGCCGGTGCCCCGTTCATCTGCCTCTAAAGGGTATATTATGAATCATACGAGTTAACGATGTGAACTCCTGTGGCTTAGTAACTTGTTGCCAACCGGTTGACCGAGTCATGACTCAAGAACACTACGTCAAATCTATTTAGATTGTGGAAAATAGAAGCTTTGTCCTGTCTCCGGGGAGCGGCGGAAGTTTGAGCAACAGCCGATAAATTCGGTCTCTCTATTCGTAATTCTGGAAAGCTCCGTGGCAGCATTTTTCAAAATCGCCAGTTTGGCCTAAAACCCGGTTCAAGACACATGAACACCTGTTTACTGATTGTTGGGTCAGAGCTATCTATCAATTTGGTGGCAGACAAAAATTCGTGATTTTGTGAAGACTATGTTTACAGGACTTTCATTAAAGTCGCGTCGTCAACAATTCCAAGTCAAAAAAAACCCAGAACTCTCTTGGCGCACCCGAGTCTTTGATACGCAAAGCCTCGCTTGTCATCATGCAAAGATGGATATGGGGGAAGATCGTCACGTTGACTCAGTCTGACATCCCTTTCTTGTTGGACAAGACAGGGAAGCCCCCGCTCGCCTAGCCGGTTGGACGGCATCCCCATCTGGAGAATAACATTAAAATTTGCTTGGGGTCGGGCACGCCGGTGCCGAGCCATGATCCACCCCTGGAGGTTTCTTCTTTTTTCCGTGTGCGCGCGCATTCAAGCGCCTGTTGGAGATGAGATTGATTCATCAATCATAATGATCCTGCTATAGGTAGACCTCACCGTGCGCGTGTCTGACAATGTTGTTCGGATTTGCTTCAGGTTAAGCTCTTCGAGCCACCTTGGACTTTGAAGTAGTGCATTGTTAACATTGAAGGGTCCTAGATGGGTGGGGAACAACGATCTGGTGATGATGAGGATGATTACTCTACATACCAAGTATTGGTGCGCCGTGTGCGCTGTTCCCTAGCTTGGATGGTTCTCGGCAGAGTTAGCAAGACATTCCCGTAAGGATTGAAAGACTTAGTTGAGGGTATCCATATAATAAACATCGTGTTGCAGGTGTTTATTTTGTGGACTTGCTCCTACCTCCGGGTTTGCCGAAGAACGGCAATATCGACTCCTTTGTGCACAATTAATAGAAGCTTTGTTGGTGGACTTGAATAGTATAGTCTATTCATCAGGTGACAGACACCCTCAATAATTTGGCTGGTGCCTGGACGAAACAGATTTTCAATGCAGTAGTCCTAGGTAATGTCATAAGTGAGTCTCCAGCGCAAGAGGGAAATTTAGATGGCAATACCGTTCACTCTTATGTGCGAGACGGAATTACGAAAACTTCAAAGGGAACTTTACTATCTCGGCCTTAAGACAAATTTATGAATAGGTCCAATTTTAATTTCTGACTGAGTACGGATACAAAAAGTTGAACCAATTAAATCGCTCCCTATCCGCAATCTGTTGGCCGTGCCTTTGAGAATGGAATCCAGCTGGAAATTGGTGCCGGCAGACCCCAGACTTCTCTCTCCGTAGTACGCGCATGCCAGACTTTCTCCAGGGCCGATTTGAGTTCAAGGCATTCAGCTCAGGTCGCGCTGGGCAGAGGAAAGGGAGTGTCTTCGGGCTCCGTAGGTAGGCCCGCAGTCGGTTGAGGTGGAAGAGTGATTAACTCATCCTCCTGGACCAGCCTGACCTCGCGGAATTTGCGGATAGACCAGACGTTCCACACGTTGGTGTCAACCACAACACCGTACAGACCAGGCGTATTGTCCCACTTCGTGATGACCTTGAGATCGCTGTCGCGTAGAAGGAGCTTGCCGACGAACTTGTCAATGTCGGTCGACTAATAAAAAGTGGTTAGATTTAATTTCTCAGTGAAAGGCTCTAGGTCTACCAAGGGTGGGCATACTGGGGCCAAGAATACGATGTATCGTCCAGCCAGGACACTGGCGACGTAGGAGAAGAGCGTGACTAGGCTGAAGCGCATTTTGAGAGTTAGGTATCAGGTATCGGTAAGATGGATTGGGACTGTAGCTGTGAGAATGCTGGCGTAAGATTTGTTGATGAGATTATAGATCAGAAGCATCCACGGACCATCGTGGCTACCCTTTTATACTCGATCGTTCTTCCTCAACTCGAGATCAATTCGAGACGTATCCTTCCGTCATGCGGTGTTTTGATCACACCTTCCAGATACTCACCGGATGTCATCACGACTGGGAAGGAATCTAGGGGCCGCCATCATCGTGTGCCAAGATCCTGCCTTGAGACATCCCCAGCCCGGTTAAATTGCAAGCTCAGCCAGATTTCTCCGCAGCTTCTTCCTCTTTCCAGATTAACTCTCGCCCGTGAGGGCGCGATCTGACAGAACCCTCTTTCTGCCAGCAAGTGAAATCACGTTTATGTGTTGTCGGAGTCTTGGCTTTGCGCGTTTACGGGAGATCGGCGTTGGTTGTCCCCCATTGCGGGCACGTCCAAGACCTCGCCCTCCGGTGCCTCTGAGACCAGACCTCCATAAACGGCAACTCTACATACCGGAAAGAGTCGAGTTGAAAGACGTTTTCGACTACTACAAGACGCAACCGCTATAACAGGACAAGACTCGCCAAGTGCCCAGAGCCCTCTCCCTTCCAAAATAGACAACATGTACGTGACTATCTAGTGCTTGCTAGTATTGCGTCAACGGGCTCTAAATATCTTCCATCGGCTCGGCACGCCACGCCACGCCCGCCTCGCCGCACCGGCTGCCCGAGACCATCGACGGCTAACCTCGGACCATGCGGTCAAGACATTTCAAACACAGCAAATGTCTTAAGAAAACCGAACCTCGCGCCCCGACTTCGCGCTCTCTCGGACAGCGTGAAGGATGCGAAGCACATCTCGCGCCTCTCTCGCCGGCACAGGAACGTATTCCTCCCTTCCGGTCTCAACAGCCTTGGCGAAACCTTCAAAAAGCTTGAGGTACGTCTCGGGCTTGACCGTCATCTTCATACGCTCCTCAACCCTACCGCCCTCCTTGACCAGCAGCAGCCTCCCACCGTTCATGGGGTCCTCGACACCGAAACCGGGATCGTTGGGCTTGGCACCGGCCTTGAGCTGATCCTCCTGTGGATCGAGGCACGTCTTGTGGAAGCTGGCCTTGGTGCCGCGCACCCAGAACCGCGGCTGGCTCGTCTCGACGCTCATGACGCCGATGCGCACGCTGACGATGAGGCCGTCCGCGTACGCGAGCTGCGCGTGCACGCTGTCCGGGTCTTCGGGGTCGAACTTGCCGTTCCGCTGGCTGACGAGCTTGCCATAGACGGTCTCAGGCATGCCGAAGAGGTGGTAGGCCTGGTCGATGAGGTGGGAACCCAGGTCGAAGAGCGCGCCGCCGCCCTCGGCCATGGTCAGCTCCCCCTTCCACGACGTGGGGCGCTCAGGGCGGAAGCGGTCAAAGTGGGTGTCGAATTCGTAGACGCGACCGAACACGCCGTCGGCAATCATCTTCTTGACTGTGAGGAAGTCGCTGTCCCAGCGGCGGTTCTGGTAGACGCAGATGAGACGCTCATTCTCCCTGGCGATCTGGATGAGTTCCTCGGCCTCCTCGATGGTGGGTACGAAGGGCTTCTCGACCAGGACGTGCTTGCCGGCCTGCAGGGCCTGCTTGGAGAAGCTGAAGTGTGTGTTGGGCGGGGTGAGGATGTTGATGACGTCGACGTCGGGGTCCTGAAGCATGGGCTCTAGGGAAGTATGGTGCTTCAGTTCCGGGTAGTCAGTTGGTGCTGAGGAAGAGGCCGTGGGTTTCCGCTGGACGATGCTGTGCAGCTTGAACTGAGGGGTGAGGTTGATGAATGGTATGTGGAAGACCTTGGCGGACAGGCTGCGAATGGTCGGTCAGCACGTGGGCATCTTCGGTGAGTCCCGCCGAGGTGAGTCTATTCCGAAAGCATGCAAGGGGGTCGTAGCAAGGATGACATGGACTGAGAGACGGTTTCACATACCCATATCCAATGATTCCAACGTTGAATGTCTTGGTCCCAGCCATTTTGTCTTGCGATTTCCTTTAGTATGTATAAGTCTGAGAACCAGTGAGCCCTCTTCGTGAGACAGACTGACAGCAGAACGTCGTGAGCCTGACGGCTTTATATCTATCGTCGAGTCGCGTCACTTAGCATGGAAGACGATGAGGGGCACGAGGGGCAAATCGCGGAGGGAACTGGAGCTGTGGTGGAGTGACGGGCCAAGATTACCCCATTGCGTCACTAAGGAAGAACTCGGCGCTTTTGTCAATGGATGACGGAGAAAATTGCCCCATTCCCGGCGCGCCTGTCAGGTCACGGACGGCGACGCTAACGCCTACTTTGACACACCGGGATTACCGGCAGTGAAGAACTGCTAGAGTTGCCCGATTTGGTCACCTTGAAGCTTCGGTGAAGGGCGGATCTTCACCGAGCCAGAGCTAGAGCCAGAGCCAGAGCCGACTGGACGTACCCATCTTGAGTCACTTGCCTCTGCCTAAGCTTGGCGATAGTTTGCAATTTAATTCTCCACTTGTCTCCATAGTAGCAATGGTTTACAGTCGCATTACCACATTTCCCCGATGAAAGGGAGAAACGGTTTCCCGTCAAATAGATGCATTTCGGTCGCTCCCTTAGTGACTCAAAGTCTTCGACGTAAAAGTACAGCCTACAATAAGCATACAGCGCGGAAATGAGAATTTTGGGGATGATCAAAAACGAAAGCACAGCCAGGGCTAGATCCCTCTTTTTGGAGGCGTTGGGACCGAAGCAATGCCATCAGTCGATTCAATGACAACACTTATTACCCCGGTTGGCAAACTCTTCACTTCCTGCAACTGATGCTGTGAGCCTCGGCATCCACGCCCACGCCCGCGCCCTCGTCAGTGATTTCAGCAGTTTTACGCAGGCCTTGAAGCCGACGATGAATACGCCTCCCAGGGATGATACCTCAATTCCATGGGGCGCGATAGGTCGAAAGGGAGCCTGTCCTGGAGTTCCTGCTTGATGGGTCGTCCATAAGGGATGGAGATGCATCATGTCGCCCAGCCTCTCATAAAATCACCAATACGCATCGATGCAAAAGATTCGAGAGGCGATATCCTCAGGCGACGTCGTCGAGCGGTATACGATACCACGCTGTTGGAAGTTGGTGATCTGTTTTTTGAACTTAGTCAAGAGTTTTCGATTGATATGAAATAAATAAATGACACTCACAGAGATCTGGTATATGTTCAAATCTGGTCCAGAGTGAGCTGGCCCTTGTTCCGGGTCTTGGTTTCGATATATCGGGGATAGGAAATCGCCGGCTTCTGGTACCAGCAGATGAACGTGACAACCATGGCAAAGGTAAAGGACGGTGCTGTCAATTCTAAAGGGGTGATGTGTACTCTTCTAGAATAATAGCAACATGGATTCAGCACTCGACATGGATGAATGTCCTGTTTGGACTTTCTTGATAGCTGTTGTCACTGGGTAGAGTAATTCGTTCGACATGACACAGCACCATGGCCATGTGGATGACTTGCGTCTACTTGTGGTCCGACCCTGCCGATGAGCTGACCGACCCGAGCGGCACCGGCCCCGGATCCATTGCGCCAAAGTTGCGCGTATATGGCGTATCTGGCGTGTCTCGCCTGACCGGGCCGGTCGCCCCACTTCGCGCCGAAGTTGTCGTGCTTCGAAGGATTCAACCTGCCGTGACCCCCTGAGTCATCGCCCAGAGCTCATCCTCATGCTTTAAATCCCGACCTGAACAATACCATCATTGCAGTAACTGCAGCACATTAACACTGACTGAGTATATGTAATTATCTGCAGCCGATGTCGTCCGGAACCATGGAACCCCCCGTCGGACCTCTCGTTGCCTCCGATCCGGCTACGGCCCCGTCCCATACCCCGCTCCACGGCCGGTACACCTCCCTGGTCCCATTGCAACCATCGCATGCAGAAGCCATCTTCAAGCACCTCGGCCGGGAAGAAAACGCGTGGCGGTGGACATACCTTTTCAATGAGCCATTCCTCGAGTACGAACAATGCGAGGCCGCCTTCAAGCAATGGAGCGTCTCGAAGGACCCGCTGTATTTCACTGTCTTATCTGGTCCCGCCTCGAACCCGTCGTCTGAGCCGGTTGGCGTGATGGCATATCTCTCTATTGTGCCAGGTCACAGACGCATTGAGATTGGCTGCATCATCTTCAGTGAGCAGCTCAAGCAGACGCGCGCTGCTACTGAGGCTCAATACCTCCTTATGAAGAACGCCTTTGACGGCTTGGGCAATTACAGACTCGAGTGGAAGGCCAACCATTTGAACAAGCCGAGTCTGGCAGCTGCTGAGCGCTTGGGTTATACTTATGAAGGCACATTCAGGTAAGACGCCTACCGTACCTGATTCTTGTTCAGCGACTCACAATTGGCAGAAAACACATGGTCATCAAGGGAAGACGCAGAGACACTGCATGGTTTAGCATAACAGATGACGAGTGGCCGGTGATCAAAGGCGGCTTGGAAGCTTGGCTGAGTGAGGATAACTTTGACGAGAACGGCAGGCAGCGCAAGGGTCTCAAGCAGTGCCGAGAGTCGTTCAAGGCATAAAGGGGAATGCTGGACGACTAAGGGGTACGCAGGCAGTTCCAATGACAAGAATGAGTTTACAGCGCACTCCATACTGAGTGGAGATTCTAGTGGATATCCAATTCTCCTTCTGCCCAAGTCATTTCCTCGCTTCTATTCCAACGGGGGGAGGTATCGGAAATTTGTCATGTCTCCAGCTGACAGACCTTGGCCGTGGTGATCCTACATCTCACCCGCATTCGGCACACAGCTCAACTAGAACAAGACCGGTGCTTGGGGATTTTAGATTGATAAGACACTTCTCCGAGACGGGCTTCGCAGGACGACGGTCTCTTGGAAGAGCGCCGCCCGCCGCCTGTCATCTCGAATACGGCTTCCGACCTTGAGGTCTTCTCCCCGGGTCGGAATTCGGCCCAAGGCGATCCATTTTCCCTCTAGCGCTGTGGGGTTGACTGGAGTGCCCGGCTTGTCGCAGGGCAATATGAATTGAGTGTCTTCTCAGAAGCACTGCTCGAGAGAACATCTAGCTGGGAAATTGCTTAGCATTCTCATGTGAGCAGCAGACTTCTGGCTTCGGAACTAGCCCTCTCCGGAGTTGGCCGGGCTCAGAATTCAACCTTCATCATCAGCGGCTTCAACCCGAACCTAAGTCGCATCTTTGTCTTTGAGTTACAAGTCTCCAACGCCTTCCGTCGAATAGACCAGCTCCTAGGCCTAGCCTTTCTACGAAATGTGACCAGCGGTATCTAGGCACCGACGTTACGCTTCCACGAGGGCACACTCTACCTACTACATGTATGCATACTCATGAATCAGCAACTTCCGAGAACCAACGATAGCCTATGGGATAACTTCATCCTCACATCGACAGATCCATACAGTTCATCATACACTGTAATGGCACCAGCGGGCGATCACCCGTGGCACCTCACAGCTGTAAGCGGGATGGGTGGTACTATCTTCTCTCGGTGAGGGCGACACTCGCGAGAAATATAAAGTCACAAGGGCTCAGTTAAAGAGCCTGGCAGGGCCTTACGAGCTAGCGCCAGCAAATCCAATTTTGACTTCAAAGATACCAGCTCCTACTTCCAAGCCGTCGGGCACGCCAATCTCTTCCCAAATCCTGACGGTCACTGGTGTTCTGTAGCACTCTCAATTCGCGCCGGCGGTACCTATGGCTAGAATCTGGCTGTATCCTATGGCAACTTACCGATGGGCAGAGAGACAGTGCTTCGTCGCGTGACCTGGTTTCCGCCGGAAAGCCTTCTACCCATCCACTTCATCCACTGGCGTCTGCCAAAGGCGAGAAAGTACGCGGTCTCGCCACGTGGTCACTGGAATGCGTTAGCGATCTAAGTCCTCCGTACTCAACCTCACAGCGTTTGACGCTGACTTTGCCTTGGGTTGTGGCTAGACTTTCGTCGGACGGCGGATGGCTCATTCGCTGTCCAAGTTCCGCGTCGAAATTTTTTGGGCAAAGTCACTGACGAAGCAATAGATGGACTTGAGTATCTCAATTACTCAAGATCAAGCACAGCACTTCGGTTTAGGCATCTTAACATCGAAGCTGGAAAGAAATGAGGATCTTAGGCGACACCTTCAATTCCGTGGCATCTCGGAAACATCATACCGGAGGATGGAAAATAGACCCAACCAGGCTTTCCCATTACCCGACGGCTGGACTGAGCAGAAGATAGCTCTCCAAATTGAGGTCGTCAGTAGCACTCATCTTGCGTTCTTCGCTGGCCTTGCTGATCTTGGGAAAGATGCCGACTGAAGAGATTTTGGATATTGCAAGGGTAAGTATCGAGCTAGTCCCTTATTCCTTTAGAGAGAGTGCCTTCGACTATGAAGATGCGGATTGCTGTTTACTGATGTAAAACCAGGCTCTGCGCTCGGCGTCTACACAACATCCAATGGGAAGCATGTAGAGCAGGCTTTTGAGACTTACATCTCGAATAGGTGGTACACCGGAATTAGACAGCTCATAAGTCAGGAGGATGTTGATAATGCTGAAAGTTCTAGTACCTCAGGCAAGAGTAGTAGGTCAGGTGACTCTCGTCATCATAGTAGATAATATATATGAACGTATTTCTAATCCACAACTAGGACTATCATCAGGTGTTGTCCAGCATACTGCTGTGATCAACGTCGTTGCCCAAAACAGCTCAGCAAGCTGTTCGTGTCAGAGTCAGAGCACCGTAAGGCCCATTTCCTCGAAGCACTGCTGCATCAAGATGCAAAATGTGAATTGGATCAATGCCATCATCGGTTCTAAGGTCCCCCGCGTAAGGTGACATCACCGTGTCTACCAGGGGTCAAGATTTCAGCGACAGCCAGGCTCGCAAAATGTACGTTGGATGCTCCTTTCTGAAGCAATCGGCCTCTAGAACGCATCTGGATGTCGCCATACCTCGGCAGGTACATAGATCTCGTGTGTAAGACGGTCGTAATATGATCGCCCAAACGAAAACGAACTTCGGAAGTACTACCGGTCAAAGCGGGGAACCCTGGACCCTGAAACCATAAATACCACATTGCGACCAATATCGTCGGCGAGCTAGTATCGAGCTCGGGACGATCGGACGCGGAGTTTGAAACGTGAAACTCTAAGGGACAGTATATAAGAAGCTACGCGCTTGCGCCGGAGGTGTCTATAACTTATGCGACTTCGCTCATAGTTAGTCATATATAGATATCATTTAACGTAGATCTACGACTAATCACATTGTAAAATGGCGACAGCATTTTTGATGGGCGGGTACAACTTCAAGCCCGACTCTGACATCCCGGATCTGACCGGAAAGGTCATTCTCGTCACCGGAGGGAATGCCGGTCTTGGGTTGGAGACGATCCGACAGATTGCAAAGCACAACCCCGCGCACATCTACCTCGCAGGACGCTCAAAGGAGAAAGGAGAGACCGCAATCAAAACACTGCAAAAGGAGGGCTCCAGTGTCACGCCGATATCTCACCTGCCGCTTGAGCTGTCTTCGTTTGAAAGCATCAAAGCCGCCGCGAAACAGTTCAACGAGTCCTCGTCCAGGCTGGACCTGCTCGTCAACAATGCGGGAATCATGGCGACGCCCGATGGTCTCACAGCGGAGGGTTACGAGATTCAGTTTGGCACAAACCATATGGGCCATGCCCTCTTGACGCAGCTCCTAATGCCCACTCTGAAGAAGACGGCGACCGAAAACCCAGATGTCAGGGTCGTCTTTCTCTCCTCGGCCGCGGAGGGCTGGGCACCCAAAGACACGTACCAATTCGACAAGCTCAAGACCAAAATGCCCGAGACCCCGAGCCGCTTTCGCTACGGAATCTCAAAGGTGGCCAACATTCACTACGCCGCCGCCCTCGCCGAGCGGCATCCGGAGCTCAAGATTGTCAGCGTGCACCCGGGTGTCGTCGACACAAACCTGGCACAATCCATCATCAACAAGTCCAACGTCGTCTTGGGCATGATTATGTACCTCGGCACCAAGATCGTGGCCGTCAGTCCGCAAAAGGGCGCACTCAACCAGCTCTGGGCCTCCTTCAACCCGGACGTCAAGAGCGGCATCTTTTACTTCCCAGTGGGTGTCACCGGTAAAGGGACGAGGCTGAGCAATGACAAGGATAGGAGGGAGGAGTTATGGAAATGGACCGAAGACGAACTCCGGAGCCATTTGTAAGGGGAACATCCGCACGTGTTCGAAGTCATCAGACAAAAAGAGACAAGTCACAAAGACAGAAGTCATCGCCACATGAGAACTTCGTATTTTTCTTATTCCTTCCAGCGTAATGTGGAGACAGAAATAAAGTGTGCCAAGGAGCGGCAGTTTCATGTATGTTGCGTCTCCATGGTCAGAATCCCGTGGTTTGAATATTGTTGCATGAACCGCTACCAAATCGATTTTTGTTTGCCATTGGAAATTGCAAAATGAGTTGTCGAAACCTACTCGAGTCGGTTAGATCAAACCCGTGAGCCCACCTTGAACCAGTGTCTTCCGGCGCTAAAAGGAGGTGAGTGACAAAAGCAGGAACCCGATGGAAAAAAGAGGACCCAAGATGGCCAGGGGGTGCGGGCCCCTGGTCCTCGTAGATGACGGAAATGCCCACCGTCGGATCAAGGCCGAAGTTCAACAAAGTCCACTCGCCTAAACTTGTTACTAATACACTAGCCCGTCTTGAAGTGATCCTATCCGGGGCCGAGAGCGGGAGGCCTACTCGCCCCTTGTGGCCTGCCGTTGGCTAGCAGGGCAAGTTTACGCGTCAGTCCGTACCCGCCGAACTTATGGAAAGGAGAGGCTCAATCCCCACAAGGCAGACGGCTCGTCGGTCCTCGGATGATTGGATTGCCATTAGGGCTTTAAGGTTAATCATACCACTATAGGTAAAGCCCGGACTCTCCGGTGCTCGTTCGTCATCATATCCTTAACCGGACGACGGCGGGATGAGCCTCACGGGTGGCAGACAAAGAATCGACAGTTACAGTCAGTAGACGACTGAACCATGCGTTACGGAGGGCGGAACATGCGGTGTTGGAGCAATTTGGCATATGCACGACGCCTTATCACGCATCACACCAATTGCTCACTTCACCTGCCTTCTTGGCATTGCTTTTCTGTGGAAACTTCCCCCTTCCAAACAGGAAAATACTGGGTCAGCCGCAACAACTGGTGGATAAACCACCGTGGTTTTCTGGGGCGTCCTGGATCCCAACTTCCAAGAAGTCCTTGATCGGATCGATCGGCAAATCAAGCCTATGCCAAGCTGTTGCCAAGATGTAGCCAAGATGCCATTGAGATTGGAAAGCTCCTGAGGAGGCAGTTTCTTCACGGCAGACACGCGTCGAAGGTGGTAAAATCGACCCGATGAGACGGTCTGGAAGTCTTGGAAGTGGCCATGTCTCGGTATTTCGCTGGTAGGGCGGCTTACACCGACTTTGACTATTCCCGTCAGCCCTGTCCGTCCCAAAGTCCACAAGAACCCGGTATGATCCCATCGTCGGACTTGGGTCATCGGGCGGTGGGTGACTAGCTCTCCTAATATCCTGCTCCCTACCTGCTAGTTTCGCGCCGCGGGCTCGCAGGATTGGAAGCTTAGGTGATTTAAGCCAGTGTGGAGATTCTCCCCTCCTCTTTCGGTCCTTCGGGGCAAGGCTCCGGCGCTGCAGGGTCAGATTAAAGGTGATTTTGAAATCATGGACTCCTCTTGGTTGCTTTCAGAGACTGGGGAGACAGACAACGATGGTGCCGACTATCCGGCGTTGGAGCCGCACCGTACCCAGTTCTGGACATCCAACACTCTCAACGAGAGGCATGTCTACGAAAGGGGCAGGCGAAGTCTACAGTCTTGCATGTTCGACAACATTGTATAAGTATCGTCTTTTCTGCCCACCGGTTTGTCTCTGTTCTTGATACCCCATCGTGCTTCTTCATTCACACTCTTTTCAACCACACTCTTTTTTTTCACCGACTCTAGTCTCTCATTCGACTTTTCTGTACATACTCAAAGTATCCCACGTGTTGATCACATACCAAAACAAATCAAGAAACGATGAAGTTCCTCTCCGTTGTCGCGGGCTTCAGCGCCCTGGCTGCCGCTGCCCCTGCCGAGCTCGACACCCGCGCCTCGTGCACCTTCACCGACGCCAAGACGGCCATGTCCAAGAAGACCTCCTGCACCGATATCGTCCTCAACAACCTCAAGGTCCCCGCCGGCCAGACCCTCGACCTCACTGGCCTCAAGGCCGGTACCAAGATCACCTTCCAGGGCACCACCACCTTCGGCTACAAGGAGTGGGAGGGCCCCCTCATCGCCATCGGCGGTAGCAAGGTCAGCGTCGTCGGTGCTTCCGGCAACTCCATCTCCTGCCAGGGCGAGCGCTGGTGGGACGGCAAGGGAGGCAACGGCGGCAAGAAGAAGCCCAAGTTCTTCAAGGTCAAGATCAACGACGGCTCCATCTCCGGCCTCAACATCAAGAACACCCCGGCCCACGGATTCTCCATCAACGGCGTTTCCGGCCTCAAGATGTACGTGACAACTCAATGCTCCCCGTATTGACGGGACTCGCGCTAATGCTGCTCTTCTCTAGCTCCAACATCCTGTTCGACAACAAGGATGGCGACTCCAAGGGCGGCCACAACACCGACGCCTTCGACGTCGGTCAGGCTTCGGACGTGACCATCTCCGGCGCCAAGGTCTACAACCAGGACGACTGCTTGGCTATCAACTCTGGTACCAACATCGTGTTCGAGAACGGATACTGCTACGGCTCCCACGGCCTGTCCATCGGCTCCGTTGGTGGTCGCGCCGACAACACTGTCCAGAACGTCGTTATCCGTGACTCCACCATCGAGAAGGCCGATAACGGTGTCCGCATCAAGACCATTGCTAACAAGACTGGCAAGGTCAGCGGTGTCACCTTTGAGAACATCACCCTCAAGAACATCAACAAGAACGGCATCGTCATCCAGCAGGACTATGAGAACGGCAGCCCTACCGGCAAGCCCACCGCCGGCGTCCCCATCACCGGCGTCACCGTCACCAACGTCAAGGGTACCGTCGCCTCCAAGGGCAACAATGTGTACGTCCTTTGCGCCAAGGGTGCCTGCTCCAACTGGAAGTGGTCTGGTGTCTCCATTACCGGCGGCAAGACCGCTTCCGGTTGCGCTGGCATTCCCGCCGGCTCCGGCGCCAAGTGCTAAATGGTTGGTGATGGGAAAATCAGGAGCGGTGCTCCTGGATTGAAGTTGCCATGACCGTAAAGGTCAGGATAGCGGTTGCAAGTGGTGGCCCTGCGACTTTGGTGGAGGTTGTGCCAGGAGAATTCCACTTGGGGCTCCGTTTGGCTTGTCATCGTTCGATTCTTAGATACCCTCCGTGGAATACAGTTCAATTAATTTTCATTTCATCCCGCTTTTTATTGTGAATGTATGACAACCTAAATTTGTCAGCCGGCGTCGTAGGATAACCACATATGCGTAAAAATAGGGAGGTCAGCCACTGCTGTACATCTTCCTTGATCGTGGCAGCAGGAAGGACAAACTGATTTGGCTACATTTCCTTGCTCAAGCGGCGGGCATGTTTCTCTTTCTCCTGAATTCGCCACGATTTTCTACGATCTTGAGGGATTACATTCTCAGTATCGCAACCTAGCCTCTTCATTTCTTTGTTGCAGTGGTTGCTGGCATTTACATTAATGAACGGCGAGCACCAAAGCTTCGCTTGACATTTGACGCTTCTTGCTCTGGCCACTCCTGGCCTGGATCGTCGTCTTGATGTACCCAGTGGATACCTGGAATTGTACTTACCAAGATTGACAATACTGGCCCCCTTGGTGATTTAAGTCTCCTATCTATCCGCCTGAATTCACAATGCTAAGTAAGAGTCCGGAATCGGTGTTACACTTCATACAAGTGGGAAACAAATACCGCAACTTGGATGAGTCGTCTCTTCTACTTCAGTCGTAGTCAAGATCAAGGTTGTGCGTAAATTGTTCTTCTTGACTCGAGTTTATGGAATGATCTTGCCCACAAGAGCGTTCAATGGCCGAAGCTGTCACATATTACCTATCAGCGAAGTCTAATGGAAAAGGGAGGGGGGGGGAGGATAAGTCCAAACAGGAACAACAAACGTACCGCATGTCATAGCTTTTCTAGTGCAGCAAATGGAAAAAACAATGCTTCAATTGATTGGGTTGCTGACGATTACGATATAGCAAAGTGTATAATAGGTAAGGAGTAAGATACTTCATCCCCGGAAACCAAACAGGGAAATGACCATCTCTAAGAAAACCTGATGAAGAATTTGGTATAGGGAGACCGTACTTAGCGAAGCTGGTCATGGGACTTTCCTACGAAAGTGAAGCTATCGCGAAAATCTTGTCGTCGCGATGTATCCCTAACAGCTATTCACGCCATCATACCTTTGTCAACTAGTAACTATTGAAAGCCAAGATTGCTATCAAAATCAAATAGCTTTTTCAAGGTAAAGACCCTCGACATGGAGAAAACAACTAAGGCCTCCCAATCATCCACGTTCTACGCCCATCGATATCTACCTCGGGTCAAAACCACATGCATCCCAAGAGACAAACCAATGGATTCACTTCAACAGGCCACATCACTCTTCCAAACCTCACCACTCTCTCTCTCCGCAGCTAGATTCGCCTCACGGCGCTTCCGCACCCTCGCCAAAACACTCCCATACCTCGACCACGCCCCCTCCCCACCAGGACTCCTCACAAAATCCTCCACCCTCAGCCCGGCCCTCGCCTCGAAGACGCAAACGACATCACTGCCCCCAAACGCGAAGCCCGCAATCTCGTCCCCCTTCTCCACCACGTCGCCAACGCGGACACCCAGCCGCACAGAGGCGACCATGGCCATCCCCACCGGCAACACCGCGACCCGGCCCAGGACGGGGTTCTCGATGACGACGACGCCTCGGGTCTGGAGGAACTGGTACCCGGGCGTGTTGGGCGTCGTCAACCTTCTGTTTCTTTGTGGTAGATCCTCCGCCCGGCGGCACACTGCGCCCTTCTTTCTGTAAGTGCCACCTCTCAAAGGTGCCAGTCTGGCCTCGTCTTCCTTCTCCTCCCCATCATCATCAACAACAACAACCTCAAAACAAGCCAACCCCCTAACCCTCCTCGCCTCAACAACCCTCCCCGAGACAGGCGCATGAACACGATGATAATTATACGTATTCAAAAAAGCATGCATCCATATTCCCCCCTCAAACTCACACCCGCCGCCCCCATCACCACCCAACAACTCCCCAATCGTCCACGGCAACCCCTTGATCCTCACAACACCCCCCCTCTCAATCTCAACAACCCCCTCTCCGGCCCCGTCCCCCGAGACACCCAGCCGACAATCCGCAGGATACACAACAACCCCATCATCCCCCAGCCCAGCAACAGGCCTAACCCCCTCCCGCAACCGCCTCGAAAAGAAATCATTAAACGTCCGGAACCCGCCAACAGGAACGACTGCCTCGTGCAAGCGATACCGCTCACACCGCCAAAACGTCCCCAGCGACGCCTCCGTCACGGACGCGGGCGAATCCATCCAGGCCCCGATCCGCTGCGCATACGCAACCATCCACGCCGACAGCCAGCCGCAGCTCCCCCCGCCGCCGCCGCCCTTCTCGCTCTTCTCCTCCTCCTCCTCCTCCTCCTCCTCCTCCTCCTCCACGCGTGGCCTCGCGCCGCATCCCCCGTTTGCACAGCGGCGACCCGGTATGATTTCCGTCTGCAGCGCCCCCAAAGACGCCTGCCCCAAGACAAAATAAAACATACACAGCACGTCGTACACATCCCGCCCCTCGCACCCCTCGCTCGGGATCCACGTGAGAAGGTCGTTGGCGAAGCGCAGAAACGAGGCCGCGTCGTGGATGCCGAATCTGTCCATGAAGGAGGGGATCTTGTCGTACGCTGCAGCCACCGCTTGCGATAGAGCGTTGTTGCTGTGTTTGCCGTTTCCGTCCTCGTTGCCGTCGCCGTCGCCGTCGTCGTCTGAAGAGGAGGACGCGAGGTCGAGGTAGTCCGCCAGCCTCCGAATGATCGGTTCCAGAGCCGCCTCGTCGCGGTCACCGTCCGCGAAGGGAGCGGACGGCATTGTTGACGATAGGCAAAGGCGGGTGAGTAAACTCTACTTCGTTGGCGTGAGAGTTGTATAAAGAACCGAAAAATAAACCGGGAGGAAGCAACGGGCTTCAGGGGGAAATCTGGAATCAGGAGAGGGAGGAAAAAAGAACAGAAAAAAAATTCGCATATCTCACCATATCCTCTACACAGAATCACGGTGATGAGATCATCTTACAACACCGCATGCGGTTGCGCCCCGCCATCGCCCGCGACAAGGGCGCGGACATTCAAAACGGCGTTGTCGAATGTCTCAGGCTCAAGAGTCCTCCTACCAGGATTCAGGAACAATAACCTTATTAATCCTAGGATAAAGGGAAGACTAACGGAGCCTAGTTTACTGATCCTAAGGTAGGATCCAGGGCGATAGGGAGCTCACAGTTCCCAGGATGTGGGGCCACACAGCTGACTGGCAGTTTACTACCTTAGTCCCAGGATTTGGGGGTACCCAGCTTATCAATCCCAGGATTCAGGGTGGGAAGCAGGTTACTGTTCCTAGGATTTGGGCCGTCTTCCCAGGATGTGGGGTCACACAGCCCATTGCCAGCCTACTAATAATCTCCAGAACACTGACTCACAGGGCTTACACTGTAGATAAGGTACTACTAGTGTCGCGAGCTTGGCACTTGCCACAGGCGAGGCGCCTCAGCCTTACGGGCGCGCCACAATAGTCACGCGACGTGCTTCGGAGGATATATTTCTCCAGCGGAGTGCGACTTAATGTACACGGTACAGCTAGACTTCCCCAATACATCCACATCACTCACACTCAGCCCGTCTTCTTACTACCCTTTTTCGAAAAAGAAAAAAATGAACAGCGCGACCTTCGCAATCCTAGCAGACGCCGGGTACGATATCTATCGATGGGCCCTGGATAGTAATCCTATTCAAGACTATGATGAGCCTTTTTTTCGTACTATCGGTGAGCGATGCTACACAATTCAAACGACATATTTCTATATCCCACCTCAACTTGGCTTCTTTTCACCTGGGCCTTGTCGCTTACAAGGGGTAGAAGGCTGCTTTTTTGTTAAAATGGCCAGCTTTTCTCTCATGTTATATTTACTTCTCGGTGTTGCGAGTCTTTCAGGGGCAGGGGCACCTTATGCTTTTTTACGAAAAGCTATACTTTTACCTCCAATAATATTCGTTTTTACCTGGATCCTGATGTGTGTGGTGAGTTATGAGTAAGTCTATTATTGAATTACCTTATTACTAACACTTTCCTTATAGAATCGCCATATCGCACCGGCTTCTTGGCGACACGATAGACCTCTTTAAGGTCGCTAACACCTGGTAAAGGTCTTTATGGGGATCTCCAAGACGCCTGATATACCGAGTGATGCCTTTTTGCGTCACCTCGCAAGTCTGCCGACTCTCAGCTGTGGCCCATGGCGCCTCTAAATCCACTCTAGCCACTTCGTCATTACATTAGGTGAGAACTGATCCAGGGCCCACGGGCTCAGCTGAACTCTTTGCTGCCGAAACTGACTTTCTCCTTCAGTTGGGAGCTGCCACAAGCGTCACAGGCCACGACTCGCTTTAGCAAGAGCTCTTCAAGCTGGCCTTGCAGTCATGCCCAAGTCGCCTACCTACCTTCCTTGATAGGCGACTGCATATCAATGCCCCCCTTCACCTACCTTGGCGCCTTTCCCGTTAACGAAGGGGCGGTTTGTGGGTTCCTGACTTGGATTCGACTCTACGTGTCCCACCCCAACTTCCTCTAACGAACTCGGATGTGTGCAGGAAGTAGCAGGGCTCTCAAGATCGCAGGCTACTACAATAAATAAACCATGCTTTCCTTCCACCTCAACTCTGTTATGTTGTACTTGGGAAGGGCCGTCCTTCCCACACCTGAACTAGTCAACTGCTATTACTTACGAAATGCTCTTTCTTTGGGACGTCATCGAGTCCTCGACCTGTATAAAACCGCGAGTGTCAGTATCGAACTTCGTCTTCTTTTCCTTTCTTCTTCACCGAGAGCATCTCACCCCCATCGTACCACCATCATGTTTACTATCCCCGCCATCCCCCCACTCTCCCACTGCATTCTCCTTTGGGGGCTTGTGCCCGCGCTAAGGATGGCGATCGAGCGCTTGCTCCGACACGTCTTTGGCGTAGAGGAGCTTCGGCACCCCGAAACCATTGTCGTCGTCGTACTCGTCGCGAGGTGGTTGACCGATTACATTGTGGATTTCATCCGCACTGTCATCGAGTTCATCTATCTCGCACCTTAGATCTGGGGACTGTAATGGTCCTAGGATCCTGGGTGTGAGCTCAGGCCTGTGCACCCGACGGAAATTTTTGGAACTTTTTGCCTCAACGGGCGTCGCCACTGGTCGTACACACCCTTCGGGGTACCATGTGGTTAAACTCAATCAGTGGGCAGGGGGCTTGGTGGCCAAGATAAAATCAGTCTTGGCCACGTGTTCAACAAGCTAAGCAGTCCAACAGCTCGCCCCCATCCACATCTGTCTCGCTGCTAATGTATGCAACTTAACAGCTTTCGTCCGCATCCGGCTCGACAACTGCTTTCGAAGATCAACGCAACAACCTCGTTCTTGTGTCTTTCCTGGGGCGTTGGAGCTACCAGTGCCTAGCCAGACGTCGGCCCCCGAGAAACGAAACTCCAACCCTCGCCCGACCGGGAGTCGGAACGGGGACACCCACCTAAGCCCGGCACAGAAGCTGAGACAAGGGCGGCCACGATTCTGGGTTCCAGGACACCCAGAGATAGTGGGGCCGCTATGGAGACAGAGGGCGAAGCAGCAAACGAAGGATATTAGGGACGATCAGAGGGGTTCAGAATGGACGGGTCACTCAGAGACTGGGAAAACGGAGGGACTAGCCACAAGGACCGCTGGACCAGGCATAGAGGAGCGCTGGGATTACGGAGGAATTTGATCCCCGAGGTGCCGGGGATTTGACCCAAATATACTCCTCAGTCAGTCAACGCGCAGTAGACCTCTTTCTTCTTCCAACAATACAACCGTTTTTCACACGAGTTTCTTGTGCATCAAGACCTTGGGTTACCATAACATCAATACATTGACTCATTCACTTGGTCGCCCAGCTCACTTTAGGCTCCCCTCAGGCATCATTTTGACAGAATAAAGCTGTTGGAATAATATCACTAGGTGATTCGAATCGAAGGGCTTTTCAGCTAGGGTACTAAGCCAATATCTTCTACTTATATTGATTATACTTATTATTATAGAAAAGGAGGCCGTTTAGTATTAAAGTAAAAGGTAGTAATATTCCTCCTACCTATATAGGGAAGAATCCCTGGCCTCTGATTAGCCAGCCGGCCGCTGGCTAATAAGAGTGCGAGGACTCCTTCCACCCGACAATTCCACAAAAGCAGCCACTTCAAGGTGAGCAGCTGGGTGAGGCGATTGCACATGAACGATAGAGTGATCTGTCACTACACTCATCGATAACTGACATACGGCAAGGAGACATCGCGAAACGAAGGAATACTCCAAGCCTTGGGCTCGATGAGACGACCGGTGGAATCACACTTGCTTCCCAAGGCAGTCATCACTAGGACATTGGCCAGGCTGTCACCTACAGCCTGACCAGTATCAAATTCACCAATCTTCATCTCGGAACGACTTCATTCGTCTAAAGGTAGTACTTATACACGTTCCGTCGGGTTCGGACCACCCGAGTCCTCGTACAACTCAATCTGAATGCCGCCATCCATCTTGTGTCTCAGGGATGCCACGAGAAGGACGCCCCCATACGAGACCAAGGTCGTCTAGAGTCAACCCACCAGACCCAAACCATCCCAACCCTCGCGAGAAGTAGAAAAATACAAACATACTGAGGCTTTTTTGTAAAGTCTAACAAACGAGTCGCGGAACCCGTCCAAAATAATAGCCACGACCGTCGTCTTGATGCAAATCGCGTGTCCACTCCGACGCCAGGCATATCTCCCGCTCGCCTAGCGTGTCCCTACCAAAAACCATATTGCTACAATCGAGACCTCCGTTTTCCGTTCATCTGTGCGCGACGAGTCGCCTCTCGTCATCTATCTTTGTCTTCAATTCGAGCCAGACGGCTGTCGACGGCAAACTAGACTTGTCCGTCGGCAAGGGCAAGTCTCTGTTTCAGTGTCTTGGCCTTCTTGCCACCGCCTCTGCGTTGCTTCTTGGCTCCCTTCGCTTCGGGCTCGGCTACAGGCGTGGCGGTTCCCGAGGTTCCGTTGGCTCCGTTACGGTTGTCATCAAAGTTGCCCTCGCCTGTGAGCCTGTTAGTATCTTCATGTCCACGCTGGATGGCGAATGACTTACCCTCATGGTACATCTCGTCAAGGCTGACATCCTCGTTCACTACCCGCTTGCGCTTCGTCGTTGTCGTCTTCTTCTTCTTTTCAGGCTTATCGAATTCGCCATTCTCGAGCATCTCCTTCTCACGCTGCTCAATCATCTCGGCCTGTTCGTCGTCGGCAAGCCACATGGCAATATCGCGGTTGCGGTTCTCAGGAGCACGACGACCAGAGAAGTCGACACTCGCACCACCTCCCTGGATGACGACGCGCTGCACTTCTTCTTTTTGCATGGCACGCTTCCGGATACGCTCCTCAATTGTCCCCTTGGTGATGAGGCGGTATACGGTAACCTGTCGAGTCTGGCCCAGTCTGTGAGCTCGGTCCATGGCCTGCGAATCTATCGTGGGGTTCCAATCCGAGTCGTAGAAGATGACAGTGTCAGCAGATGTGAGGTTGATACCGAGACCACCAGCACGGGTCGACAAAAGGAAAATGAAGATCTCGGGACGAGTCTGGAAGTCGGCGACAGTATCTCTTCTGTCCTCGAGCTTCGTCGAACCGTCGAGTCGGCAGTACTTGTAGTTGCGGTACGTCAGGTACTCTTCCATCAAGTCGATCATGCGAGTCATCTGGAAGTAGAGCAGCACACGATGGCCCTCGGCCTTGAGTCTGGTCAACAACTTGTCGAGAGTGGCCAGTTTGCCGCTGTCAGTAACAAAACGGCGCATCGACGGAGTCGCAATGTTGTTGAACTTCTTCTTGTCGTTGTCCGGCGCAGGGAGCAGTTTCCGCGGCGGGTATCGGTCAAAGGGAAGCTTCTCAGTGACCATTGCACGTTCCTCATTGATCGACGGGCCAAACAGGCTCTTGCGCATGGGCATGTTGAAGAGGATGCTTTCCGTCTCCAGAGCGGTTCCACGGCTGCAGCAGCTCACCTCGATTGGCGGCGCCGAGGCGCGCGGCCGACCAGCCTGTTCCAAGCGTCCCAGGCCACTGTCGACATACTCCTCTCGGGCCACGTTCATGAGGTTGGCCATGACGCCCTCCTGCGTGATGTCGGCCAGGGGCTGTCTGTTGTTGCGGGCGTCGATCTTGAACAGGGCATGTGCCGGTGTAAAGTTGGCGTCCTCGGGATCGTCATAAGCAATCTTCATCAAGGGCAAGCGATCCTTCTTCTGCGACAGCTCAACGGCGCGCGTGAAGACGTCCTGGTGACTAGCCTTGTAGACCTCGGCCGGGCTGGTGTCAGCGAAGCGCAGGAATGAGAAGGTGTCGGATCCCTCCAGACTGTCGCGAACGTGCTCTGGGGTGAAAATGTTCATCATGTGCTGCAGAGTCTTGTTTCGCCAGCCAACCTTCAAGTTGCCGCGGTCGGTCTTGTAAAGCCTGCCGTCTTGTCTCCAGAGGAGGCGCGGAAGCTCGTACTCAATCAAGTTGCGGGTAGAGTAGCCGACTGCCACGTTATTGCCTTCTCTGACAAAGGAAGCCGTCTCCGCAAAGTAGCCGAACGCATACGGAGATGTCGTATCGGCTCTCTCAAACAAGTCGGGATGGTTGCACACCTTTCGGAACTGCATGACGAGGTTCATGAGGGTTCCGGAGTCTTCATTATCGCCAGTCGTAGCCTTCTCGATGAGGTCCATGATACTGATCTGGTTCCTCAGGTTGCTGTAAATGGCTCTTTGTCTGTAGGTGAGATCGCAGTAGACGTCCTCCTCAATCTTGTCTCCAAGTTCCTTTTGGACATGTTTCTTGACACGACGCAACATGAACGGCTTCAGAATCATGTGCAGACGCTTGAGCTGATCCTCGTTGAGCTTCGTGTTACTCTGTGCGTGTGACTCAATGTCCTTGGAGAACCACTCGCTGAACTCGTCGTGGGAATCAAAGAGCGACGGCATGATGAAATGAAGCAAAGCCCACAGCTCCTGCATGTTGTTCTGGATGGGGGTGCCGGTCAACAGGAGACGGTTACGGCAGTGGAAGTTGAGCAAGCTCTTCCATCTGGAACTCTGGGAACTCTTGATGGCCTGCGCCTCGTCGAGAATCATGTACTGCCACTTCATCTTCTGGAAGTAGGCAACATCTGAAACCACAAGCTGGTACGACGTAACACAGACGTGGAACGACGCGTCCTTCTTGTAGGTGGTGTGCTTGCGGTCCCAGAACTTGCGCAACACCTTTCTATCACCAGCTGAGCCCCAGTAAGGTAGGATCTTGAATTCCGGCACGAACTTTCGGATTTCCTGCTCCCAGTTGTGAAGGGTAGATGCGGGCGCGACGACGAGGAACGGGCCCCAGATATCGTACTTCTCCGCGAGGTAGGCCATGACGGAAATGGACTGGACCGTCTTTCCGAGACCCATCTCGTCGGCGAGAATGCCGTTGATACCTTGCTCGTACAGGTTAGCGAGCCAGTTGAGACCCTTGAGCTGATATTCCTTGAGCTGCGCGTTGATCAGCTTGGGCTGCTCGATGGCAACGTCGCTCATGCCGGCGGGGTTTTGGAAGTTCATCTCGCCCTCCTCGTCCATGTCGGGACCCTCGGGTTCGTTGAATGCCCTGGCCTTCCTCTGGGCCTCGGCGATGGCGTTCTGGGCATTGGCCATGGCGGCTTGGCGGAGGTTCTCCTCGTCTTCTTCCTCAAAGGTAAGGTTCTCAAAGTCGGTGACCTTGGCACCCAGAGGTCCTGTCGGTTCGGCGATATCCAGATGCTTATTCTGTAGAGTCTCGTTCTTGTTCTCAGACGCAATCTCGGGGTTATCGGTACTGCGCTCGACCTCGTCCGTCTTGATCTTCTTCCCAATGAAATGGGAGTACAGCTCGGTCTGCGAGATGAGGAAGTTGAGCTTTCTCTTCTGGCGGGCAGCTTCGCGCTCGGCTTCTTCCTTGCGGGCGTTCTCAATCTCCTGCTTCTCGGCAGCCTTCCTGAGATCACGCTCCTCGCGCTCGTTACGCTTCCAG